AACTAAAATCTGGCAAGTGGCAACTTTCTAAGCTTCTTTCCGTTCATGTTAACTAATTAACCTTCTGACTTCACCAGAATCTCACCAAGAATCTTATTCCTTGTAGAATCATTTCATTTTAAATGGTCATATCAATGCTCTTTTGTCTTGATTAACATTATAGCCTCAGGTTCCAAAAGGCATATGAGAATGAACATTATCATAGACCAAGCCACGAAAACAATTCAATCGATCGATCTATGTGGTGAGATACGCATAAACCTCTTCTTTTTTGGCCTAAATATATGTATACGGATGCAGCCTTAATTAGATCGATCCATCTATGCGGTGATATGTATACGCATAACCCTCTTTCTTCTTATTAACTTCCTACGTTACATACCTAAAAGAAAAAAGTAAAAAAATAATCTTGCTAGTACCTTGTCTCTGCTATTTTCTCCGCTTCCATTTCCATGGGATCCTCCGGTGGTTCAATCCAATCAATATTTCCTTTAAAGAAGAAATCCCATAGCTTTATGTGTAGAAAATTACAATTATAAAGCAAATGCAAACATATACATTGTAATAAAGATTTAACATCAACATTATATAATCCTCTTCTTTTCTTTCAGCACTATAGATCTTTCTTGGCTTCAGCGAGCCGAGGAGCTGCTTCCTTTCTCCAAAACTCTAACAAACCCAGTCGGCTGGTTCTGTAGATCACTTTTGTTGTTTTGTTCTCTCTCATTTTCACTATCGTTGCTGCTTTTGTTGCTTTCAGCTCTTTCTCGCTCGGCTTCACGGTACTTGTGAAGATGCCTCCCCACGGCGTCAGCATAGTTATCAAGGCCGAGAGTACTTAGAGCCCACCAGATGTCGTCTCCATTCACCGTCTTTCGATTCTCCCTGTGGCACTTATCCGAGGCTTCGCAGGTAACAAAGCTTATGAACTCTGTTGCACACTCTTGAACTGTTTGTTTTGCTTCTTTTGAGATCTTTGCATTTGTTGGTAGGATTTGCTTCATAAGTCTCCCTACATTGGCTATTGGTAGCAATCTATCTTCATCTGTCATTTTTATCTTCTTGTCTTCTTGAGTCTATCAACTCTAGTCTCTCGTTATCACCTTTTTATACAAGTTATCCAATATGACCCTCCCAATATATGTAGATGTGTATGTGTATATGTTTATGTGCGTGTGTGAGTAGATGTCCAATGGTGGCCTTGCACTTGACACTACCCTTAATTTATTACATGCTATTTAAGATTCTGTCTCTCTTGGATGTGTGTATGTGAAGCTTATATAAGCATGATATTTGTGAATGTAGTTCATTATCATTTATCGCCATCTCCCTTTTTAACTGATTCAGAATGTTCCTATTTTTTCAATATTTTGATTCCAAGTCTCTACTTATGCATCGTCATCATCCTGATTCTAAATATGTGTTGATAATTATGGCGTGTGTGAAAATTAGTGGGGTTTATATTATGTGTGTTAGAATAGCTTAAGAAAATGTATTTATTTCCTACAATGTATAATTCATGTCCCAAATGTCATTATCATCATCATCACAAAACACTTCACTTTCCCAAATAAATGAAGAACTTTTCATGCTACTGAATATATATATATATATATATATATATATATATATATTACCCTATGTATACGCATGTGTCTAAGCATGAGACTTGATAACGATGATCATCATATCTGATATTAGGACTAGTGTATATAATTGTAAAATTCTAAGTGGTCTATTTCTTCATAGTTTCTGATAATTTAGAAGTGTTTCGCTGGCCTCACTGTACGAAATATATATAACATTTTCTGCAATATGAAAAGTATATAAATAATAAAGCCATCTTTATATGCAGAATCTTCAGGTACGCAAGAAACATATTAATTTACATACGATTTTTCATTTACACCTTTTTTTTTAACTTTGTCATTTACATATTGGGATGAGATTTTAACCTGCACATAGCAGCACATGACAAACATCAATTCCTTTAATAAACGAATAGTTAGTATGATACGAATATCCTTTGACATTGCAGTGTCTTAAATTAGAATATTGGGTTATCATTTAATTAGTTTGCGACTTGCGTTACCATCAAGTTCTGTGGAACGATCGTTAGCGTATAAGTTGTGTTGACGTATTCAGTCTGGTTTGTGTTTTTTTTTCTTTTTGATGTACCTTTTGTTTTCGGTTGAACTCAGCATTCCATTAATACATAATTATAAGATTAAATAACCAGCATCTCGTAACAAGAGACAGTCAAAACTTAAAACAAATTTTTTTTAAAATGTTTTTCTACTTTAGTAGATAAAATATGAGAATATGTCGATCAGTTATACCAAAGCTATATCAAATATTGAAATGTGGCATAATGTATTAAGCTATGCAAATTAGCTTTAGCTTTTGAAACCTTTACCTTAGACTCAGCTTTATGAAAATGCTACAAGTATACATAAATAATCTAATCAACTAGCTTATAAACATTTATAAAATTATACATCATCACGTGGTCCAACTCATTTAATCACGTATCCAATCCGGGATAATAAGAGGAGACAATCCATCTCACCTAGCAAACTATTACACATTTACACAATTACACTTGCACAAAATAAGTAGATGATAGCCATAAATATTTTACCGATCGAACGTATATATAAGCAGTAGTGGTGATGGAAACTGATAATTAATACCCATAAGGCCATAACGAATGAAAAGTGAAGTGGACTTGATTTTGATTAGAGCCTAGCTACTTTGGTAAAAGAAATTATTCTAGATGAAGCAATGGTTGGCCTATGGAATGTCAAAACCTTAATACTAAAAAAAAAGAAAAGAAATTCGGGCCGGGGCACGTAATCCGCATAATATCCGGTACGGATCATATCCCACTCGCATGCAATTGACCTTTGTTTTTAAAAATGTAAAAACAAATAAGACAAATACTTATTAGCATGCCGCGCAAGAATTCACCTAAAATGTGATATGCTAAGGCCAAATATGATTGAAAAACAATTGTTGCGCGGCATGCTAATAATATTTATTATTTAAACTAATTTTTTTCTATCATATCTAGGTATCGGATTCAAAGTTCAAACCCTAAGAAACTGACCATGGCTTTCGAGCATTTAAAATTTTTAACCTACTGGAGACACTCTGAAATGTCAAACGTATATCATGGTTTATTTTGTATACTGTGGAATGTGGGTTGAATTATATAAATATAAACAAGTAAATGATTATTTTGTACACCCAAAAATGTCTTTATGAATGGATGAATCAGGGTGATTGTAGGTGAACTTTTGTCGAATGGGTATCCAAACTTATTGTATAGCGAATCTTAACTATAATTATAGAGACATATTCACATAATTACGTTAGAACTTAGAATAAAAATAACTTTACATAGGATACGTCATTTAAAATGGAATATGCGATATGAAAACGTTCTACATACTTCCAAACTGGGTTGACTTAACATATTATAACCGCACTGTCTGATTACGTATCAATATAATTGGAATCGGATTGGATTTTAACTTTGATATACAGTGATGTACTGCTTTATATAATTTAAACGGACCATGCACACGAATTAAAAACAAAACTGCCATTATAAAGCTAGATTGCTCATCTCTTTGTGAAAAGCATTTCACTTTTCCGCTAATCTACCAATTAAAGGATTTCAATTGGAAAGTTGTTAATGGTCTCCTAATTTTTGCTAGCTAACTGTATGCTTAAATAAGTAGAGAACTTGCTAGTGCTGTCCTTTTGTAGCCCATTTGTAATTTTATATAATTATCATTTCACTAATAGTGTTTATTGGTCAGCACCTAAATTTTAAATTTAAAACAGTTTTACCGTCTGCCTTGACTGATGTTGTACAAAAATTAAATTATAACAGAGATGAACGTAAAGATGGGATAGGATTAGCACAAAAAAAATCGTAAATGTGATAACCCTTATGTCATGAGGATCAATGCTCTAAATCCACTATCATGACTAGCTAATCAGAACAAACACTGATCATCGTTACAAACACATGAATATAAATGTTTCCCAAAACCTTCTTACTTCTCCTTTACATCACACTCACACACACACTGCTCTTATTGTTCTAGATCTCGTTAAATTTGTGTTAACTCGTGCTTCTTAATTCTCTAATTAAGTGTGTGTTTATTTCAAAACTAGTTTTAAGTTTAGGTTTACACGATATGATTTCCGAGCAATATAGCCTTGGCAAGTATCAACTATAGACCCACTTTGTCAAATCCAAAAACCTATATAAGCCCATCATTATTGATTCTAAGCTTCATTAGTTGTCTTCCCTGTGGGAACCACTTTATTTAGGTTATTACGGAAGAGCATCTCCTGAATATACTATCGGTTCCTTTCCTTCTTTTCGGTTATGGGCCCTTATGTCTTTGGCCCACTTGTTTTAGTTTATTACGGAAGAGCATCTCCTGATATATAATAGCCCTATGGGTTCCTTTCCTTCTTTTCGGTTATGGGTCCTTATGTCTTTGGCCCAATATTAATTTTGACCCAATATTAACTTGATTTAACTATTTTACCAGTATGGAGAAGTTGAGGTGTTAATAGCTTTCCAACTAGGTCCTCTTCAAATCCATGGTAAAATCTCCATACTGGGTTTGACCAAAACAAAAAAAAAATCTCCATACTGGATTTTAGAAACATCTTTAAAACAACAACTTATCGTTATTTTTAATATATCTTTGAATCAAAATGCCATTATCCCAGTAATACACTCAATTTTACTCTACATCTATATACAGTTCTTAAAAAAAAAAATAGAAAAAATATTGTACGCCACCATTAGATCAAATATCGTTAAACAAAATTAACATCAAACGATAATTCAACTAGTAGCACACCGAATAAGAATAGACTTACACGAAACACGTATTATATATATTTTTTTTTATTAACTTGGAACACTTTAACTGAAAACAATACACTCCAAAATCCAAACCCTTAAAAAAGGCCAATGGAAATCCCGAAAAACGCATATAAAACATCTTATATGATTATACGACTTCTATATTCTCACCTTATTGTGCTTCATATACTTCTCTCGAAGACTTCGTGTTGAAAGAGCGACCAGTGCTCTTTCTCTCTCTCTCTCACGATACTTGTTCGATTCCCTTTGTTTTCACAGCCCGCTTGAGAATCTCAGAGTGCCACAAACTCCAACATTGCAAACTTGAGACACCTCTGAAACTAAACTCAGGTTAGCAAATCTATATCTCCTTCTTTCTTCTCATGCCGTGTTTGGCAATTCACGTTTCGCGTTCCCATGTCTTTGCTTTCTCCTCTTTCTGGGTTTTCTTGTGTCGCAACGCTGCTGCTTAATGCCTGTAAATCAAACAATCGGAGATTAGATAGAAAGCGGAATCCTCCTCTTGTTTACATCAAGTACCCCCACTTGCCTACAATTCGTGTTTCCACGTTTTTGTCTCTGCGTAAAGATTTCGACTTGTGCTACTTTTCTTGCATACCATTGTTATATGTTCGTCTCGTGGGTTAATCCCCTAACGAGAGATCAGTGTGAATTTACATGGCTATGCTTCAAGTTGTTGATGTTTCGGGATCGATGATGCTTGTTGTGGGTTTTGCTTTGATCAGGTCTGATTATATCTGTGATTAGCGAGATTCTGAATCTGGGTCCGTGTTTCGTTGGAATTGGGCTCTGAAAACACTAGCTTTTATCTCTTCATCCTCTTCGTGTTTCCTCTTAACTTTTTCTGGGTTTTGTTAGAGCTTCCGTGTCCGTGTTTGTTTCAATGATCAAGTCTTGGGATTTAATCGAATGTGTGTGGTATCTCTCGATTTCTTCCACGATCCGAAGTAGTTGTGAATCGTCAGTTTTTACACTGTGATCTAAAATATGAAAGCTTTATACTTTACCCTGTTGTGCTGTTCTTGACAATGTATCTCTCAGCTTGATGTTTTTTCCTTCTCTAATTGTTTAGTTTCAATGTTCATTACTTAAAGGCTCTGAATTTCTAGGTTGGATCTTCACTTCTCTCTGTTTTTGCTTCTTGTTAATCTCATATTCATAGTTTTGGGCAATGAGTTTCAGATCTTGTGTGTATCTGCATTTCAACTAGGAAACTTCGATTGAATTCCCTTTGCTGTTTGAATTAGATGTTTTCGGTTTGTGTTCTTGAGGTTTGTATAGCAGTGTAATCATTAAAACAAACTCTTTCCTAGATGTTAATGATTGAGATTCAACACTAACAATGCAGTTTTTTTCCGGATTGATGCAGACAAGTTCGTTCAGGTTTCGCTACGGTTGAGAATGGCTCTTCTGATGGATGAGGAACACAGTCTTGTGGAAGAAACAGCTGTTATGGAAGATTCCTCTGATGTTGAATTTGCCTTTGGGGATCCATTAGTTGAGCCTCGTGTTGGAGACGAGTTTCAGATCGAGATTCCTCCTATGATGTCTGCATCCAAACGTGCTGCATATCTTTCGACTCCTCTAGCTCTGGATGATTCCTCATATTCATTTCTCACCGGACTTCCTGTTCAAGTAATGTGGATGGACAAACATAAAAAAGGACAAGGTAACGGAGATGATAATGTTGACATGAACCAATCTTTGAGGTCTTTTAAAACGAGAAGAAGTCGTTGCTCTGCCAAGATGAGAGGCGAGAGTGACAAGAATTCGGAATCCAAGAAGCAAAGACTGAATCTTGAGGTTGTTCCCGAGATACCATCCAGCTCTTGGGAAGATTCTGAGGTGGCTAGCTTTGTTCTTGGCCTGTATACATTCGGGAAGAACTTTACTCAGGTGAAGAAATTCATGGAGAAGAAAGGAACAGGGGATATAATGTTGTTTTACTATGGGAAGTTCTACAATTCAGCTAAATTCCACAGCTGGTCTGAGTCTCGCAAGAAGCGGAACCGGAAATGTGTATATGGAAGAAAGCTCTATTCAGGTTGGAGGCAACAGCAGTTGTTATCCCGTTTGATTCCTTCTATCCCCGATGAATCTCAGAAACAGATGCTTGTGGATGTGAGTCTCTTTCACGTTCTAATGCTGAATCCTTCTTAGCTACTGTATATTTGTTTTGGTCACTGATCTTATCAATCGCAGGTCTCAAAGTCATTTGCTGAAGGGAATATCACTCTGGAGAAGTACGTAAGCGCGATGAAGGATCTTGTGGGTCTCAAGCTTCTGGTAGACGCTGTGGCTATTGGTAAAGAGAAAGAAGATCTCACGGTTCTTGCAGCAGGACCAGTGAAGACCAAACCATGGTTCACGGTTTCTCCAAAAACTTCTTCGGTCCCGGGCTTAGGAGCTTACACTTCACTCACATCTGCTGACATAATAAACCAGTTAACCGGCAGTTCGCGTCTAAGCAAAGCCCGTTGCAATGATATCTTCTGGGAGGCTGTATGGCCGCGTTTGCTCGCCAGAGGATGGCATTCAGAGCAGCCCAAGGACAGAGGCTATTTTACATCTAAGGACAACATTGTCTTCATTGTCCCTGGCGTGAAACGGTTTTCAAGAGGGGAGCTTGTCAAAGGCGATCATTACTTTGATTCCGTCAGTGACATTTTAACAAAGGTTGCTTTGGAGCCTGATCTTCTTGAGTTTGAAGCAGGAGGAGCGCCCGCCAATGATTTTGTTGTTGCAGAGAACTCTTCCGATAAATCAGATGAAGAGTCCTCCCCTTCTGATAGTCGAAGACACCGTTACCTCAGGTCTCCATGTTCTAACCGTGGAACTCAGTCAATGAAGTTCACTGTTGTGGACACTAGTTTGGCTGCAGGAGGAAAGTTGTGTGATATACGGAATCTGAATGCGGAATCTCTAGTTTCTGAGCCAAAGACTCGCGTAGGAGATAAAGATTCTTCTGTGGTGGAAACTTCCCTAGACAGTCAGAATGTGGAAAAGTCCCAAGTGATGCCTCTGGATACCAAGAACCAAGTTGTTGACCCAATGCGATTCACGATTATTGATACGAGTCTGAACCACCGTGAAAAATTATCTGGGTTTAGGAGATGGAGACACTTACCAGATGATGACACGAACAGGGGTGCTGTAGGGGCAGATCCTAGTATAAAAGAGGAGGAGACTTTGGAGAAAATTAAAGATCCATCAAAGAGGCTGATTAAGCATAAGTATACCCAACGAGCAGAAACTGATTATCATTCAGTAAGCTCTGCCCCATTGTTGAAACGCAGACGGCTCAGTGCTTGCATAAGGAGGGACAAAAGCCTTTCAAGAGAAAGTCCAGTGTTCGAACATGTACCGGTTGATGACATGAAAAGGACGGTCTGTCCTGAACCGGACCACTTGAGTTTATGTGCGGTCCACCACCAAAATAGCACCCGTGAAGCGATGAGTGAGGACAAAGAGAGAGATGACACTGTGTTATCGGTTGATGATATGAACTTAAAGTCTGATCAATCACAATGGACTGGAACTGGACCCTCTTCTTCGCTTGTTGAGGTTCAAGAAATGTCAGAGGTCGAACCAAATGGGTTAAGTTCCATCTCCGGTGCAGACAGCAACTGTTCTCCAGAGGAGATAAGAACATCCCCTGAACTCATTTCATCAGAAAAAGAACCAAACGGGTTCTGTTCAGTGTCAGATTCAGGCAAAAAATGCGCTTCCAATGATCTGGAACGAGAGCAAGCAGTTGAGCCCCCTTCCGTTTCAGGCTCAAACATTAGTTCTTCTTCCAATGATCTGGGAACTACTCAAGAGCTTGGTTCATCAGAACAACAACAGCACGGCCAACAGACAAATACAGATGGTCCTAGAAGACAAAGCACAAGAAAGCGACCTTTGACCACCCGGGCTCTGGAAGCTCTTGAATCTGGCTTCTTTACAACCAAGAGAATGAAGAGCACGGCTCAACCGAGAAAACGCGAAAGTTCTAGGAAGAAAAAGCAGACGGCTAAAGCGTGTAACAGGGCACAGCTTTTGCCAGACAATGAGAGTGCAGACTTGGAGCAAAGAGGAGAAGATGGAAGCATTTTTGCAAAGAAAGCAACAGCATGTAAGCCCTGGGATCAAGTAGAGGATCAAAAGCCTAGCTTTCTTCAAAATGGAGCAACAACTGAGAGTAAGGCTGTGGATCGAAGACAGGATTTAAAGCCGGTGCTAACTGAACATCCTAAACTTCCACCGATTGTTTTGAAGCTTTCATTTAAGCGTAGCAGAGAAGCTTCAGAGACTTAAGTCTGAAAAGTTTGGGTGCTTGCTGTGAAAGGGTTGGCCTTTCTAAAGAATAAATGTGTACAGAAGTAAGATTTTTAAACCAAAGGGTTTTGCTCCATACATTTCTTTGTTATTCATTTTTTGTTGGGTCAAATGTGACAACGTTACACATGCATATCCAATCCAAGGCTGTTTTCTTCTCTTCAATTTTTAGCATCTTATTTTTTTGTCCTTCTTTAACTTGAAAGCTAAAGTCTGCTATTTGAGTTAACTCTCATCTCATTGAATGTTGCCCAATTTTTTAATATTCTTATTATTTCCTTGTGTAGTAAGCAATGTTTCTATTATTCGGTTTGCTGGGGAGTTATTTAAAGCGACTTTTTATATCAAGAGAATTGAAGTGGAATTATGATGCACATGCATATAATAAAAAAAAGCATATACACAGATACATACAAATCCTGAATAGTGGTTTAAGCTAAAGTCACAACAATGTTATACTACTGTACAAATCTTGACTGATCAAGTGCAGCTAATTTGCTGCGGCCGCTTGAATGCCTTATCCAAGTTGTTGGAGACTGCTTTCGTTAAGTTAGGGTCCTCAAAACCAAGCTCTGCTCCAAATCTTTTGCAGCCATAAAAAAAAGTACAGCTATAGTCAGTTCAAAATTCACTTCACAATCCCTAGATTATACTTTCGGCTTAAAATTCTTTTGACTTACTTTGGATCCAAGACCAGTTTCTGAACCTCTTTGATGGCTGAGCTAGCTGCGTATAACGATATCTTTCCTATCTGTTATTAAAAAACCCAAACCATACTCAAGAATTTTAGAATTGAAGGCACTGAGATAGTTAATAGTTTTGTCCAAAGGGAAGTCGGAATCAATAGTTTTGTGTTACCTCCAGAATCTGAAGCTTTGCCTCATGGTCGTTCGGTAAACACCGGATTTCTTCAGCTAGTCTTGCTGTCTCTCCAACGCTTTCAGGGCACAAGAAGTCAAGCGCCACCTGAACATTCGACTGACAAATGTATACACGTGCAAGCAGGTTTTAGTTTCTTAATAAGCGCAACGGAAGAGAAACTCATTTGATTCTATGTTAACATAAAAAATATATTACCTGAAGATTTCTGAATTGGAACGGACATCCAGCAGGAATGAAGATAGCCTCACCACGACGTTGCTCAAACGTCCATGGCTCAACTCCTGAAACAATAGCAAAGGGTCATCCCTCCATGCAATAAGCGTTTGGAAATAGAGCAGAGAACAGAATGTTTGTTTTTTTTTCCCCTACCAAACTCGTCTTTTAGTTGTCTCTTGTGGTGTTCATTTAAGAACAATCCTTCATACAAAGGACGTGACACCTGAAATCCCGCGTAAACAAACCAGGAAAGTCAATCATTCGACACACAAAAAGACGACTTTCACATTTGATTTATTGATGATATAGCAGACAAGACTCACAAAATCAGCCTCAAAACTATCAGGCTTCTGGAATGTTCTCTGCAAATACTCGGCCAGCTTTGGGACGTCTTGGCGTCGAAAGACATCCCACTGGGCTCCTCCTGCACATGAGGATTCCATGTTCTGACCGTGATCCGTTATGTTCTCTGGATTCTCACTCAACAGCATCTCGGATTCATTCTCCTCCGCACTGACTCTACCAAGTGATAGATCATGCAGCTCTCCTTTTCCCTCAGGGCTAAGAAGTGACTCGTTTTCGCCCATCTTCTCGTCCGGTTCTCCTGGACCGGGTTCTGTCTGTCTCACACTTTCGGATTTTGTTCCTTCTGATGTGTGCACCAAGAGGTATACCTGATTAAGAGTTCCACAACACAAATCATTATACTTGTTAACATGAACCATGAATCCGGTCAACGGACTAGTTTTCCATGCACCAAGAGGTGTGATTTATATAATCCAAGAGCTGAGTAATGTACCATATCTCGCATGCAGTAGTGAATACTAGTTAATGAATCGCCAGCTCCAGTTTCTTGGTATGTCCCACACGACGCATAAATCTTTGGACCTGCATCGTTTTGGAGCGAGTAATGAGGCAACTTGGCCGCAACGTTCAGAAGGCCTAGCCGGGGATGAATGTACTCGAGAAACGGGAATCTTCTGATAAACTCAGGTCTTTGGTAGAAAATGAACTCCTCGGAAGCACTTGGGCTCGGCCAGTCTTTTAACTTCCACAATAGCGGAAGGCCTGTCTCTTGGTTCTTTCCATCTCCATATGCCTTTGTAAACTCTGCAAGTCTTACATCAACCTGTGAATCAAGTTATCAACACTAATGAGTCTGTGACTGTGACACCACCTGCAACAATATGAAGATACCATGAAGAAAGCAATTTTTACCTCTGACCCATCAAAGCAATTTATGGCCTTGAAGAACGGATCATGTTCTTTCAGTTTCTCATCCGAAATCTCGTCTATATCCCTCCAGATAGTCTCAGGATCCCATCTAGATAAAGATGACTCATCAAGTACCTTTTTCACAATAACAAGCCGACCCTCTGCCCATTGTTTCTCGAGATTAGCTACTCCATCAGATTTAACCGCTTCAAGTGACGGGCTGTACACGAAGTTGTCACCGCTCTCCTCTCTCTCAGCAAATTTGCAGAAACTGGAATCACACAATTCAGGGCTCCTAAGATCAGATATCTTGCAGCCGTTAACCATCTCCTCTGCATTTTTCACAAGCTTTGCAACCCAATTCATCTTGAAGATGCGAGCAAGATTCAAAGACCGGGAACCGCAGCCTCCGTATTCGTTAGGAGGGCAAGGGATGCTCCCATCACTGTTGGCTTTCCACTCAGGAAACTTGTGTGAAAAGTTCAGTTTTAGTTTAGGAACTCCTCTTCCTTCTCTTGTGATTTGGTCGGCTCCAGCAACCTCAACCGAAGACTCCGCGCGTAGGTCTTGACAGCATCTCAGGCAAAGGTCATATGAGCAGTTGGGACAATGACGGTAGTAGTCAACAACTGGTATCCGGCACACGTTGCTGCATGGAAACAAAACTACAATAAGAAACATGTACGAATAATACAAAGTGCCTGAAACGCATAGTTGCAGTATCATGTTGTTTCAAGATAGAGAATTTAGTTCCAGTAAGAATAAGAGCATGTAAGAGAGATATACCAGCACATCTGCTCATCTGCTTTCACTCTTGCCCTGACAAGATCAATCTCAGCTCCTGCAGTGTAGAGTAAAAACTGTTAGTACTACTGTATGTAATTCGCCAACAGTCACTGTAAATAAATATATTCGTCTCACCACGAAGCCTCTTCTCTAGTTCTACTTCGGTACATTGATCAAGATGGATCTGCTTTATCACTGGAAGTACAGCTGATAATAGACGATGAAGATACTGCAACTTGTCCAAAACGGGTATTTCCCGGATCCGTACCTACAAGTTTTCAAAAAGGGCCATGTCATGGTCCTGAATTTATCCCCAAAAAAAGGTAACGAAGGTTTGAATCTCTGAATACACGTACAAGTTCGTACCTTTATTGTATTATCAGAACGCAGGCAAAGTTTGCAATCACACAAACCACGACACGCAGGACAAACTTTCTCGACTTCTTCAGGTGATATCTCCGAGTACCTTGAAACGCGTGAGACAGCATCAGTACCGTGAACTCTTTCTAACAGAGGTTTACAGAACTCCTAATAATTCTAATGTAAACAGAATAAAAAGAACAGAGAGCTCACTGTGTCGATATGCAAGTGTCGCAGAAGGCTCTTTGATTGCATTTGAGGCAAGAAACGAACCTATCTCTATCTTTTCTCTGGCAGTGATGACAAATTTGCCCCAAAGACTCTGTCGACACATCAGTGCTTGCTGCTGAGTATTCCTATAACACATAAAAACAGTTACTTTCAGTTTCGAAACAATTACAAGCTCTCTGTCTAACCAATGAGAAAAAAAGAAGAAGCTAGAGATCAGTGTACCATAGGACTCATGCTTTGGTTTGATCTGTTGCGTGACTGGTCCATCAAAGCAGCATTCGGTGGTGTCCTATAGGATCTGTAGCCCTCTTCAAACATTCCAACATCTCCACCCAACTCATCGTTCAAATCGACGGCAACACGTGCAGAGAAGTTCCTCGTCGTGGGTGTCTCGTGCGCGTACCGAACCAGGCTTTTGTCATGTCTCTTCTCTCTAACGCCACCGTTCTTGGAAGCAGAGGCAGTACCGTTGCTATAGTGCTCGGTGCTGGTGACGGGGACCCCGAAATCATCGATCCTCCCTTCGGAATACGTATCTGCTTCGCCTACCGGTGATCTCCGTTTCACTTTCTTCTGGTTCGCCCTGAAAGCTGAATTAGCCGCACGCTTCTTGGCCTGGATGTAGTGCTTCTCGCACACGGTCTTATCCGGCATGGACAACGCAGTGCACCTCCACTGTTTACCATCCGATCTCTTGCACCGTAAATCAACTGGAACCCCGAGAATAGCCTCGCCGTTTCCATTGCCGGAGCCGGATCGAGTTTGCTCATTAGCACTCATTCTTTAGTCACTGATTCGCAAAATTTCATCAAAATTTGACCTGCATTGGTTTAGTAACCCAAATCAGTGGACTTTCAAACTAAAATCAGAAAAATCGGTAGCTTCAAAGTCTTTGCTCGAAGTTAGCGAGACGGTCAAGCCAATTACAATCCCAAAATCTGATTTTCTAGGTATAACTGTAAAATCCCTCGAATGAACGAACATTCGATCAAGCTAAACTAAATTGAAACAATAAGCTGCTAAGGAGTGCGGAGAGAAAGAGAGAGAGAGAACGAAGGAGAGTTGCACAACCGAACTAATAATAATCGGAAAACTCAAATAACACACATGATGAATCATTGAACAGAAGAATCAACAAAGAGCTCTACGATTACTTGCTAACACGTATCTGTATATCGGTATGTGTATAGAATAAGAGTGCGTACAAATTCAAAGACAGGAAGCGAGGTCGGGATACGCTAATAGTCAAAATCGAACGAACAATTTTGAAATCTCGTTCAAAGAAGAGTCCGTAAGATCGAAATTCGAAAGCCTTAGCATGAATACAAGTGTTTCCCTCTGTGTATAGAGGTACATTAATATCTGATTTTTGCTTGCAGTGAGAGAAGGAAGCCCAAACCTGAAATTAGGGTTTTGCTCGAGAGAAATTGCAGAGGTGATAGATGATGGGAGAGAAACCAATCATGTTCAGGATACTTGCGTCTCCGTTTTTTTTTTTCTTTTTTCTTTTCTGTGTTTTTTTTTCTCTCTTTTGTCTTTGGGTTTTCCTTTTCGCCACTGTAACCAAGAAAGAAGCGAACTCCCCATTCGGACAGAACATGAGTTCACTTGTTTTTCTTCTTCTTCTGTTGTTTTTTTTAAAGTGGGATCCCCATTGTACGATCATAAGATACAGTATAAATCCCAAAACACGGATACAAACAACAATATACGGAAATATGAATTCACGTTTCTCATATTAAAAAAAAATTGGTATCCTAAAACAAACAAAAAATGATATACATATAAATTTACAAATTGAAGGAACACAAAAAATTGGCATGGATCCTACACCTTTACCGCTTAATTCGAATTGCAAGTATCTAATTTTGGACTTCATATATCAACTTAATAATGAAGTGTTATTTGACTCTACATTCTACAGCACCATTTCCTGCTTATATATTTTTGGGAAGCAACAGTAGCTAGCATAGCCCCTAAAAAGCGTTATGCAATATAAAACTTTTGAACAATAATACATTTTGGTGAAAAGTTCGAAGCTCTTGTTGACAATTCAAAGCTTGGAGCGATAGTAAGAAAATAATAATAGTGACACAGCGTTATGCACATCTTGTAAGACGGATTGTCGGATTTCATGTGTTATACTAAAACTGAAGTGACTAGTTCACGGAGGGACGATATATAAAGTTAAAGAATAATTACGTTGGTTTAACATGGAATTTAACAAAGTTTTTTTTTTTTTTGGGCCAATGGAATTTAACAAAGTTATTCACCCCATTATATGTATTATACGCACGCTTTACAGAACCTTGTAACTTATAGATCAAGATTTCCAACGATAGGGGTCCAATTTTCAGATCAAGAGTAACGTGTATAATTGGGTTTAAATGTGTACCACTGAGAATAAAGTTGCAAAGAATGTGGACGCGTCAGGGAAACGCGAGGTGCGGAGACGAAGCTACCGTTGAAATACTTGAAACTAAAAGATGATTTTATCTAAAAGAAAACGAGAGAACCAACCAATCAGAGACTAGTCAGAAAGAACTTTTTGGTTGTTCCAAGCGCATTGACCTTGACGACTGCTAAAGCCTAAAGATAATATCAAGATATTATTCTCTTTTTATATTTCTTCCTATTTTTTCCATAAGTTTCAAAGCATTAGCAAATTAACCGATGAATGCAAACTAGTATGCTTTTAAGCAGTTCTAAACTTATAAAAGAACAACAGGAGATACAGACTTTTTTTTTTCTTCTCAACCAATATTAACATTTTACATATTACAATACATTTCTTAATTTTATTTAAAAATCGACATGTGTTTACCACAAAAAATTTCTAAAGACTTTTTCTAACTCTTGGCATTTAAAATATTAATTTATGTATGAAAATAATTTTAAACTGAAATTTAATAGAACAAATTTAAATAGGATGAAAAATAGAGTAAAATAAAAATGGAAATTATATTCATTCTATAACATTTTTAATAATTTTTTTCTCTCTCTGTATAAATGGAATAATTTTTTTTTTAATTATAACTGATAACAATTTGTGAAATTAAATAAAATTCTTAATTTCATATGATTTCATTCCTAAAAATTACAATACAGTTACATCCTTAAATACTGAAGTTAACAACCATGCATTAGATTCTATGGTATCTTCTTTAAAATGTGTAGATGTGCCGTTATCACTAAAGGTTTAGATTACCCTTGGTTTATCTTTTTCAAGAGTTTACCTTTTGTTATAGAATCGAATTTCTATCTAAAACTAATTAACAGCAAGAACTTTAACAAAATAAGATTAACAGCAAGAAAATTTAACTTGGAAGAAAAAACTAATATTAGAAAAAAGAAAATATAATCTTAAAAAATGAATAACCGCGTCCTTTAATTTCCTTTCAATCGATAATAATCTTATGCGCGTCCGTCCCGTGTGTAAAATAAGTAAATTACCCATTTTCTTCTAGAAACCGACTCGAGCATAAATGCATATATATATATATGCAACCTTAACATTTCACTTTGTCTTCTCATCCTTAAAAAAATCATCTCTTTGCTCAAATCTAATCTCTAAGTGTTTTTCTTCTTCTCGTTCATCTCAATCCGAGTAAACCATGGAGTGTAGGTCGTTGGATCTGACGCTTATATCCGCCGAGGATCTGAAAGATGTTCAAATGATCGGGAAGCAGGACTTGTACGCCGTCGTTTCCATCAACGGCGACGTAAGGACGAAGCAGAAGACGAAGGTCGACAAAGATTGCGGGACCAAACCTAAATGGAAGCAGCAGATGAAGCTCACCGTCGACGACGCGGCGGCGCGTGAGAATCGCTTGACCCTGATCATCCAGATCGTGGCGGATCGGCCGATCGCCGGTGATAAACCCGTCGGAGAGGTTAGCGTTCCGATTAAGGAGCTTTTGGATCAGAACAAGACCGGCGAGGAGAAAACGGTGACGTACGCCGTGAGGCTGCCGAACGGGAAGGCGAAAGGATCTCTCAAGCTCTCGTTCAAATTTGGGGAGAAGTACACTTTTGGATCTTCGAGTGCTCCTCACGCGCCTGGCCCATCGGCTCTGGACCACAAGACTATGGATCAGCCCGTCACCGCTTACCCGCCCGGACAAGGTGCCCCGACTGCATACCCGCCTCCTCCCGCGGGTCCTTCCGGATACCCACCGCAGGGACACGACGATAAACACGGTGGTGGTGTTTACGGTTACCCGCAGGCCGGTGGATATCCGCCACCTCCTCCTGGTGGGTATCCGCCAGCTGGACCCGGTGGGTATCCGCCACCCGGTGCATACCCGCAACAAGGTGGATATCCGCCGCCTCAGCAAGGAGGGTACCCGGGTTATCCGCCGCAGGGTCCAGGTTATGGATACCCGGGATATCCGCCACAGGGTCAATACGGTTACCCGCAACAGCAAGCTTATGGTAAACCACAGAAACCGAAGAAGCACGGAGGAGCTGGAATGGGGCTTGGGCTTGGACTTGGAGCTGGGTTATTGGGTGGGTTGCTAGTTGGTGAAGCCATTGATGACATGGCAGATATGGGTGATATGGGTGGCGACTTTGATTTCTGATTAATTTCCCTTTTGTGCTATGTTAACTTTTGGATTTCCTAGGTTACTACTCTTATGTTTGTTTTTCTTTTGGAGGATCATGTGAAAGATCAACAAGTTCCATCTTCTGTATGTGTTTAGTTTCTGCCTTTCTCGTAATGTATTCAACATTATGCTGTGAAGCAGAGATAAAATCTCTATCCTAATGAAAATGATATTTCTCATGATTAAGATCATCTCTATTCTCATGTCACAACGGATGCCTGTCTCTGGCTAATATTACTTCCACTAATGTTGATAAATGTTTTGCTACTACTGTAGTGGAACTTGAACATGATAAGTCGAATTTTGCTGCCTTCGGATATTTGTCTAACAGCATTGTGCATCACAAAAGGACTAAACCCATTGATCAGTATCAGATTCACTTCACATTAGTAAAGAATTGGCACCAAATCTCGGAAAAATGTGTAAAACGAAAATCTCTCTCAAATTCTGTTCTCCACAAACTTTCTGCAATTCCTAATTTATACGTATCCCAAACGACCTTAAAAAAGATAAGAACAAGAACAGAAACTAATGAAATAACCAACATCTGCAAATCCAATGTCTCATAAGCCTAAAAAGTAATATACAACCCTCTAAACCTGTCGATAACCGACTCAAACATCCTTCAACCACCTGACTCTATAACTCATCATGACCATCTTCACCATCCTCCTCACTCTCTCCCCCGGTTTTCTCATAAACCGACTTAATAACCGGGTTACACACCGACTCCACCTCCTTCATTTTCTCCTCGTAATCATCCTTCTCTGCATTCACATTCTCCTCTAACCAATCCGACGCCTCTTTCAAAACCTCTTCCATCTTCTCTTTATCTTCCTCACTAATCTTCTCCGCAAGCTTCTCCTTATCGTTCAGTGAACTCTTCATGCTGTACAGATACGTTTCGAGCTTGTTCCTCGCATCAATCTTCTCCTTTACAATCCTATCTTCCTCAGCAAACTCCTCTGCTTCTCTAATCATTCCTTCGATCTCTTCTTCCGTCAAACGACCTTTATCGTTCGTAATAGTTATCGACTGTGACGTCTTTGCAACTTTGTCTTCCGCTTTCACCTGTAGAATCCCATTTGCGTCTACTTCAAACGTCACCTCAATCTGTGGCACTCCCCTGAAACAAAAAAAAATTGATTTCTTGCGTCTTAAGTGACCAAGAACCGAACAAAAACCAAAACCTGTACGATCATAACCAAGATTGAATTTTTTTAGATCTTACCTAGGTGCAGGAAGAATTCCCGTGAGATCGAATTTCCCAAGCTCACGGTTATCTTTGGTCAAGCTTCTCTCGCCTTCATAGACCCTGACGCTCACAGTTGTCTGCTGATCCTGGTAAGTCGTGAAAACCTGAGACTTCCTCGTCGGAATCGCCGTGTTCCTCGGAATAACCTTTGCCATCACGCCTCCCACCGTCTCTATACCGAGGCTCAACGGCGCAACATCAAGCAGCAGAATATCTGTTTTCAGCGAAATTATGTTATTATCAACTTAAATCGTCAACAATGACTAGTCTTTGATCATTGAAAAGAGATATGCCAAACTATTCTCATGAAAAGAGTTTTAAGAGTCGCTTACTTTGGGTTTCTTCTCCGCCTTCACCACTTAATATTCCACCTTGGACCGCGGCTCCGTACGCCACAGCCTCATCAGGGTTAGTCCCTTTGTTTGGTTCCTTGCCATCGAAGAAATCCTTTAGCAGCTGCTGAACTTTTGGGATTCGAGTGCTTCCTCCGACAAGAACAATCTCGCCTATTTCTGATTTCTTCAAACCCGCATCTTTAAGAGCCTTCTTCACTGGCTCCATCGTCCTCTTGAACAAATCCATGTTCAGTTCCTCGAACCTCGCTTTCGTCAAAGGCTCAGAGAAATCAACTCCATCGAAGAGAGACTCAATTTCAACGCGGACTTGGTGTTGGTTGCTCAAAGCTCGTTTCGCACGCTCGCATTCGCGCCTGAGCTTACTAAGCGCCTTGTGATCCTTGCTTATGTCTTTGCTGTACTTCTTCTTGATCAGTTTGATGAAATAGTCCATCACTCTGTGGTCAAAATCTTCTCCACCGAGATGAGTGTCTCCGCTTGTGGATAAGACTTCAAAGACGCCATTGTCTATGGTAAGGATACTAACATCGAAGGTTCCTCCACCAAGATCGTACACGAGGATGTTCGTCTCCGCACCTTTTTTGTCTAAACCATAAGCAATGGCTGCACCTGTTGGCTCGTTTATTATACGAACCACGTTAAGCCCGGCGATTGCACCTGCGTCCTTTGTCGCTTGCCTCTGCGCATCATTGAAATAAGCTACAAAACAACCAAGAAACAAAACAAGACATCTTCTTAGTTACTAATATATTCAAAGCACCTCACACTCACTTTGATAGAAAAAAAGAGTTACTAATCGTACTATTCTTGGGGCGGACACAATCCGATACATAGTATATAGTTAGAAGGCGTAAAGACACAAACCTGGAACGGTGATGACAGCATCTTTGACCTTCTTTCCCAAGAAAGCTTCTGCTGTTTCTTTCATCTTGGTTAGTATCATAGCACTTATTTCCTCAGGGCTAAACACTTTCTCTTCGCCTTTAACCTTCACCTGAATGTAAGGCTTTCCATCTTTGTTCACAACCTTATACGGCAAGAATTTGATATCCCTTTGTACATCAGGATCATCAAATCTGTAGCACAACACACACACACACACACACACACAAAAGTTCATGAATGAATAGGGATCAAGTTTAAGGGCTGGACCCTATCAAAACTAATTACACTTACTGTCTTCCCATAAGACGTTTCGGGTCCATGATGGTCCGTTCAGGATTCTTGGCCGCTTGATTCTTAGCAGCCTCGCCTATGAGACGTTCGGTGTCAGTGAAGGCAACCCAAGATGGTGTGATTCTGTTTCCCTGATCGTTTGCTATGATTTCGACGTGTTTGTTATGGTACACACCAACACATGAATATGTTGTCCCTAGATCGATTCCTATCACCGTCCCGAGATTCTGCTCTTCGCCTTTTATTGCCACACTTGACATCAAAACTGCTCGATTCATAAATATCAAGCTGCCTTTAGCACACATTACTCATATATAAGTCACGCGAAATGAGTGAATACTATGATAAATCGATCCAAAACATACATTTAAACTCAAAAAAAAAAAAAAAAAAAAAATTTCAGATCACGAAGATTAGAAACATCCAGATTGCAAAAATTGAGTAATCGATGACGAAATAATTTGGAGTAAAAATTTGGAATACAAATTTCAGATTATTGTTTCATGATTTTTCACCTAAAGAAGCAGACAGAAAAACCAAATACGTAAGAGCTTTGTTCCTCATCTTTGCTCACTGTTAGCTTGCGTCGTACAAAAGAATATTTTGCTTAGGGGTTAGAAAAATTATGAATCTCTTAGCCTACTTTTTATACGTACGGTTTACTACGATTCGTATTTATCCTGCTAGAGTGTCCTGTCCAATCGTTGCTTGACACGTAAGCTAAGTTAACTATTATGTGTTGGCGCGCTCCTAACTTTTTAAACACGTAAGGGATCCAATAATAAAGGTACACATGTCATTAAGCCGTCAACTTGTAATCTCCCGAAAGTTGTTTCACGACTTCTTCTCTATAGACTGGGACTACACTAGAACCATATAATTTACGTTTTCCTAATCAAAATATAACTTCTTAAAATAATTAATTACTAATAATAATATTGCACATTTTCTTTCTTAAAAAAAGAAAGCCACAAGCCCACTGCCCACATAATGTACGTATAAGCCCAAGTTAAAATCGTTGCATAAAGAAAAGAAACTCTGAACTAAAACGACTACTCTAACCCAAAAGCAAAAGATAACAAAAAAATGAATACAGAGGCTTTAAACCCCAAAATACAGTATTTATGCAATAGAGTCTCTTGAAACTAAATTATATTTTCGATAAATAATTGTTTTTTTTTTCTGCAATGTATACTATATACAATCTGCCGCGCCTATAAAAACTAGGGTCTAACTCCGCAGCCCGTAATCTTTTTTTTCCTCTAGTTCTGTCGTTCGATCGGTTTCAAAACCATGAATGAAGAAGATATCATACGGAACATAATGAAGAGTATATCATGACGGAACATAATCAAAAAGATATCATGACAGAAGTTTACGGCGGTAATTAAGATCTGTCTCTGTCTTTCTCCATTTGAACTAGTGTATTGCAATTAGATCTGGATTGGATGATGCTCTTTGAATCTGTTGATGATTAAAAACTCGTATAGATTTTATCAACAACAACAACAAAAAGAAAGCTCTGTTAGATCTGACTCGCTATTCACCGTTTTATCTATCTTTGGTTTAATGCAATTATTTTTAACCTAAATCCTTTTGCAGAGGAAAAAATAGCAGTCTTCTGGGACATAGACGAAAGCAAGGTCCCTGATGGGAAAAGTTATGGTGAGGTTGCGGAGAATATCAAAAAATCTCTTCGAGATTGTCGTTATACGGGTAAGATGACAATGCTGGCATATGGAGATACGAGTTTGGTCAAGGATGAGCTTGCTGCTTCTGGAATCACGCGCCTGGTCCAACCCTTGGCCCCAGAAGACGAAAATCAAAGTCTTAAATTTGCTTTGTGGGTCTGGGAATGTCATCATCGTAGAGAAAGATGGAATCTGTTGTTCGTATTGGGAGACATGGCAGAAAAGTTCGATTTCGGGAGGCATCTTTGCCACTTGAGATGGCGTTTCAACGTTCTCGTATCACAGTCTCCATCCGCACAAGGACCGCTAATCTATGCTGCACGTAAAATATGGGACTGGCCCGTTCTCGCTCAAGGAGGATCCCCTATCCCCGATTCCCATATAGAAGAGCGTATCAAACGAGATGTTGACTTTGCCAACTTTTTGGCTGGCGGTTGAATCATTCGTCTTCCGAAGATGCGTTATTGTTATTGCGTTATGCTCTAGTAATACTCTCTGTTATTGTTATTTGCATCTTTTCTTGTCTTGAAACGGAAGAGGGGGATTCTGGTTAGTAACTTGTGATTGTCGTGTCACATTTTCTCAATGTCTATATTAAAAAAAAGAAAGATAGCCACAAGCCAACATCATAATGTAAGGCCAAGTTTAAACCTAAAAATATTTAAATCCATGCAGAGGTTAACATAGCAGTCATCTGGGAGGTCCCCGATGGGAACAGTTATGGTGATGTTGCGGAGAATATTAAAAAGTCTCTTGGAGAAGCTCACTTTACTGGGGAGATCACAATGATGTCCTATGGAGATACGAGTCTGATCAAGGACGAGCTTCTTGTCGATCGCTGGAATCACGCCCATTGCGGAACGAAACAACAGTGTCCCAGGAGGAACCAGTGTGAAAGACAAGCCTCTAAACAGAGTTAGAAGTTTGCTAGAAGAATTGAGGAGGTTTGTGATCGATCATCGTGGTGAAGGATGGAATCTGTTGCTCATCTTAGGAGACAAGTCATATCTGTCTGAGTACTGTAGGACTCTATGCCAATCAATTTTAAGTTAATATTAATTTCTTTAATCAATTTTTATTTTATTTTAAATTACCATATAAATTTATTATTTTAACTACAACTTAAATTGAATTATAACATTTTCAACTTCAAAACTACATGTCACCAATTAGAGCTTTAATTTTTGCAAGTTACATTACCTTTGCTTTATGCTTAACCACTCCATTTATTTATCACGCAGACACACCAATTATTATGTGTATATAGATAGGTATAGGTACATATGAAAGAACATGTTCTAACTAATCCGGTCTTGTTTTTTTATTGAAGCAGAATCAAACAAAGTACAATAACAATAGGATAACAACAAAACAGGCAAACCAACCCTAATGGCGGCCCCTTGGTGTGTGTGACTCGCTTTTAATAATTGACAAATGTGTAATATTAATGATATAATTTAGTAATATTATATGAATATTAATTTAACACATCAGGAATATCATTTTTAGTTTACTAAAAAACATTTTGTTGGGTCATGATGTATAATTAATAGAAATCTAATTCATTTTCAATAGCATAGAATATAAATTATTGTAACAAAAAAAAATGTAAAAGACAAAGGTATGATGATATACAGTATATATCTTTCTTTATCTTTTTGATTTTCAACGTCGTTTTAATATACCAAAAAGAGTGTATAATGTAATTGTAGCAAGAAATGGAATCTTGGTCCGACGGAGAGAAAACCTCTCGATGCAAAGCCACTGGTTCAGGCAGCCGTGAGGACTACGTAGAGATCACGCTCGACGTGCGAGACGAAAGCATCAGCACATTGAGGCTGGAAAAAAATAAGCCGATGGCGAGTCTTCGGTCGGTTGTTTCCGGGAGGCTAAAAACGATGGTTAAGTCGTTGTCATTCGCTTCACGCCGGCTCGATCGGAGCAAGTCCGGTGCTATGTTTGCACTTAGAGGTTTGAGGTTCATATCCCAAAACGACGCCGTTGGCAGAGGCTGGGATCAAGTTGAAAAGAGATTCCATGAGTTAGCCGTTGAAGGGAAGCTCCCAAAATCTAAATTTGGACATTGCATAGGTAATTTCTCTATAGTTTTTGCTTTTCACTTGAAATATTGTTTTACTTTTGTTTTTGCTTGTTTTGTATTTTTTTTTTTTTTTGGCAACCCACTTTTTGAAATTTCAGTGACCAAAAAAAACTCCATTTATTACTATTAAATTTTTGTTAAATTCTATATATCTTCTTATTATTACATTTATCGTAATTTTTAAAAATTGTTGTGGGAAAGAGAAAGATCGAATATTCGGATAAAAATTTACTTTGAATCAAATAGGAATGGCTGAATCGAGCGAATTTGTGAACGAGCTTTTCGAGGCGTTGGTCCGAAGGAGAGGGACTACGTCATCGTCGATCACCAAAACTGAACTATTCGACTTCTGGGAGCAGATCAGCGGCAACAGTTTTGATGCCAGGCTGCAAATCTTTTTTGATATGTAAGTACTAACGTACGGTTTTATATTTATTTATGGTGACTTAGAGAGTTTAGAGATTAAGTTATTTCTACGTGTTTATGTGACTAAGGGTGGACAAAAATTCGGACGGCCGTATTACGGGAGAAGAGGTTAAAGAGGTGAAGATTAATTTAATAGCGATAACTATCGAATCTCTCAGTTTGGTTACGCGCTGCTTATATATATATAATTAAAATCGAAGTATTGTTGCGGGTTATTGTGTGGGTTTTGTAGATAATTGCTTTAAGTGCTTCGGCTAACCAACTATCAAAGATTCAAGAAAAGGTAGACGAATACGCTGCCTTGATCATGGAAGAGCTCGATCGCGACAACCTCGGATATATCGAGGTTCGTTGTCCGATATATAATGGTTAGAACTTGATTAACATCATTTAAAATCAATTTCAGCCAAATTTATAAGAGAAAAACATGTGAGAATTAATGTGTTGCTTGTAACCCTAGATAAGTCTTCTTTTCATTGACCAACAACATGCATACGACGAATCATTTTAAGTACCACGTCAACGCTACGACAATTCATTTACCGTCAAACAACAAAGCAGCATCGCAACTGAACTACAAATTTTTATTATAATCTTTAGCACACTAGAAAACTGATGACATAATGCATATATATTTGAGCTATGGTTGTTTGCAGTTATACAACTTGGAAACACTGCTTCTGCAAGTTCCTAGCCAATCGAACAGCAATCCATCGTCGGCGAACAAACGTGCCCTCAACAAGATGTTGAGCGAGAAGCTCATACCAACAAAAGAGAGGAACCCGGTGAAAAGATTTGCTAGAAACCTATCATACTTCTTCTCGGAAAATTGGAGAAGGGTTTGGGTGTTAACATTGTGGATATCAATTTGCATCGCTCTCTTCACTTGGAAATTTCTCCAGTATAAACGCAGAGCCGTGTTCGAGGTGATGGGTTACTGTGTTTCCGTGGCCAAAGGAAGTGCAGAGACCTTGAAATTCAACATGGCTCTCATTCTCTTGCCTGTTTGTAGGAACACTATCACTTGGCTAAGGACCAAGTCCAAGCTTGGATCCGTTGTGCCATTTGATGACAATATCAATTTCCACAAGGTAATTAATATTTTATACACATTATGTATGTCTTCCTTTTTTTCACAATCATTTTTATTTTATTTTAATTTTATTTTGCAATATTTTAATGACAATATCAAATGTGTTTTCGTAGAAGAAGTCAAACAATGTGTACCATTGTTATAAAAATTGGTTTATGCTTATTCTTTATGACCATGCGCAGGTTATCGCATTTGGGATCGCTATTGGAATTGGCCTACATGCCATATCTCATCTGGCATGCGATTTTCCGCGTCTGCTGCATGCAAAATATGTAGAGTTTGAGCCAGTTAAAAAGTTTTTCGGAGACGAGAGACCGGACAATTACTGGTGGTTCGTGAAAGGGACAGATGGGTGGACCGGAGTAACTATGGTACTTCTAATGCTTGTGTCCTACGTCTTGGCCCAATCGTGGTTCAGACGCAACCGGGCCAACCTACCAAAAACGTTGAAACGGTTAACCGGCTTCAACGCGTTTTGGTACTCACACCACTTATTTGTTATCGTTTATGTGCTTCTCGTCGTGCATGGCTATTTTATTTATCTCTCCAAGGAATGGTACCAAAAAACGGTACGCTAAAAAAATTACTTAATTACTTCTTAACGACTTTACTAATTATAATATTTTAAAACAGTTTTTTTTGTTAGTGATTAATATATCTTGCAAATTGATAATTTTAATTAAAAATAAGCTCGATCTTAATGGAAAGTGGAAACATCATTTCTTTCTTTCTTTCTTTTTGGACAGACGTGGATGTATCTGGCTGTTCCAACGATACTGTATGCGTGTGAAAGATTGATTCGGTATTTCAGATCAGGTTCCAAGGCGGTAAAGATTCTGAAGGTATATCTCAATATCGCAATTAAATTGTAAGTTGTACATTTTTGCGTTACGAATTTTAATAATAAAAACAAAGTATCCAAATCATAATCATTTGCCCAAGACCATGATATATCCCGTCTAAAACAGATTTTTTTTTTTTTTACATCAGATAACAAATGTATTTGACATTAATATTCAGGTTGCAGTATATCCAGGAAATGTACTTTCGCTTTACATGTCAAAGCCTAAAGGGTTCAAGTACACAAGTGGCCAGTACATATATGTCAACTGTTCTGACGTCTCACCATTACAATGGTGACTACTAAAAGTTACTGGACATATATAATCATGAAATTAATTAAACTTATTATTTTGGTAATTTAACCTCTTTTCAATATTGTATGTTTAGGCATCCGTTTTCAATTACTTCGGCTTGCGGAGACGATTTCCTCAGCATTCATATCCGTACCCTCGGCGATTGGACATCGCAACTCAAATCCTTATTTTCGAAGGTATACTTAATATGTACTTACATGATATAGGCATATACTTAATTATCATTATAGTTTGCTTAATAATTTTACTTGTTGAAAAAAAAAGGTTTGTCAGTCTCCAACAACAAGTCAAAGTGGGCTCTTCGTAGCTGACATAGGTCAGGCCAATAACATAACCAGGTATTCGATTTATTTTTACGTGAATATGAATTTTAAAAACAGAGCATACAGATAAAAAAAAAAGTATAACTCTGCAAAGAAGAAACAAAAAGTGTGTCCTTTTCGGATATTATGTGAAATGTGTATAAATATTAAAAAGAATACTGAATCAAATTAAAACATGGAAAGGTTTCCGAGGCTCTTGATTGATGGTCCATATGGAGCACCGGCACAAGATTACCGAAACTACGACGTATTGCTTCTGGTAGGTCTAGGGATTGGAGCGACGCCATTGATTAGCATACTCAGGGACGTCCTTAACAACATCAAGAACCAGAAATCCATCGAACAAGGCACTGACCACAATGTCCGTAGAATAGTAAGCAACACAAAGCGAGCTTATTTCTACTGGGTCACAAGAGAGCAGGGATCATTGGAATGGTTCAGTGAGGTCATGAACGAGGTATATATATAGTCAGTAAATTTTTTGAATCATGTTTTTGTTCACGGAATTAACTAAAAAATTAATGAAAGAAAGGTAGCTGAGTATGATAGTGAGGGGATCATTGAGCTACATAATTACTGCACGAGCGTGTATGAGGAAGGAGACGCCAGGTCAGCACTAATCACGATGTTGCAGTCACTGCACCACGCCAAGAGCGGCATTGACATCGTCTCGGGTACTCGTGTCCGAACCCATTTCGCCCGACCCGATTGGCGCAGCGTCTTCAAGCATGTCGCTGTGAACCACGTCAATCAACGAGTTGGTATGTGAACCTTACAACAATCCCATTGTATGTAATTAATTTTAGGAGATTTCTCGCAGTAATAACTTTGAACCATTGTATTTTGTTTGAAGGGGTTTTCTACTGTGGGAACTCATGCATCATAGCAGAGTTGAAGAGATTGGCTCAAGATTTCTCTAGGAAAACGACGACCAAGTTTGAGTTCCACAAGGAAAATTTTTAAATTTCAATTTTTTAAAATATTGCCTAAATAAAAAAACTTACCAACCTACTGGTTGTATAATTATAACCTATAATGCATTTTGAAAGCATTTAAACAAAGTATAAAATTTAAGGGCATTCTCAAACCAAATGATAAATTTTAACAAACAAAACAAAAGCAAAGCATGCCAAGCTGATATTTATATTCCAAGGGGTTCTAAATTCAAAAGCTGAGACTAGAACATGAACCTTTCTCTAAAAGGTATAGATGAGAAAGAAGAGGGACTTAAGCGTAGTAATTCAAGCTTGCTTTTTTCTTGGCTTGTACTTGAATGATTCCTTCATTGAAATCCTCATGGTTCACCTGCAAAAACACCCAAACCACATTTATCATTTCTTCCCTCATCTATTCCACGACTTAACAACAACGAGATATATATATGCATTACCTCGGTTGCATCCCGGCGCAGAGCAAGCATGCCCGCTTCAACACACACTGCTTTGAGTTGTGCTCCATTGAAATCATCAGTTGATCGAGCAAGCTCCTCAAAATTGACATCCGCATTCACATTCATTTTCCTCGAATGTATCTGCAACCGCCATCACCGACATTATGCAAAAGAAAAGCAAAACAATAACCAATGATAAGTTATTCGCAGAATACATAGGATTTCAACCTCTCACATTCAAGACATTGCCAAGTGCGTGAACCTTTAGCTTTAAAACGGAAATGAGTAGAACTATAAAAAAAGATTCAGTAAGGATACAAAACCTGTAAGATCCTGGCTCTTGCTTCTTCAGTGGGGTGCGGAAACTCAATTTTACGATCCAAACGACCAGAACGCATAAGGGCGGGATCTAGTATATCAGCACGATTTGTCGCCGCAATAACCTAAGTTTGTCAAATCTATGAGTTTATCACGCATTTCACTCAATAAATAAACGTTTGCAAGGGTAATATATGGGCGAACCTTGATACGATCGTCGCTGCTGAATCCATCAAGCTGGTTGAGTAGCTCCAACATTGTCCTCTGCACCTCACGGTCTCCACTAACTTCACTGTAAAACCCATGAAAACAGCCAGCATTTAATCATCCGAAAGGAAATCATATGAGGCCTAAATATATCAAATAGTTAAGACATGACTCTAGATAGGGATACCTGTCAAAACGCTTTGTTCCTATCGCGTCAATCTCGTCTATGAATATAATACAAGGGGATTTCTCTTTTGCAAGCAGGAAAGCATCGCGGACAAGCTTTGCTCCATCTCCGATGAACATCTATACATAAGTCAAGCAAAAGTTATTTCCATTAGGTTCATCATTTCTCAGGAAGAAGGATCAAACTACAGTTAAGATTACACTGGTTTTCGTACCTGAACAAGTTGTGGCCCTGCGAGTTTCAGGAAAGTTGCATTTGTCTGTGCAGCACAGGCTCGGGCCATCAGCGTCTTTCCGGTTCCGGGAGGTCCATACAAGAGTACACCTTTGGGTGGACGGATACCCAACTTTTCGAACTGCTCTTTATGAGTCATTGGCAACACAATGGCTTCAACAAGTTCTTGTATCTGTTTAATTATACCAACCGTCAAATAATGTACCACAGATACTAAAAAACCAAGGAATCACAAAATAGTAGAGTCATCAATTAACCTGCTTCTCTAGCCCTCCAATGTCGTTGTAGTCTTCGGTAGGTTTTTCATCAACCTCCATCGCCTTTACTCTGGAATCATACTCAGACGGGAGAGTATCAAGAATCAAGTAGCTGTCCTTGTTAACGCCGACCAAGTCCCCAGGCTTCAATGTATCCGGATCAACAAGTCCAACGACAGGAAGAAAGATGGTCTGAAAAGCACAATCCATGAGATGTTAATACAAAGACACAAACATCTACATTGACTAGGTCGTTCCTTTATCACTAGTTCTGCAAATATCTCGGCAAGGGTAACAAGAGAATCTGAAACTTCACCTGACGAGTTGATGTTTTCAGAACGATGCATTTTCCCTTCCTCTGAGAGTCCAGATCGATATTCGCTCCATCTTCCTCTGCATCATCCTCCGGACTCATCTCAAGAATCTACAAAAGCACGGATACTCGATCAGTACACAACTGTACATCATTACCCATAAATTTTGGATGTAAAATGTCTGAACTAGCGTGACAGAATAACACTACTACTTATTAAAAAAACATAGTTTGGCTAAAGACTCATATTGTGTCACTCGACAAAAAGAATGAAATACACAACAGTCACTGAAAGTACCTCAACGATGTTGCCGACTAAGTAAGGAAGCTGTTTGTTTAGCTTAATCTTCTCCTGGTTCTCCTTTATTTTCTCCTTCACTGATTCCAAATCAAGGTTTGTTCTCTGCATTTCTTCCTATACAAATCAAGGTATTTGGAGAAAAGGACATCAAAATTCTGGTGAATTCAATCCAATGAGCAAAAGACCAGCAATTATCCTCTAATCGTTTTCTAATCCTAAGATAAACTGCTTAGTGGGAACTTCGTTATCTTTGACTTGAAGGATCAAAAGTGTGAAACGAAATACGAGTTCTCGTGGCACACAGATATCATCAACTAAAACTATTGCAGCTCTGACAATAGAAATAACCCAATGAGATTCAGAAGCTAAAAACCCTAATCAAAGTTTCGCTAATCAGATTAAGTCGATAGCGGTATTGAAAAGAGGAGATTTAGTAGTTCCAACTAGCAGTTAAAGAAAAAGAAAAAGTATAGAGAGAAGAGAGAGAGAGGCTGACCTTGAGGATGCGACTCTCGTTGGCTAAGAGACGAGAAGCTCTAACGATGTCATCTGTAGTCATGGAAGCTAGCTGGTCTTCCTCGAAGCTCGAATCCTCCTCCATCGCCGTCGAGGTTGCCATCTCTCAATCAGTACGAGTTCAAGAGTAAGAGAAAGAGATCTCAGAAGAAATAGCAAACTGACTCTGGCTTTTGGGCGAAGAAACAACTTTATTTTGGTTTTTACATATTGGTTTAAGTTATTTAGTGTTAAAAGACCATCATCAAATCCGTTGTCGTCCAGTGGTTAGGATATCTGGCTTTCACCCAGGGGACCCGGGTTCAATTCCCGGCATCGAACTATCCATCATTTTTTACATTACGTATTTTAAAGTTGTGTAAAATGTAAATTTTGGGCTTTTAGCAACGGAATCTTTCAATGACAAGTAACATCAGGAATGTAACTTTGACTGAAGGTACCATCTTATTTACGTAGATTTTTAAAAGTTTTAAAATGAACTACTCAATCTGGTCAGATTGATAATATGTTGACAAAAGAAGAGAAGTGTATGAAACTATTCAAATATTAAATCAGGGAAATAGAGTGTTGGAGATTGTATTTACTTTGGCTTGTAAGAGAGCTAGCGAACAATCACATTACAAATTTATCACAGTTTTCAGCATCTTCTTAATACGATTCGCCTAATCGAAATGATTCAAGTTTACCAAGTGGTTCGAATCAACACAGTCGCAGCCAACTGAATTTGATCAGTCTTTAATCCTATTATATTGTTCTCCATTAAGCTGACCTGCAAATGAGACGAGTTGAAGCAAACAATATCAAGATCAAAAATGTTATGAACAGTCTTAGAGAAGGAAAAGCCATCGGCTTTCCCCAATCCATAAGATTTTCGAATGATCTGATATAAGATTTGTAGATGATATAGATAAATGATCAGATTGCTAGATATAAACTTCTTCTGTTTCCCCTCTAACAGCGTAACCAGGTTGTAAGGTAAGCTACTACTCATGACCAACCAAGTAATATTTCCCTACTCTTAAAATATTCATGTCTTAAGATTAGTGATGAAGTGTTAAGCGTGCAACTTACAGTGAACTGAGGCAAGAGAACTTGAAACTAGACTCGTTCTACGCTTCTAATCCCCGCGTTCTTGTCGAATTCCTCTGAGGGAACAACGTCCGCAATAATCTTTTCTTGACCACGCCATAGAATCTGGTGAAAATGGTACAAAGTTTAGTGTCAGTCCAACAGAGACCAAGTGATGAAAAAATCCTTAAATGACAAAAAAAAAATTAGTAACTTTCTGAGCGACAATAGCAATCAGGATGAATCAAGAATTGGTAGTGTGATTGCCAGCTAATGACGATGAATTAGCTCAATCGATTACCACGTTCATATGAAAATCATCATAGCAATTCACAGTGCCTACACTTACCCTGTCAATGACTCCAAATTCTTTAGCTTTTGGTGCATCCATGTAATATGGCCTTCTCATCACGTTAGCTACAGTCTCCACGGACTAAGTAACACGTTAGAACGATCGTTAATCAGCCATAAAATCGTTCCACTCAAAGTTATGAAGCGAACGAAATGATTTCCACTCACATTCCCAGTGTGCTTAGATAGTAGTTCGACAAGTATGTCCCTGTTTGTTATAACCTGCAATTGCAACCAGGAACGTGAGAGATGTAATGAAACTCAGTTTCCTCACCTAAAGGTTGATATTCTGAGCCAAATGCTTAAGTGACAATTTTGTGTATAAAATGATCAATGGAATATGAAAACAGGGATGAACGTATAAGCAAAACATCATGAAAATATATCAGCTGAAATAAGATTTCCAGGACAGAAAGTGTATAAAGAGAACATCAAACCTCTTTGGCACGAATCAGGACATCACTGGCAGGCATCAACCCAGAAGAAGGCACACGAGGTTGCTGGATCATTGCTGCAACATATTGATACAAACATTAGAGAGTCTCTGATTATCACGAGTGAGCAATCTATAGTTCACCAGAATGCACACGTACTTTACCTTTGGCATGTGGCATCATAAACCGTTTACCCTTTGTGCCCGCTGAAAGTAACAGACATGCCTGACCTATGGCTGCTCCCACACAGACCGTATGTACCTGCACAAATAAGAACCAACCTGCTCACACAAAAACACTTCGGAGACCCAAAAAATGCTTATCTTTGCTAGCTGTTAAAGTGTCCTGAGTAGATTTATTTATCAATGCTAATTACTTGTATGTTTGCGACATTACCTCGTTTTTAAGTTGCATCAGAGAGTCATAGATCGCAAAACCTTCTGATTCCATTCCAACCTGTCCAGCGAACATTGTGCACCAAAGTTAGAAATGCTGAGAAGGGGTCTAAATCATTCACCACAAAGTGTGTAAAAATTCACCGTCTCGCCATCGTCACGAGTGGTCCCTGTGGAGTTGATGTAAATGTATATGGGTTCCTTTGGATCCAGCCACTGAAGATACATTAGCTCTGCGACAACCAGCTCTGTCACCGCCGGCACCAGCTGAAAACAAAATCAGTCAGCACCGCAGCATCAGTCTACACAGTCCCCACTAAAACTCCACAAGAGTCTCGCAGAACTTACAGGCATTCCAATGTAAACAATTCTCCCGTCAAGAAGCATAGAGGGCAAGTCTGGTGGAGGAGTTCTTGGTCGGTGCTCGTTATAAGCCACGGATCTTTCAACCTAATTTTCAACCAATATATTCTGTCAGCAGATCTGAATCAGTGAATCAAATGATGTAGCTACTATCAAACTCATCAAATCCCACTATTGCTTAGTCGATTTGGAATTTCCCACCTCAACACTACCAAATTCATGAAGATCTCGAATTTTTCATATTTCAATATTAAGCCCATAGATATGAGCATATGCAGATTTAAATTTTACATATATGTGCACAGTAAATAACGAAATTAAGGCAGTCTGTGTGCACGAACTAGAGGTAAGGCACTTGACGAATCCATCACATAGGCATCGAAAAAGGAGGAGATGAGCTCACCTGAGCAGGAGAAGACATAAGCTGAGGGGAATCGAAGATGTCAAGATACGGTGGTGTGTCAGAGTTCACCGGCCGATTGAGAAGTTTTTCCGGAGATTTCGCGGCAACGGAAGCGAGCGTCGAGAGAAAAGGATCGTTCGGGTTCATGGGAGGCATAGGGATTCTGGCAGCGGCTTTGGCGCGAAAGGTATAGCGAGAGCTCTTCAGGTTTCTCCTCCCGGATGAATTCAAAGATACAGAAGGATGATGAGAAGAAATAGAAGAAGAGCGTGGAAGCAGAGAATTCATGGATGCTTGTAAGCAAGACGCCATGGTCAAAGAGCTCTTCGGGACGAAAGCTCGCGAAATGGACTGGTTGGAGAAGGGAAACCAGAGGATTTAGCGATGCTTGGGAGGGGAGAGAAGAAATAATGGGTCTGGTTTTCGGGTTGACCCGAGTTCCCGTCTTGGTTACTCAGGCCCAGACACAGGCCCAGTTGCAATTGGCATAGAACTATGTAAAATTTAGGATTTATCTAAAAGTTTGAAATTTGAAAATTTGTGTACTTAAACTTGATAATTACTTAAAACTTTTTTTCAAACTAACATTTGTAATTTTTTTACCTTTTACCGATAACAAAATTTTCATCAACCGATGCTTTCTAGGACTTGTCGGTGATATAGGAAAGAAATATTTGAACATCATCATAATGTAAAAGATAAAGTAGGACGCAATTATCTCACTAGAATTCAGTATCTTAATCAATAACTTCATGACCACAGTTTTAAACAACAGCATATAGAGAGGATAGTACTCCGTAAAATATTATATGTCGCAATAATATTTATTTTTCGACCCTAGCAATAATATTTATTTTTCGACCCTAGCTCCGCCACTGGTCACCAGTATTCCTCTTCAATCAGATCTCACCTGTAAAACAAAAGTATTTGTAATACGGTTAAGTGAAGATGACATGATAACACAAAGAGAAATTATTGCTAGGACCTAGACACACTACGACCCTCTATACTCTGGTCTTTCTCATGGTTTTTCTGTTCATTTGGTGCTTGATCGAAGAGCAAACGATGTATGATAAAGCTTCTTGAGAGCAGCTAATTATTTAAACAAGCTTCAGGTTCTAGACTTACGGGTGAAATTGATCTTGATCTTGATCTTGATCGTGACCTGCAGCAAGAAAAATAATAAAACCTTTGTAAGTGTGGTAACGCAACAAAGCAATTTACCGACCATACTGTTGTGGGGAGCTTAAGTAATAGCCTAGAAAAGAACTAAACATAGATTCAGCAATGACAGCAACATAAAAAGGTTGGGGAATCAGTCGACTCGTAGTCCAAAATGTTGCGATCCAGTCCGAGAATCCATCTACATGATCCATCAAGTCCCTAAGATCCAATCCCAGCTCGCTGCAGTGAGCCAGATCTAGAAAACAAACAAGGCAATACAGTTGTAATCACCGTATATGATCTGGGACTGACCTCAGAATTCCAGATTCATCTCTTTACCATTCCAATATCAAATAAAATTTTCACACAATAGAGCTTCTAGCTGAGTTTTCTCCAAATTATAAAACAGAAAAAGCTAGATAAGGTAGGGTGGTCAGTATTAGATTTACTGTCGCTGGACAAAGTTGAGAAGTAAAGCTTATTTGAAGGAAAACATGTGGAAGAGAATGGCTCGAAGAGAAAGGACACAAGAGATCATTTCAGAAGAGAATGGCTTGGTATTGGTTTGAATGAGAATACTGCAACATGTCATCTGGCTAGAAATCACGGGGAGCGGCTCTCTCAAGAACTTGAAACGTTTTGAAAAAGGAAAGAAAAATTGGATTTGTAAGGAATGAAATGGAACTTTGGAGGATCCAATCAATAAAGTTACTTTCCCCCATACCAGAGTTTGTGTGACACAGAAAACATCAAAATAGGTTAATCACGTCATCAAGGACTGACTACAGGTCATCTGATTCATCGGAAGAAGATCAAGTGGCATTTGACTAGTGGCAAGTGATTCAGTCAGTGAGGAGCTCAACATGCAAAGAAAACTAGCATTTCATACATAGGAAGTTACAAAACTATGTAATAATCATCATACAGAAGTAACACGCATACCTTGAGACAGAGCTATACGGCGTTCGAGAACGAGAACGTGGGGAAACAGATCTAGCAGGTGTCACACTGCATTGCATTTTGAAGTCAGTCAATAATCATATAAAAAGGTGCAGTAGCAAAAATCCCTTTCATGTTTTAGTTTCATGGAAAAAAACAAAACTGACCTTCTGCTCCTGCTACTATAGCTATAGCTTCGACCACGGCTACGACTCCTGCTTCTAGCATAATAGGGGCTGCGACTCACACTCCTCGACTCATATTCTCTCACCTGAACAATAAAACTAGAGATGACTGCATATCCATCCATCTGTTGATTACCAAATTCAAAGTAGGCAACATCGCATACCCGTATATAAGCTCTAGAGAAAGCATTTCGAAACTCAGTATCATCAAGCTTCCTTATCTGCCAAAACAAAAATGAAAGGGAACATCAAAGAACCAACGTTGGCCACGAAGAAGATAAGTCCAGCGCTTGGAAACCAAAAAAAAAAAAAAACCAGTGCCATAATCTAAGGCATAAGGCTGGGAACATTTTTTACTGCAGAGATATACAACTTACCGCGTACTTCATATCATCATAGTTGCTATAATCTACAACCCCAGACATGCCTACCAAAATCAAAAAACACAAAATGTTAGATGTGAGTCTTGCAGTTTGGATCCCTGAATCATGAATCATGTCTATTCTCTCCTTCACAGAGATTCAACTACCAATACAACGAACAGAATGTCTACGTACCTCCACGGTCACGGAAAACTTCAGAAAAGCAGACATCTCCAGCTTTGCGCATGTGATCCTAATAACCATAAATAGCTAATAAACATCAATTCAGACAGAAGAAAAGAAAAAAAAAAAAACAGCATCCAGAAAGCGCTGTATAGTGTGACCCCTAACCTTAAGGTCCTGCCACGACGCAGACGGTGGCAATCCCGTCACAAGCACTGTATATTTACAAAATAAAAGGCAGCAAAAAATGAGTTTCCAAATGCAAAACTTTATAACGGCAATAAAGAAAAAAACACAATTGAGAAAAACTATACAAACCACGATAGTCGGACCGTCTCGAAGGCGCACGGCTCCCACTGTAGCTGCTGCTGTACCTATCCACTGATGATGAACCTCTACGACCACCATGTGCAATCTCAACCTAAAATATCACACACAAAGCTAACATCTTCATATATCACACAAGATCACAAAGATGTCGTCTTCATAAGTAATTGGAGAAAAGAAGTTGCGTTTACTAACCCGTAGTCGACAACCATCAAAATCATATCCGTCACGCCCATGAATTGCATCGTCTGCATCACGAGGATCTTCAAACTGCATCAATAAAAAGACTCTTTTTGCTCACTAAAATATGCGATTTTCATTTTTTTATCTTTTTAAATTCTACTAACAAGCGAGAATCATGAATACCTCGACAAAGGCATAACCAGGAGGTCTAGGTGGAATCTTCAAATCAATGTCCACAATTGGCCCATACTGCAACGGAGATATACATACATAAGCGACGCTCGAAATTTTCAAAAATATAGCTGAGAGCAGACAAATCCTAATGAATTCGAAGAGACTAAAGAGAAATTTTGCTATAAGATGAAGATCTTTAAACCTTGTAGAAGAGATCTTCAACCTCTCTCATGCGAATATCCCCAGGCAAATTCCCAACGTAGATCGTACGGCTCCATCGGCTACTCATCTGAAACCTCACAGATTTTACGAAAGTAATGTCAACGGAAAAAAAAAATAGAGAGCTGAGAATCCGACAGAGAGATTTTTAATCCCTAAAAGAAATATTTGATACTCACATTCGCTGCAAGAGAAAGTAGTCACGAACGAATACGACCGAGAAAGTGTTAGACTGTTCTAGAAAGAGGACAAGTAGTATCGTTCATTTTTCTTCGGAATCGAGTTTTTTACACGCAAGTGTTATCTGATCCTCTGCGGCCACGTGTAAAAATGATATCCTGCATCCAACTCCCTCAGCCGTTCGATCGAAGTTCTTTATAGAGATTTTTTTATCCTATGTGTGATACGGCGCCGTTTTCTATTATACAGTAAAAATTGGGTCTCACTATCTCGGGCTAATCGAATCAGGCCTGAACCAAGGTCGGGCTGGTCCAATTCGTTTCCTAGGTTTTGTAAAACACAGTCGTTTTGGTACAAAAGGGGGACTAGATCGGAACACTTGAGGATTTTTCTTCGAGAGAAACATTCTCTCGGCTCCATTGCCTCTCTCAAATCTCAATCACCGATAACCTCGCCGTCCAGACCATTTCACCATCACTCATATCACGTGACACTGTCTCCGATCGCTCTCGGTCCGTAAGTTCCTCTGGCTGTTTGTGTTTTAACTTAACCTTCTTTTTTTTCTATTGGATTTTTGTGCGATATCCTGTCCAATTCCGGTCGAGTCATCAAGTTTTGATTCTGTTTACGTGATTTTCTCTCCGATTTCAATTTTAGTTTGCTCAAATCAGCTTCGAGGTCGCGTCTTCATTTATCTGGCGTTCACTTGCAGGAAAGAAAGGCATTGTCAGTGTTGAGATTATTTTCAGCGGCATCGACCCTTCCCGTAAACTTTTCAAAGAACTTACCTTTCCTCGAACATGTTCAAGAAGTAAGAATCTCTGTCTATCTCTAGTTTCTTCCTGCTTTTTCTCGTCAACCATCTGATCTTGTGTTTTTCTTTTCTAAAAATTTATGAACTTTTGTCCTTTTTGTTGTTTATACTTTATACTAGTCAATTTAGGATGTGATGGGTCTCTTTAGTGTCCGATTTACAATAATTAGTTTCGAGAGATTTAGGCTTTGACTAGAATTCGATTAAGAGGCTTGGTTGTGATCACAGTTACATACCAGTCAATCAGTAATGTAATGAGTTCTACCGTACGTTGCCATTATGCCTACGAAGGTGTTATTTATGTTCACTATGTTTAACTTAGGTTTTGCTTGGAGGAGATTTCATCACAGAACCAAGTAAAGGCATCTGTTCAACGTAGGATTCGCCAGAGTATTCATGATGAGGTATGCATGTTGTTTTATTTTGTCTTTTATTCCGTGTTATGATTTTCGTGTAGTTTGTTGGATATAACGATGTTTGTGCAATGTTGCAGTACCCGGGACTTGAAACAGTGGTGGAGGATCTACTTCCTAAAAAGTCTCCTCTAATTGTAGTGAAATGGTTCGTAAACATAAGAAACTCATCTTTCAGCGCTGTGTTTTCTGAATTTTCTTTTTATCACTTCCTATATCTTAAAGTATTTCTGACTATCTCTCTCTCATGCAGCCCAAACCATTTGACCCTAGTTGTTGTCAACAGTGTCCCCCTCTTCTTCTGTATCCGTGACGGGCCATACATGCCAACACTTCGGCTTCTTCATCAATGTAACCTCACTCTTTCTTCGCACCATCCATGCTATATTGTGTCGTTATTACAGCTTCACCTCTTAGTTGTACTATGGTCCGCAGTAGAAATTACCTGGTTCAGTACTGGATATAGGGTGAATAGTATGTCTGACACTTGAGAAAGTTATTTGGAATTTTCCGGGGTTTTGGTTTCTGTAAGCTGTTGTTTCTTTTGCTTTAGCTGTTGGAATTAGGTCCATGTATGGTTGGTTAGCTATGAAACTTAATTTGGTATAGTGAGAAAGTTTTGGAACTGGCTGTTACCGGAAGAGTAAACTATGTTCTTACTGCGTTCCTGTAATTTTCACGTAGAAACCAATAGAAAGAAACTTGGATTTTTTTTATCCGTTAGCGGAGAATGTCAATTTGGTATATGAACGTTTAGAGTTTTGCAGACCCCAATATAATGAAGAGGTTTCAAGTTGATAGAGGTGCCATAAAGTTTGTTCTCTCTGGTGCAAACATAATGTGTCCTGGTCTTACATCCCCTGGAGGCGTCCTGGATGAAGAAGTCGAGGCTGAAAGGCCAGTGGTATGTACAAAGATACTCTTTATTTATTGGAGTGCTAATGTTTTTTGTTTCCGCTGATCTTAAACCATGAATCTGTATTTGTTTAGGCCATATATGCAGAAGGGAAGCAACATGCCTTAGCAATCGGCTTCACCAAAATGTCAGCCAAGGACATGTAAGTTGATTTTTTTCTTCTCATGGGATCCAGTTTCCTCTCTAAGTAGTGATTGAAATGTAGGAATCAATATTTGGTCTCTGTTCCAGTTTAGTATAGTAGTGATTTCTGAGCCTGTCCATGTGTAGTTACATATCTTATTTGTTTTTCCTTTTTGTCGGTTCACAGAAAGAGCATCAACAAAGGAATCGGAGTGGACACCATGCATTACCTCAACGACGGTCTCTGGAAGGTACGTATTCCCTCTTTCTCACTTCTCTACTAATGCCAAGCAGTCTCATAATTAGAGAGGATTTGTCATTTACTCGATTTTTGGAAGAACGCAACGCAAAAGTTTATAAAATTTTGTTTGCGTGTTTGTTTGAAATGTCTGCAGATGGAACGGCTAGATTGAAGACAGAGTCGAATTGTCATGTGAATCACTGTCGGGAGAGAGAGATTATAATCTCCTTTTATGTTGTCTAAACTTATGGAGAGCTTTCGTTCGGATCAAACCTTAGCTTTGATTTGATTTGTTTTCAAATATTTGATGTTTGTTTTACGAGGGAACATCAGCCTTAGCTAAGGTTAATACAGTTTATACTTTCTACCTAATTCAGTATTTTGCTACTTCCGTATAATCATTCAGTATGGCTTCTACACTTCTACTTAACGTATAACTAAAATTCTAGTTTTTGCAAAAAAAAAGTTCCTCCTTCTGTTTGAGTTTTTAATATCCCGATAAAGAGAAACAATAATCAATCACAGATTGTTATAAACAAGACCGAATGTTCAATTTTGGTCTGAAATAAATGTGAGTAAATTATCCAAACTGAAAATCCTAAACAAGCGGCTATTATATCATTTGTGGCCTAATAGTTTGTAATCACTAATTAGGTAACTGAAGAATACAAACGGTGACAAAAAAAAAAAAAAAAACTATTGACACATAATGTGCCTACTATAGTACAACGATTTGATGTACCAAAAGACAGCCACCTGCATGAGATTTGGTAACACCAAAAATTGGATGTAAGAATGTCCTCATCCTCTCACTGTTGGATAATTCCAATAACTTTTAGAGGAAGTTATCTTTAGTAGTAGCTAAAGGTACGTAGAATAGGAAATATCAAGAATGGAAAAGATGTGTTTTTCATTCCTAATAGAACAAGGAGTTGCTTGATTCTATAAATAGAGAGCTTGTGGAGAGTTGTTCCACAAGACATAAGAGAGAGATTTAGTTTTTGTGAAGTTTTCTAAATCTAATAAAGAAGAGCAGTTCTTTATACTTTTATGTTTGAGATTATCGACTTGAATTGGTATCAGAGCTTCAAGGAGGAAGCCTCGGACCTTGACAAGTTGGTGAACCAACAATGGCGGATGTGAATCAACCACAACCGCGAGCTAGGGAAGCTGGAATTCTCTCGACCCTATGCTCACATCGACAAACTACACAGTTTGATCAATGAGAATGAGAGTCATACTTCGAATTAATGAAGTATGGGAGACAATCGATCCGGGGTTAGCAGATCCGAAGAAGAACTATGCAGCAATAGCACTTCTCTTCCAATCGATCCCGGAGTCACTTATTCTTCAAGTGGGAGAACAAGAGACGTTGAAAGGAGTGTGGGAAGCCATCAAGTCTCGTCATCTCGGAGCAGATCGTGTGAGAGAAGCGAGATTACAAACTCTCATGTCTGAGTTTGATAGACTAAGCATGACAAGCACGGATTCAGTTGATGATTTCGCCGGAAAGATTTCAGGGTTAGCTTCAAAGGCAGCCTCACTCGGAGACGTCATAGAGGAGCCAAAACTTGTAAAGAAGTTCCTAAAGGGACTCCCGCGTAACAAGTATATTCAAATAGTTGCTTCACTTGAGCAAGTCCTGGACCTAAACAAGACAGGATTCGAATATATAGTCGGAAGACTAAAAGCTTATGAAGAACGAGTTGGGGAAGAATCGCAGGGAGAGGAACAGAACAAGTTGATGTGGTCTAGCAATGACCACAACAACCACCAAGAATAGAGTACCCGCGGTGGACATGGAGGTTCCAGAGGGAGATCGAGAGGTGGTGGCAGAGGCAGAGGTCGAGGTCGCACAAACCGGGGCTCAGGAGGAGAAAACAAAGACAATGCTCATAGTCGAAAAAGGGATATGAGCAAAGTAATGTGTTATAGGTGCGACAAGCCAGGGCACTAAGTATCAAACTGTCCAGATTTGCCGAAGAATCAAGAAGCAAATCTGAATGAGACTCAAGAACCCGAAGCCTTGTACATCCATGAGCTAGTGTTCTTAAACGAAGACAAAGTGTTTCCAGAAAAATATGATATCATCGAAGACAAAGAAAGCATATGGTACTTAGACAATGGCGCCAGTAATCACATGACGGGAAATAGAGTGTATTTCTCAACCTTAGATGAGAAGATCAAAGGAAAAGTCAAGTTCGGTGATGGGTCTAATCTCGAGATTATGGGGAAGGGCACCATTGTTTTCATAGGGAAGAATGGAGAGAGAAGAGCTCTGAAAGATATCTATTACATTCCTGATTTGAAACACAATATCATCATTCTTGGACAAACAACCGAGAATGGTTGTGAAGTTAATATGAAAGGTGACAAACTGAAGCTCATAGACCCGCACGGAAGACTACTCGTACAAGTACAGAGATCAGCGAACCGCCTCTACAAGACACGAATGGATATAAACTACCCCAAGTGCTTTCAGATTCAAACCAATGATATCACAAAAACTTGGCACACAAGACTTGGGCATATAAGTTTTGGCGTCATGGCGAATATGATGAGGAAGGCAATGGTGGTGGTAATGCCAGAAAAGCTACTTGAGACAGGAATATGCGAGGCATGTCTCTCGGGTAAACAAACAAGGACCCCGTTCCCGATCAAAACTACCTTCCGTGCAACACAAGCACTCAAGCTCATCCACGGTGATTTGTGTGGACCTATTTCTCCACCAACACCAGCCAACAACCGATATGTCTTTGTACTCATCGATGACTATTCACGGTTCATGTGGGCTCTGTTATTGAAAGAAAAGAGTGAGGCTTTCAATCGGTTCAAAGGATTTAAAAAAATCGTGGAAAAGCAAACAGGTTTCACGATCAAAACCCTTCGAAGCGATAGAGGAGGATAGTTTACCTCACTCGAATTCAACAGATTCTGTGAAGAGAATGGCATAACACGACATCTAACAGCACCATACACACTGCAGCAGAACGGCGTAGTAGAGAGGAGAAACCGGACATTGATGGAGATGACAAGAAGTGTTCTTAAAGCAATGAGAATACCGAACTTCTTGTGGGGAGAAGCTGTAAGACATTCGACATATATCATAAACCGAGTTCCCGCCAAGGCGCTAAAAGACAAGACCCCTTATGAGTGCTTCATGAATAAGAAACCTAGTGTCGCACACCTGCGAGTGTTTGGTTGCGTCGCACATACGAAAGTTACTGGACCTTATCTGAAGAAGCTAGATGAAAGATCAAAGAAAGTAATCAACCTTGGAACTGAGAAGGGCTCCAAAGCTTACAGACTTTACGATCCCATAGCAAAGAGGATAACGGTGAGCAGAGATGTAATTTTCGAAGAAAACAGAGCATGGGATTGGTCATCGTTAACCATAGAAACATATGGTGAACCTGGAATGGTCACACTACCGCGTTACGGTCCGATGGAAGCTGATGAAGAAGATGTACAAAACGATAAAAATCAAGTACATGAGCAACCTCACGAAGACCATAACGAAGAACAGGGGGAGAATATTGTTAATATAGAGAACCAAGAAGATGAACCTGAACCAATATTTACGAGATATGGTCGGAAAGTCAATCTTCCGTCATACCTAAGTGATTATGTCATGATTTGTGATATTGAGAGCGAAAGATTGTTGCTCACAATAGATGGAGAACCTGAAAACTACTCTGAAGCTGCAAGTCTGCAGGAATGGATCGATGCTATGATAGATGAGTTGGACTCTATCATACGCAATGGAACTTGGGAACTCGTAGACAAAACAGAGGGAGTTAAACCCATTGGATTAAAGTGGATCTACAAAGTAAAGAGAAACGCAGATGGCTCGGTGAATAAATACAAAGCTAGACTAGTCGCGAAGGGCTATGTTCAACAACAAGGTGTTGATTTCGAAGAAGTATTCGCACCTGTGGCTCGAATCGAAACAATACGACTGCTCATAGCCATTGCTGCAACACATGGTTGGGAAATTCACCACCTAGACGTCAAGACTGCTTTCTTGAATGGGGATCTACATGAGCTTGTCTATGTTAGTCAACCAGAAGGGTTCGAAAAGAAGGGAGAAGAAAAACGAGTGTATAAGCTACATAAGGCATTATACGTCCTGCGACAAGCTCCACGAGCTTGGAATATAAAACTGGATCATGCTCTAAAGGAGATGGGCTTTAAGAGATGCCAGAAAGAGACGTCAGTATATCTCAAACAATCAGAGAAGGAGCAGTTGATCGTGGCGATATATGTGGATGATTTATTTGTAACAGGAACCTCACGAAGAATGATTGATCAATTTAAAACTGATATGTCAAGACGATTTGACATGTCGGACTTGGGAAAACTAAGATATTACCTTGGAATAGAGGTACACCAAGGAGAAGACGGAATCTTGATCAAGCAAGGAGGCTATGCTCAAGGGATCCTTATCGATAACAAGATGGACTCGTGCAACGCAACACAAGTGCCAATGGATTCGAGTATGAAGTTATCAAAAGCAGAGAATGAAACAGAGATCAATGCAACACAGTATAGGCGAACAATAGGGTGTCTAAGATACTTATTGCATACAAGGCCTGATCTTGCTTTCACCGTGGGTGTTCTGAGTCGTTACATGCAAAGTCCAAGGGAGTCACATGGTCAAGCTACCAAGCACATTCTGCGATACATCAAGGGAACTACAAGTATGGGCTTGTTTTTCAAGAAAGAAGGTGTGAAGAAGATCGTAGGGTACAGTGATAGCAGCCACAACATCGATGTGGATGATGGGAAAAGTACTTCAGGACATGTATTCTATTACGGATCATCACCAATCAGCTGGACATCACAGAAGCAGCCAACAGTGGCGTTATCTTCTTGTGAAGCAGAATTCATGGCGGCTACAGAAGCAGCAAAGCAGGCGATATGGCTTAAAGAGTTGTTAAACGAGATTCAAAACGCTGACAGGAAGGTCGTGTTGAGGATAGACAACAAATCAGCTATAGCGCTCACCAAGAATCCTGTCTTTCACGGAAGAAGCAAACACATACTCAAGAATTACCATTTCATTCGAGAATGTGTGGAGAATGAACAGATCGAAGTAGAGCATGTCCCCGAGACATAACAGAAGGCTGTCATTCTCACCAAACCGTTAGCAAGGATTAAGTTCAAGGATATGAAGAGCTTAATTGGAGTACAAGAGATCGAGATTCTTCCTAAAATTCAAGTTGGAATTAAGGGGGAGAATGTTGGATAATTCCAGTAACTTCTAGAGGAAGTTATCTTTAGTAGTAGTTAAAGATACATAGAATAGGAAATATCAAGAATGTAAAAGATGTGTTTTCTATTCCTAATAGAACAAGGAGTTGCTTGATTCTATAAATAGAGAGCTTGTGGAGAGTTGTTCCACAAAACATAAGAAAGAGATTTAGTTTTTGTGAAATTTTATAAATCTAATAAAGAAAAGCAGTTCTTTATACTTTTGTGTTTGAAATTATCGACTTGAACTTACAACTTCTGCGAAATGTAAATGACGACATTTTCTCACATTATTAACCTACTACACACATCTTTTTCCTTATTTTCCCCATTTCTATATTGCCAACTTCCGCTTATCTACTATTTTCGCAGAAATTTTTATATTATTTTTTATTAATTTAACCGGAAATATTTGCAATTGGGCAGCTTATGGTGTCATTCACCATATTATCAAGCAGCCTGGTCCATGTTTAAGATTCGGATGATTGAATACACATAAAGTCATAAACAATACTATAAAAAAGCTTCTTTTTTATTTAGGATAGTGTATGTCATTTTCAGTCATTATGAAAACAATTGACACACTCGTTATATGTTATGATTCTCTTGTCAAACAAATGTCAACAACAAACCGCTATATGTTACGATAGTTTGCCATGCGAAAATCGTGGTCTAAATGCATAAATTTTTGCAGTTATCTCCAACGATATTATTACATTATTATGCATTTACATATATATTCTCTCATCTATCAAATTTTGTCCCAAACTAAACACAATGATCAGCTTAATTCCAAAATTTGGCACTCATGTTTAGTTAGTCCCTCACCTTTTAGGGGTTTAGGCCTTACTTCAATCCCATCAATTGCAATCCCACCCTTCAGTTGATAGCCTTTAACTTCGGTTAGACTCATAACAACCTCCTCATCACCTTCTTGTCCCGTCTCGAACTCTCCGAGCTCTATCTCCATCCACCCGTCGTCTCGCACCTCCGGCTCACTCCGACGAGTTCCGACAACCTCGTCCTTCTCCGCCATCCTCTGTTTTCTCTGTTCGTAAAACAGCCGCTCCATCTGTTGTTTCTTGCCATCCAAGCGACTTAGATAAGCTGTATTTGTTTTCTTTTCGCCATTCCCCACTTTTATCGAAGTCTCGGCCGGAACAAGGTCTAGTCCATATGCGCGCGCCGTCACTTTCATAATCAGATAAGCTCCGTAATTTGTGTTGGGCGATAAAACTCCGGTTTGGATTTTACCGTTGATCTCTAACCAGTCCGTCATTATAAGTTGGACCCCTTCCGAGAATCTATGAATTCGAAATTAAATAATAAGATCACTTGTTTACTTTAGTTGTTTATATTATTTGAAAAATGACCTTGAATCTGATCGATGGCCCCAAGACCAGTAATGTCGTTGCTCGCTCCAAGTTATGGAAAGATCTCTTGCCGATATAACATAAGCTATTTTCCCGGAAAACTTTTCGATCTTGAAAATCTGATATTGAAACCCAAAGTTCTTATTTTTTTTTGGTAGAAACCCAAGAAAGTTATAAGATACTGAAGGAGGAAAAAGATGGAACCTTTCGGCCGTTATCGATGAGAATTGATTCACAGAGACATCGATAGAGCTCCTTTTTGGAGGAGAAACTCTCATGAGCCGATCCAGAGATGACGCGGCTGTAACCGGACGGTAGAAACTTCTCCCAGACGAAATCAGAGTCTCCGGCGATCCGGAAAACCGACGAGACAGCCGCCGACGAGAATGTGTCGGCCGGAGTTGTGAAAGAGAGGATATTGGCCACGCATGCTTCCGGTAACTTCATCCTTAGAATCGAAGACAGAGGATAATTGGTCCTCGAGGCTCAAGCTCTGTTTCTGAGGTGATGTGTGTGTGTGTGGCTTTTTACAGACGGAAACGGTGACCGATGATGAGTCATATATAGTATACTTGGCGTCTCAGACTCTTCTTAGTAGTGTCCATTTTCGACCAAGGGCCCATTTCCTCAAAAATTATTTTATCCATTATTATATTTTTGCTTCTTGCAAGACATTAGGTTTGGTGGTTTATTTGGTCAAGAAAGGAGGTATTTCTTTAATTGAAAAAAAAGGAAAAAAAAAACAAAAGTTTGTACTTTTTGGTTAGTATTATATCCGTTCAAAAAATATCACCTCTCTAATTCTTGTCCAATGAAATATATTTTCACCTGAATGTTTGTTTGTTCTCTGACAAGATAGTACTGTATGTGTTCTGTATTTAGGTTTATATCATTTTTAGGTTTTCGGTTTATACCACTCTGTTGGAAAAAAATATACAGTATGTAGACCTAAACGAAGAATGGGTGCAATTGGGATTAACAATAACCAAATATGAATTCTAGTTACAACTTGGAAAGCTCTGTTAGTATATTAGCAATTTTCCAAACAAAAACACATCTATCAAAGGTATATGGTCAGCATAAGCCAAGAACACAAACCAGGCAAATCTTAAACAATGAATAAGAATTGGGATCTATTCTCTACAAAGCATTTGCAAACATTTCTACTATTAGTGCTACTTCTCCAATCAATGCCTGGGGAAAGAACACAAAACCAGGCTTATCTCGCAGCACACCAGAAGAAGGTAAGATAAGAAAACGAGAAACATGCGAATCTCTCACCATATATTATGATTTCTTTCAAGACATATAAGTGGCTTCAAGTGGTCACTGAACCTTTGCTTGGTCTTTTTCCTTCCATTGCGTCTTTCTTTTTCTTGCATGTTGTGCATAAGAAGGGACCTTCCCATCGCTTAGATGCTGAGGAGATGATAGCACCCTCGTTGCCTGATACATCTTCAGCTGGAGATTGGTCTATTTGGCACACCGCACATTTTAAGAGCCCGGTGTCCGTATTCGAAGGAAGATCCTTTCCCAATCTGCATTTCAAACAAGGAATGATAATCACTATCTGAAGTTCTCAGTTAATCCCTAATACATGGATCAGATTTTGGCTAAATCAATTCCTACAACTAGGTTACCTATCTGCAAGCACAGCAGAACCTTCTTCAAACAATTCTTCTACAACTCCAACAGAAGAAAGCTTGTTCCCGTTTTTGTTGTTGGTATCCGTATGTTTTTTCCTAGAAAGAAATGAGGTGAATGTGTTCTGCTTCTTTTTCGGCGTTTGAGCCAAGGCAAGATGATCAGATGGAACTATGTCAACAACTACGCACGTGGTATCATCCTTCAATCCTTTTGTTCGCAATGCTTCCTGAGACAACATATGGTTCAGAGAATAAGAGGAACCTAGATCGGAAGATGTACACTGCACACAATTTAGTCAATGGGTCGATGACCAAACCTTAACAACAAGTTTAGCAGCAAGCTCGGCAGATAAACCACGACAAGCTTTGGCAGCCATATCAGAAGACAGTATATCCCATATACCATCTGAAGCTATAATGAGTCTCCCTCCAGCATCTGAAAGCTGAATGTACAGATGAAAAATAATATAAACCTTTTGTTCACTGTCTAAAATAAACATTGATGAAAAATGCACCAAGGGGAAGGGGACTTACTTTCACTTGCTTAACGTGTGGTATTGGGACAATAAACTCTCCCACATCAGTATCGCCAATGGACCTCGAAAGACACAGACCACCAGGCCAGCAACGAAGTGGACCGACCTATTGCATCATCAGATTGAAAGCACATTAATATCATGGCAAATCCAAAAACCCCTCTCTCATTACAAACCCACCACAGCTAAAACACAATGTAGCAGTAACCGAAATTTACTGAACATGACCATACCTCATTGCCACCAAAAACATTGAGCCTTCCGACCTCACCTCCACTGGCAGTTATGCGTTCTCTCTCTTCAACATTCTCTTCTAGCCTGTGATCGACGGTCAGTAGAGAAACCACACCGCCTTGGGTGTCTAATATGCAGCGTGAGTCACCAACAGAAGCGACAGTGATAGTCCAACCATCAATTAGAACAAAAGTCACCGTTGTTCCAGAAGTTTCCCCTGTAAGCACAACAGATCTTTACAGTTTAGCATGCTTGAAAAAAGGAAAGAATATGAAAGTAAAGGCCTTTAAAGAATGAGCTGACCTTTCTGCTGAAATTCTATGTCGGTTTTCACAAAGCCTGCAACTAGAGCCCTAGTAAGAGCTTGAAGCCACTCTTCCCTGCTTGCACCTTGAGGAATTGCACTCACCACATTGTCCAGAAGATGTTCCTTAGTATATATGGCAGCTGAGTTACCATTGTGTCCATCAAATATCTTCAGACAAAACCAAAAAACAAAAACGTATTAATGGAATTGGGAGCTTTGAGTTTGAGAACGCTATGCCACGCGAATGCCCTTACAAAAGAAATCTCAAGAGAATGGATTTACCCCGAAAACTGAAAACGCCGACGAGGGATCACCAGGTACCCTCTCACAATCAGTTTTGATCAGAAAGTAGTCTTCTCCTTTCTTAGCGAGAGCAGCTTGACCATACTTGACTAAAGGTTTCTCTACTTTCTCGCTCCTAAGCTCCCTACCAATCAGGGTTGCAAGAGGAACAAGCGGATGTTTCGTCCTCGATCCTTTTGACGGGCTCATTTTAGCCTAAGTCTTCAGCATTGGCTGGAAAAAAAAAACCTTGTTCATCACAGAAAAAAATGTTTTAGTTGAAGTAATTATTTAGATGCATGCCCACTGAGTCCAATTCTAATAAGAACAACTTAAGGAGCCTCATATCAATCTATTTCCCCCCAAAAAAAAAAACGAGAGCAAAATGGTAAACCTACTTTATTAGCGCAAAGTTTCCAATTATAATCCAAAAATTTGAATGGTGGTGTCTCAAGTGTTTTCAGGCTTGATGTGCTGTCCGATCGAAAATCAACGCGCAGAACTACTCATACGTAAATTCATTTTGGTGAGTGGAACCAAAAATAGAGAAGATTTAGAGGAAAACCCTAATCTACGGAATTTTGAAATCTCCAGCATTTGGCTGTCTTTAGAGATGCAGAAAGGTATAGTAAAAAGTAGAATCGAATAAAGCAATAGCAAAACGAGTAAAAGAACACTATATTGAGGCTTCGCCAGTCAGAACTCCTGATACTCACCAAAGAGAAATCTCAGTAACAAACACAATAGATCTAGCAGAGAAGCTGGCTCATAGATAATGCTGAGTTCCTCGCCGCTACACCGGGGAAAATCTCCGAGCCGTCGTCGGCAATCGAGTGGAAATTTATCAAACTGCGTGGGGAAAAAAATGTTTATAAAAAAGAAGAGAGACGGAAGTTGCAGGCGAGAGTTTGTGATTTCTTCTCAGATTGGGGAAGAAAAAAGCTACGCGGGTGTTAGAGACAGCTAATTTTATTTTAAAAGACGGAAATACCCCTAAAAAGTGCAATTCTTCTGTAGGTGAAATAGTCCTCACATTTTTCAATTTTTGTTTGACTTTTTTACTTGTAGCAGTTTTACATCCCATCCATCGAGTCAAACTGCCACCCAAAAAGAATTCGGTTCTGATTAAACTAGCTTAACAAATACTATTTTTTTTTTTTTTAAATTGCTACATTTACAAATCATTTGCGAAAATTATGTAGATTTGAGATAAGATATTTGGGATATTTAGGTCAACTTTTTGAGCCAGCTACAACTTTTATCATAATTCATAAATATAAAAGTGGCGGTGAATAGAAGATACATTTGTGTCAAGAAGTAACATACAATATATCAACAATCAGTTACAAGACAAGAAACAAGAAAACCATAGAATGAACAAAGTTTTGTTGAATGTCCACTCTTTAAAGTTGCCACCCAAATACATATCCAAGTATATTCAACCTATATGGTTCATACGTATTTCTACTCTTCCTATACGGCGTGTATATATGTGACCACATATGAATGTCCCCGCCAAAACCAAACGACCAAAATGTTTATAATTCCTTCATTTGATGAATATTATTACTTGGGGTTTTGTCTCTTCTTCACAACTACAGTGTTATGCCTTGAGGAAGTTTGTCCTGGTGAGGTAGTAGCCCCAAGCGATAATCTCCTCGAAGGCGCCGGAATTAGCGAAGGTATCATACTCCTGGTCATCAACACATTAGCACCCAAACAAAACGAAAATAAAACAATCCAGTCGTAGAATGAAAAAGATTTTTTTTTAAAAACTCACTTGGTCTCAGCAACTCTAGTGGTTTTTGTTTGAATCTTCTTTAGCTTAGTGGAAGAGCCATTAGAGGCGGCTCTAGGCATATTCACTTGAACATTCAACTGCCACATCAAGTTACTCTCAGAGCAATCGCTTGTGGCGGTTTCGTCGGACTCGTTCGCTTCTTCTTCGAACGGAATCTTCCTCACCTCAAATCCTTTATCTACAGTATTGCACTTGTTATTTCCTACATGACTTCGTGATGATTCACGTTTCAAGCTAGACGACCGCTTATCGAGCTGCGTTTGCGATCTGCTTTCAGGTTTGTTATTACGTGTGATTTCGTCCGCGTGTTTATCAACCCATTCACTATCTGACATAAACTCCATCTCCTCCTCTTTCCCATCTATCGACGGGCTTTTCCATGAAGGTGAACCAACTAGTCCTTGTAAGTCAACGCTGGATGCAGAGTCGCTTCGACCCTGCAAGCAATTTCACTGTACGCTATGAAGTAACTGCAACAAATGTATCTGCGAGTTTGATTTGTGTGATTGGTGCGTGAGTTTTCTTGTTCCCTTTTACCTCAATGCTGTTGACATCATCAATCTGTGATGGCTTATGTTTGGTTTGGAACTGTCTTGTGTTTGCTGATTTAGAGAATGGAGAAGAAACTCCAAGCGACTTCTTTCTGAGGAGTTTATCAGGTGTAAGCGGTCTTGGGAGCTGCGTTTGATCTGCCTCGCTCTCCTTTCTCGCCAGCGCAAGTTTCAAACTAGCAATCTGAAAGCAGATAACAAAGATAACTGATTTGGATAATGTACTTTGAGAAAGAAAAAAAACATATAATTTATGTTGTGTACTCAGAGAATGAAGAACAAAATAATGTGACAATGTACTGGAGAAAATAACCTGTTCTTTGAGTTCCTTAACCTCAGAAGTGTCTTTATTGACACGAGCAGCACCGAGTTCAACAGTGGCCACCCTCTCTGCAAATTTCAGGGTGCTAAGTGTTTCTCCCAGAGTATCAAGTTCAGGGCTAATGTGAATAAACATGAGCGTTTTCGCTTGTCCTCCTGCACAGAAAAATATTCATTGTTTTAACTTGTAAAATAAGGAATAAATGGAAAAAAAAAAATGCAGAATCATATGTTATACTTCAAACGGAAACCGTTCAAAAAGATGAAGTTGCATAATTGCTATCGGCGACTAGATTCAGATGGAACTACTAGTCCTATTACTTGAGTATTACTGATTACCTAACGCGTCCTGCAGCAGTTGGGTGAGTTTGCTGTTGCGATAAGGGATGTGGTTGTTTTTCTGTGAGAGAGACGCAATCACGTCACCAAGAGCAGAGAGAGACTTGTTGATGTGTTGTGCCTCTTTCAACCTATCACCAGTGACCTCAGACTTGTCGATCCTTTCGCTTCCAGCAAGATCAACTAAATGCATTGAACCCCTTAGAGTGGCTCCTGATGTCAGATCTTTTCCTTGAACGTGTACTGTGAGGCAACTGCGTGTATAAAGTATATAACATGTAAGAGGTTACTAACAGCTATTAACGTTTTCTGGAATATCATTGGAATTACAAGTTTGATGAGCATATAATCATCCTGACATGAAATAATCTTGATCTCTCTTACACTATATGTTTCTCATTTCTCTTTTATTTTTCTTCTCATGGCAAAATAAGAAATTCAATACACCCAATTTCTTCAAGTCCAAATTCTTTTCATTTTCACACAATGTCAACAAAAGTATGTTTGGTTAATAAAGCTTTCATTTTAATACAAACAGGAAAAAAAGGGAACCTGTGGGAGCGACTGCTACGGTCATTCATGGCTGTGGCACTGACCGCACGGTTCTTTTGACCAAGATTCATCAAATAAATGACGTCCGCAGTTGTGGAGACTGGAACCAATGTAGCCTCTGGAACGTTGATTCCATCTTGTGAACTGTTTCGAATCTCTAATGTATTTACAAGTCAAGGAAAGTAGACAGAATGATCATGCAAGAAGCATTAGGCATATTCTAAAGAACCCAAAACAGGAGAAAAACTGCAGAGTTTTGGCTAATAGAAAAGGATATCGGCTGGTTTGGCCGTTAGTGGCAAGGAGATCTCGGACTTGCTCGTTGTAGATTTCAAGCATCTGAACTGAAATTTTATATGAAAACGTTTCTTTTCTCACACTTGACAGATGAAACAGATCACTCAGTGCTCTGTAGTTTACTCCTAAGCTCTCTTCCGTCAGTTCATTAGGTCCCATCTGATTAATTTTCATAAGTAAATTACAAATGAGGATACCATTGTTACCATATGAAAATATGGAAAGTCATTGCAAATTAAGCTGAATACTTAGAGAAATTTACCATGGTGAAAGTTTTTCCGGATCCTGTTTGGCCGTAAGCAAATATGCAAACATTATAACCGTCAAGAACAGACCGGATCAGAGGTTGAGTGTCTGCAAACACCGCCTCTACAAATTGAAAGTTGTAAGACGTTAATTTTCTATGAGAGAAGGCATAAATAACGAAAATCCAGTAAGTAGCACGTAGATATACATGGAAAATGGAAGGAAGGATAAAGAAAGGAGGAGAGAATTACCTTGAGATGCTGAAGGGCCAAACACTTTGTTGAAGGTGAATGACTTTCGACCTTCTTTTCCATACTTTGAAGGTGTTGCAATTGATATAGTTGACTCTTCTACTTGATCCACTGTAGTTAAGACACTTGTTTGCCCAGGCAAGAACGGTCTCACTCGACAATAAACCCTTATGCTCCCTGTTGTAATATACGTTAGTCTTGATATTGCATATCCTAGTAACTGAAATCTATCAGTCAACTCTTTAAAACCTTCAGAATTTGTATCTGAGTCATTTAAGCAATCTCATCTCAATACAATTTGTTAAGGTAGTTGAATTTACACTTATTTGTTGGCTTGGTGGTTGTAGCATTATGCACTGTTGTATATGACACTGTATCGTTAACTACCATATATTTTACCTTTGAGGTCTTGGACTTGATTGTAAAGTTTCCGGTTTTCTTCAAGAACTCTTTGGTACCCTGTAGCTGCATAAGCAAGCCCATGCAAATGCTCGCCTAACCCAAGAAACACGAAATAACAGTTAGTTTCTTCAATAAAAATGGTGAAATTACTACGGATTTTACTGGAACAGCTATCAATTAGACAGTGGTTTCGATCACAGTTGAATTAAAACAGATACTATACTCATCTCTGGTAACGTGAGACTCTCTAGCTACAAGTCTAAATTTTATTCTAGGAAAGATTCTCACCTAAGCTTGTAAACTCTTGCTGGTATTTCAGCTGCAAGAGACTGAGACCCGCTTGTATAGCCTTTAGATCGTGTCTCAGTTCCTGAAATTTTAGATTTTTGTATTCCACCTTAGTAATCACTGAATACAAAGTCTTGAAAAGAAACAGGATGCTATATACATCTTTGTATGGTCAGTCGAGTACCTCAGTATGAGTTTGCTGTCTGTCGATTATCATTTGTTGCTTCTCAGTCTTGTCTTTTGAAATTACATAGAAGTCACTGTCTTGGATTTTCGATTCTTCGACATTATGATCCTGTGAAGCTTCCATGTTGTTGTTTACCATCTTTGTCGCATTTTCTTCTCCGTACTGAGAAAACATGTAATGCATAAACCAGTTGTACATATAATACACTGATAGATCCAAATATCCATAAAGAGTACTATGCCTAAATGGATAACAAGGTCACCACTTTCAAGTTTTCTGCAATTACAAAAGACAGTGTACTCTCAACATACCGAGGCATCACTTAGCATCTCCTCGTTGCCTGAAATAGTTCTCTCAAGGTCAAGCTTATCTTTGTTCCCAGCGCTCATCTGAAGCTAAATAATTGCATATTCAAGATGATAAGTCTAAAGAAGGTGTAAGAGAAAACTGTTCTTGATACAGGTTAGATAACTAAAATTGCTTTACCAATTCGTTCTGTGTAGCCAATCTACGTTCATATTCTACCATGACAGTTTTGAGCATATCTTCCACAATCTGGAAGTAAACAAGAGAAGTGTGAGCTGTGAGCATTTCAAAAGAATATTTATCATTTGGTAAATTTTCAGTTAGTTAAGATAAAAAAAAATTAATAGAAATTAAGGTAGTTAATGCTTACACCGGGAATTTCTTCTTGCCTCTTATCAGTGAAAACCGCACGGACAATGGCATCTATTGAAGTGGCAGTTACCTGTAAAAACTAAAATGTAAGTTGAGATTTCTAATTTTAAACAGTTTTAGGGATTGTATTAGGAGTTGTGTATCAGCTCACTAACTCCATTTTTGGTATTAGAATCAGATTGATCAAAGAAAGGTTGTTCGCTGGATTGAGCGTTAGAAGGGCTACTTGTGATCGCATCCACGGGTGCTTCTGAGTCTTTGCGTTTGTATTGTTTTGCGAACCCGAACGTGGTTGGTTTCGAATTCACAATGTATCTCCATGAACCGCTTCCACCGCTCTGCTTCCACTCGCGATATGACTTGAGAGCCAAAACACACTCCACAATTCTTGCGGATTTACCTCCCTGTGGGAACACATAATGTAAATTACAGCTAAATTGCTAATCGTTAAGAAATTCAAATGCTACTCCCAAATTATGGAACGAGATTGCTAGAATCACGTGGAAAGAAAAAAAACTGTTTTTTAGCTATAGCTCCTATCATTTCACTTTCTTTTCCAACACTGATGGTCACCATGACCCCACCACGGCTGTGTCTGCAATTAATTGTACAAAATGATAAAAAAAAAAAGTTGCTTTGTCTAGGTAGCCCCTCCGAGAAGGTAGGTCAATCTGCCTCCAAATAACTATGATGACAATTGATTTTTACTTATCTATACTAACATCAAGTCTACTTTTGTAGCGACACCATTACTAGGCATCATCTGTCAAACTAGTTACCATTATCCTCCGTGATGGGTTTCATCTAGTAAGCGCAATTCGTAAGATAAAATAGTCTTGTGTTCTGATTAAGCTGTGCATAAGCATCTTATATATAGTGAGTTGTTCCAATACCTTCTCAAAATCGGAGACTTCGAATGTGGGAATACCCATTTCCTCCACAACCACAAGAAAGTTTCGAAGGTTCTCAAAGTACTGAAATGCAGAGAGAGCCGCACCGTCTTGATTAACAAGAGGATCATTTGGAGCTTCAACGACCTGTAAGTTTTGAAGCAACAGATTAAAGAGTGAGATCGTGAAGACAGATGTTTCTAATTGCAAAAACATAGACATTAAAATATTAATTTATGATTCTCCTAAAAGCACTACACAAAATGGCACTAATCATGCTTGCACAACTTTATCTAAGCAGGCCTAAAGGTTTCAAAAAGTCTTACATTTATAATCCATAAGAATATTATCCAATAAAGAATGATTAATCTTAAAAAGATAACATATGCTAATACGTGAGACATACTTTTGGTACAGCTCCAGGTTTAACTCTGTTGAGGACATTGCAGAGCAAAATTCCACTTCTCAATGCAATTCTGAAATCTTCTTCTGAAGGATCTGCTGGCAAATCTCTTCCTCCAACTACACCGAGTGTGTTTCTTAGCCACCTTGCTGCTCCATACCTTTTCAAGTCTGAAGGATCTGCTGGAAAATCTCTTCCTCCAGCTACACCAATTGAATTTTTTTGTTCTCATAAAGATGTTTATTATGTGAATATAAAATGTAGAAGGACACTAAAGGTTTCTGACAGAATGATCGATAATTAAGCATTTATATGTTTCATGATGATCTAGGAAAAATAAGAAACGTTAATATCTAATTCGATTAAGTATGAAGCTTATGATAGTATCATACTTCCCTTTTAGGAATCTATGCTCGAGAGTGACCGAGCTAAAATCATAGCGAACAAACAAAAAGAAGAATCGTAACAACAAATTTTGGTCAAACGAGAAGCTCAAGTAGTATTTGGATCCTAAATTTCTGTAATCGGTCCCAGATTCTCTGATTCGATTATCAATTACGAACCCTAATTTCAGGAATTCGCATTTTTAGAAAATTCCGAATCAAAATGAACCAAAAAGGAAAGGGAAAACGAAAGGACAGAGGAATTGACGAACGTACAAGTTTCATCGGCATGTTTCGAGCTCGAATCCACACCAACGCTAACTCGAAGGTTTTGTTGTTTCAGAAAATCCTCCAGAATCGACGCCAAACAGAGTCGCGAATCTTGTTGCTCCGTCGCCATTGAAAGAGGACAATAAACGATCAATGCTTTTAGCTTGATCAACAAGATACCCGGAAAATTGCAAATTCAACTCCCAAATTTCGACTCGAGAATCTCACAACCAAGAATTTGAATTCTGCGCTTGAAACGGATTATTTTTCCAAAATCGAACAATAGAAAAAAATCAAGGCTGTGTATATACAAAGATATTCACTTATGTGTGGAACATTGCTCAGATTTATAAGGGAACATAAAGAAAGTGAGAGAAAGTGAAAAGAAATATTTGACCCTCTCCTCTCTTTTTTTTTCGGTTTTGTGAAAATAAAATAACAAAAAAGGTGAAGAAGAAGAAGAAGAGCGAGGCATGAACCCAGATGCTCCGAGTCTCCTGGGTTTCTATAGATGGACAATTTCAATATTAAAAAAAAAAAACAATTTTAAATTTTTATTTATTGTTAATAACTGCTTTATCTTTTATTTGGTTTAAATGTTAATATTTACACCATTTTCTGAGTTTTACATGTTGCAAGCAACTTATTACAACTGATTTTAGAACAGGAACAAAGAAAAATTATAGAGAAGGAACAACATATTGAAAGTACAATTTAAGTAGAGAGGGAGACCTTACACTGACCGCCGGGAATGAGAGTAGCCTATCATGGAAGTGGCGATCAACAACATGGAACAAAGAAGAAGCTGAAGAGGATGAGGTGGCGAAGATTCTGGCATTACGCTCCTTCCATAACAGGTAAATGATTGCTTGAAAGAAGAGCCTGATCAAGGTGCCACGAGGGGAATTTGCCGGAAGCTGCAGTGAACCAATCCAAGAGATAATGTCTTGTAAATTTTGCGACGGATTAGGAAAACCAGTTGAGAAATGAGACCAAACTTCAGAGGAGAAAGGACATTCAAAAAAGAGGTGGTCATTTGTTTCAATGCCTGTTGAGTAAAGCACACATTCTGCCGGCACGTTCATCCCCCATCTTCGAAGCCGATCTTTTGTAGAAAGCCTTGATATCATGACTAACCATATTGTGAAAGACCACCTCGGGACCCCTTCTTTAAACCAAACAACGTCATGTCAGAAGACAATAAGAGATGCAGAAAAGTGGTTTTAAATTTTTAACAAGGACCCCTTATGAATTCGTACATGATGTATATTACGAATTCATAAGGTGGTGAAAAGATATTTAGCTAAAGAGTTTATATTCCGTATTTTCAATCATCAACCAGGTTCTATAATGGTAATAATAAATTGGTATTCTCCAAACATGTTTTAACAAAATCTAGTAGTAATAAACTCTAAATAAGATATAGAAACTATAAAGAGAGACTTAATTATAAATTTGAACTATGTATTTAGTCGATATACTAGAGCATTTTGTAAGAATGTTACCTACAGCTACTTTGTATAACTTGGTTTTTTGGGTGCACATAGGCTATACTTCGTAGAACTTTTTTCCCTATAGAGGTGTTTTAAAGGTAATAAACATGATAACATGATTAGATTCATTTTATAACCAGAAATAATTAAAAGGTCAGCATGAAAATTATTTATAATTTCTGCAAAGAACTAAGACATAATTCGTTCAGCAAGAAATAAGATATTTGGAAATACAAACAAAAAAAAGTTTTGCTGATGATGATCGTAACCACATCTTTGAAAATGACTCTTTTAATTAACCATTTCATTGAAAGTTATATATTTAAATTTTCTTGTAAACTCTCTTTTTTTATCTGTCAATAGTATTCTATTTTCTCTATATTGAACATGATACCAACTCATTCAGAAAATGCGTGAGCATATAATTATTTTAAATATGTTGTGAGTCATATATATATACACATAAAGATATTGGAAAAACATACACGTATTACCACGAAGTTATATATATGTTGCTATCGTTTAATAATACTTGGAAAATTAGTTTGGATTAGTTTAGCACCAGTTGGAAATCTTATGTAAATGGTATTAGATAAAAAAAAAAATTCAGAAGCATGTTGGAATTACGTTTTCAGTTTATGATAAGCATATAAGCTGATATTATGAATCTTACATCTTTTCAAGAATATCTCTTCATAAAAAAGAACCTAGATATTTTACTCATTAATTGTACATACTACTACATCGTTGAAGAATATCTCCCCACTAGTGATTAATCATGACAGTTTACGAGTTTAGAAGTTATGTAAACTATGCTTATACAATTAATATTGAGCTAGGTTAGGGAATATCGACACTGTTATTGATAATAAAATGCGTGAGCTGCTCCAAATGTCAAACCCAAATATTGAATAGTTTAAGCACGAAACGTTTGCGTCTTATCAAACAAATACCGCGTAACGTTAATGTATCTTATAATAATCGAAAAGATAAGGTAGACCTTTGAAAACGAAGAAAACTGAATAAAATTTAGAAAAAAAATTTCGTATGAGACTCAATAAGGTCTTTGTAATCGGAATCAGTATTTGGCTGCTATAATACCGATACTTAATTTCCGAAGAATTATATTATTTTTTTGGTAGTAATGGTATCCATTTCTTTTTGCTCTAGGGATTGAGAATGATTCTCAAAAGTTACCATTGCCCATTAGGCCATTACTAATATGATAAAAATAAAAGAGTTGACGTTGACCGGATGAAATCCGTATAAATAGAGGTTATACGTATCATATAATGTAGCAGAACCTCATTTTGTGCTTTTTAGTTTTATTAAGTGATAATAAACATAAAAGTTTAATAATATGGAGATGCACAAACTCATGAAACTTATGCCTCACGTGTTACTATTGGTACTAGCGATTCATGCGCACACCTCTGTCTCATCCGTCCATCTCAAACCCAATTCCATCACAGGAACTGACATAGAATTCCCACGGCGGGAGCTTCGAAGTGGTGGCGGTGGAGGAGGTCGTGGTGGTGGAGGCAGCAGCAGCGGTAGAGGCGGCAGCAGCGGTCGAAGCGGTAGTGGTAGCGGTGGCAGCGGGGGAAAGGGTAGTGGCGGTGGTAGCAGCGGCAATCGTTCTGTAGGAAGCGGCGTTGACCGCCTCAAACACCATGATCTCACCGGTACTCTATTATCTATCGTCCTAGTAGGCTGTTTGATTCTTATACGTTAAAAGAGTAATTAAATGTCTTACTTTAACTATATTCTGTATATAGACTTTGATGACGATTAGTGCTAAAGTTTGATTTATTGTAATGTATCGTGTTCCTAGTAGCATTCTTTTGTATTTCTAAATCTAATAATAGCAAGTGCATTGCAAGAACAAAACTCTCACCGTTGAAAAACAAGGCAGATCACAGCAAAAATAATATATGATTCAGAAGGAAACATTGATCCGAGAATTAAATACGTCGGACATACTTTTAATCAAAGCAAAAAATAAAATAAAATATTGGTGGCCAATTCTAATTAATGAAATACTGTATTTAACAAAAAAAATTGATAACGATGCAAAAGAACACAAATGAGAGAAGCAATTAAGGTCTGACTCTGAAGGGTGTTAGAGTAAAATACCCATAACTTTTGTCTTATAAAAAGTGTTTTAATAATGTTTTGAAAACGTCTTTGCAAATAACTCAGCAAAAAAAAAAAAAAAAAAATAGCGATTGATTTCAATAATTTTTTTTTTTGAAACAATACTGTAATTTCATTTGCATTCCAGCAATTTGACCAAAGGAGGAGATCGACGATGAACTCCAATTTGCAGTCGAATCATGTACCATCGCAGCTCTTCACCTCCATTGACATGGGAACAAACTCTTTCAAGCTTCTTATAGTCCACGCAGACCCTTCTGGAAGATCTTTCGTTCCCGTCGAGAGACTCAAAGAACCAGTGGTGTTGTCCCGCGAATCTCCAACCTCAATTTCGTCTCAGTCTCAGATTCGCGCTCTCCAATCTCTACAGAAATTCAAAAGCTTGATCCTCTCGCACAACGTCTCCGGTGACCGGATCCGATGCGTCGCCACGGAAGCCCTACGGCAGGCAGAGAACCAGAAACAGTTCGTGGATACGGTTTTCGAGGATCTCGGTCTACAGATCGATGTGCTTTCCGGCGAAGAGGAGGCGAGGTTGGTTTATCTAGGCGTGCTCCAGTTTCTACCGGTATTTGAGAAATCCGTCTTATGTATCGACATAGGAGGTGGGTCTACTGAGTTTGTGGTGGGCAAGCGTGGTGAAGTGAAGCTTGCTGTTTCTTTGAAGCTAGGCCATGTTAATTTGACACAAATGTTCATGAAAAATGGTATTGGGTTGACTGAAATGAGAGACCATATCCGTCGTGCGATTGATGAGTCTAAGTTAGCTGATAAATTGAAAGAATCTGAGGGCTTTGAGGTGGTTGTGGGATCTTCGGGAACTATACGAGCTATTGAGAATGCAGTATTTAGTGACTATGGAACTGATTTGCCTCAATTCAATCTCGATGGGTATAAGAGGGATTGGAGATTTGGCAGACGAGAGCTGAGCCGCGTTGTGGAGCAGCTATGCGGTGAAGGAGACGAAGAGCATATCCGGAGAGAAGGCTTTTTCAATAGAAGATCAGAGTTCATTGTCGCTGGGGCGGTTCTGTTGGAGGAAATATTCAAGGCTCTCGGTATCGAGGAGATGGAGGTGTCAGAGTATGCATTGGCAGAGGGTGTGATTGCTGATTCTCTGGCCAAAGCTTTTGATGGATTATATGATTTGAATGCCAATGCGAGGTGGCGATCAGTCATGAGGCTTGCCACACGACTCAATGGAAAAAAGCGAATGAATCATGCGATACACTGTGCCAACATCGCCAAGGTACCTTCTAATCGAAACCTTTGCGAGCAATCTATTTGTGAAAGTTCATGAAAGATTGTGGCTTTTTATCATATCTTTTGAATAGGGCTTTCTGCTATGGGTATCTCCTGCGATACAGTTTTTGACTTCTATCCACCTTTTTTTTTTTAATGTGTGCTGATGCTCAATGGTTTCAAAATTCCATTTTTTTTAGCTTTGCACAGTGGTCATATTCTTGATTCTACAAATTTGATAGGACAGTGATTTTTCAGGAGATCTTTGTAGGTTTGAGGAAGTGCAGTGATTTTAACGTCTTGTTAGATGATAAGGATCTTGAGTATCTTGGGGCTGCTTGTTTCTTACACAATATCGGAATCATCACAGGGAAAAAGGGATATCATAAGCAGTCGTCTCATATCATCAAGGTTAGTTCATTTAACTCTGTGAAAAAAATACTATTACACTGAACATGAACTTATTAAAGCTGGAAAAGCAATTCACAAAAGCCTATCAACAAGAGTAGTCTATATTCCTGTCTTAAACCTTTTTGTAGGTTTTCAGTGTCTACTATTAACCTCATTGTTATTAATAGTTTCTTCTTTCGTAGAATGGGGATCATCTCCATAGCTACACTGCTGAAGAAGTCGAGGTAAGGCACCTAATCCTCTAGAAGGAGTAGCTTGTCTTGAATTTACTGTTTCTCTGATTCCGATCATGTGATTTTCAGCTTATAGCAATGCTTACGAGATACCAAAGAAAGAAGTTTCCCAAGCTTGATCGTGCACCTCTTAAGGGCTTCACTGAGAAGGTAATGTTTCTCATACTTCAGTTTCGCAAACTACGCTCAGCCTGTTGATGTGGTTGTCACGATCTTTGTTCTGTCTATTTCAGGAAAAGCGAAAGTTCATAGTCATGTGTTTAGTTGTCCGATTATCTGTCATACTTCAACGGAGTGATAATATGGATCTCCAAGAAGTTGAATTTCTTGAATCTGCTGAGTGCTTTAAACTTGTAAGTAGAATTTTTGTTCTCATTCTATCCTAACCAGTCCATTATCTTAGTGACAAGGAAATTCTGATATGTTGTCCCTCGGTATGTTGATCAGGTCGATCCTTATCTCTTGGTTTTGCTATGTTTTTTTACAGGTGCTTAAACAACAAAACCATGAATCTTTCTTGACTGGTTCTCAAAATCAAGTAAACAAAAACTCTGATGCAATACGACTGGAGCAAGAAGTTGGGCATTTTAAAAGGGTAAACTTTCAGTACCCAAACAGTTCTATCAGTTTCACTAGTATACACCATCTTTGATGTTTTGTGGCCAAAGTCTCCATACGTAACTTTCTGGTATTCTTTTGCCTTGAACTTGGCAGCTATTCAAGAAGGAAATGGTGGTTATCTTTCCTTCCTGAAGAAAACAATCAGACGCGGGTTTCTTAGCTTTACGTGTCGGTATAAAACTGAAGCTTTCGCAGGTAGGAGAATTTTTTTTTGGGCATTGAAGATCAAAACCAAGTTATATAATAAAAAAAAAAAAACTCGGCATCTTTTTTATCCAGAGAGTTGTACATTATGAGTTTTTCCTCGGAATTTGCAGGCAGTCTAATCAAAGAAAGAATAGGAACTCTCTCCAGTGGTCGATAAGTTTTTCCCTTTGATGGCCTGAGACGGTGAACGAAAGTCAAAAGAGACGGTACATCTCGTAATGCTGACATAACCTCTGTATGGTTTGGTGCTCTTCTTTCGTAGCTCTTGTTGATTCTACTGGAAGCAAAATATTATACCCCCTTGGCTTCGTCTTTGTACCGGATACATATACATTGTTGAACCAATAAATAAAATAGTAAAAGATTTTTCTTCAAAATGTGTGATTTCTTTTAATAAATTTGTACAGTTCCAAAATCAAACGTAGAAATTAAACTTTAACCGTAACGAACCGAGAAATTGGCGCTCTTCATTCAAAATCAAAACTAACGATAGCGGATGGGTTGCAGAGAGGTTTAATGGAAATCGAGCGGAAGCTGCTGCGTCTTCTCCATGGCCACAATACTCGAACGCGTTTACCCGAGATCCACGGCCATCTCCACCGTCACTTCCTTCACGGTTCCAATCTCCTTCTCGCCCACTTTATCTCCATCTGCGGATCCCTCCGCTACTCTGACTACGCCTCCCGCGTCTTTGCTCACATCCAGAACCCTAACGTTCTCGTCTTCAACGCCATCATCAAATGCTACTCCCTCGTCGGTCCTCCTCTGCAATCTCTCTCTTTCTTCTCTTCCATGAAAACCCGCGGCATTTGGGCTGACGAGTATACCTACGCTCCTTTGCTCAAATCCTGTTCGTCTCTCCCTGATTTGCGGTTCGGGAAATGCGTCCACGGCGAGGTTATTAGAACTGGGCTTCACCGGCTTGGGTCGATTCGGATTGGGGTGGTGGAGCTTTACGCCTCCGGTGGGATGATGGGTGATGCCCAGAAAGTGTTCGAAGAAATGCCCGAGAGAAACGTGGTCGTCTGGAACCTAATGATTCGCGGGTTCTGCGATTCTGGGGACATTGAAAGAGGTCTTACTTTGTTCCGGAAGATGAGCGAAAGGAGCATCGTATCGTGGAACTCGATGATATCGAGCTTGTCCAAATGTGGCAGAGACCGTGAGGCTCTGGAGCTTTTCTGCGAAATGATTGGTCAAGGGTTCGATCCAGATGAGGCGACTGTGGTCACGGTGTTGCCAATCTCCGCATCGCTCGGAGTTTTGGATACCGGAAAATGGATTCATTCTACTGCAGAGTCAAAGGGTTTGGTTAAAGATTTCATCGCCGTGGGAAACGCTTTGGTAGATTTCTACTGCAAAAGCGGTGACCTGGAGACAGCGACAGGGATCTTCAGTAAAATGCAGCGGAGAGACGTCGTCTCATGGAACACAATGATATCGGGATCAGCTGTGAACGGGAAGGGAGAATCAGGGATTGGCTTGTTCGATGATATGATCGAGGAAGGGAAAGTAGCTCCGAATGAAGCTACGTTTTTAGGGGTTTTGGCATGTTGCTCGTACACGGGGAGGGTCGAGAAAGGAGAGGCATTGTTTGGTCTGATGAAGGAGAAATTCAAACTTGAGCCGAGCACTGAGCATTACGGCGCGATGGTTGATCTTATGAGCAGGAGTGGGCGGATCAGAGAGGCGTTTGAGTTTCTCAAAAGTATGCCCGTAAACGCTAATGCAGCAATGTGGGGGTCGCTGCTCAGTGCGTGTCGCAGCCACGGGGATGTAAAGCTAGCAGAGGTTGCAGCCATGGAGTTAGTGAGGATCGAGCCAAAGAATTCGGGGAACTATGTGTTGTTGTCTAATTTGTACGCAGAGGAAGGGAGGTGGGAAGAAGTAGAAAATTTAAGAACACTGATGAAGAAGAAGTCACTGAGAAAGACTACAGGCCTAAGCACCGTTTGCGATGCATGATTCTAAATTTAGCCAGGTTTTTTCGATAGAGACCAGACTTTTTAACGTTAAGCCGCTCTTGATTTTTTATATTTTAAGAATTAAGAACAAAAGTTTTACTTAACATGATATACCAAAAGTGCAATTGGATTAGGCTGGGGAAATCATGAAGAACTACTACTAATCATGATTCAACAAATAAACGTGAGTTTTTATATAGTATAATACACAAGAAGTCGACATAATATTGAAACTAGAGAGACGAGGAGTTTAATGTCATTTCAAAAGAGGAAAAATGAGAAGTCACATTCATAATAAAGCCGTGAAGCAATCATCAATATGCTTTTTGTCTGGTTTCCTTCTTACTTGATGTAGTAAGATAGCCATTTAAAGCCCTCACCATATCCCATTTTGCGGACGATGCTGCACATGAAGACTTCAAGGGGACGAACACCAGACTCTCCAAGACTCACATTGCCTTTACCGGTTGTGAAATTGGTGAGACCCAAGTGATACCTCAGCTCATCTTCAGAGGCTGCATAAGGAATATCAATCTTGTTCCCGAGAATCAGAAAGGGGACATTCGCCAAGGCTTCATCTGATAGAAGAGCGTCTAGCTCTCTCTTTGACTCCACAAATCTCTCCTTGTCGTAAGCATCCACTAGGTACACAACAGCGTCAACCTTTACACACACACACACACACAACAAGGAATTTCAATCAGCAAAGACAGATTCACTCACACCAGAGAACAAAATGTGCATAATCTTCAGATTTTGGTTCCAAGTTTATGCAATCAATTTTGTTTAAACTTAAAGCAAGAGTTTCTTCGATCAGCAAAGAGACTACTAAGATTCTCCATGGTTCAGCGATGCATAAGCAAGATTATCAACTAAATCTAGCGGGATCTAAGAAACACAAAACATGTCTCTAGCTAGGGTAGTGATGTGATGCAAAGAGAGATCATAAACCTTGGCATAGTAATCTTTCCAGACCCTACGGGCAATCTGATGGCCTCCCAAGTCAAAGGCCTTGAACTTGATTTTTCCAATGCTCAGTTCCTCAGATGTGGGATGCTGTGTTGGCTGGTGCTGAACTAATCTCTGCAAACACATCACACCATACAAAAAAAAACTGAGGTTATAAGCATGATTGATTCGCCTTTGGCTTGCAGTTTTTATACATGTCTCAACACACAATCGGCTGCAAGCAAACCCATGGATTACAAGAAGAATTCTCACTAGTCACTACAATTTGCCTACCCAACTTCTCAGTAATAAAATTTGCCAGGAAACGAGACGAGAAGAGATAATGTGATTCTGTGAAGAAAATAAAATTTACCTCGTCTTTGAGCATGTGAAGCAAAGTAGTTTTCCCGGCATTGTCGAGCCCTAGAAACAAGATCTTCGCCTCTTTCTGCCACAAACCTAACGTGGCCAGGATTCCATAGAACCAATCGAACAAAAACATGACGTCGTCTTCTTCAGATCTGACGGATACACAATCGGAAACAACTAGTGGAGTAGTAAAGAATTCACGATCTTCGTTATCAACTATCGGAGATCGAAACTTAAACGCATGCCCCCAAAGAAATACAAAAGCTCTTCAGAGGAGAAATCGAGAGAGAAGAAGAAGAATCGAAAATCAACAGCTAAAGGTTTTGTTCATCTGGCGAGGAAGAGAGAGATGATGATTAATGTGTAACATTTATACGCAAAAAAATAAGGGAAAACAAATAAACACGTGGATAATGAGGAGCTGGTGAATTGATGTGGAGCCTCCTAATTGGTAGTCATCATTGTCGTTCACGTCATTCCAACAAACACGAACCGTCTGATAAAAAAATCAACGATTGCGATTTTTTCTATTACGTTTAGTGTTGTTGGACCATTAAGATTTTTCCCCACTGGGTAGGTGAGAGAACTAAAAGAGAAGGTTGACAAAACGAAATTAATGGCATGAGAGTTTATGTCGACATCATTTAAAATTGTCGATGATGAAAGCGAGAGCCACCACATTGTAATATAAGCAGATCCGACGCAATAAACGTTCAGTGTGGAAGTAAATATTAATTGCCTTATTCGCTGTTACTTTGTTCAACTGTATTTAATTTTGCTTGGTAACACTCATCTGGATAAACTGTAGCATTTAAATCTGAAAATTTCTTTTTCGTTTTCAAAAATATTATTTCTTAAATTGGAGAGTTTGCTGAGAATTTAGTTAGACGTGAGCGGACATTGCGCAGAGGTAGTAAAGTTAAACTGTTTCGATTGTAGTTTGAGCGAAACGAATAAGGTGATTTTCATGGAATTAATCTTAAAAACCCTTCACATACTCGTAAGTGATACAATCGAAACATAATAGTGATTAAACTTGGAAGTGATACATTCTTCACATACTCGTTCTAAAATATGCAATAAAACATCAAGGACGACAAGTCAATAGATAACTATTGCGATCTAAGCACGTTCACCTCTGATTCTTCTAGCGAGCTGGATGTCCTTGGGCATGATAGTGACCCTCTTGGCGTGGATGGCGCAGAGATTGGTGTCTTCGAATAGTCCAACGAGGTAAGCCTCAGCAGCTTCCTGGAGTGCGGCAACGGCGCTGCTCTGGAAACGAAGATCGGTCTTGAAGTCCTGAGCAATCTCTCTCACGAGCCTCTGGAAAGGGAGTTTGCGGATCAGAAGCTCTGTGCTCTTCTGGTACTTCCTGATCTCCCTTAGAGCCACCGTTCCTGGCCTGAATCTGTGCGGCTTCTTCACTCCTCCGGTCGCCGGGGCAGATTTCCTCGCCGCCTTTGTCGCCAGCTGCTTCCTCGGTGCCTTTCCTCCGGTCGATTTCCTAGCCGTCTGCTTGGTGCGAGCCATCGCTTGAAAACGTGAGATTAAAGACTGATTTGAGTTTCTAGAGAAGATTGAAAGAAAGTTGAGATCTGAATTGTGATTTTGATTCGTCAGAGAAAGGGGGTATTTATGGTCCGCGAATAACAATAAGCGGGAAAAACATTTCGCTATTGGTAACTTAGCGGCACTAAATCTGGGTCGTTCGTTTTGTTTTAATCTACGGACATAAGAGGCCTATACCACGATCCGCGTGAAATCATAACAGCCGTAGAATAGTATAAATCCTACGGATATATTTCAGTCTTTCCTTATGGGGGGGATCCATGTGAAAGCGTATAGACCAATAGAAACGCTCTTAGTCAAAGACATTTGTGCCCTCTCTTTTCCCTAAAACTAAAATACGCACCAAGGCCCATTATCCATCCAATCTGAAATTATAATGTAATCATGAATAATACGTGGGATGTCAAAAATGTTAAACATGGTACGCCGCACGTAAACTGTAAATATGTTCTTCACATGGGAAGTTAATCCAGTATTATTACCTTGTTAAAATTGAAGTTAGACATTTTACGTTTTTAGTATTTCAGAACTGTTCACCAAGTCTATACCGTCTCTTTCCAAAATCCACAGAAGAAAACTTTCCACAAACTTTATTCTTTTCCTCATAGGAGTAAAAACGGAGGAAAAACGGAGATTGTATCAGATTATTATGGATCTTGATGGTCTGTATGCATAGACCGAGAATCTGACATGGGGAGAGAGTATGGAATTCTCAAAGGGTGGAACAGTGAAGTAAATAATATACACTACAATCCAATTTTTGGTTGGCTTTGGTTACCAGAGAAAAAGATATAAGTGCAAAATGTGTTGATGGTTTTCTTTCTTCAGTCTAAAAACCGTTATACCATTGTCGTATCCACCAGTCCCACACATCAGCCACTTTTTTAATCTTGCTAAAAAAACTTGTTCTAATTCCAACAAACTAGATGCTGCTAAAAACTTCAGAAGAAAGGATAAAACATAAAGAGACTCAAAAACTTTGGCCTTCAACCTTCAACCTCCTTTCGCTTACAGCTCATCCTGCAAAACAAAAACCACACAGTATAACCATTAACTCAATCAAAACAACAAATATATGGATGAGTGAAATCTTCAAACCGACACTACAGCAAGTGTTTTTTTCTTAACATACATGAGCGGTGGCGTCTTTCTCTGAGGTCTCCTCGCTTACTTCTTCTGATTTGGCATCGGTCTTAGATTCAGTATCAGATTCATCTCCCTCATCGTCCTCTGCTTCATCTTCGGCCTGGAAACAATTCATACACAATGATAATGAGGACCTTGATAGGAACCAAAAAAAATTCACTCAGAAATCTTGACAAATTACTAATGACTTACATCAGAGTCAGCAGATTCCGCAGGAGCGTCCTTGGATTCCTGTAACAGCATGGAAAAACGGAGATTGTATCAGATTATCTTTGGTTTCCCCAAGTCGAAACTAACAAGGTTTTCCATTCTTTTTGTTTAGAGCTTCTCATGATTATGATAACAAATTAGGAAAGATGTTTGGTTGGGAAAATGTTACCTCTTCCTCTTTCTTCTTCTCAATCTCATCGAAAGCTGCTTTCTCCGCCTGCAATACGAGATTAGATTTGGCTATTCTGATCAGTAACCAGAAACAAACATTCTGTGTTCATGGAGATGATTGGCTATCTTATATACGTACATCCTTGAGCTTTCCCCATGTTTCATCTGCCAGCTTCATGGCGTAGTCTGGGTCATCACAGATCAAGACATTGTCGAACAATGATCCTGATTTCACCTGAAAGAGAGAGATATGTGTTTTAGATGGGCTTCATGGGAACAAAATAGATCTCGGAAGAGAAGGTGATTCATTGACAAGATATATTACCTGCCATAATTCGATTCCAACATACTTCAGCTTGGGGAAGACATAGAGCTCTGGGTCATCCTTGAAGTCTACATGAAAAATCAGTTCAATTAGGAACGGTAATTTTGTTTGATCGCATGTATTAGTGAGCTAAACTTTTCATGCCAGTTTATGCAAGCAAATAGAAAACGGTACTAAATGTGTCAAAGGGGTCAAAAATTGGTGTAACCTCGTGTTTAATGACAGAGAAAACTAAAAAAGGAAAACAACATATTAGTGACAAATGGTACTTCAGCATTTGAACTTTTACGAATCCTCAGATAGCCACCTACTTAACTGAGAGAAGTAGATTTTTGCAGGCATACCAGAAAAACATAAAAAGAAGTAGACAGTTTGAGAACCACAAACTACAGGTATATTATGATTTATGCAACATGAAAAACAGGGACAAGTGAAAATGATAAGGCCACAGAGAGTAGAAACTTACCAGGGTTGTCAATCATTGGAGCCTCCCACTTGCCCTTGTAGTTGGGGTTCTTAATTTGCTACAGAAAAACATGACAGCCTTGAGAGGAAGAAAAAAGTTTGACCAGGTTATATGTATACTTGTTGACAGCGAGATAGACAAACCTTGGGCTTCCATTCACCCATGTAATCAGGGTTGGGAATGGTCGGGGCAGTCCACTCACCATCTTCTTCTTCATCCCAGTCCTCAGGCTATGAGAAAGGCCATAAAGGATTCTTAGCAAATACAGAATACAGCCAAAAAAATTAAGATTTCAACCAACTATAGTCAAGTAAGAACCTTCGTTGCATCGGTATCTGGGATCTCCTTTGGGATGTCATCGTATCCGTCAGGTTTCTTGTCTTCAGGGTCAGAAATGTACTCTTGCTCGTCCCAGTCCTCCGGCTGTAAAAAAAAAAGAAGGCTCAATTTTATGATGGATGGTATGACTTTGAACTGGTTTATTATTCCTCGGTCTATAACTGAGATACAAGTAGTTGGTTTCCAGTTTAGTCTGTTTGTCCACAAGTCATCACGTACCTTCTTGGCGCTGGGGTCCTTGATCTTCTTGGGTGGGAGAAGATCCCAGTCAGAGTACACGCTACCAGTTTGCTTCTCAACATTGTCAATGAGAATGCTGTAAGTAGCATCTGGGCGTAGGATGAATGTGTATACATGGGTGAGCTGGTCAGTTTCACACGGAACATCCTTCTTGATCAGGTGGTTGGCTTCGTTGTAGGTAAGGATAGCATGCACTTTCTTCGTGCTGTAGCCACAGATATCGGGACCAAACATGATGCTGCAGGTAAAAACCAGATGTGAGTTAAGATGATTATAGCGACATAGTCTTATAGAAAACGAGATGAGACATGAAATGTACCTGTATGGGGTGTCTCCACCAAATTTCTTCTGGTCAACATCACCACTGAGCAGCTTCATGTAGCCACCACCACAGTCAAGCTTTTGCTCGTGCTTGACTGAGAATTGGAAGACTAAGGTTTTGTCCTTGTTGCTGAATTCTGGGAACTCAGCTGAAATGGCGTAGAATCTGTAGTCCTCACTGGTCTGGATACCTGCAAGACGATGGATATTTGCAACAAAGCATTAACAAAAAGTCGATACACGTGGGGAACCAGAACCAATGAACCAATGAGTGCGTAACTAGCTCTGAAAGCAGAATTATACCTTTGTCGTTAGCATCACCAGACCAATTTCCCGAAGTGTGATTCCACTCCCCAGCAGTGTTGTCATCTTTCTTCCACTCAGATTTAACCCATCTGTTCTCCCATCCATCTTTAGAAACGGACACAAAAGGAAAAAAAACTCATGAGTATGCTTCATTGAACAAAATATCTTCCACATAATACCGTCAGCTCTAACCGCAAAACTAACAACGATTGCACCTAAGGATTAAACCTAGCATACTAGTTTCAAACACGCGAGGAATAATATGTGAGCTATCATCTCAGAGTTCATCGATCGTTAAATCCTTCCTCTCGTGATCTCCGAATTATCTCCACGAAAAGTATTATCCACCAAAAGTTGGCGGCCATTTCATGGCATCTTCGATTACAATATCGAATTAACGAACCCCCGAAAAATCAGAATCCAAAAATTCATAAGATCCGTAATCATCCTGATCGAAAATTTAAAACTGATCGTATCCGATGAAAACGAGGATATCCTTGCATGATCGAAAATGGATCCTAAACTCGCAGCATTATCACATTTAAACTCAAATTTTTAAAGATCTCGCAAGCAGAACACGAACAAACATATCACTGTATCGTAAGAGTCTGGATATGCGGATAGAGAAGTAGACGAGGGAGATAAAAGTAGGTACCATCAAAGCGCTCCTCGAAGATAACAGCGGCGGAAGCGATCGCGACGAGGCCGATAAGAATCAAAGAGACGAGGCTATGGATTAATTTCGCCATTGCTAAGACTCAGATTGGAGCTTTTCCCGATAGATCAGAAGATTATGGTACAACACCTGGAGTATATATATCCCACGAGGAGCTGCTGCAAGTGAAGAAAGCTCTCATGGATTTTAGCCTTTCGCCACGTTGTGAATCTGCGGCCACGTAATCCAATCAATCATAGCCACGTCACACACGTTGGTCATTATGAATGACGTGGCGCTATGGTATTGGATGAAACGGCGAAAGAACGGTGGGAACCTTAAGCCAAAGAGTTGACACGTGGATAGATATTAGGGATCGACTAAAGGAAAGAAGTGTGCTTTTCTCGTGGGGAGAAAACAAAAGAAGAAGCAGATCTCTCGGGTGTTTTCGTAAAAACACCGATTGGTTAGTTAGACTGAAACGTGATCACCACCGTTGGATTTCAACTGATTTTTTTAATCTAGACAATTCTAAAAGCGTGGGCCGAGGAGAATACTAATTTATGTCTTTCATTATACATTAATTAGGACTTGGGCCAATAACTTTTAGCTGCGTTGATGGGTTCTTCTTCGTGTGAAAGATTAGCGTAAAAGCTACTCAAAATCTGACTTCGATTAATAATAGCAATCATAGCAGCAAACTTTCAAAAGCTTCCACAGAGTTTAATAGTTCATCAATCGATTAACAGCAGAAGACTTTAAAACAAAACAAAATATGAACTACTTTCATATCATCTTGCATGCTTTTTGTTACTCATTGATCCTCATTTAGTCTCATGATTTAAGATTCTTGGTCTCTTTGTATGTTTTAAGCTCCATTGTAGAATACACAATTTGTAATCTCATTGAAACAATCAGCTAAGATGAGAGACTTCATTTAACACCCAATCGATGAGAAAACGTTATGATCAAGATTATAGTCTTGGTTACAAGACTTAAAAAATAAAGAGAAGTTTTCTTATATGTTGTGCAGCTCTTGCTACGTTAATTGTGAATGTCCTGGAAGTTTAGCTAAACCTCTAACATCCATCAGTTTTCGAAATCTCTGGGCATCTGTATATCTTCCGGTACCGCAAAAGATGTTAGACATAAGCACATAGTCTCCTCCATGGCTTCTCTCCAACTCCATTAGCTTCCTAGTAACCCTCTCAGCCATTTCAGGATCATCATGAACGCTACACGCTCCAAGCAGCATTCTCCAAACCACAGCCTTATTCTCGGTAGGAATCTCCAAAGCGATCTTCTCTGCTTCTTCTAATCTTCCTTTTCTTCTAAGCATGTCGACTAGACACCCATAGTGCTTCACATCCGGCGTGATCTTGTATTTGCTCACCATCTTGTCGAAGAACTCTAGAAACTCATCTTCTGCTAAGCCTCCATGGCTACAAGCGTTCAAAACGCTGATCATGGTCACTCTGTTCGGGTTCAATCCGAGTCTTTCCATGTCTTTGAACATACAGACCGCTTCTTTGCCCATTCCGTGCATTGCAAACGCCGAGATCATCGTCGTCCACGATACCAAGTTCTTTCTTACGTTCGGAATCTCCAAGAAGAACTTCAATGCGCTTTGTATACACCCACACTTTGCATAAGCGTCGATGAGAGAGTTTGTCACACGGATGTCACATGGAACAAACCCTCTTTTCACAACATAAGCATGAACCGACCCGCACATCCTTTGCTCTCCAAAGTTCCAAACAGCTGGGAGAATCGCGAGAATGGTGATCTCGTTGGGCTTTATCGCGTCACTAGCAACCATTCTCGAGAACAAGAGTATAGCTTCCTTGGGTTTATTTACTCGTGCATACCCATCCATGATAGTGGTCCAAGATACGACCGTTCGATTCGGCATCTTCTCCAAAAAGCAAAGAGCTTTACCGAATTCTCCCAGATTAGTCAGGCCAGTGATCATCACATTCCAAGTTACCGGATTTCTTTCAGGCATTTCGTCGAACACTTTGTAAGCACCAACTCTGTTTCCAGCGACAAGATACAAACCAACCAAAGCTGTCTGCACGTAGACATGAAATTCAAAGCCCAGTTTTAGCGTCAAACCATGGAGTCCGATTCCCAGTAGTAAACACGGGAACCGCGGATTCGAAGCCGCTTTGAGGAGAAAGAGGTAAGTGAAACTGTCGAAAGGAGGCAGTCTATGATGGTGATCAGACAGGAAATGGAGCTGTTGGAGTTGGTCGTAGAGGAAGTAAGCCCGAAGAGGGGTTTCGCACAGAGAATAGCATCGAAGCAGAGGACTGAACAGAAGTAGTTTCCCAGAGTTTTGCTTCCGATGAAGGAGAAGAAGCCCAGCAGTGATGAAGTGAGAGTGGAGCTGGTGGATGATTCTAGGGTTTGATTCATTTTTGTGAAGAAGAGAATGAAGGTGTTGAATGGAGATGTTGTTTTCGGGATGCTTGCTTACAGAAAGCAAAGTCGAATAAGTACAAGAATGCTTGACGGTGCAGGAGCGAAGAGCGATGGATCTACATGAAGAAAACAAGAACATAATTCTAGCAAGAAGCAAATCTCCGCTGATACCATTTGGTTTGGTATCTTAAAGAGTCATATAAATTAGGCAGCGATATTTTATTGACTTTAATCTCAGAGTCAGTTACATGATTTAAAGAATTTGCAGCCAATACTCCTCTAAAACCTTTAATTTACCAACAAAAATATCATCACTCGCTTGGCTTGGCTGCTCCAGGATTCCTGCCAAACTGGATTATCATTGGTTTTCCTTTGAACACAAAACCATTTACAAGATTCTGCAAAAAATCACAAACAACACATCAGTCACTTCCATATAATTATAGTATTCAGACTCAAACCGAACATTTACACAGAGCAAGAAGGTGTTAAGGATTATAACCAGAGCACGATGTGCGACCTCAACAGATGGAAATGTCAAAAAAGCTTGCCCTCTCATCCTTCCTTCCTGTCATATTATTAATTCTCACATTGAAACCATAGTCATAAACAACAAGATTGGTAATAATCCAAGGCAAGTTTTAAAGCTATGAAAGTCCATAGACTCACCTGCATCAGCCTCACACCAAGACTGGATCTAGCTTCTTCGATGCTTCCAAATTGTGACCCTACATGAGTGCCAGTATTTAGCTATAAATTGACTTATAAGAAGGTAACAACTCGTAAATTTTTGATTTTACTAGCAGAGCTACATCTTACCAAATATGTAATAAAAATCATCAACAATAACATCTTTGGCAAGGTTTTTTATATACAGCACAAGCGACGGATTCCCAGCTGTGTAGTTCTGCACACATAAAAAGAAAAAAAAGCATGTTCTCTCAGTGTAACTATCTTTTCATGCATAGAGAACCCCCAGTAACAAGTATTCATAGCCAACGAGACAAATTTAAGTTTAAGAAAGGCTGGAATTAGTAATCAGGCTCACATCATAATAAAACTTCTTCTCAATACAAACATATTATAACCTGATCCTAGTATCCATACCTTGAACATAGGCAGTGAAAGAATATCCTGTGGAGGTAACCTTCCTTTCTCCAACTCCTCTAACGTCGCAAAAGGTTTCAAATTTGGAACTTCTTCTCTGGGCTCGTCTGCAGGGCCTTCATTCTGACTATCCTCTTTACATTCGTCTTGAGCAATTTTTGGGGTAATCTTGATCTACAGGCATAGACCTTGCAAGTATTAGCACAACTACACAGCGTAATAACTGAAAGGCAACTATGGATAATAGGATATACCTGCATAACATGTTTATTCTTTTTTATTCGAGGGATCTCTTTTGGGGTCAAAGACGAGGGTTTCACTCCCACAGTCTCATGTGGCACATCCTTGTCCATACCAGGACCAACAAGAGTTTCATGTCTAGCACGCTTCCTCCCTTGTTTTGATGTACCTGTATCCTAAACATAACACCATCACAATTCTTACCCAAGTACTCGATAACAGTTCCAGGGACATATTTGCATCGATTATCACACAGGTTCACTAACATAAAAAGAGAAAGAAGCAACCAAAATAAACAATTTGACTAATTCGTAAAATGAAGACATGGCGTGACGAGTCATACCTCATCAGATTCCATCTCTGACTCGCTACTAGATTGTTTCTCCAACTCAGTTTGTTGGGGGGCTGCTTTAGGTAGAGGCGGTGTGGGCAGGGCCAGGCGAAAAGGAGGTGGAAGATTCATTTTGTTCATCAGATGCAGCACCTGTGATCGAGAGGTCTAAGATTACATTTCTTGTACTCAATATCTACAGATCATAATTGGTAGAAGAAAAAAAACTTATATCCACCGGTCAAACACAGTGACAATAGAGCCAACCTGGGTGTATAACGGTGGGACAGCGATAAGGGCATTAGTAATGTTGGCTAATATATTTGCATCGGGTGGTGGGTAAGCATATCTGCAAGATGAGCCACAGAAGTTGGCAAAATGATTAGAAGAATTCTGATTCCCTTGAATCATGAAACATGCACAACTTGAGTGGCATGGACTGCTCTTGAGCTGTTATATTTGTGAAAGATGAGGAGAGAAACACCCACAAATACCAATGTCTTTTAAATGAATGATATGAAATTGAAACAAATCTGAAAGAGTATGAGCAGCAAAACTTACTGCAAATGAGGAGGAAATGGATAGTTGATGCCGAGTTTTGGAGCTATGGGTTCACCAGCAAGCACCTGCCTAGATTTCGAATCATTGTTGCCGCTAACTGTAGAGAATGAGAAGGGTTGATCTTTCCCAGTTTCTTCAGTTTGACGAGGCTTCTTGATCTCATTAGGTTTATTGGCTCTCTGTACTTGTAGAACCTTGCCAAGAAACCTCAGCCTACCCAGCCATTAAATGAGAAAACAGCTCAATCATTGGCTTCATTATAAAAATAAAAATAGTAATTCCAGTGGAAGAAACTAGTACCCATTTAACTGACGATGTGCTTGAGAAGCAAAAGCTTCATTCTTAAAATCCACAAATGCAGCATTTCTCAATCTGAGGGAAAGATTATATGCCAAGTTAGATAAATCTGACATTCAATTTCTTCTTCTCGGCTAAAGAGCAGTGATTTCATCTTGTATTCCTAAACATTCCAAAATATTTCCTTCACACACCTTATGAACAAAACTATGAAACCTTTCAGTCTCCAATATCTTCTACAAATCCATAATTTCCTATAACTTCTGAGTAATGTGAACTGAAAAATAAATCTAAAGAAAGGGTTGCTGGATATATACCTCGCACCGGAGCAAGGACGAACTGCAGAAGCTCCGTACTGAGAAAAGAGCCGAGAGACGATATCATGAGGAATTCCATCAGGGAGATGCCGTACCAGGAGAGTTACCGCCATCGGCTCTGCAATCTGAGATTCAAATTGCGTCGTAGGGAGGTTCACGACTGGCTCCGATGTCGTATGTGCAGCCATTAGAGAGCTCGAAACGGAACTCAGAACGATGACAGGGTTCACTGTTTCTTCTTTTTCCTCAGTTTTGTGGGTTTTGTTTGTAATTAATTGACTTTTGAGACTAAACCGGACTATAGATTCTGGAGTTCAATTATTGAATTTGAACCAGTCAGACCAAGAGCAGTATCCGTATTTGAGATGAAACGACGCCGAGTTGAAGTTTGGGTGGAGGGCCTGGAGGCATTCAGAATCAATGCCTGTGGCCTTTTCATCTGTGTGGCCCATTAAAAGATACTTTTTAGTTTTTATAAGGGTGTGAATGAATATCTCGTTTTTCCATCCAGTTTCCTAAAGATTCCTGCATTTAAATTAGGATTTTCGATTTTTATGTTGGTTTTGCCATCACATAGATGATATTTAGATGATGTTTTATGAAAGCTGAAAACTTAGGATTTTTCGGAATTTCATCAACAAATGTTATACTGTATGTACCTTTCACATGTAAAAACATACTTGATGTGAAATAGTGCTCTTCATCATTCAGACAAAATATTTAAGAATTGTATTTTGGCCATCAATTATTAGTTTTTAAAAGAAAAAAGAATTAGTGACGGATTAAAAATCTTCTCTATGGCGTTCGTATATTTAGCATGATACTCCATCCAATATTCATTGTTCTGTAACAAAATTGTTATTTCAAGAATTGGAAACATTTTCTGTTATAACATTTTGTATATATTTTATTGTTTTTGATGATCATTTTACAATTAAAGAAGTAATTTAAGATGAGGACAAATTTTAATAATTTTGAAGAAGAAGAAGAACAATAAACTATGAGATGGACAATGCAATTCAGTAGAACTAGAAGATAGACTTGATAGTGAAGGAACATGACTATAACTGGTTGCTTGACCAAATATACTTCCTTTTATCCGTTTTCAAACACTATCATTGACAACAACAAATATTGTAAGACCTCTCCTCCATATATTAAACTGAATTAGCAAATCTTGGCATTATTAAGAATATGTCCATTTCATTAGAAGATGACTTCTTTTTTTTTGGCGTGTGTCTTCCACACACTTCTTATGGCTCTCCTTACTTTCCTTTGATATACCTGATGACTTTCTCAAATTCTTCACGCAACAATCATCTCTTTGTATACATATAAAGAATAAAACTTTGATCTCATTTTTAGCTTTTGGGAATTCTACGAAATTAACAGATATAGAATCCGTTAGTTAGTAACCCTTATTTGGAAAGTGTTATTTGGGTAATATGATAAATGATCAGTGTCATCTTGAAGAGGAGAGGAAAACATTATAACAATTAACAACAAATAGCAAAGAGTATTGTATGATTGTAACATGTGGCATAAATTAGTTAAGTTGGCCGTCGAGTTAATGCAAGAGGCACTAGTGCACACATCGAATATGTTTTTTGCATAAGAAATACATATGGTGAGTGTCATTTTCTTTAAAGAATATCGATCTATTCAAGTTGGCGCGTGTCTTATTATTCGTAAATTTGTCTCGCATGGATTCCAATTGCATGTGTATACGTTTTTCGTCAACGTATTCCACATATGTTACTCTCGTAGAATTCCTAAAAGCTAAAGTAAGATAAGTTGTTTGTTTGTATTCTTTATATGAAACCAATTATTAAAAAAAAAACTGATTGCGTGAAGAATTTGAAAAAAAAATCATGGAGCAAAATCAAAAGAAAGCAAGGTGAGCCGTAAGAAATGTGTGGAAAGCACACGCCATGAAGATAATATCTTCTTCTGAAGTTCGCATATTCTTAATATTTTTGAAGGGGTAATTAATTTCAAGTTGTTATTTTGTCTTAATTCTCTTTTTCATTTTTCTCCTGTTGATAGTGTGATTTTTAAAAGAGAAAAAAAGAAGAAAGTATACTTGGTCAAGTAACCCATTGGTTAGTTACATTTTTTTCTTTCTCAAATGTTATGTAAGTAAATCACTTGCACTTTTTTGTTTTGCCGTAACAAGTGAACAGTTTAATGAAAAAAAAAATTAGGAGTTGTTTTTTATTTATTTAGGAGTTGTTGGCCATACGGAAACCTGAAATGCAAGAATGGTTAGTGCAATATTATTGGACTCTTTCATGTCGTACAATTATGTGTTTACATAAGAGTACTTAATTTATAATAACTAGGATCTAAACCTACGTGGACGCGCAGGTAAATGTTTTTTTATAATTTAATTTTTAAAATATTAGTTTTATAAATATAATTTTATTGTTCTATAACATTGTAATCAAAATAGTTAATATACAAATAATATTAAGATGTTATAAAAATATGATTAATTATCTTTTTATTAATCGTATTCATGTTTTTAGTCAAACAATTATACAATAAAAGTGTATTTGATTTTTAATAAAAATATAATATATTAATATTTTTCTTCTTCTTTATCTTATTTGTTATTATTCTTTTGTTGTTGTTTTTTATCTTTTTCTAAATCTTTATTAATGTTCTTTTTCTTTTTTTTTCTTCATCTTCTTTTTATTTTTTTTATATATATTTTTAAGTTCTTTTTGTATGTTATTCCTTTTTATTTTTCCTTTCTTCTTATTTTTAATGATTTTTTTTTTTTCAACATTTTCCTTTTTCGTTTTTTTCTTTGTAAGTTTTTTTGTGCTTGTTCGTTTTGTTTATTTTTTAATTTTAAAATTTCTATATTTTTTTTTCTTTTTTCTTCTCCTTTTTCATATTTTTTCTTTTATAATCTTATTCTTTATTTTAATTTTCTTCAAATTTTGTAAAACTAAATTGAAATTAAAGTTTCTTATATTAAATAATTAATATTATATAAATAATTATTATTCTAACATATTTTAAGATTTTTCGGTAAAATAAAATTTAGACTCTAAAATTTTATTTTTTAATTTTATTTTGTCATTTTCTATATATATTTTTATAAATTTCGAATTAAAAAAAAAATAAAGTGGTTCAAAATTTTTAAATAAAAATGAGCTTTTTAAGAAGAAGAAAAACAAAATATTAGGCACATAATGAAAAAAGTAACAAAAAATTAAACATTTGATAATTTAATGAGAATAATAAATTTTATAAAATTTTATATAGCTAATAGAAGTCTAATGGCATATTAAGTAAATAACACATGAATTAAAGGTTAGTTTTCTAAAGTGGATTCTGATTATTATACAAATCTAAATTATATATGGCCTTGAGAGTTGAGGCTTAAATATTTAACGCTAATACCTAGTATTGAAAGTTGTAACATAGTTTTATTTGAATGGTGAAATGTTCTAAATAATACGTATTCTTTGTTAACTTGATATGGACCCCACATTACCACAATAAATATCCATCCCTCGAAACGCAATATCTCAAGGAAAAATAAAACAAACCAGAAAAATAAAATACCCTCACAGTGTCGACATGGATTGCCAAGACGAGCAACTGGTGAAAACAATATGCAATCTCTACGGAAAGATATCAAAGCTGGAGAGTCTGAAACCATCCGAAGATGTCAACACTCTCTTCAAGGAGCTCGTTTCCACATGCATCCCACCGAACCCTAACATCGACGTCACCAAGATGTGTGACACAGTCCAAGAGATTCGACAAAAACTCATCAAGATCTGTGGCGAAGCCGAAGGTCACTTAGAACATCATTTCTCGTCAATCCTGACCTCTTTTCAAGACAACCCACTTAACCATTTAAACCTTTTCCCTTATTACAGTAACTATTTAAAACTCGGGAAGCTCGAATTCGACCTCCTCGCAGAAAACCTAAACGGCTTTGTCCCCAAAAATATAGCTTTCATTGGATCTGGTCCTCTTCCTCTCACTTCCATCGTTCTTGCTTCAGCCCATCTCAAAGACACAACCTTTCACAACTTTGACATCGCCCCATCGGCGAACTCGCTCGCTTCTCTTCTGGTCTCCTCTGATCCAGACATCTCTCAACGGATGTTCTTCCACACCGTGGATATAATGGACGTGACAGAGAGCTTGAAGAGCTTCGATGTCGTGTTCCTAGCTGCTCTTGTTGGGATGAACAAGGAGGAGAAAGTTAGAGTGATCGAGCATCTTGAGAAACACATGGCTCCTGGTGCTGTGCTCATGCTGAGGAGTGCTCATGGCCCGAGAGCGTTTCTTTATCCGATCGTCGAGCCTCGTGACCTTCAGGGGTTCGAGGTTTTGTCAATCTATCACCCGACAGATGATGTTATCAACTCCGTGGTGGTCTCGAAAAAGCTCCCCGTTGCTTCAACTGGGAATGTTGGTGGGCACTCGTGCTTGCTCATGCCCTGCAACTGTTCCAAGATCCACGCGATAATGAACAAGAAGAAGAAGAACATGATGATCGAGGAGTTCGGAGTCAGGGAAGAACAGCTTTCTTAAGAGGACGTCGTCGTCTCCTAATTCGCTATCTTAATTATGATTTGTGTCCTCTTTCTACATTATTGTTCTCTTTGTTTGTGTTACTATATTATCCGTCTCGATGTTCACAATCCTATGAAAAGAATGTGTAATTTTCAAAAACCCAATTAAAGTAGCCAATCTTGTCTAATGTTTACCCGCCCAAGTCCAATATTGTTTAATGTAATTTTCAAAAACCCAATTAAAGTAGCCAATCTTGTTCTATATTGGACTTGGGCTAATAAATAACTTAAGACCCGGTAGAACTGTGAGGCCCGACCCGTTTCCATTTGTTTCTTGGGCAAAGAGATTTCGTCCAAGCTCTTCAGTGTAAGAAGAGAGAAGAAACAAAACATCAGATCGTATTGTCTTACTTACTTGAAGTTAATGTGACTGTTTATAGGAAATCTTTATCGCCGAGAAGATGACTGTAAGTGGGATCAATCTTTCATACGCTCTAAAATATACTAATTTTTATGGGTTTTGATCGTCAATTTTTGGGATATCTTTGTTTTTTGTTTTTATGCTCGACAGTTTACGATTCCGATTGAAAACGGGAATGGAGCGAAGAACGCTGAGGCTGATTCCCAAAGAACACTGTAAGAACCTCTCCTAATTTCCGTAGGGTTTTGTCGATTCTGAGAGACTTTGGCATTTACTTTTCATTTATTTAAGAGATTTTTCTCGTTAGGTACCCGTATGTTACCGGAACCTCAGTGGTTGCTATCAAGTACAAAGATGGGATTTTAATGGCTTCTGATATGGGAGGTATGCTCTTTGCCTAGTTTCAGCTCTCTAGGTTGTTCCATAAAGCAATTGACTTCGTTTTTATGTAAATTCGTATGAGCTTGGTTTTACTAGTAAGACTTGTTTCATCTTACTCAGTCAGTGTTTATTCATTGAATGTATTTTTCTAGTGAGAGGTATTTGACTTTGCTAACTATAATCTTAACCCCAATATGAAATAGTGTAATGAGACCTTCTCTGCTGAATGGGCCAACTAATTTCAGTGTGATCCTGATTTCCTGCAGGTTCATATGGATCAACCTTAAGGTACAAGAACATTGAGAGATTGAAGGCTATCGGTAAGCATTCTCTTCTTGGTGCCAGTGGCGAAATCAGCGACTTCTAAGAAATTTTGCGTTATCTCGATGAGCTCATGTAAGATTATGTTTGATATATAATGTCTCTTTTCCCTTGTTAACCATTCCTTCTTTAGCCCATTGATTTTGAAATCTTAATTGTTTTCAGGCTGAATGATAACATGTGGGATGATGGTAATTCCTTGGGGCCTAAAGAGGTTCACAACTATCTGACCCGAGTTATGTATAATCGCCGCAACAAGTTCAACCCACTATGGAACACTCTCGTGCTTGGAGGTGTAAAAAATGGGGACAAGTACCTTGGAATGGTAACGCCTATGGTTTTTTGTTGCAGATTTGAACTTGTTAATGAATGTAACAGTTATTTATTTATGATGATATGATGTTCTTTAGGTCTCAATGATTGGTGTTAGTTTTGAGGACAACCATGTTGCCACCGGGTTTGGAAATCACCTAGCTAGGCCGATTCTCCGTGACGAATGGCGTGAGGACCTGAGTTTTGAAGAGGGTGTCAAGCTACTGGAGAAATGTATGCGTGTACTTTTGTACCGTGACAGATCTGCTATCAACAAGCTTCAGGTGTGTTTAAATTTAATTGTTGCGACTCCATTGGATTGAGAAATCAGATCATTGAACAGACCCGTTCCATGGGAACTTTGCAGATAGCAAAGATTACAGAGGAAGGCGTGACGGTCTCTGAGCCATACTCGTTAAAGACATTTTGGGAATTCTCGGCGTTCACAAACCCAACACTAGAGATCTCCACGACAGCTGTTTCGTTTGTGTGATGTTGTTCAACAAACTGCAATTTGACCTCTGTTTTGATGAATTCCTGATTTAGATAAGTCTTTTATGAACATTTTCTTACTCTTTGGATGGTTTCAACCTTTTGACTTCTTACGGTGGATACCTCGAGTCGTTTTGGAACTTTATGCAAACGAAAAAAGATACAGAACAATCACATGTAAAGGTGAAAGAAAACAAAAGAAGATTTATGAAAATTGGAAACAAATACCGGTAAATAAGGGCAAAAGTGGTATTAAACTGTAACAACTTTACGGCCTCGCTGTTTCTCTCTCTCGGTCGATCGGCGGAGATATATAAACTGCTCTCTCCCTTCATCTTCTTTGTTTCTAAGTAGTCACATTCTAACGCAAGAGAGAGAGAGAGAGACTCATAGCTTTGCATATCTCCTAGATCGTAGCTAATCTATATTCTTATCGACGCCGAAGATATTGTTGGTGGTTTCGCCTATTTACGGTTTTTATAAATCTCTGGTCTAACCGGATTTGATGGTGGATTCTCTGTTTCCGAGCGTCGAAACCACAGGTGACGACGCGTCTCCGGAGTCGAGACGGAAGAAGCGGAGGATATCGGAGGCAGCGGATGAGGCGGAGACAGAGACGCGACGGATCAACGAAGAAAGCGTGAAGAGGTGGAGAACGGATCGTGTGCAGCAGATCTACTCTTGCAAGCTCGTCGAAGCTCTACGCCGGGCTCGTCAGAGATCCAACGACGCCGGTAAAGTCACTGGAGCAGCGCGAGAGATACGTGAGACGGCCGATCGAGTTCTCGCCGCGTCGGCTCGCGGCACGACTCGGTGGAGCAGGGCGATCTTAGCGAGTCGCGTCCGAGAGAGGCTGAAGAAACACAGAAAAGCGAAGTCCACCGCAAATCGCAAATCGAGAAAAGCTACGACGGAGACGAAGCGGGTTAAATTGCCAGCGGTTGAGAGAAAACTGAAGACTCTCGGCCGGTTGGTTCCTGGTTGCCGGAAAGTCTCGGTACCGAACCTTTTAGATGAAGCGACGGATTACATCGCGGCTCTAGAGATGCAGGTCCGAGCCATGGAGGCTCTCACCGAACTCCTAACCGCCGCCGAACCACGGACGACGTTGACCCGACGCTAACGGCGGCAGTTAGTTTGTCAGTTGTTAAATTAGCTTTTTAACTTTTTACCCTTCATTTGGCTGAAGTTTTTTTTTTTTTGGTTTCTTCTGTTTGTCTACGCGATTTAAATTTATTAAATTCATGTATTTTTGTATACATCACTTTTTATTTATTTTTGATCTTCTTTATTTTTCTAGAATTAATTTTTAAAGCGTTAATACACATAATAAACCCATAAAATGATAATTATACTTACAAAAAGAAAAAGATAAGAGAAGAATAATAGTTCTATATTAATTGCAACTTGAAGGCAATTCAAAAATTAAGCATGTGCGTGGAGGCCCTAACGTGTGAAGAACACCCACCTTAATTTTGGGGCCAATGGACTCCATGTGAGTCTCAAATCTCAAAGACTTTTCGTTGAAGTTTATGCAAATATTGATTAATGTCAAAAAGTGTAATTTGCTCATAATGAACCCATAATCAAACCGAATTTACATCTTTCATAATATAGTTAAAAGTCAATACTGCTTTTGAGTCTTGAAGATCCAGTAGAATCGGACATATAAGTATAATTGATTACGGTATAAATACAAGTCAGTGTAAGTAAGTTGTCAGAAGAAATCCACTAGGGAGAGAGTAAGTAAGCATTGAAAGAAATATGAAGCAAAAGGACCACAAAAATGGCACCAAAAGAAGGGGAAACAACAAGATTGAGAAATGAGCCTGGAGGAACATCTTTCTTCCCTCTTTAAGTCTCCCCACGTGTGTTCCTTCTTTTTACACCCAATATGTCTTTCTTTTTTTCTATTCTCACTACTTATTTATTTTATCAAATTAATGGCAACATGTTTGTGGGTCATTTGTCTTCTTTTTTTTTTTGCTCATTTTCAGACACAGGTTATAAGTTTTTTTCTCAATAATAATTCTCACACGTTCATGTCGATTCAGATTAACTTGCGATAGTGTGACCGAATTTTATCCATTGACCTTTGTATCTATCTCTCTCTTTTTATAATACGGTCGATATGGTTATTGATATTAATGTATTCACATGATTCTGTTTTCGCACAGAAAAGGAGAATTAATAGATTACGGAAAAGAAATGTATATATATAAATGCATCGAATGGTAGCTACAAAACAAAATAAAAAAAAGAAAGAAAAAAAAAGAAAGGAGAAAACGTGGAGTTGGCCATATGTGGCTAAAGGGGTAGACCCAATGTGATCACATGCAACCATGTGACTCCAATTATGAACCTCATATGTGAATGTGGCCGACGAGATGCCAGGTTTTGAAGAATAATCCCCTCTTTCTTCTTTTTACCTCTTTTTACATGTACAAGAACAAAGTTTTACATGATCGATCACTCATAATTACACATCAGTCGGCAGAAAAAAACATCATAACTATCTTGGTTTTACTTCCTCCAATATTAGAGGATAATGTCACCTCTTGAAGAGAAAAAGACATCTTCAAATATTTTTCATAATTTTTTGATCTGGCCCAAAATGCCGAAGATTAGAAAAGCTGTAGTCATTGTAAATGTTCTTTTATTTCATGTAAAAAACGTTAATTAATATTTAACTAAAAATAACTCAGTCAATTAAAGATTGTGAGAGTACATACTGTATATGGTTATTTTGCATATATGATACTAAAACATATTATAAATTTTAACTGGCGAGAGTACGGTATAGACGGGTAACTTTAAGTCTTCACAATATTTGTAACAAAACATTGAAATCAAATGTCCCCATTTTAAATACGATTTATATATGCTCTTGCATGGGACAACCCACCTTACATAAAAGAATAGTCTTCATTTACTGGAGTAGTTGGTTTTTTAACTGCAACAATTGGCTACCTGAGATAACGCAAAATAAAATCTAAGTAGATGATTATATAAGGTGTTGTCCTCACAAAAATCGTATGGGAATCCGTACGTAGACTGAAACGATAAGAGGAATGGAAAACCGAAAATACAATCGGTTCAACCGGCGGAAATAGCCGGGTCCTCAAACTGGATGGTTACGTAGTGGAAACAGTGGGGTCCTTACGAGAGAAGCAAACAATTACAAAACCCTTTTTTGACAGATTTTGACTTCGACAAAAGCTCTCATCCATATCTTTTCCTCTCACATAGAATATGTATATACGTTTCTTGTATGTAAAGGATTTTTGCGTGGTGCAATGAGATGGAACACGTGGCAAGTCAGCATGCGGTGGCACATGTCTCCGGCAGAGAGATTTCGTTGTCTTTGAACTGTGCTCGTTTTTTCTACATTTCCGCACGTGGTCTCAAGTCAACCATATCCACTTAACTTGTCAAATTTTGTTTCTATATCACTATCTCCTGCATATATATATATAGTCTTATTTTTTTAAAGTTATTTCTACCAAAGTTTGAATATTAACATCGTTAATTATGAATCTTGCATGCAGTCACGCCTTGGAATTACGCCAAACAAATATATCTACCCTTTATGGATTCCTCCCGACTTGGATGAACGTGAAGAAATCGAACCAAGAAAAAAAAAAGAACACTTAGCAAAAAAAAAAGTATAACCATTTATGTCCAGTCTATTTGAATAAATTTAATGGATTAATTTGGTTATCTATATCATCAATGTATATTTATCTTTTTGGTTAGTGGGTCTGAAAAAACTCTAGAGTTAAGCGTGCTTGAGCTGGAGTAGAACTAGGATGGGTGACCTTTCGGAAAGTGATTCCCAAAACCGTGTGAATAAGATTAAAACACGGAAAAAGATCATGTGGTGATTGCAGGGTCAGTAAATAAGTCGGTTGGGCTCTGGAAAAAATAACAGACCAACCGTTGGACAGGAGCGGAGTCCACAAACCTGACGGAAGGATGGATGACTCGCCGAAATGGACGGTCGACGACGACGTTACAAAAAGAACCACGAGAGAAAGCATACACCCAAAGAATTCACTAACTATATTCGTAATACGAAGACCAACACCACAATCCTAAAACTTATCAACCGCGTATGTTCGTTTTAGACTAATTTTAAAACTTGTACCGTCTAATCATAAAACAATGCGGAAATTGATATGATAAAATTTGATTTCTGGCCTTGATTATAACATAGAGGTTTATAACCATGAAAACTGCTACTACAACACAACCATTTATATATTTTGGGTTGTAAGTTTTACTTATAGTCGAATATTATTTCCATTGATCGCAAGTTTGTATGTAGCTAAAACCAAATGGGTGTTTTCTAGTAATAGTATTTTGTTAGTTTATTTTAGTGTTGTTATTTTATTAATGTCCGAGTTCAAACCCGGTAATACTGTACATATATACTGAAAAAACAAAACAATTTATTTCACATTCCAGTTTATCTAATCTAGTCCGTAAAAACAATAGCAAAAGGATTTGTTTTCCTTCATCGTCGAGCATTGTCAATCAAATTTGCAAGCTTAAAAGGCAATGCATTGCATTGCTCGAATCTCGTCCAGACAGTAACCTAATTTGGGATATTAATTTAATCAGAGACTAGAAAAAAAAAGCGAGCGTCAACCTCATTATTTAATAACTTTTCCATATACATAGTTTTAAGTTTTTTCAAACCGACTCCGAAACAACTATACATCCCCCATGCATGAGACCTGAGATATACTCCTTCGTAGAATTTCGCCCTATTTTCCTATCAATTTCAAATAGCCATTTTTTTTTGTTATTAACTTTTATAAATCCTAAAAGTCTATGCTTTATATACTTGTAATTTTCGATGCAAGATATAACTGACCCTTCAACAAACCTGAGAACTTAACCAAATTTTTTATTGGCGATAAGACCCACAAAATTAAACCCAAGTCTGAGTTCCAGAAGATATAGTGCTGACGACTGCTGAAGAGTCGACTAAGATAGACTGATTTGAGATCTATGCATCGAGTTTGAACTTGCCGGGATCTCATTAATGTCATTATGTGCTTTGATTCCAAACAGATCTGTAAAAGAATGAAGAAACAAGAACTCTTTTGATGTTTTATAACTTTCTTTGTAGGGACATATATCAACCATAACAACTATCAAATTGTAATTTTGTTTTTGTTTATTTTTTCATGTAATTTTATACTGTAAAAGTGAGCTTATTCCAAAAATAGAAAGAAACTAAACTTTCTTATTATTTGGTTTGCTTTTACATTTTAAGCCATTTTTTTTCTTTCTTTTCTAAATTACCTATTATTTAGAATGTCAAAATATTTAGGATAAAAAATTCTTTTAGTTTTATACTTATCTTAAATCATCCTTTATATCGATTTTTTCCTTTAAAACTCGTTACCAAATCTTTTATACACAAACCAAATTAAACAATGGACAGTTCAATGTTTGCTATAACTTTACAAATTAAGTAAATCTTTTTTTTACTTTTACGCAAACTTTTTCTTTATAAAAATTTCTTTTTTCTTCTTTTTAATTATGGATATAATTTTGTATATTCTATTTTTTCTCAAGTTTTAATTTCATGCTAATCTTAAATCTTTGTTTATATCGATTTTTTCCTTTAAAACTCATCACTAAAACTCTTATACTCAAACCAAATTAAACAATGGACAGATCAATGTCTGCTACAACTTTCTGTAAAAATCAAGTACAGCTAAACTTTCTTATTTTTTTGTTTTGTTTTTATTTTTTACGCCAATATTTGTTTTTCTTTCTGAATTGCATAATATTTAGAATGTCAAAATGTTTAGGATAAAATTTTCTTTTTATTTTTCTTCTTAATTAGGGATATAAATTTGTACATTCTATTTTTTTATCTCAAGTTTTTATTTTATACTAATCTTAAATCCTCGTTTATATAGATTTTTTCCTTTAAAACTCGTCACTAAATCTTTTCTATTGAAACCAAATCAAACAATGGACGGATCAATGTTTGATACAACTTTCTGTAAAGATCAAGTAAAACTTGCGGAAGAACAATACCAAAGAGGCAATGTCATCGGAGCCATGCAAATCGTGAGTGCCTTAACGTTTGGTTTTCCAAACTCATCTGCCAATCACTATAAGATCTCACAAACTCTTGTGGCGTATGAAATTCACTTGAGAGTCCTGCAAGATGATTTTACACAGTACGATATCCTGGATATCTCAGACCCGTTCTGTAGCTATATGGATATCCACAGATCGTACTATGACCTTGTGGATAAGCTTTGTCCTGACAGAAACAAATCTGTTGCTGCCAAGTCAGCTTTTGAGATTATCAATACCGCATGGAAGGTCCTGTCCGATCCTGGGAGACGAAGAGCTTACAACAGCAAACAAGGGTTCACAAGGAGGATCATATATCATGAAATTGGACCGCATCAATCAATAAGGCAGGAGAACCGTCACTACATCCAAATTGATTCTGATTCTGATGATGATTTTAATTCTGGTTCTGGTTAGAACTAGCCTATCATAGTCATAAAGCTTATCATCTATTTGTTGGGATACAAAACCCATCTTTTAAAGTTATTTTTGGTTAAATTTGTTGCTGTTCTTGTAATAGGTATATCACTTATAAGTAAGCTTGTGACTGGTTTTGAGCTCTAAAGAAAATCTTTACAATTTTTCTTATCTTTTTATATTTTATTCATTTCGGTAATGCTTAAAACAATCAGTTGAAAATATTTGGAAGCTTAAAGAATCTGCTTCCGTAGCCAAAACCTCGACCTCTTCTTTGGTTCTCTCTATTCCCACATCGAAACATAATGAATTGATGGTCGCTATATCGGTTTCCGATATTTATCGCAGTAATATTGATTTAACTTAATCACTATGCCAGTTTTTGGTAATGCTTTCTTACATCTTCTTTTTTTTTTAATAAAAATCTCCACACATACACATTTGTGTCATCGTTCCAATTTTGGAGTATCCACTTAATCATGCAAAATAAATATAAAATATTAATATTCCTAACAAATTTTGGAATTGAAAAGGTTAATACGTATGTATCATGAAATAGGTAGATTTACTACCTTCTTTGTGAATATGGCTTGGTCTTGTGAAATTGTAGCAAACATTATCACAACACGACTATGTGTCACGTACACCTAGTAGCACACCCGAATTTTCTTCTCTACATGCAAAAGAAAAGACCCACAAACTAACTTTAAGATACTCTTTGTCAAATGGAAGGTCCAGATAGCTCCAACAACTAACCAAAACTCCGACCCAGACCAAACCCGGATCCGACCCGACAGCACCAGACGACTCGTCCTCCACGATCTCGTTCTCCAATTTCAATTTTGCCAAAAGAGAGCGAGAGAGAAGATCCAGACGAAGTGGTTTACGGAAGAGAGAAAGAGAGAGAGACTAACGAAGATGTCGCTGAGGCCGAGTACACGGGCGGAGCTAAGGAAGAAGATATACAAGACAGGGGTCGATGCCGATGAGGCGAGGCGGAGGAGAGAGGACAATCTCGTCGAGATTAGAAAAAACAAGCGCGAGGACAGTCTCCTCAAGAAGCGCCGCGAAGGAATGATGCTCCAGCAGCAGCAGCCTATGGGAGGAGGTCTCGACGGCCCCCAGAGCGCTGCCGCCGTTGAGAAACGAGTAAGTCGCTGATCTGAATTTCGACTATAATCTGGATCCTAGGATTTGATTAGTTAGTAATGGATCTTTGTTTTTTGATCGTCGAATGAAGTGAGGCTTTGATTGTGGTTTCCCTTCAGTTATAGATCTCAGCCTTTATGTAAACCAACATTCATTTCCCCTAAGTTTCCATTGATGCGTGCCTAGCTACTTGCAAATCTCCGAGCTCGTAATTTGACCATCACGTTTGCGTTCCTTTTGTGGATATTTGGGATTGATGGCGGATCCTTTATGACAACACATCTGATCATGTATGCTGATCAAAACGTATAGTTTATCTTCTTTAGATATCTAGTTACTGATCCGCTGATCTTGTTATTGGATGGGGTGTTACATTTCTACCCGTGGAGAGATTTTGTTTCCGTGTTTGATGCTGTTCATGTGCTTTGACAGTTAGAAGGTATCCCAATGATGGTACAAGGTGTTTATTCTGATGATCCTCAAGCTCAGCTAGAAGCCACAACTCAATTTAGAAAGTTGTTATCTATAGGTAGGTTTCCTTTTCTTTTTTCTTTCCCTTTCAGACCGTTCTCTGGGTATATGTGTGTTATAAACATCCGATGGTTCTTGATAATTTGATGAGCAGAGCGCAGTCCTCCAATTGATGAAGTGATCAAAGCCGGTGTTGTCCCACGTTTTGTGGAGTTTCTTGGAAGACAAGACCATCCACAACTACAGGTATGTCGTCTGCTTCCTACGTTTTAGATTTGTCCCTTATCAATGGCACCTTAAACACTCAAAGAATGATTATGGTGGCTTACTACAAAGTTCATTTTCAGTTTGAGGCTGCATGGGCTTTGACCAACGTTGCATCAGGAACATCAGATCATACTCGCGTTGTCATTGAACATGGGGCGGTACCTATCTTCGTTGAGCTTCTTAGCTCTGCTAGTGATGACGTTCGAGAGCAGGTTTGCCACTAACTAGCTAGATTATTGTAGCTCTCATTTGCTCGTCCGTTTTATATTTCGACCAGGATATATGCCTCCAAGTTCCGTGGCCATATTTGGTTTGTTTGTTGTTTATTTTGATCCAAAATAGTTTCTTTTTAATTTGTGGTATGAAATTATGGTCAGCCAAGCGGTTCTCTGTAGTTCTAGGTGCTAAAACGTTAGTGGCTTCTTACAAACCTTTAAATATATCCTTTGTAGGCGGTGTGGGCCTTGGGGAATGTTGCTGGAGACTCGCCAAACTGCAGGAATCTTGTTCTCAACTATGGGGCTCTCATACCATTGCTGTCTCAGTTAAACGAAAATTCTAAGTTATCCATGCTAAGGAATGCGACATGGACCTTGTCCAACTTTTGTCGTGGTAAACCACCAACACCATTTGAACAGGTAGGAATTGAGAAATGGATTCTCTTTATGTATCTTGGTTTTTCTAGAGAGCTTAATACGGTTCAAGTTTTTTGCATATGTTTGGTTGCGTTACTCACATTACTCACGCATGATGATGGTTATTCATATGTTTCAGGTGCAGCCTGCACTGCCAGTTCTTCGGCAGCTTATCTATCTAAATGATGAAGAAGTCCTCACAGATGCCTGCTGGGCTCTCTCCTACCTTTCTGATGGCCCCAATGATAAGATTCAGGCTGTGATTGAGGCAGATGTCTGTCCACGACTTGTGGAGCATCTGAGGTTGGTTCCTTTTTACTTGGCCAATAGTTGACTTGACATAATTTTTGTTTATTTCTCATCATCTTTAGTTTCTCTATTTTTTTTTTCCTTTGGGTTCTTAGTGCTATATAAGTTGGTCTGTTTCAGTATTGGTGTTGCCATCTTCAAACTTTTGATACTATTTGAATACTTTTTGGAAATTGAGCGTTGGTGTTCTCACTGCTTCATATTCTTGTTTGATTGTACTGACTAATATATATATATTATTTCAAGTCATCAATCATCTACGGTTCTCATTCCTGCCCTTCGAACTGTTGGGAATATCGTAACTGGTGATGACTCTCAGACACAGGTATGGGTTTATGAAGAACGACGCTTTATAATGTTTTGAGTGTTTTCTTTAGCATTTTGACTACAACTGTATGTTTGCTTTTCAGTTTATAATTGATAGTGGCGTACTTCCGCATCTTTATAATTTGCTTACGCAAAATCACAAGAAAAGTATCAAAAAAGAAGCTTGTTGGACTATCTCGAATATTACTGCTGGGAATAAAGCTCAGATAGAGGTATGTGGCATTTTCAACTATATTTAATATCTCAAGGAGACAGTTGGTCATGGAAAATAGTATGCTGCTGCTATTTCATATTTCTGATTCTGCAAGAAAGAAGTTCGGAGACTTGAATTTAATTGCAATCTATTATAATTATTATATGCCAACAATACTTGTTACAGAAAAGATGAGAGTCATCAAAGTTTGAGAGGCTATAGGGAATTTTTTTAATCATTTTTGTATTGTTCAAACAATATAGGCTGTGATTGGCGCTGGAATAATCCTTCCTCTTGTGCACTTACTCCAAAACGCGGAGTTCGATATAAAGAAGGAAGCTGCCTGGGCTATTTCCAATGCCACCTCAGGAGGGTCTCACGAGCAGACTCAGTACGTCATCTCTATTCCTAAGCGCATTTGCAAGCAACTAAAAACTTTACTTCATAGCGTTTCACTCTTTACTGCCTAATATCATCATCTATCTCAATATCGAAAAGGCTATAACAGAGTTTTTGGATGCAGATATTTGGTGAATCAAGGGTGCATCAAACCTCTTTGTGATCTTCTAATCTGCCCTGATCCGAGGATTGTGACAGTGTGCCTCGAGGGGCTTGAAAACATTCTCAAGGTTGGTGAGGCTGACAAGGAGATGGGATTAAACGGTGGAGTGAATCTGTATGCTCAGATAATAGAAGAATCTGATGGGTTGGACAAAATCGAAAACCTTCAATCGCATGATAACAACGAGATATATGACAAGGCCGTTAAGATCTTGGAGAGATATTGGGCTGAAGAAGACGAAGACCAGAATCTGCCTGACGGTGGGAGCGAAAATCCACAGCAGGGCTTCAATTTCGGGAACAACCAGCCCGCTGCTCCGCCCGGTGGATTCAATTTTGGCTGAAAAAGGAAGGGTATAATAGAACAAATTGAAATCCTTTTGGTTTGGGGAACCTCAGATTCATCTTTTGCAACTGTTATTTGACATTGCCAGGTTCAAGTTTGGGTTTTTGAGTACTGCTGCAAAAAGGCTTTTTCTGTTTTTCTTTTTGTTGTTGTCGTTGTCCTTGTCCGTCTGAATCATTCTCTGATTCTGTATCTTAATATCTTAAACTCTGGGATAAATCGTGTCTAGTGTGGTTACTGATCACTTTTATCTTTGTTGTTATTATCTTCTACATGACAGAGAGAGAGTAAAAAAAATACAAGAAAAGTAATTGATCGCAAGATGCTTGCCTCCTTAAGTAAGATCATCAAACAAATTGGTTAAGAAAGGCTTTAATCTCATCAATGTAAGGAGACTTTGTAGGAATGATGTGGCCAAAGTCATGCTCGATAATGGTGGCGCAACCATCGTCAAACAACCCCGCCAAATCTGAGCTGGCTTGAGTCACGATCTGTCTGTCTTTCCCAGGCTGGCTCCCGAATATGTGAAGTGAAGGGCACTTGATCGATCCTTGCTCTCTCTTCTCCAACAATGGCCACGGTGTGAAACCCGAGCACAACACACAGAATCTGAAGTCTATTTCACCGACGAGTTGCTCTTGTTTCCCGCATACAGCTGCAGCCATTGCCGCACCTTGAGAGAATCCGAGAACGCCATCAAAAGGGCCTTTCTCTGCAAAAGCCCTCTTCAAGTACGCCAACGATTTGTCAAACCCTTCGGTTTGAGTCTGATACTGCAATGGATCAAACTGGCATTGGGCCACTGTTTCACTCGGTTTGTCAAAATCTGGTGACACCAACCACGCAAACTTCTTGTTGCATGTCCCCGATGGAGGGGTAGCAGTCTGGTATATGAACTGTAGTTCGTGCGGTGCATCGATAAATACAAGCTCGGCGATGTTCTTTAGTTTCTTTGCTAGTGACCCTGTCCTCCCTTTGAAGCCAGACGCGTTCTGCCTAAAGCCATGTAAGCACAAGATCCTTAGCTTCCGTCTTGTATCGTCCCCTGCAGAGCATAGAATATGAGATTACACAAACCTCAGAAGTCGAACGAAAAAGTTTCGAGTAAAAGGCTTAACAATATGATCCGAAACAAACCTTACCGTTGCTTTCAGAAAGCTGATTTAAGGTATTAAGACTCGAAGGGACTTCCCCTTTTCCGTGTTTACGGCACAACTCGCACACATAGATATCACCTTTAACCTGCGATGACACCACATCATAAATCCAAGATACATAATCCATGTGAAGTAGATCAACAAAAAGTGGTCCCGAGTCAGTGTAATACCTGGCAATGATTGCAGACTAATACAAGCATCCGGCATAATCTGCAACGGCAACGTGGAGAATAGTCGTCAAAGGTACTGTTGCAGAGAAGGCAGCTGCCTGTTATATCCTCTTTTGAGCTCCCAACTGAGATCCTTCAAACCAGACATGAAAATGAATGATACCCAGAATTAAGAAAAGAAGAATATGTTTTCCTGGTTGATTACAAGAGAGAGAGAGAGAGATGCTAGACCAATACCGGTGATCAAACACAAAGTTCTTCCCTTTGAAGAACCCTCCACTAGGAAACTGTTCAAGGTATCTCTGGATTCCACCATAGAGCTGCAAGAAACAAATAACACAAGCTGGACTCAGTCAAGTTCAGTGACTTGGTATCAAAATCCATTTTGCTATTGCAAAATCTCACCTGAAAAGTATTCTCAAATCCGGCGCCTTTAGATCGGATGTACGCAGATGCCATCTCACACCTGATTCCGCCAGTGCAGTACCTGATTTGCCCAACACATGAAAACTTCAGTGACTTGAAGTGTACAATGGAATGAGAACAAGTAATCTCTGTGTGTTCACAGAAGTATTATTCATACATGAGCACGTTTTTGCCCTTCAGTTTCTCGGCATTCTGATCAATCCAGGTTGGCAAATCGCTGTACTGCCTGATTTCAGGATCAAGGGTCTCCACATTTTCTGATTCGAATTTTCCAATCCGTGTCTCGTACAAGTTCCTCGCGTCCAGCAAAACAAGTTCTTTATTCTCAGACTTCCCATCTCCATCCGGATGTCCGTCTGAGATTTCATGAAAAACATAATCAGATGAGACACACAATATATAGCAGCAAGCAATGAAACAAATAAAAAGAAAAGAAAAAACAAATCTTACTGGCACTCTGCAGAACCGAATGAAACTCCGCAGCAGAGAGATGTTTTCCAGCATTTGAAATTTCCGGGGATTTTAAGGGAGGGCAATGACTAAAGGTTACTAACTCCTGCAAATCACAACACAGTACCACATTTCTGTCAAAATGCTAGAAAGGCTATGGAGGTAAAGTTTGGTTAATAACAGCTGAACATTTACCGCATTGTAAGACAAAAGATCCATTTACATTTGAGTGTGTTACATAGATAGATTCAAACCACTCACAAAAACTGAAATGCTTTTTATTTCCATAATTCCACGCAAAGGGTTCTTGTGCAAACATGTTCTGTAAACTAGTTAACATACGAACGCTAATTAATTATGTTTGTAAGAGAAAAAAGGTAACAACCTCAACAACACGGATGGAGAGCGATGTAAACCCACATTCCTGAGAAACTTTGTCATTCGAGGGATGATGGCAAGGTGCAAGCTTGAAGTCAGTCCCTTCGAATAAACAATTTGACTTTGCGGCGGCAATATGTTCCTCCAATGCAGTCAATTTCCCACCGACCTAACCCAAATGCAAAACTTTTTTGTTATCCCAACCGTATAAACAGAACTCTAGCAAAAGCTTCAAACTTTTGATCTTCCATCAAAACAACGAACTGAGCTCAGAAATCAAAAGGCTTTGACTTTATTGTCTTTCATTCAACTTCAACAACTTAGTAGCGATACCTCAATTAGATAGCCAGAGACAAACACATAACCCATTATTTCAGACTTTCTTTTCCGAATTAACCTCTACAATAACATGATTTCGAGAAATTTATATATAAAAAAAAACAGCCAAAGTAATCGAAGGAGATTAGAAGCATACGGTGACATTGACGCCATGAGTGGAAAGCCTGACTCGGCCGAGTAAACCGAGTGAGTTGCAGCTGGATTCATAGAAGGAAACGAGCTCATCTAGATCAGGAACAGAGGTGTACTTGTAATATAGTAACACCCCGTATTGCTCTTCATCTTCAATCCTCTGTTTCTCGCCATCGCCGCCACACGAGCTCGTTCCCATTAGGGTTTTTCTTCTTCTTCAGTGTGAAAGAGAAAGCGAAACGATAAATCTCAGGCTCTGTCTCTGGGAGTCGCGAACACGATTGGGAAAAGCGAATCTAATTGAACCGAATTGCTTAAACCGGAACTTGTATATGACTTGTTCGCAGTAAACATGATTCACGACATTTCAAAACAGTAAATCCTTTTTGTAATTCTATCGAACACCTAAAAAAAATCTTCAAACTAAAAAGAACATTGCTCATCAAACTTGTACAGCTTACACTTTCTTGAACAAAACACTAGTTATACCTTGTTTATGCCAAATCTAAACCAAAACAGAGAGATACAACTTCAATTGATCTTTTTAGCGCTAGAAAATAATAAAATGCTGTAATATGCCATTGCACTCATCAGTTCTGTCCCTTTTTCTGTTTGGTTTCAGGGACTAGAGGCTTGATGGCGAGTTTCGGCTTTGTGCTAACGAGCCTATGTGGAAGCACTGAAACAGCAGCTACGTAGGAGCCATTTGGTATTCTAGAGAGCGGTAAGAGTTCCACCAGAACACATAACTGCACATATTTTTTAACACCAATCTTCAGACTTGTTTACATAACGGGATAAACGCAAAACGTTTTTTTGAAGTCATTTTCTATATTTAAATTACCTCTGGAGATTTGAGATCCACAACTGAATCTGGTACAATGTCTTTCACTCCAGCCGCCACAGTTTCAAAGCATTTGCTGCGGTCCAGCAAAGGACATTGATTCAGAACCTCTGATGCTTCTTTCTGAATCTTTCCTTTTGTCTCCTCCACACCTCTTCGGTTATACCCAGCTGCAAACTGTATGATGGTTAATAACTATCGCCATGAATTCTAACAAATATCCACAACTATATAAGGGAAACTCGATTATGCAGACAACACTCTTTTCTTTTACCTTCACTGGCTTTGAGAGTGTATTGTGTTTATCATCGACAAACCGCTGAACAAGCTTTGATACTGTTTCCCGGAGTTCTTTCTCTGTCAAACCACAAGTAGCTTGGACAGGGAATATCCGATGGCACCAGCTGCATCATTCAAATCATAAATTACTTTGTTTCGTCATAAAACAATTCTTACATCAACGGAATCTGAAAAGACAGTGATCAGAATTTCCTAGCAGAGTGGAAACAATTACTCCAATGACCAAAGTTTCATTAACTAACATTTCACGATTCGTTTATGCAATGCACTGAATTAAGAAGAAACACGTACATTGGTGCCTTCAGAGATCCAGATTCCATAAACTGGAAGATTCTTGACACAATATTTGTTGCATCGAGAGAGTTTTCAACAGGGAAGGTAAAAAGAAGCAAGCCACTCTTTGTCAGCTTAACCAATGACATGAGAGAATTATGTTCTTCATTGATACTTTCTTTGGCCGATTTGAAATCCTCAACATCTGGATTTTGAGCTAAAGAAGGGCACCAAAAGTAAAAAGATCAAAAGAAATGACAAACCAGAATTTGACTATGCTCTTTCGGAAATAAAAGTTACCTGCTTCCGGCAAGACATGATTGTCTAGAGTTACTGTCTTCCCTTCGCCGTCTTCTATCTCTAGTCCACAAAGCTTTTGTCTTTTAGATGCATCAGAAGATTTGAGAACTTCAGCATTCTCCTCACCTATGGGCAATACCTTTCCAAGGATGGACATGACCTCTTTTGTAGCACTTTTCTCCCTTTCTGATTAAGAGGCCGACAATCAGCAAACAGTTTAAAAAACCCTAAATTCTCAATTCGAGTATCAGAACAAACAGTTTGTATAACCCAATCCAACACAGATACGATATGCCCATAACTCACAAACGTCGGAGACCATTGAGGAATTCGAGAAGTTGAGGGAAAAGCAATCAAAACAAATAAAGAGGAAAATCATACTGATGGTGCAGGTGATAAGGAAGCCGGAATGAGAATGATGAAGCAGAGAAGAGGGAGCTGTGTAGTCGAACCGAGGGATGCTTATGATGCTGGCGTGTTGCTCCCATGGAGTCAATGTTTCAGCCTCGTCTCCTCTTTCTCTTTTTTCACTCATTGGTTTTTCTTCAATTGTTCTTCCAACATCGTCCATTACTTCTGCAGCAGCCATCGTCACTCTCTTATCTCGCTTCTTAGTTACTTGGATGTATTTGTTGATTCCAAAGAGTCAGAGAGAGATGGGAAGGGACGAAGAGCTCAAAGTCTCGAGCTTTAGCAGTTTCCTAGCAGCTAGACCAAAAAGAAACAAGTAGTTTGGAAATCGCGATTGCGTTTTAGACCCTGTAAAACCCTGAAACGCGACGTTTAGACAACGCACCCTCAAAACAGCTAAACCCTGAAGAACACTACCAGAGGCGCAGAAATAGAACATTGTACGAGTTCCGATTTGATCCTCTCAAGAGTCCGTGTGTCTGGAGGAGGAGAGAGATGCAGATACTTGCTCGGAATCTAGTTCGGAGGGTATCGAGAACTCAGGTAATGCTCTCAATTCATGTTTTCTCGATGATTTGCCTCTTCCTGTTGTCTTCTTTGTTTGTTCGCATTTGGGGATTGATATGCCAAACGAGTATAGTCTCGTATTGTTCATCACCACACTCTGTTCGTGAAGACTTGTACAGATTTGAGAACTAAAGCTCGAATTTTGGGTTCACTCGAAGCGCAAAACAGAAAACTTGCAGAGATTTATTTTCTGTACCAGAAAGTTTCATCTTTTGAATAAGAATTGCAGATAATACTTTTTACATTTCAACTTTAGTCTACATTTGGCTTAGGCTAAGAGACATTTTGTTTATGAAATGGGGTTTCAGGTCATCGGTCGCAATGCATATTCAACCCAAAGAGTCGGAGACATTGGTCAACCAACTCCAGCTTCACATCCTCATGTAACTCTAATTCGACTATACTCTCCACGATTTGCAAATGCTTTATAATACTCTGATGGTTTGCTCTTCCCCATCAGTTAATGGCGGAAGGAGAGGTCACACCAGGAATCAGAATTGAGGAATACATTGGTAGAAGGAAGAAACTTGCGGAGCTTCTTCCTGAGAACAGCTTAGCCATCGTTTCTTCAGCCCCCGTGAAGATGATGACAGACGCTGTTCCCTATACGTTCAGGCAAGAAGCTGATTATTTGTATCTAACTGGCTGCCAACAACCAGGAGGTGTGGCTGTTTTAAGCGATAAACACGGTTTATGCATGTTCATGCCGGAATCAACTCCTAAGGTACGATGATCTGTACATGAATGTATGAAAGAGTAATTCTGATTTCTGTTTGGTGATTTATAAGAATTGAGCTGTGTGTGTAGGACATTGCTTGGCAAGGGGAAGTAGCTGGAGTTGACGCAGCGTCCGAGGTCTTTAAGGCAGAACAAGCATATCCGATGAGCAAACTACCGGAGGTAACTTACATTTATGAGCTAAGTGGCAGCTCTTGTAAAATTTTGCTTTGTTGTTGACTTAGTTAAATTCTGTAACGCAATGTTTGTTTCACTTATACGTTCTTGAATGTACAGATTCTTTCAGACATGATAAGAAATTCTTCGAAAGTGTTTCATTCCATTCAAACGGCCTCGCAAAGATACACAAACTTGGATGCGTTTATAAATTCAGCGTCTCTTGGCAAAGTGAAAAATCTTTCAAGGTTAACCCATGAGCTGAGGTTAATTAAATCACCTGCGGAACTCAAATTGATGAGAGAGTCTGCATCTATTGCCTGTCAGGTACTCCTGTATTACGAAAAAGCCATTATTATGCTATTGCTCATGAAATTTCTTGTTTCTATTTAGCTTTTAGTTACAAATGAGATGCTAAAAGTCTAAGTGAAAAATGGGATGTTGGAGAAGTAATGGGACTAATATTGGTTAAAGTTGTAACTTTTGCAGACAATTGTGTGTATACACTGAATTTAATATTGAGATTACAGAGAATGAGTATATGTAGTAATTTGGATCTTTTGATTCTCAGAGTCTTCTGAAAACAATGCTACATTCAAAAGGGTTTCCTGATGAAGGCATCTTGTCAGCTAAAGTTGAATATGAGTGCCGTGTAAGAGGTGCTCAGCGAATGGCGTAAGTCTCGACATTTCGTCTAGTCCCTGAACTAATATGTGATTCCAACATTTTTCTTTATTCTCAGAAACAAGTAATTCTTGTATTTCTTGTGCTAATGACAAGAAAAAAATTCATGTTTTGTTATTCCTTAGATTCAATCCTGTAGTCGGTGGTGGTCCAAATGCCAGTGTTATCCACTATTCACGAAATGATCAGCGAGTAAGTTTGACGAAATTCTGTTCAATTTACTAAATATAGAGATGTTCTTGAAGCCAACATCTTAAAATAATCTGCAGATATATGATGGTGATCTTGTCTTGTTGGACATGGGTTGTGAGTTACATGGTTATGTTAGTGATCTTACTCGGACATGGCCACCTTGCGGAAAATTCAGTTCTCTACAGGTTGATGTTTTTGTCTCTCATTTTTTGTTTTATCTTTTCTTGTCTGGTAGCTCGTTATTCTTCTGTTTTTGTTTGTGCTTTACCATTGGTTTTTGGATGATGCAACCGGGAAATAAAACATTACCTACTAAACTCATACTCTGCTGCCGAAGTTCATCGAGCTCCTTCCTTAAATTTTCCCTGTTAGTTTTCTATTTTCTTGAAGGTCAAAATATTGATACTTGTGTTTTTCCAGGAAGAGCTATATGATCTTATACTTCAGACAAACAAAGAGTGCATAAAACTATGCAAGCCTGGTACAACCATCCGCCAACTAAACACATATTCGGTATATATAACCTTATCTTAAGCTGTGTCTTTGTTCATGAGATGTATCAAACACACAACACATACCATTCACTATCTACAAGTTTTGCGAGGACGTGAAATATTATTTACTTATGTGTTTGTTGTTATGGACAGAGATGTCATAAGTACCATAAGCACTCATCAGCCTTAAACTCAAAAGCTTTATTGGCCAACAAAAATGATGTTTTGAACTCAGATGATGCTTTGTGGTCTTGCAGACCGACTTGTTGTGCGATGGACTAATGAAGATGGGCATCTTGAAGAGTCGTAGACTGTATCACCAGCTGAATCCAACCTCCATAGGTATAGCTTATTGAACCACGACCACATTATTGGTTTCCTCATCCAATCAAATGTCGCAAAGTTGCATATTTGGTCGATGTAACCAATACAATCAACTAAGTATGGTTGACGTATAGGTGTTAACATCATTGTTTAATTGTCTGGCATTATCATATAACGAAAATATATATATATACATAACGAAGTTCTCTTGTGATGAATAAAAAGGTCACTACCTGGGGATGGATGTGCATGATTCTTCTACTGTGGGATATGACCGTCCTTTGCAACCCGGTATTGTAAGTAACGCTAAACTCTATGGCGTCTTAGTTTTGTAAGAAACAAAAAGTCAGGCTTATAACATTTTCACCTGTCTACTTACCTTCCTGCATCAAACACTCTCATTGTTGATGCTAGTCCATCAAACTAGTTAGTGGCATTGGGTCCTTACGTTTAAAGCAAGTGGGCTTGATGGTGCAGTTGATAAGAATCTTATAGGCTCACATCAAATGGACTGGTTTTGGTTTTTTTTTTTGTATATTTGAGATATGATTTTTATAGCAAAAGCTCGATGTGAATGATGGCTGTTTTGGACAGGTGATCACGATTGAGCCAGGAGTCTACATTCCATCTTCATTCGACTGCCCTGAAAGGTAAAAAGTTGCTCTTTTCAGACTCTATGCAACAACTTCAACTTCATGTAACAAATCGTTGTTTGTATGAATATTTTTGCATTCAGAAAGTATCAAACTATGTTCATCTGAGAGATTTAACTGCAAATCAACCGCGGGACATGACATGATCTATCCGACACACGTTTATGTGAGTTTACTATTGCAGATTCCAAGGGATCGGGATAAGGATCGAAGATGAAGTTCTGATCACTGAGACAGGCTACGAGGTGCTCACAGGGTCAATGCCCAAGGAGATGAAACACATAGAGACATTGTTGAATAATCACTGCTCATGAAAACAGTTTGCTCTGTTTCTCATCGGGAGGTGAAGGTTGCCACTCAATCCGTAGCTCGAAACGATTTATTTGGGATATTATGCATAGGGATTAGCCTAATTCATGAGAACAACTTGGCTCTTGCGTTATATTTGATATGATGATGCTTTTAGCGTTGTTCACAGAACTAAAAGAGTATCTTGTATGGATTGATTTGAAATAATAATTGAAAAAGATTTAACTGGACCCACTTTTACTTTATCGTGAAGCAGAAGTTATTATGCAAAGAAAGTAAGGTCACACAAATCACAATCAAGAAGTTAGAAGTTGGAACTCTTATAATAATGTGAACGTTAGTCTTGATTAGTTATGGTTTTCTTAAGATAGAAGGAACAAAATAATTCACTAATAATACTCTCAATGCGTCGAGGAAATATACGTTTATTCGATTCGATTCATACCAACACGAAATAATTGAGGACGACGTCGGTTACTGGTTAGCATTTATACGGACGGACCATGCATCCATCAATCATATATATACATCACATTAATAATAATCACTATAATTGTGATGATGATTGCCATATGATCATGTTAGATGACTTAACCCAAAGCTGGAGAACAAAACAAAAAGAGTTGACACGTACTAATATTTATGTAGTCACTCACCCGTAAACCTGCCCAACCAATGCCCATTAATGCTTTTCCATATACCTCATGCATCTGTATGAGTTTGAAATTAAAACTCAAGAGTTCAGATTCCACATCAAGATCTAGACCGAGACGTTTTCTTTTATCAGTTTGACTGCAATTATAATTATGGGGATGGTTTAGTTTTTTTAGTTGTACGAAGTTTTTGATCTTGAGTCTCGAGAGAGAGCATTCGATAAAAATGGAACTAATTAAAAGAAAAATCTAGTGCGGCTCATGCGTGTATTTCCTTAGGCAAGACAAATAGTATATTTGTAGCTTGTTTATATAAAACAAAAAAAATCTGAATTTTCCTATTTCTTGTCGCAAAGGACGAAGAGATGATCACATCGCTATTGATTATGATGTTTCTTTCAACTTTTGTTTTAATAAGTTTGGTCACAACTTAATACCAAAACTAGTATACAGTCGAAGGTATTATTTCTGAACTGGAGTGCATTTCACATCCCAAAGGTATCCTGTCTTGTCTTGAATGGCAATCTCCGTAATAAGATCAAGAAGCCAAGGGCACACACATAGCACCCCACCTATATATCACAAGGTTAAGTCACGTTACCTCTCCACAACACACCACTTCAGCTTTGACACCAAAAGAAAACAAACAGAGCAAAGAAACAGAGATGGGCTTGGTTACAGAGGAAGTGAGAGCTAAGGCAGAGATGTACACCGGAGATGAGATATGCCAAGAGAAGACGAAGTGTTTCCTCAAGGAGATATCTATGCCTAATGGCTTATTACCACTGAAGGACATCGAAGAGGTTGGGTATGACAGAGAGTCAGGCGTTGTATGGCTGAAGCAGAAACAGAGCATCACCCACAAGTTCCAAGAGATCGACAAGCTTGTCTCCTATGGAACCGAGGTCACTGCCGTGGTTGAGACCGGCAAGATCAAGAAGCTCACTGGAGTCAAGGCCAAGGAGCTTCTTATTTGGGTCACTATCAATGAGATCTACACAGAGGACACAGGGAAGATCACATTCAAGACACCTACCACACTGTCCAGGACTTTCCCGGTCTCAGCTTTTGTAGTCCCTGAAGATGTGGAACCTGCCAAGGAGAAGACCAGTGAAGCCACCGAGGTCAAGGAAGCTGTTGCAGTCAAGGAGGCCTAATCAAGCCTCTCGCTGCTTCAACAGTTCAAAGAGACCAAAATCTTTTTTTAAGTGTACTTCAACTATTTGAATCAAACCGTTGAGAGTAAGTGTTCCTCGCTGCGCTTACTCTCATGTATTACCTACCACTTCTTGCTGCTTGTTTTTACCTGTAATAAGATGTAACCATCATCCTGTACCGTAATTATCTATAAACTACATTAATGCTGGTTTTGTATGTCACTTCACGAACATGGGAAACCTATTAGCAAGCAATATATTTTTTTTGTTTTTCTGAAATTTCTTACCACAGTACAAAGCTAAAGACTAATTAAGAAAATCAATTGAAGCCTAAATTCGTCAAGATAACATTTGAAACCTTTGATTCATGTAAACAACAATTTTGTACCAGTATAGCTATGGGCTCCTTTACTTCATAGCCAACCATTTTTCTCAAGTTTCTTGCAAGTTAAGACAATTAAACAAACTGGTTACAACAGATAGACCTAGACCGATATCTTTTCAAAATGTTAAGCAACCTCAAAGTAATTCTCACGGAGACTAAGATGTGTGCAAACCCACTTAATCGCTAGCTCTAAGAAAAGGAGTGACTACAGACTACTATGTTTATTATAGAGTAGGTAGACACTTAGCAATGCATGGCTTTCGAGTACCATATCCAGAACATGTTTGACCATATACAACAGGCATGAGAATATGAAATACTAATGTGATTGGCAGTTTCCGCAAATGAATAGATTTGTCTTTACCATTCACGTGGCTATGAACGATCGTAAGATGCTAGATAACGCAGGTGATATATAATGACCTGCATCTAGCTAAATTCACAATACGAGAAAGACAGGATATTGTTAACCTTGCAGCAAAAACTTAAACCAATGAAAAATTGGAGTATTATGAGTAGCAGTATCTCATGGGAAAGCAACAAAATATCAAAACTGCAACTGTCTACAATAGTGAGGGAACATCAATATAGAACTAAGAGATTCAAACACCTCCAAATTCACAAAACTTGAGATCCCAATATCCTGACGTCTTCTCCAGCCGCAATTACATCGTCTGAGACTGAAAATTTAAGGCAATGGGAGCAACCCCATCAGTAAAAGCTTGATAATACATGAATGTTACAATGCTGAAAAACTTTGATATTCGGAGCAGATATCGAAGTAATATGTGACGAAATGAGTTGATAAGTTTAGAAGCATACCTAAGGAGATTATACCCACTTGCCATCAATCCAATCCTGGTGCAGCCTTAGTTGAGAATAGTGAAACTTTAGCACCTCATCAGCTTTGGGGAAATGAACCAGGTAGCTCGACTTTGCAAGAACCTTTTTAACCACCCCGACCCACCATCCATCGTTATACAAAGCATCAACTTTGGCAAGCTTCTCGAAGGGACCACACATGACCAACTCTGGTGGTTCAGGCCTTATCTGAAAGACATTAACCTCTTCTCTCAAGGACTCTTTCCCATCTTCAGCTTTCAGTGTATCATATTCTACAATGCATTTGTTTCCTCTGTACTCTATAATTTTTGCAAGAAACCAAGAATCCTCAAACCCTTCTTCAAGACTGCTAACCTCGACTGGTATTCCAATGCTGATGTAATGTTGCCTGTCGACTGCAATTCTAGGTCTCACGTTCCGGTCACATGAAACTCTCTACAGATCCAAATAAAAAAAAAACTTTTAAACACACATATTTACCTAAGAAAGAATATGTCCTACATAAAGAAGAGCGAGATAAGAGAAGTTTTCTAGAGTTTGATCAATAACACAACCTTGGCCTTGGCCCTCTTGATCGCTCCTCCTTTCAGTGGTGTCTCCCAGGTCCCGTTAATCCAGTCTTTGTGCAGACGAAGACCTAGCCGTCCGAACCGCATCTTTTCTCTTGATTGTCTGAAAAAGATACCAATTCTTCCATCCTGGGTACTCTCTATGACATCACCTACCCACCAGCCGTCGTTGTAAAAGGCATCAACCTTGTCCCCAACAGCGAAATCAAGTTCCTCGTCGCTTGGTGGTGGTGGTGGCCGTATGTGCAGAAAGTCGGTTTCTTCTTTCAGAGGCTCTACGCCATCCTCTTCTCGCAAGTCTCGGTACTCAACAAGGTACTTGTCTTGGCCAATGGGTTCAATGACTTTAGCTACAAACCAAGATCCCTTGAAACCTTCCTCGTCGCTGCTAACCTCGACATGCGTGCCACTGGTAAACGTTTGTTTCGCAATTGCTCTGGCAGTTTCTGGATCCACTCGGGATAGAAGACACTGCATTGTACAACCGTCACGATTAGTGTGCACTATGATACCTCCGTAATGTAAAGAACACAACTGCGAGAAATTAAAGGTGTCCAGAGACACAAATGCTCTATAGAAGAGCCAAAGCAAGTATCTCTACTTCCACCAGAGAGGTTCTCAAACACTAATCTTAGCACAATAGCAAGTGACATTGCAATATGCACAGAAGTCAGAACAAAAGCAGCTAAATTGTCTTACCTCTTCGTCTTCTGAGTCGTCTGCTTTGTCTTCTTCGGATGCCTCATCGTCCGTTTCCTCTAGTGGCGGGTTCCAGACGCCGAATACCCATTCCCTATGAAACCGTATTTCATCTTTGCGGAACCGAATCTGTTCCCTGGTACCCCTGAAGTAAACACTGAATTTGCCGTCGTCCAGAACCTCCGTGACCGTCCCTTCCCACCAGCCGTCGTTGTAATACGCGTCGACCTCTACCCCCACCGCGATATTCCTCTTCTTCTCCCTCTCAGACATGGGCGGCGCCGGAGGACGAAGCTGAGCCATTTCGACAACCTCCTTCAGCGGTTTCTTGCCTTCCTTGTCGAAGAAGAGCGTCGTGTACTCCACCTGGCATTTGAAGGAATTAATACCTGAGGGTGAAGGGGCGGTGACCACCCTTCCCGGGTACCACGAGCCGCGGAATTCAGTCTCGTCGGAGCTGATCTCCACGGCGGAGCCAGGGCTTAGGTAGTAAGAAGACGGACGATTCGGGGTCGCTCTCGTAGCGATGGAATTGTCGGGAGCTTTCTTCCTCTGGTTCGCCGGAGACGAACCCCCAAGAGATTGGCGAGGCCGCAAAGACATGGCCTTGACGATGATCGCGAGAAAGAAATAGGCGGGAAGAATGGATGGAAGACGGTGGGAGGGAGGATCAAAGGAATCAGCTTTATCTTTGTAGGGTTTTGGGGGGTTTGATTTCTGGAATCAAATCTATTTTAAAAGCTTTGTCAGCTAGTTGTGATCAAAATCCAGATTTTTACAGCCACAGACAGGATATATTTCCTCTTCCTGTTGGATATATTTCCTTTTCCTGTTAAAAAGATAAGAGGTAAAAGTTGTACCAAAAAAAAAAGATAAGAGGTAAAAGATTAGCAGTGAATCATGTGATAGTGGGCTTAATTAGAAGTCGTAGCCCAACTTCACCATCGATTTTATATGGGTTTTAAGTTAATACTCTTTAAATTGTAGTATATATTTGGGACTGTGGTTATACAGTAGTTAAGTTTTAGTCACTCTTAACATTAAATGTCTTTGGTTGAAATTACCGATTACCAATCTTATTAGTCACTTCTAAATAAATATGTGTAGTGTTTTTAGGAGTATAGTTTCTTTTATTATTTTGAATTCCAATAGGAGTAGTTTCTTACGAGTGAAGTATGCATTGAGTGAGATAGCCTTGTGGTTATAGGAGAGATAGAGGATCTTTGACAAATCTTTTACTGTAATTGGTGTTGTTGATTGCCCTTTTTATAAAAAAAAAAAAAAAATTTGGTGTTGTTGATCATATAAAGTTTTCAATATTTATTTAATACCTTCCTCTAAATAAATTTTATAAAAAATTATTAGTTGAATTTTATACAACTTCTTTCATTGGCCAACTATATTTTCAAAGTTTAATTAACTAATGTTTACTTATGATATAAGAGAATCGAACATGTACCGTAAATCTAACTAGTTACTCAATATTTTGATTCGACCTAAATTGACTACTGAGTATAATAAATGCATTTCATCTGCTACTCCTAGCCAGTATCTATGAAAATAATCTTTTTAATATTTACTTATATTTGCTATATTTTTGTTTAATTTTTAATTGTGTTAAAATGTTGGATAATAAGCATTATTTGTAAATCAAATTAATCATAAAGCTTGCGTTGATTGTTAAGATGGTTGGAGTAAAGGTTTGGGTTGGGGTTGTAGTTGAAACTCCAACGGTGAGGCAGATGACCAAGAAAGAAACCACCGTTTCTCTTGTAAATGATAATGTCTTGCCGAAAATGAAAAAAATAAATGAAAGGGGCCACGGAAAACCCACTATCAAATGAGTAAAAGCCCAAATCAATTAACATTTAATTAAGCCCGCCAACGTTAAAACAAAAGAACAAAAAGAAGATCCGATACTAACCGAGAAGACCGGCGGCCCATGGTGCGCCTATACCCTTTTATTTCGCGGGTATGCCCATTAAGAAAGCAGACATAAACGGGCCAGCCTTGTTAAAACCCATTTATTTTTATACATATGCATAGCCTTTTAAGCCCGTGGGTATGAAGCCCATTTTAACATCACTAGCCAAGAGAGAGAGATCAAAGGGGGAGAAAGACGTAAAATTTCTGAAATTTCTTTGGGGCTAAACATACGCACAAGACCGCAAAATGTTAATAGGGGAAGTCGAAAATGTAAAATACACGTAAAGGACGAATAATATAAAATGAACCTCTTAAACCCTTACAAAATATTGGAAAACATGGTGTCGTTTTGGCAAATCTTCTTTGTACACTGCTGTCTTTGCTCTCACTAAACCTTTCTTCTTTTCAGACAAAGGTGAAGGCAGATTGTACCGTCGACTGGAACTGTGATGCGATTGTCTGTGAGGCAAACTGCTGAAACTGTTTCTTTGCATCTGCCAACACAAATTGTTCAATACCCGTTAGAGTAATGTACATGCATAACTTCTTTGTTCATAATGATCTCTATAGCTGATTTGATTCTTAACAAAACATCAGGGCAATAGTGGAAAATTTATTCAGGATCTTACCTTTCTTGCACTTTGTGAAGCCGATGATATTAGCCACGTTGAGGGACAAGCACACGCCAACAACAAGCAGATAGTCGGCCTGAAACCTTATCAGAGAAAATACCCCAAGGACAAACCATGCAGCTGCCTGAAGAAAGGGAGAAAAAAAAGACCGCATAATAAATTCACAAGTTTGTAATGTTTAATATAGACACCAAACCCATTGCTACTATCTCATGGCTCTGTAAGGTACCTGAGCCTATAGGTTTGGAAGCTACCAAGTCTTAATCAATCTGATACTTATCAATGTACAATCTTACGATATACAATGGCCAACGTATTACTTTCCCAAATCTAACTACTTTGCAATGTGGCTGCATCTGATCTGACTCCAATGTCAAATGCTACTATCCAACTCAGAATGGAACCATTAGGGTAAACGTTCATTCTTGCCTGTTCTTACTCCTAATCCTCAACTAAAGTTTCAGGTTTACGTGATAAGCATACATACGCTATAGCTGTACTCATAGATAGGAACTACTCACTGCAAGGTAAAGCGTCCACCAGAAAAGCCATGAGTCTTTCTTGTTCATCCGAGCCAGGGACTGATATAGACAAATGAAAGAAAACATGAGGATTTCAAAAGTCAGAAAAGTGAAAATGACACAGCATTTCTAAACAAATGAACCTTACAGCCTATTGAATAAAGTAGAAACATGAAGCAAAACCAAAAAAAGAGAGGCTAACCTCCTGGTCAAGAGACTCAAATTTCCACACACTTTCTCCCAAGTCATCGATCTCGTTCCACCACCTCAGACCAACCAGTATACGCCCACTCACATTCTTAACCACCCAGAAGTCAAGGGCAGCAAGAAGGACAGTCACTACGAAGATTATGACAAAGCTGTTGAAGAAGAGAGCGGAGAGAATGTAAAACGCCAACGCAGCACCCTGACCCAAAAAAAAAAACTTGTTACCATTGTCCACTATCTAACACATTTACACAAACAGTTAACCATTTTATACTCTGTTCATACCTTGAATAGAACATGGAAGAGACATGTCTTTGGGTTCGCATAGTTTTCAACTGGTGGCTGCATTGATAGAACAAAATTTTCCGTAAGCTTGAATTACGAGAACAATCACAGCTGCAAAAATTCTGAAAGTATGATAGTAAACGATTTCGAGTTTATGCACCACTTTCCAGTTTCCACTGTTATAACCAGAAAAACGCTGACAAACAAAAGGCACAGAAACGATTCTCATCGTTACGCATTGTCGCAGGATAGAAAACCATTCAGAATTAAAACGTTTCTTAACCTAGCTAGCATGTGGATTTAGCTCAAACCTTCCAGCTTCTAATGTATATAATATTACTTTCTTCCGGAATTTCTCGGAGACCAAAACGAAGAACACGGATCTAACAAAATACGCCCAGATCGAACCACTAATCGGGGTTAATCAAGAATCTGATATGCAATCGAGCTCCGAAATCAACAAGAATCAAAAGGAAATGAGGCTTAAAGGAAGCAGCGAGACAGCTAAATTCACCTGGTTAGGATCCATCTATCGAATTATCCAAGAGGATCAATCCGAAGCTGATCAGCAGATACAAAACACCTTTCCGCTATGGAAACTACCGATCTTTCCTCCGAGAGACAGAATTTTCCGAGAAAATTTTCTGTCCCAGATCTTCTTCAAGCTCTTGCGCTACGTGATTTCTTCTCCTTTTGTAAATGTGCTTTTAATTCTAAATTAGGCCAGAGACTGTGGCCCATTAGGCCCAATATAAAAAAGGTTAAATTATGATTTAACCACAATTACTTACGTTACGGTCAGAATCATCCACTATCCACAACAAGGCAAAAGATGAGTGTGTCTATGAAAGAAGAGGATGACAATGGCTGTGAATATGTGACCATGAAACGGCGAGAGGCTGAGATAATTGTCTTATCCAAAATATTACACTTAATGATCGGAAGGAACAAGATGATGGGGCCTCACGAGCCATTCACAGACACTCAGAGACTTCAAATAAGACTTCAATTGCTCAGAGAGTGAACCAACCATGGCGAAGATGATGATGTTGCAACAGAGCCAGCCGTCTTTCTCTCTCCTTACTTCTTCTCTCTCTGACTTTAATGGCGCTAAGCTCCATTTGCAAGTCCAGGTCCTTTTTCTTTCTTTCTTCTGACGATAATCCTGATCAGTTTTCAGATGGGTTTTGCTTTTGCTTGTCTCTGCTGGATCCCTTTCCAAAATCCAATATTTACTTGTCCTTTTCATATTCTCTTCATCACATTTTAAAAATTATCCATTTTTATGGGTTTAAGCTCAGTTTGTTCCACTTGTGGAGCAATGGATCATTGTGTCCAGATTAGTGAATGTATCTCTAAAAGTCTTGGTGTGGTTCTGATTTCAGCTCTGGTTTTATGTTATAGATTGTGAGATTCTATTTCATGATTGTGGAAGTTTTGGGTATGTTTGTAAAGTTTAAGTTGTCTGAAATCTTCCACAGGATTTTCATTTGTGTCCAGAAATGATTTGTTCTGTGTAGCTTCGGATTCTATTAGTAGTCTTGGTTTTTAAGTCTAGTCTTGGTCTCTTGGAGTGAGGATTGAAACTACAGTTTGTATTCTGTAGATAAGATTTTTGCTTACAGAGTTGGCTTTGTTGTTGAAATTGCAGTATAAGAGGAAGGTTCAACAGCCAAAAGGAGCACTGTATGTTTCAGCATCGAGCGAAAAGAAGATCCTGATAATGGGAGGCACTCGATTCATCGGTGTGTTCTTGTCCAGGCTCCTTGTCAAAGAAGGACATGAGGTTCTTCTCATTTCTCTCTTCCATGACCGATCGAACTGTCTTTTTTGTTAGTTTCCATCTCTCTCATTGGCTAGTGGTTGCTTTTGCAGGTTACATTGTTCACAAGGGGAAAATCTCCTATTGCCAAACAATTGCCTGGTGAATCTGACCAAGACTTTGCTGATTTTTCTTCCAAGGTATTACGCATTCAATAACTAGTATGCGCACTCAAATATAATATATGGTTTCGGACTTCAGTAAATGTGAATGTTTTTTTTTTCCTCGGTGTTTTCTAGATTCTTCACTTGAAAGGAGACAGAAAGGACTATGACTTTGTGAAGTCGAGTCTTTCAGCAGAAGGCTTTGATGTTGTTTATGATATCAATGGTAACAACTAGTCTCTTTGTTGTTGCCATAAATTCGAGAAAATATAGAGTCTTTTTGTCTCTGACAACTAAGTTTTTACTCTCAGGGAGGGAAGCTGAGGAAGTTGAGCCCATAATAGATGCACTGCCTAAACTAGAGCAGTAAGTTATTGAGAGTATAAATTTATGCGCAACATCTACATAGCTTGTCCGTTTGGTTGACATCTCTCATAAAACAGCCTTCGAAATTGTAATATGGGTTAATGTTATAACTTAGGTACATCTACTGTTCTTCAGCTGGTGTTTATCTGAAATCTGATATCTTGCCACACTGCGAGGTACGTAAAATGTATCTTATTCTTGTTCCTGAAATATTTGAGCTTGTAATCTCTGTGGGCTCTCCATATACATAATATGATTATGTGATTAGTCATATGATGTTGTCACTCAGAAATTTACTCCAGCTCATTTGTAATAACTTTTTATTTGGGACATAACTGATGCAGGTGGATGCAGTTGACCCGAAGAGCAGGCACAAGGGGAAGTTGGAGACCGAGAGCTTACTGCAATCGAAAGGTGTAAACTGGACTTCCATACGTCCTGTCTACATCTACGGTCCGTTGAACTACAACCCCGTCGAAGAATGGTTCTTTCACCGTCTGAAAGCTGGTCGCCCAATCCCAGTTCCAAACTCTGGGATCCAGATCTCACAACTCGGTCACGTTAAGGTCACATACCTACTTTCTCTAATATTCTTAGAGCTCGCTTTCCTTGTTCAGAAAAATCATTATGTTGGACCATTAGATAATACTCAGCATCTTTTATTCCTCTCTGATCACCCTTCAAAAGCAATGATCTATAACATCAAATGATTCTGTGATTTCAGGACTTGGCAACAGCCTTTCTCGCTGTACTTGGTAACGAGAAAGCCAGCAGAGAGATATTCAACATCTCAGGAGAGAAATACGTCACCTTTGATGGGTTAGCAAAAGCTTGCGCAAAGGTACATTCTTGTCTATCTTCTCATCGATCCAAAACGTCTCAAGCCCATCTCGATGTGGTCTTTGAGATAGAAATACATACACTGAGCCTTTTTGGATGCTTGAGTACGGGTTGTGAGTGATGTGAACTTGTGATGTTTTCAACTCTTTCAGGCTGGTGGGTTTCCAGAGCCAGAGATTGTTCACTACAACCCGAAAGAGTTCGACTTTGGGAAGAAGAAGGCGTTCCCTTTCCGTGACCAGGTAAAGCTCCAACATTCAAATGATTCAGGCTGCAACATCGAAAAATCCAATTTCTAAAAGATGGGGTCTTTATTAATGTATATGATCTTGCAGCATTTCTTTGCATCGGTGGAGAAAGCAAAGCATGTCCTGGGGTGGAAACCAGAGTTCGACTTGGTGGAAGGTCTCACTGACTCATACAACCTTGATTTTGGCCGTGGAACTTTCCGGAAAGAGGCGGATTTCACCACTGACGACATGATTCTAAGCAAGAAACTTGTTCTTCAATCCTAAGCACTGCTCATATATACAAACATTCTTGGCTTGTATGATTGTGTGATCTCTCACAGAAGAAGATTCTCAAGTTTATTGTCGTCTCAAGTGTATTTTGGTTCGGATTTTTTTCGACTTTTCTAAAAAGAAGCGGCCTGGCTCTTGAAGGTCAGTAAGGAACTTAGGAAGGGAGAGACAAGAGTGAAGAGAGTAAGTTAAAAAAGAGACAGAGTTTAGGAACTTAAGGAAAGGAGATACAATAACCGAACAAAATCTGAACTTAAATAACCGAACTCGGTATCCCCTTTCTAAACCTGAATGAACCGAAATTTCAACAATCCAAACAGTACATAGCAAGATAGATTTCGGTTTAAGTTCGGACCCGCTTTTCATTTGGTTCATTTTTTCTGCCTTGTTTGTATCTGTTTTAATTTGTTTTTCCATCTCTGTCTTATGGAAATTATTTTATTAAAAAAATAGCTAATACTTTCATTAAAAGCAGTATTTCATAAATTACATTTTGCGTTTTTAGGTCGGCAACCATTTTGCGTTTAATTAACCATTTTGCGTTTAACTAATAAGTTAACTGTTAACGGTTGGTAGAGAGATATTTTGCGCAAATCTTTAACATTGTCTTTAATTAACTTTAAGATAAGTTGCCGCATTACAAGAAATGCAATTTCTGGACAGCCCCGGCCCAAGTTGGGTGGGCTGCACCCGTCCAGAGGCCCAATCCATTTATTCTTGAAATTCTGTATATAATAGGGTCCGTTTTAAAATAAATAAGCCCAAATAGTTATATTTTTAATTTAAATTAGTATTTATTAATGGAAATTTTATTTAAAAAAAACCCAAAATTTTAAAATTTAGTGTAAATTTTTATATTAAAAAACCCAAATATTCAAAATTTAGTGAAATTTATATGTTAGTGGGCCTAAAAATTTTTTTTTGTCTTAGGACTCCAATATCATTGAGCCAGGGCTGTTTCTGGAGAAAATAAAAGTTTGGTTTTTCTCATGCAAAAATGAAAGTAAAAATTTCCAAAAACTTGTGGAGGTAAAGGCATAAAGAATAAGTCAAGAATGGAAAAACATTCAACAAGAAAACTCAAACTTGGACACATGCAAGAGACTACCCAAGAGATTTAAGTCGTGCATGACAAAGACACCTTTTTAATGGAAAGTTACAACTTACAAACTCAGATACAATACGTGTAACACATATATAGGTCGTCTAGAGAGTAGAGAGCAACATCCCAGTATATATTCTCCTTATGATCGTATGTGGATGAAAATTCATCTAAGACTAAGAGTACCTACTTCTCAAAAATATTACGTTTTCTAAGAGAACTTCAAAGGTCACCAATATCGTTTACAAAACTATATATACGTTTTAATCAAATTGATCAAGAGAAGACGCACTAATGCAAACGTCCTAGCTATAATACACACGATCAAATCTGTGATCATTTATATTTTTGCAGTGAAACTGCAATTAGTATTAATATTTTCTTAAAAAATGATCAAAATACTTTACTGGAGTTTTGTTGTTCAACCGCGACAAAACAGTCACTATAAACACTGTATGTGATAACAATGACCGGAAAACTCTCGATTCAACGTAAATTTATTGTTGGGCCATAGTTTAGAATTGTAAGGGGTCATGGTGTTTTTGGAAAGGAGAGGTGTGGGCCGTGTGGCCACTGCAAGTCCTAATCTTGTGGAAGAATCTTACAGAAGTCTTGTGAAATTTCGATTCCAAAGAATATTCTACCAAAATGGATTAGTCTCTTACCGGAAGCATTAGTTAAATTAGTTGTAGCGCCATATATATATGTCGGTACGTCTATCTTTTCGAGTATGTCGGTACATCAAAATGTTTTCTGTGCTAAAAAGATTTACGTCAAAATGTTACAGCAAAGCTCAATAGTATACATAAACTTCACATACATGAACATGTACATCTCTCTCTAACAGATAATTCACTTCTAAAAGAAGCTAGTTAATGGTTTTTTTCGGTTATACAACTGTAGTTCTTTGGTATTGTACTCGATTTTCGAGAGCATTGTTCTTTGAATTGGTTTACTAATTAAATTCGCACGCAAAAATACAAAAACTACTGTTTAATTATTGTTTTTTTTCTACAATACCTAATGTAAATTATTTTGAACCGGAAAACTCGAAATATTCTACTAGTTTAATTAAGCCATCGTTATTGGATAACTAGGTTTTCTTAAAATATTTGTGATGAAATCTTAAGACACTTTCATCAATCGTAGACAAAAGTTTAGCATTAATTATCCACCAGTTTTTTTACTAATAAGGTCATAAACTGTTATAAAAAAAAAAAATCAAAGTAAATAACGTAGAACTAGTAGGTCGGTATTGGGTCGAACAAATATTACTTCAACGAGTGTGGCATGTGAATTATATAACAACCAATCAATGCTTCCTCAAGGGCTCCAGTTGCATCCACGTGGCGTTATCACCGCCTTGTATGAAATTAGAGAGAGACGCTTCAACCAATCACAAGTTTTCTTTCTATACTTGTATTGTGGTGGTGCCCACTCTCTCGCATAGCAAACGGGGTAATATCTCCACCTTTCCATATTAGTATCTTTTAGATTATTACCAAAGAGTCTTTGAAGAGCTCGTCAGCTGAATACACGTTTCCTACTGTATCTTCAAATTCAATCGAATGGTCGCACTCCTTCAAATTAATACGAAGCCGTTAGATATAGCGGTGAAGCGTATAGCCGTCAGATCACTACTCTCTTCTTTCATTCGATCCTACATCTCTGGATAACTATTAGCTAACATATTTGAGTAATTAGCCATTAATAATCACGACCTAAATCCTGTAAATGTGTATAAAAGCCAACCTTGGTTTCTCACCAACAATCACTCACTTATCAACTCAACCCTCAAGCCATCATAAACTCTCTCTCTCTCTCCATTTTGCCGACCAAGATGGCACCTGAGATCAACATCAAGTCAAGCTACGGAGGAAAGAAGAGAGCTTACGTGACGTTCCTCGCCGGGAACGGAGACTACGTGAAAGGAGTGGTGGGTCTGGCTAAAGGGCTAAGAAAAGCTAATAGCAAGTACCCATTAGTGGTTGCTGTGTTACCGGATGTACCGGAGGATCACCGGAGACAGCTGTTGGAGCAAGGCTGCATCGTGGAGGAGATCCAGCCGGTTTGCCCGCCGGAGAACCAAACTCAGTTCGCCATGGCTTACTACGTCCTCAACTACTCCAAACTCCGTATTTGGAAGGTATATACAAATCCATGAAAGTGTCTTGAATTTAATGACCCCAAAACTACTAAATTAAAGTATTAAGAAGTAGAAACTACAAAAAAAGTTATCAATAACATCTTTCTAGTATAAATTATATGTTTCATAAAGTTGACAATTGAAACTTGAAATATAATATTAGATTCTTGAACATACAGAACTTTTAACATATTGAATTTGTACTAGCTAGTATTCTTGTGGCACAATGAATGTTCAAATCCGATCGAACTCTTAAAAAAGGTTTCTCATGATTGTCACCTTATTTTTTCACAAATATAAGCCAAGGCTCTGAACAACTAACTTTTCTTAATTATTTTTACCTTTCATTAGGCTAAAGCTATATTTATTTTCTTAAGTTCGTATATATTCACCTATATAATATAATTATGTGGATGCAGTTGGTAGAGTTCAGCAAGATGATATACTTAGACGGGGACATACAAGTGTTTGAGAACATAGATCACTTGTTTGATCTTCCCGATGGAAATTTCTACGCCGTTAAGGACTGTTTCTGCGAGAAGACATGGAGCCATACACCTCAATACAAGATTGGCTACTGCCAACAGTGCCCGGACAAGGTGACATGGCCTGAACCGGAGCTTGGTGCTAAGCCACCGTTGTACTTCAACGCCGGCATGTTCGTCTACGAGCCAAGCCTCCCAACTTATTACGACCTTTTGGAGACTCTTAAAGTTGTCAGTCCCACACCTTTTGCTGAACAGGTAGAACAAAACCTACACATGATCATATGATTCTATATCTAGGGTCTCTATATTGTGAATATTAAAAGTGTATAATAGATTTTTGTTTTTTCCCCAATCGCCTTAGGCCCCGAAACTATAGGCACGGTCTTGGTCCTAAAAACTACATATGTCTTCCATTGTAGAATTAAATGGATTTGTGTGCCTTTATAGGATTTCTTGAACATGTACTTCAAAGATATATACAAGCCGATTCCACCAGTATATAATCTTGTCTTGGCCATGCTCTGGAGGCATCCAGAGAACATAGAGCTTAACGAAGCCAATGTTGTCCATTACTGTGCGGCTGGTTCTAAGCCTTGGAGGTATTACCTTCTTGTTCATTTCTAAAACGTATTAAAAAAAAAGGTAAAAAGATCTTAAATTGCTTCTCTGTTTTGTATCAGGTTCACAGGCCAAGAAGAGAATATGGAGAGAGAAGACATCAAGATGCTTGTAGGGAAGTGGTGGGACATTTACAACGACGAGTCTCTTGATTACAAGAACGTTACGGTGCATTGCGGACAAGAAGAAGAAGAAGAGGTTCACAGGAAACAGCAAACCACCCTTCCACAGTTATTTACAGATTTGTCTGAAGCTGGTGTACTTCAGTACGCCAAAGCTCCATCCGCAGCCTAGACCACCATGTGAGGGATGAGCTCGGTGATTGTTTATATCTAGTTTCCTAAAGACTAAAGTCTGAAACTAGTGATGTTCAATTAGGAACTATATATAATGTTGTGTTTTACTGTATTTTATACTGAATTTAGAGGAGTTTTTAATCCCCAACCCCTCTTTTTTTGTGTAAATGTTTTCTAAGGAATTTTCACTCCAAAATACAGTCCTCAGATATAGTATAGCTTGGTGTTCAGTTTAAGCATTCTTCATTGATCCCATATTGAAACCCAGATTAGTCCGTCGTGTAAATACATCTAAAAAGTCAATTAATAACTGAAATCGCCGTAAAAAGACTTAAAGCTTGGCCTCTCATGCAACTTAATCAAGCATACATCATGTATTCTCTAAACTTACATGAAGACGATGTTGTGTTTCAAAAATCACCAACCCTCAGGATTCCTTAGTAATCAGAGACCTTTCTAGCTAGTTCGAGACCGTATGGAATGTAAAGATCAAGAAATGTACGAACCTAACCGCAATCTTAATAAAACTCACCAAACCTCCAAGTTTAAGGATTTCAAACATGATACATCTGACAATACAAGTTGAAACCAGTAGTATATACTAGTTTTTAAGTAACTTTGGTGAGAATATTAAAACCCAAATTTTGGTCAGAATATCAGTTTGAGTATCAAAAACCAATTTGTTGATATCATCATGTATGTACATTAACACGTTTCAAAATTGTGCCAAAAGTGAACTTTACCATCATACGTAGATCGACAGATTAGTTATGAGAAAAATTGTTACAAATTAGTATCCAATAATATGCTTCCACTTCACTTCTTTCAATTTAAATTTTCCAAAATTATATCAATTTACTTTTAAAAACTATCATCATCAACATCATCTTCATATATATTTCTCTAAATATACATTATCCAAGTTAAATTATGGATAATTGTTACAAATTAAAATAGAATCCAAGTTTCACATCATCCTCTAATTTTCTTAATATTTTTATTTCAATGATATGTAACAAAGATATATATATATATATATATAAAAAACTATTAGATTTAGAAAATAGTATATTAGTAAATGAAACTAAAATATATCCAAAATTTATAGATAAAAATCTTAACAATTATTAATATTTAGATTTAATTTATACTTTTATTTGGTAAGTTCTTCATTTTTTTACACAATTGACTAAAAAAATTTGGAACACTTTAATTACAAAACTTAGACAATATTAATTGGCTAGCTTAGTATTTATACATGCTCATTTCATAATCTATGCAACACAATTTTTGAGTTTGAAAATATGAAATTCACGCGTCGCATTTTTCTAGTAACCATTCTTGCTCTCTCCATTTTCATCTCTCCTATTCAAGCAGTCGAAGTTGGTGATTCGACACAAGAATTGATCAATAGCATCTGCATTGAAACCGAAGATTATGAGTTATGTAATAAAATAATTCATAAAGCCTTGAAGACAAAAACAACTAATCTCAAAGATCTCACCTATCTCATATTGCTCACTGCTATTGAATACGCCAGTGATACATATATCTTCATTGGTAACATCCTGCGTGAACATCCTGGCCCTGAAGAAACGGCTGGTCTCAACACTTGTCTAATGGTTTACAGTGAAGAAACTACTATTTTCTTAAGTATACGTCATGAATTCTGTGCAAAAGAATACGATCATATGATTGTAGACATTTTGTCCACAACCAATATTTTAAAAAAGTGTAGGATGGATTTCCCGATTCCTCCTAAGAAGAAAGATTCTCTGATTGAGAAAAACAGAGCTATGAAGATCTTGATCACCATGTCTGCTGTTTCAGGCTATATGGTCAAAAATGGAAATCCTTCTTTGCTTGGTTCAGTTGTTACCAAGCTTGATCTTTTTCAATGATTAATTAAATTAAGTAAAGTTTATGTAAAAATTAAATAATAACAAAAAGGGTTTACTTGTTCTTGATTTGGTTAATAATTGACTCAAAAATTATCTATTATAAATGTTTATGAATTTCTATCTCAAAACTATTTATTAGTGTATATCATAATTGTTATACTAAGGTTATGTGTCGTAAAACAAAAAAAAAGAATGTGTCATTTTAGTTTTTACAACAGGATTTCCAATATCTCTCAAGATAATAGTTTTAAATTTTATTCGTTTTTCTTATTGGATAAATCAGGTAAAGCTTAATGAACTTAACTTGGGTACCATGTTAAAACTTATCTTGAGAGATATTGGAAAACTTCAATCTGCAGACATTTAACTAGTCAAACAAAGTATTCTTCTATTTGGTAAGGTTTTGTTCTTTTAAACTACACATTTGTAGTTGAGGGAGCGTTTAGATAGCCAAACAAATCTTACTCTATTTGATGAGTTATTCATTTAAGTTTGTTTTGTTTAAAGGACCGTGAGATTACTTTTATCCCCGAACTGTTAGATCAAAAATCTTGACATGCGCGTTTCAACTACGGATGTGGCCGTATGTGAACGCTAGTTGTTTTTTTTAATAGTGAACCGAAATATCGGAGTTGATATGCCGAGAAAGCAGATTCTGCGGTTCCAGACCACGGACAAATATCAAATAATTAATAACTTGTCGATTTCAATTCAGAACAAAATTTTAAAATACAATATTTTGTGAAATCTTGACATTTCTTGATTCTTTGACTTTGACTGTTTTACCACTTTCCAAATAATTGCATATTTTGTCTTTTTGTGTGCGGAGTAATATCAGTATATATTATCTGTCAATAAAATCTGGTCAAAGTAGGTATTTAATACACTAAAACTTCTATAAACTAATAATGATTTAAGATTTATGAAAAAAATTATTAATTTATAATAATTATTATTTTATAAATATATTATTTGATTGATAAATTAATTTTAAAACCAATAAAAACTATTAATTTATTGAAATATTAATAAATCGAATATTAATTTATAGAATATCTACTATAATATTATATATAAATAGATATACATCATATAATAGTAATCTACGTATATAATATACGTCTTCCAGTACCATAAGTATAACTGATAATTTAAAATAAATTTAAATATAAAAAATAAATAGAATAACATTAAATAGGATTTAAAATAATGAAATTCAACTCATTACTTAGTATTTTAAAGTAGGATGATTTTTCAAAAGAATTTGTTTTTTTTCTTTGGAATATATAGGATAAATGCAATAGATTTTCAATTTTTTTTAATTGTAATTGGTTAAAAATTTCTGGAATATCATAAAATACTGATATCATTCCTGAAAAATGAAACTCATTTCTAAAAATTGCAATCCAGATACAGCCATATATCAAATACAAAGTGAATTTAACTTGATTGTTCATGTATTCTGGATGAACATATCATTCTATTGATAAAACATGCAATCGCTTTTGGAAAATATCAAAACGCGCAATAAAAAGTTATACATCCACAAAAAAACTTTTGACTGTTGACTGATTTATTTATATGCATAATTATCAAAGATAAAGAAGAAAACACCGAGAATTCATTCTCAGTTCACCACAGACACATACTTACCAACAAAATTTTAAAATAAACTAAAAAACATGAAAATGTATCGCATTCTATTGATATTTTTGGCGACTGTACTCTTTTGCTCCGTTGCAGAAGCTCTTCTCGATGGGAACAGTGAACAAACAGTCAACGTTATCTGCAAACAGACAATAGACACCACATTCTGCAGAAGCGTCTTTGCCAAGAAACTGAATACTCCTTCCCCAAGCAAGAAAGATCTCTTGAACGTGACTGTGGCCGAAGCTCAAAGATTCTCGGCCAACACGTATTTCTTCATCAGCACGCTCCTTAGAGATGCTGGAGACGAGAAGCCCCGTCTGCAAATGTGCGCCGAAGCTTACGCTATTGTGAACACGGCGTTCACGAATGCCGTCTCTTTCTTTAATCAAGGAATCTATAATAAGATCCTCAAGCTCAAAGATGACGTTTCTACGGGTGTTAGTATATGTAAGACAGATTTTAGTGTGTCCGGTTATAAGATCAATCCGATGATTAAGAAAAATAGAGAGGCGTTGGTCTTCACGGCCATGGAAAATATCATTGGTCAAATGGCTTCTTAATTTGGCGGTTCAAACTTAATAATAATAGCAAAAAAAGTCAGAAATATTATGCTTGGTCAGAAGCTTCTTGATTGCAATTCTCTAAGGGCATAATAATTGTTCATGTTAGTGATGCTAATGTTGAATCAAATTTGATAAATGCTAACTGCTTGGAATATATTATATTCCGTAAGTGTTTTTATCTTATGATGCAATTTTGTTGTCAGATTTTTTACTTTCTTCTTTCCTGTTTTTTTTTTTTGGTCAGCGATATTATTATTTTTCTATTATGATCTTGATCGGCACTAAACCGGTCAAATATCTTATATATGCTACTAAAAATTCTCTTGTGAGATTCATGTTGCCAGATAAACCTATGTGGAGCCAAAGAGAAAAAAAAAAAAAAAAAAGCATCCTCACAATTCACAAATTCAAGGATGATGAAACGGAATCTATCTGCTTTTATTTTGTTTTGACTTTTGAGGATAGCCAAAATTAAGAATAGGATTGCATGAAAATTAAGAATGATGAAAATATAGAGATCACAGCTGATATTTGTAGTGTCCATGAAATGAACATTGGAACAACACACGAATTAACATTCCATATATCATTATCATCGGTCTCAAAATGGTATACACATTAAACACTCGGAATATAGATAGCCAGTTTAATTCCGGTAACTTAGAAAGCAAGAAATCCCAAAATGGTAATAACTCATAGAAACATCAACGATTTAAGGCGATACAGGAGGTCTCGTGGAACCGTTTCCACTACCTCCTGCTGCTTCTCTCTCTCTTGCGGGCAATCTCGATTCAATATCTTCATTAATATCCCTTTTGACTAAGTGTTGTTGTTTCACCTTCTTTTGGTTCTCTTCTCCTTTTTCCTTCTCACTCATCTCTCTGTCTTTTCCCCACAAAACGCCATACAGCCCAAGAACCACAAGCGCTGATCCTATAAACCTGATACACATATATCATCTAATTCATCATCATCCGGTTTTATATAATATTTGTCTATATAGAGAGCATAGAAACTTACGTGCCGGTGTAGAGTTTCTCTTCAAGAAGAGTCCAGCTGAAAACGGCGACGACTACGAGCAGTAAAGGGCTGAAAACAGAGACGTAGAGTGGACCTTTCATCTGTATCGCCCATGACATTAAGCAGAACGCTAACGCAGACGCCACCACTCCCTGTATCCGCGTTATTAAAGTTAATTAATATCATATATGCGTATACTGTATGTAAAAATATATACTAGCCTAATTGTGACCTAACCTACATATACTGCATGTATATGGACTTACGGCATATAGGGCGGATATGAGGCGGAGAGGAGAGCTAAGAGACCAGTCAGAGAGTTTATGATCGGAGATCAAAGCGATGGTTCCACATTGGATACTTCCCATCAAACACATTAGAAGTGTGCTCGTGTATGGTGCTGCAAATGTTTCACTCATTTTCGTCTGCAGCCAAAATTAATAAACCATATAAGGACTGTATACGCTATGATAAATAATGGTTTGAATTTTGACTTAACTATTTTGTTTTTTTTTTAACTTAACTATTTTGTTGGTTGGTCTTTGCTACATTGTTTTAAAAAAAAAATCATAGTTATTATATAAGTTACCTGAATAATGAACCAAACGGCCCATGAAACGGCAGCAGCCATGATTAGGAAAGGTCCTAAGAAGAAGTTAGTGCCGCTAGAATCGGGACCATGGCTCGTGATGTTTTGAACATAGGCCCAATGGATCTTGGACTCTCCAATGCCAATTGTGTGACCATGGTAGAAGGAGAGAACCATGGCTCCGGCCACACATACTACTGTCCCTATCACTTTGGCCTGTCCTGATGCCTTTTTAATCCCTACGGCTTCTTGTCTGAAATTTTTCTTTGTGTTAAACATTTATTATAAACGAGACTCTTTTAGGAAAATAAAATAAAATAAACGAGTTTAGTCTGATGAAACTTTATTAGGAGTTAATTTTCTATCGATATATATAGGAACCTGAAGATTGCGGCGAGGAGGAAAGTAACAGCCGGTAAGAGATTAGTTAAGGCACACGCAATGGTAGGAGATGAATTCTGAAGTCCTATGAAGTATAGCACTTGGTTTCCGGTCGCACTGCAAAATAAATTAAGATCACTCGCGTTACATGTTTGAATTCTGCTAAGAATCAAAGAGATGGGCTTTACCCAGTAATGGAGCAGAAGAAGACTTGTACAAGAACCCTTAGGGTGATCTTCGGTCTTGTCTTACTGCACAAGAAACCATGTATGAAAGTTATGTTGGTAAAATATATTTCTATTCACACAATTAAAATAAATAAAAAATCGACTCAGGAGCGTTTAAAAGAATTTAAGCCGATATAGTTAGTTCAGAAAACAATCAAATTTACTTGAAAACCACTGATGAAAAAACGTGGAAATAGGTAGGTAGAGGAGACTATCAAGTGAGTGGAGTGGGAAAGCAAAAACGTCGTCGTAACGTATAAGCACGTGTCCTAGCAATTTTCAGCTGGCACACGACGACGACGCATAACTCTCCTGGCATCATATTTTTTTGGTTTGTCTGTTTGTGTTTTCCGTTTAAGAAAGAAACGTGACGCGTGTGGGTTTTGCGAGTCTGCGTCACGTTTCTCATTTCGTTCTCTCGAAAACCGTAAAAATAATGATTGACAATACTAGATGACCGGAAATGCTCTAAAAATAACGGTAAATGCTATTTTCAATAACAAAGCAAAAAGAAAAGATAAAGCGACTAATCGGAAAATACGTGGCGCTTTACCTCCTCTTCTTCACAATTTAGTCATCACGAAATCTATAGCTTACCATAATAATATGCTTATTTATATCTTAATCTCCGGACACTAAAACGATGCCGTGCTAATCTCTTTCTTCTTTATATTATTTTATTCGTTTTAATTTTAATCTTCCGAATGGAATTTATTTAGTTACCAAAAATTTAAAAAATATTCAAACTAACGATAATATATAAAGTTATTGACATAAATATACAAAAATGTTGACCACAGCACCCAAACAAATTCAAGTGATAACTTATATGCTTATTAATTTAAAATAATTCTTTTATGAAACCTTTGGAAGTTACTTAATTCAGTTAATGACTGAAAAGTCCAAGATGTAAAAACTCGTTCTACAACACAGTCAAACAGGCCAAAGCCATTAGTAAAGGAAATGGTTTTCTTATTTGTTACGTACTATGCAGCAAGTTAGTTATATATACACACAGTCACCCATTTTTACGTTTTATATTGATGAACTATCAACTATGTCATCCATTTTGTACTTTCTCAGTTAGACGTAAGACCAACTTGAAAAAACACTTTCAGATATTAACTTCACCCAAAATGCAATACTGAAAGATTTTTTTTTGCAATGAAAATTTGACAATGAAAGCTTAAACTCAAGAAACCATATATATGAAAACCTGAATTAATTTGAGACTCAAAACAGCAATAGAACTAAACATATTTTTATAACAATGTTATTCAAGAAACAGCACATATTCAACATTTCATCGATGCAATTGTGTTAATCATATAATCAAGCATGTTCAAAATCGTTAGTTACGTTGATCCAATCACATGTATATATATACATACTTATACTTAATTATTAATTAGTAATATGATTATGTACCGTTCAAGAAAAAATGCGACCGGAAAAGTGGCAACAGTGGCAAAGATCTGGCGATAAGCGACAAGAATGAGAGGCTTCATGCCGGATTCCATAGCCATCTTCGACGTAATGTTCATGCCTGCGTAGCCGATTTGCACCAACACCATCGCCAAGGACGGCAACAAATCTCTCGATCTAATCATCTTTCTCTTAATTTATCCTTCCAGATATTATATGTTTTTTTTTTTATCTCGATATATGCTTCTCTCACTATTACTAATCAATAATAATAGTTCGAGAAACCAAGTATATATACAAAAAAAAAGAAGGAGAGAGGTGGGTTCTTTATAACATTTATTAGTTTCCCCCAAATCTATTTTTCTTTCGGCTCGACCTTATATTTATAGCCAAATATATATATATATATATATAAACATATTATATATAAACACACATATATATATATATATAGAGAGAGAGAGAGGTGTTTTTAAACAGAAAGGTGAGAAACGGTTCGAGAATGAAGTTTGCTTGTAACACTTGTGCTCTCTTTTAGGGCATATGAACACGAAACATTTATATGTATCGTTTGATATTTTTGGCAATTGATTTAACTTTTCTTCTTGTTGATTCCTGATATATCCAAATTGGCGTTTTTCAGAAAAAAATAGCTTATTCTAGTTTTCGTCTTTCTAAACCCTTTTTGGTTTCCGTTCATTCATAGGTTTGGTGGAACTTGTGAATGAATAGAAGTAGCACGCATGAATGTCCTTCTCTTTGCAAAAATAAAATAAATGAATGTCTTTCTCAAGCTTCAAGCAATCAAATTTATCAAATTGCCTTTGCTAAAACTCGTTTCTGTAATATTAAATCAAGGGTTTGGTTTAACGCTTGAATAACTATATCAAATTAGTATCATCTTAAGTATTTCGAATTAATATTCATTAAATAGCTCTTAAATACACATATATTTTAAAAGTGTATTATAAACTGTAATATATTATTTGTATTCCAAAAACTGTAAAATGGGCATGGGTTATAAAAGAAAATAGAAAATGTTTGGCACACGTCTTATAGTATGAAATAAAGATAAATGGGTAAAGTATTCGCAAGATGTGTGCATATACACATCTTCATCAATTTGTATATATAAATCGATAATTTTATAAATTACGACTATATTTCTAATTGTTCTAATTTTGGTATGAGTTACTATCAACATTATTACTTGTTAAATTTTGAGCGCATTATTTATATTTTAATGTAAAACTAGGTAATCATTTACATATTCTTACACATGAATATACTTAATTTGTTTATATCGATCCATCCCTAGTTTGCCTTGGCAGGCTAGACTGAAAATATAAAACGGAAATGTATATATCTCAATCAAAACTATATATATATATATAATGAATGGATACTAGTTTAGAAAGAAAACAAAAACTAGAATATAGTTGGAATGGATAGTTTGAAATAATAAATTTCAGTAAATATATAAACTTGATTATTTTTATCAAATAAAATAAAAAAATGTATAATTTAAATTGCGTGGTATAACAATCTCATGCATATATAAATAGTTGTATTAAAAAGCATAATTTAAAATTGTATTGCCCGTCGTAAATGTTCAACCATTTATTTAGCCTTAAAGGACGTTACTTGTGCTTAGGCCTTTCTTTATGTTTATAGTCACTTCCTTGAGCAAGAATGCCATTTTTATTTGGTAAAAAGTAATGCACAAAAGTTAAATCATAAATATGCAAAAGGATTTCATATATCTATTTACAAACTTTGACATTGGATTATTTACAATAGATAAAAACATACAATGGATTTTTTTTTTCATTACTCAATAACAAAACAAAAAAAAGTATACCAAAAATCTCAAAGATGAATTTTCTTTGTATTAATAATGTGAAGAATAAGAATTGTGGTAATATGTATAGGTAATACAACCAAACAAACAAATAAAATAAAATAAACGTATACAGGAGACGTTAAATTTTTGTTTAGAAAAACTCGAATTGTATGTTTAAATTTAAGACAAGCTATTAGCTGGATTTTTGAGTGGTTTAGTACGGAATGGTTTTCAATTTGAAGAGGAATAAATATGATTGATGCTTCATTTGCATGAGTCATACAAGCTAGCGATGGCGTCCAAATGATTTTTCGTGTCTCTTAGTTGGCTTCCAATGTAAACTTGTTCGATTTTTTTTTTTTTTTGTATCTAAAAATATTTTCAAAAACTTGTTCGATCTTATCTTTTCGTTGTTACGTAAAAGGAGAAACTTTCCGTTGTTAGTTTTGGATATATATAGATGGACGCGTATGCATATATTTACGTAATGATTAACATCTCAATACAAATTCGGTTCGCTCTGTCATGTACACTTCGTCGTGGCAACTTTTTGAATCAGCCGCTAGTTACTAGTTAGTTGATATATAAATGCGGCAAACTACATAGAGAAGTGGATACGGTCCTACGGATCAGCTGCATGTGAGTATAAAACTGATACTACCTGTTATTTGGTCGGACTAAACAAATACCATCTCTATATTTTAGAAAAATGGTCTTTTGGCTAAAAGCAATAAATTTTTAGTTTTCAAAACTTCATAAGTTATTTTTGTTTGCTTATCATATACTTCTTCTATAGGAAATTGACGTTGCAGTAAAGATGGACAATGCAAGCACAAACACCTATACATCAATAACGTCACAAGCAAATTTGACAGTATTTACTCCCACTTAAAATTGAAGGATTGTATTATAATTTCTCTAAAAGTCATGACTATTTATCAAATTTTTTGAATAAAATAATTATATTCTTAGATTATTTTTCTAATATAATTATTAGGCTAAAAAGTCCTTCTTCTATTTCATAATATAAGTTATTTTGGCCAGAAGCACACAAACAAAAAAAAATGTATACAATATTTCTTTGAAAAAGTAACATCTGATATATATATATATGTATATAAGTTTAACATGATTCTATCTAATTAAAGTCAAGTCAAGCAATAAAATCAAAACCGCAGAATACAAATCTAATTTTATGCGAAGGATATTTGAATTTAAATTTAACTAAAACCCCGTTTAGAACTACGTACTGTTGTTATTGTTAATCTTCTGAAATAAAAAATTTGCTGAAAAATGGTTTGATTTAATTTTTGTTTTTGTTTTGCATAGACCCACACTGAAACCCACATATTTATTTTTCCTGACGGTGGAAAAATAATTTGGATTCGATCTTAAGTAGCCTGAGTTATGTCAGTGTCAACCACCAACCTACACAGTGGCTTTGATTTTGTTTTAAATGAAAATAAAGGATCATACTCAAGCTTACAAAAGATAAAGAAGGCCCACACTAAGGCTTACCATTTTAGTTACAAAAAAGCTCACAGTTCACACCTTTCGATCAGTCTCTTCTTCTAATGGCTACTCTCTCTCTTCACTCCCATATCTTCTTCCTCATTAGCCTCCTGCCTGTGATCCTCAATGTCCGACGACACTTGGCGGTGGCCGGAGGATGCCAATATCCGCCGGTGATCTTTAACTTCGGAGATTCTAACTCCGACACAGGTGGACTCGTCGCTGGACTCGGTTATGCCATTAGTCTCCCTAACGGCCGCTCCTTCTTTCGGCGATCCACCGGCCGACTGTCCGACGGACGACTCATCATCGATTTCCTCTGTAAGTCAACTTCTCTTCAATCTTTTTAAACTAAATTATTCTACGGTTGAGATTAGAGAATAGTGGAATCATCTCATATCCACCATCCGATAAATCATAATCAACGGCTGAGAACCGCGCTCGAGAATCGATGTCGGTGATTGCGTTGCGTAATGGCACAAAACGACACAAACTCGTTGAAATGATGAAATCTAATCAAAGACAGGTGGGTCCCATTCTACAACATGGAAGATGTCATTGGGAAATGGGTCCCACCTTTTAGATTCGGCGCGTGATTTCCACCCGTTAGATTGCGTGACTAAAGAGTCAAGAGCGCCGTGCGTGATGAGGTTTTCTTTGTCCGCATCACATGTTAATTGTTTATATACAAGTTAATGTTTTAATGCATAAATATTTTATTTATAACAATATTAACATTTTTCTACCGGCTTATACGGTTCTTCAAGTTTTAATAATATTATTCAGAGAAAAAAGTAGTTTATATTGATGTTCATCAGATTCAATTACTTAGGGACTTAGCAATGTTTTTATATCAAACTTACGTATTTAATGAAAATGATAATGTTCCTAGAAATTTAAAATGTTTGCAGGCCAGAGTTTGAATACAAGTCTATTAAACCCATACTTAGACTCACTGGTTGGATCAAAGTTCCAAAACGGCGCAAATTTCGCCATCGTTGGATCTACCACTCTTCCTAGATATGTTCCGTTCGTTCTCAACATCCAGCTCATGCAGTTCCTCCACTTCAAATCACGAGCACTCGAGCTTGCTTCTACTTCAGGTACTTGCATCTCTCTGGTCCCACTTAATCAACTCTTGATCAAACCAATGTAGTGTCAACCCTTACATGTAATTATGCATTGTGTTTCGCAGATCCTTTGAAAGAGATGATGATAAGTGAGAGTGGATTCCGAAACGCATTGTTCATGATCGATATCGGGCAGAATGATATTGCAGATTCATTTTCCAAAGGTCTTTCTTACTCTCGGGTCGTCAAGCTGATTCCAAACGTTATCTCCGAGATCAAAATTGCCATAAAGGTCAGAATTTTCACATCTAGATCGTATTTTTTTTATTTTAACGCAAATGCCAAATGTTGCTAGCGTGTATAATTTTGCGGGTTTATTAAACAACAAACACTAAAGTACTAAATAGAAAAGCAAACAAAAGTTACCAACATACATATAAGCAAACGCATGAAAAAAAATATCGAAGGCTTATTCATTTTAGTGTTTTGTGCCAGCCTCTTTAAAGGTGTGAAACTTTCAAAACTTATGTTGAAAATTCTGCAGACATTGTATGATGAAGGAGGGAGGAAATTTTGGGTTCACAACACAGGACCTTTAGGTTGTCTTCCTCAGAAACTTTCAATGGTTCAGAGCAAAGCTTTGGATAAGCAGGGTTGTGTAGCGAGTCATAACTCAGCTGCAAAACTGTTCAACGAAGGATTGGATCATATGTGTCGGGAGCTGAGGACCGAGCTCAGAGACGCCCACATTGTCTATGTCGACATTTATGCCATCAAGTATGATCTCATCGCAAACTCCACCAACTACGGTAAGCTTTCAAGCTTATTACTAAACCACATTAGTAGTTTCTTGCATCAAACACGTGATTAGGAGTTTCTAATCCGGTTTTATTGATCTGATTAAACCGAAACCGTATACAAAAATATTTCACAAACCAAACCAAAAAATAGTAAACCATTTACATTTTTTTTGGTCAACCATTTCATTAAAGCCCAATGGTAAATTTTCAGTACAAACAAGCCCATTACAAGGATAACAAAGAAAATTAGACACAGTGGCTGATTAAGGACCACAATCCTAAACTTGATGATTTTTAATTATGGAATGATCTGTTACTTTACGGATGTAAAATATCAAATTATTGCATTGTCACCATGGTTATGGTTAGCTATATTTACAACTGTTTTGTGCAGGGTTTGAGAAACCGTTAATGGCCTGTTGCGGACACGGAGGACCTCCTTACAACTACAACGTGAACATAACGTGTGGGCATGGTGGCTCTAACACCTGCAACGAAGGGTCTCGATTTATAAGCTGGGACGGAATACATTACACCGAGACGGCTAACGCCATTGTCGCCATGAAAGTACTGTCAATGCAATACTCTACGCCACCAACTCCGTTTCATTTCTTCTGCAGCAGCGGCTGAGATTATCTACATGTTTCCTGTACTTTCATGTGTTTGAAAACCTTTTTTCTTTGTTCATCATTTTTCATTTGTAACCAAATTCTACAGAAACAGAGTGCAATGGAGGTACCATACTAAATGATGGACACAAAGGTTTAGCAAAAGACAACCCTTTTATTGATCTGCGGTCTGGAGAAAAGGGTAATCCGTGTAACCCACGGCAGGATCAGAAGTATTTTCTGCATAGAAACTTGTTCTGTCGTACTGATTCAGCGGCGCTTCGAGTTGGAATCTTCTGGGCAAATCTGGATTAGCCAAGAACAGTCTTCCGTACGCCACAAGATCGGTTCTGCCCTCCGCCACCGCCTTGTTCCCGTCTTCTCTTGTATAACCTCCGGCGACGATGAAGGTTCCTTCGAACGCCTTTCTCATCGGCGTAAGCGACTCCGTGCATTCGAAAACCTCACCGGCTGTTTTCATCCTGGGCTCGACCATGTGGCAGTAGAGTATCTCGAACCTATTCAGAGACTTTGCCATGTAAACCCCTAGCTTCTCGGGCTCTGAATCTCCGGATTCCATGTAATTGGCGAACGGAGAGAGCCTGATTCCGACGCGATCAGAACCGATCTCGTTCGTCACCGCCTCGACTACTTCCAGAGCGAATCTGCATCGATTCTCCATTGACCCGCCGTATTCGTCGGTTCGATCGTTGACGGTGTCTTTCATAAACTGGTCGACCAAGTACCCGTGCGCCCCATGGATCTCTACTCCGTCGAAACCTGCATTAGTTAAAAATCGAAAAAGTTGACAACTTTTTTCAGAACATTGAATCAGTTTAAAAATTCTGGATTTGATTGTTACCAGCTTCGATTGCGTTTCTTGCAGCGAGACGAAAGTCATTAACAACGGCGGGGATTTCGTCAATCCTTAACCGTCTCGGAGGTGTAAACTCATCGGCGGCGAGAGGCTTATCCGTACTAGAGATCGGAGCTTCCCCATTTGGCTGACAATCTACAGAGATTAATTCCTTAAATTTCACGCCTAACAAAGATCCAGTTTTTGTTTTGCAAAACCTTAAAAAGAGTTTCTTATTACAGACCTCGATGAGAAACGCGACCGGTGTGCCAGAGCTGACAGAAGAAGACGCCGCCGTTAGAGTGAACGGCGTCAACGATGGGCTTCCATGCTTCTACTTGTTCTTTCCTCCATATCCCGGGCATGTTTTGGTGCCTTGCAGAGATTAAAGTCAATATCATAACCCATAATGAAGCCAACAAACAAAAAGAGTCAACTTTTTTTTTTCTGGTAATTAGTTCCAAAAAGACTTTACTCCATGGCGGTTTCACAGACTCCGGTGGCCTCGCTGATGAGAAGGCCTCCCGGCGTTGCTCTCTGAGAGTAATACAGGGCGGCCTGAGGTTGTGGAACGGTACCGTATGATCTCATTCTCGCCATCGGCGCCATAACTATTCTGGAATTATAATAGATTCAGAGTTTTAGAAAAGACAACAGAGATATTAATAATATGTGATTAACGGCTGATTTAGTGTGTGATTAAGAGTACCTGTGAGAAAGATCGAAGTTTCTCATTGAGAATGGTGTGAGAAGGGGAACTGTCAGTTTGGTTGAAGAGAAAGTTCCGTTCTCCATCGATCTATCTTTCAAGAACTCCAGATTAGTGGTGCCTCGTGATTTTCAGATAATGTTTTGGAGTTTTAATCATTGTTAACCTGAAATAGAGGAAGTTTAAAGACACACGGAGAGAAAATTAGGTGTTAAAGACTTAAAGAAGTCAAAGTCTCTCATGCGACGTCTGCTTCTACGGCTAGCCTCTACTATATATTTTCATGGTTTACTGTTTTCGATAAGTCCAAAAATCTGTCAAGAAGAATACTAGAATACTACAAAGCACAAACAAAAAAGAAGTTAATAATAGAAAGAGAAAGTTGAGATTATTTAATAAATATTTTTAAAAGGTAGTTGCTCTTAACATGCGTACATAGGTGTCATATGTACAGTCTTACAGGGAATGGCTCATCTTGAAGCAAGACTACCACTTACACAATAGACTGTAAAGCTTTTGTTAGTTGCTGCATCTATGCTTCTCCATCAGTCATCTGCCCATGGGACGCCGTGTTTGGCCCAGAGGTAGTATGCTCCAACTGGCCCTCGTCCACCAAATTCATACAACTCCGGAGCCGTGTGGTGCTTGTCGATCTCTTGCAGGACCGGACTCAGAATGTTCCATGCTGCTGCAACCTCATCGCTTCTCATGAACAGATGGTTGTCTCCATCAATTACATCATGAATCAGGTGTTCATATGAATCTGGTACTTCGGTGCTATACCTACATTTATGAGACAACAACGCAAACAACCTTTAAGACGCAATAGTTTGATTTTCAAAATGTGTAGGAACATAGATGAGAAAAGCAAAACTTGCCTGTCTTTATAGAGCAGGTTAAGTTCGGAAGCGTCTAGCTGAAGACCTAAACCAGGAACCTTGTTGTTGATTTTCACCAGGATGGCCTCATCAGGCTCGTCACGTAGAATAAGCTCATTTGTCCCCAAATCTATGCTTATTCCAATATTTTCTCGGTATATGTTCCCCGGAACATGTCGGAATTGCACACGGATCTCCACTCTTTTTTAACATTAAAACACACCAATCAATCGCTACGTCAACTTGTACATACCCGTATGTTTCCATGAGCAGTAATAATTATTCTAACCTGTGTTTAATGAGGCCAGTGCCGACTCTGATTAGGAAAGGTACACCATCCCAACGTGCATTATCAATATACAGGGCTGCAGCGCAATATGTAGGGTCTACACCATTCAAGGTCACGCCGTTCTTCTCTCCAGGACTGGATTTGTACTGGCCAAGGATGGCATCACCCGGGTCTAGTTTGCGAATTGATCTCAAAACCTTCACCTGAAGAAGGAGGTTTGTCACCATGTCATTTGACAGAACAAGAGTAAACAAGTTATACATATCAGAAAACAATCTTCTTCTTTGTTTTCGTAGGCTGACCTTTTCATTCCGGATATCTTCACCATCAAGACTTATGGGAGGTTCCATGGTAAGTAATGCGATTGTCTGAAGTATATGGCTATGAACTATGTCACGTATTATTCCATATCCATCAGAATACCTTATAAAACAGTAGGAGTTAAAATAGCTGATGCCATTTCATTGTCTAAGCATGTATTAACAACACAAATTACTTTTCAAATGCAAAGAAATGCTGGAAATAGAACTACTGTGCCTTACTTTTCTGTTTGCGCAACTGATTCTGATACAATAACCTGCAAATATCATTGGTAGACAGAGGGAGAGTGAACAACTCAGAATGTGGAAGAGGAAAGTTTCAGGCACTATACACAAAATAAACGATCACAAGGAAAAGACACTAATACCTGCACATTGCGTATATATGTTCTGTTCCATAGTGGTTCAAAAACCAGATTTGAAAACCTTAACACTGTCAGATTTTCAATGAGATTTCTTCCTAACATGTGATCTATCCTGCAATGGGAATCCACAGAATGTCAGAAACCGCGAAGAAAGGTGAACCTGTGGGAAGCTGTTGTGCATGCAGAATTCAATTAGAGTTGAAAAAAGTACCTGTAGATCTGCCTCTCTTCAAACTTAGAGAGAAGTGACTTTGTCAACTGATGAGACGAGTGTGAGTTAAAACCAAAAGGTTTCTCAACTATTATACGAGTCCAGCCTCGTGGTGCCTTAGCTTTATCTCCAATGGTGCATGCCACATCCACAAGAGCTTCTTGAGGAACTGAGAGGTAAAATATCCTATTCGCTTTTGATTCTCCCTGAAGAACGTAGCTGTTAATGTATCTTTACTTCTTCTTGACACAAAATGTAACTTAAAAAAAACTATTGCATTATAAAGTTTTCTTACAAACCTCAATCTGTTTCATTCTCTCGTTAAGTCGGGACATCCCATCCTTGTTATTTTGACCTCCATTGATATAGTATGTTCTACTAAGAAAAGCATCCATCTTGTCCCCGCAATTTTCCCTGAGCATTTACGCATCATTATTTAGCTATTGCCATATACCGAATTTACCAAAAGTTAAGGTAGGAACAAGAAACGTATATACTGATGATCAACACGGCAAGTCAGATTTGACGCGATGATGGATCTGAGGTCTTCATCTGTCAGATTCTTTCTTGAAAACCCAAATATACCAACAGCCTGTGACATTTAAGACCAATGAAGAAGACGACCCCTTTCCCCCCCAAAAAAAACTATCACTTTCTGCTCACGAGCATAGAAACCATACCTCAGGAAAGTATCCGCTATAATACAGAGCAAACAGTGCAGGGAAAATCTTCCCTCTTGCTAGTTCACCAGTGGCTCCTACAACAGCAATGCAAAGTGAGGCTCCTCTTCGAACATCTGAAAAACCGTCCAAGAATTGTTTTGGCACAGATCCTAATTCTCCAACTTTGTAAGAACCATCAACCAAATCAGTTCCTAGAATGTTCTCTTCATGTCGCAAATCTGCAGCTCCAGCTTCTTCAGCAAAACCTGCACCACATTTTACCTCAGGAAGTGCTAAAAAAGGATCAACAGAGCAAGAGGAGATGTAAATGACTGTTTTTCTAGACCTAGACCTCGTTCATCGCTAAGGAAATTGTGCTCTGAGCGTGTTTTAAGTTCGTTTAAAGGCTGGTGCTTTCTATGGCTGCCTTGTCTAAGATTGAGGCTTTTAAGTATCCATAGTTTCAACCCACAAAATCTCCAGCAAAGATTCGAGCCTCCTCCGTTGAGCACAAGACTTTCATTTCTGAAGGAACTGTAGTAGTCTCTTGACAAAACCTACTCACACAAAAAGAGAATTCGAATTTCAACAACAGGAGCAGAGATCAAGTTCTAAGCTTTGATTCAGAGGCATGGAACAGGATTTAAATATATAGTACTAACCTTAGATTAAAATTTAGCTTAAACCAAGGTACTTTACTATCTTCAAAATCTCAGTTTAAAGCTCTCTACTGATATTTTGCTAACACGAAAGCATGCAAGAAAGCTGAAGGAGCTACGGCGAAAAGATGTGCTTACCGGAATATTAGAAAAGGAGGCGGCGCGGTGGCAAGAGCAGGCGGAGGACGAAGGACTAGGAGCCCTCGCTGATTGAGAGAGCGGAAGCAAGCAATTGGAGAGAGACATAGAAGCTGGGATATAGAGATTTTCCGTTTCTCTCGTCTCGAGGTTGGTTCCTCTCTGGGTTTATAGCTAACATGTTAAAAACTTAGAAGCTGCTTTAGCCATTAAGTGGAAGACGAGTGCAAGATTAAGTACTCTGGTTCCGGCTGCGGCTGATTCACGCCTGCATTAATGGTTCGCATTTGACTCAACTGAGTAAATTAACTCTCTAAATGGGTAATTAAACGTTTCTTAACAGTTTCACCATTTACGGCAAAGAAAGGTTCTTCTACATTGCAATTGGTTTGCTGGTCTACACATAGACCCGCGGCTCCGATAAACCGAACGGAACCGGTTGGTTATTGAGGAAAGGGGAATATTCGAATAATATAGTGGTAGGTTGACTTTGGCAGCTCAAAGTCAACGTCTCTTCTGGTACCGAGTCGGCGTCTGCGTTTCTCTCTCTCTTGGTGTTGCCTGTTGGTGAGATCACCTTCCACGCAACTTCTTCGATCTTATCTTCTCGAAAGTTCACACCTTTTTCTGCGACAAGACTTCTGTGATTCAAGTGTTGAGTACGATCACTGTTTTTTCACTTACTGTCTCTGTTTCAAGTTCTGGGTTTCCCTTACTTTAGTCTTTTTCTTAGGTTTTCACGGGTTTGGGCTTGTAATTCGATGGCGAGGAAGAAGATCAGAGAGTACGACTCCAAGAGACTTCTCAAGGAACACTTGAAACGTCTCGCTAATATTGACCTGCAAATTCGCTCTGCTCAGGTCACCCTCACGAAATTCTAGCTTTGTTCTCATCGAATCTGCTTTGAATGATCCATATGTTACCGCAATACCGCTTCAGTTGTGTTTGGTAGTTCAAAGCAATTGAAAATGATCCCAATTCCGTTGGAAATGATTTGGGGATATGGATATTGATGATTACCAAAGACTTCTATTTGAAACCTCTCTTACCTACCATCCATGTCTAGAACCAACAGGAGCATTGAAGTTAGAACTGAGTGTTTTGTCTAATACAGATGGGTAACTCGTTGACCGTGTCTACTTTTAGGTGACGCAATCTACGGATTTCACTGAGTTGACCAACCAAGAGTCATGGCTATCGTCTACAAAGCTGGTTGTGAAGCCTGATATGCTATTTGGAAAACGCGGAAAAAGTGGCTTGGTGGCTCTGAAGCTAGATCTTGCTGAAGTTGCGGAGTTTGTCAAAGTCCGCCTCGGTACCGAGGTGACACATCCCAGACCATGTAACAGAACAGTGAGCTTATAACTCTTGCTGTGTTATTGACGTGTGTTTTGTTATTTGTATCTTGTTGCAGGTCGAGATGGGTGGCTGTAAAGCTCCCATCACTACATTCATTGTGGAGCCCTTAGTGCCTCATGATCAAGAATACTATCTTTCTATAGTGTCTGATAGGCTTGGCTGCACTATAAGCTTCTCTGAATGTGGCGGCGTTGAAATAGAAGAGAACTGGGACAAAGTAACTACACTACCTTTTGTTGTGTCTATGCGTTTTCTTTTTCGACTCAGTTCTATATTGTTTTCTCACCTGAGAGCTTGGTTTTCTGGTATGAACAGGTGAAGACTATATTTCTTCCTGCGGAAAAGTCGATGACTCTAGAAGTATGTGCTCCATTGATAGCAACACTTCCTCTTGAGGTAAGTATCTGTTCGGTTTTGTTGTGCTTATATTCTCTGGTCTTTATATGGTGCTCTACTTTCGTTCCTATGCATATTCAAAGCTCTGCTAGGCTGAATTTAAGGCTTCTCAGTACGAAAGTCTATTGTCAAAAAGATTATTAATTTAGGTTGTTTCAAACTACTATGGTAAGCCTGCTCTGACAAATGCTTCTATCCATTTTCAGGTTCGAGCTAAAATCGGCAACTTCATAATGGGTGCGTTTGCTGTATTTCAAGGTATGGACATTGCAAGCATTTGTGCAAATACCGAAAAACTCTCTGACCCGAGATCTCTTGAGGACATTGGCGCTTATTACCTATTTGTGTGTTTTTCTTAAAAGATTTGGATTTCAGTTTTATGGAGATGAATCCTTTTACACTAGTTGACGGAGAGCCATACCCTCTGGATATGAGGGGGGAATTGGACGATACCGCTGCCTTCAAGAACTTCAACAAGTATGTCTTACTATGTTCTCAATTCTCATTTCAGAGATCCAATCAATTTCTTTTTTTCTGTGGGGACACTCACTAAACTGATGAGTCCTATCAACTATCATTCAGGTGGGGGGATATTGAGTTCCCTCTGCCATTTGGAAGGGTCCTCAGCCCAACGGAAAGCTTCATTCATGGCTTAGATGAGAAGGTTTTAACTGGACATGCTTGTCTTAAAACACCACTTCTGTGACTCTTTTTTAATTTTACTGATCCATTCGTGTGTGTGTAATAACATATTGCAGACAAGTGCTTCTTTGAAATTCACTGTTTTGAATCCTAAAGGCCGCATTTGGACAATGGTAGCTGGAGGCGGTGCTAGCGTCATATATGCTGATACGGTGAGTTTGAATCCCTGAGCTTAAGAATCAGCTCATGTTACTTAGGTTAAGAGTCGAAATTACAAAACTTGGAATCCCTGTGATATGAACCATTTCACAAGACTGGAAATTATTATGAGGACTCGAAAGAATATCTCACAAAGTCTTTCTGCTGTGCTTATCTGGTTTTGACAAGGTTGGGGATTTAGGATATGCATCAGAGCTCGGGAACTACGCTGAGTATAGTGGAGCACCTAATGAGGAAGAGGTGTTACAATACGCAAGAGTTGTCATTGATGTGAGTCATCAGCTTTTGCCATTCACTTGTTTTTCTCTATACAAATCCTAGAGATTCACTGACAATATGTTGGGGATTTCTCAGTGTGCTACTGCTGATCCTGATGGGCGTAAACGAGCACTTTTGATTGGAGGAGGCATTGCCAATTTCACCGATGTGGCAGCTACTTTTAATGGTATCATCCGAGCCCTAAGAGAAAAGGTACCTTTCTTTAACAACAGTTGCTACTGCATTTTGGTGAAGATGAGAGGAATGCCTACTAAGAATCGAATTGATGCTGGCGATTTGTAACGGTTTGTTTTGTGTGCGACGAGCAGGAAACAAGGTTGAAAGCATCAAGAATGCACCTTTACGTACGGAGAGGTGGACCAAATTACCAGACTGGTTTGGCTAGAATGAGAGCTCTGGGAGATGAACTCGGTGTTCCGCTAGAGGTGAACCACACTACTTATGGAATATTATCAGCTGTGTGAATAAGACTGTTACAGGCTAGGACTAGGACAAACGGTGAATACTGGACTTCATAGGGATTGATGATGAATGCAGGTATATGGACCAGAAGCAACGATGACTGGAATATGCAAACGAGCCATTGACTGCATCATGTTGCCTGACACATAACCTTACCTTCAGTCTTAGAAATGCAAAACACAAACTCGAAGCTGGAGACTGGGAGGAGTGTGCGAGTGTGTTGATTCCTGTTATTCATCTCTCTTTCCACTTGAGAAAATGAAAAGCTCTTTGAGACCTTTTTTCTTGTGTGGTTTGTGAATTTGAGAACTAAAACAAATTGTGTGTTGCAAGTGTAACTGTAATCAAACGGTCAAAATCCTTTTTTTAAAAATGTACAATAAGATTTCGTAAGTGGATAATGTTGTGCTAAGAGCAAAAACACAATTCCAGTTTCATATACAAACATGTGAGTATATATATTACACATCATATGTATCTCTATATATATATCCCTCCCTATCATCTGTTCATTCAAATGCAAAACCGAAAGAAAAAGAAATGAAGGAAAAAAAATACCAAATACAAGAACAAGAAGAAAATGCAGAAGAAGAAGCAACAACTTTAATGGTAATCTGATGATTATGCTCTCTTGCTCTGTGATCTTGAAACCGGTGTGCTTCTATCGGTATCCGAGTTGTCCTCCTGCGCTCTTCGTCCTCTCCGATCCTGCAAGTTGAATTCTTGCTTAAGTTTATACAAATTCTGCATTTCTGTTCATTAAAGGCAATACATAAAAGCAAGACTGACCTCTCTTGGTATGGGATATTCCTCAGACTCGAGCATACGCACAACTTGGCTCATTTTAGGCCTCTTCTCAGAATCAGGATCAATGCATCTAAGTGCTGTAAGAAGAACACGTTTCAATGCTCTGGTCGCTGGCTTTACCCCTACGTTTGGATCAATTACTTCTTCCAGTCTCTTAGATCCCACCATCATCTTCAACCACTCAACTAGATTCACCTGCAAAAAAACAGTGTATATGAGTCTCATCAAATCATCAAATTACATTCATCTCTCAATGGTCTATCTACCTCATTAGCAGGACGTGCGTAGTCCACAGGGTCTCTTCCGGTTATTGCTTCTAATACCAAAACACCAAAGCTGTACACATCACTCTTCTCATTCAAAAGTCCTGTATTCGCATATTCAGGAGCAACATACCTGCAACACTCAAACAAAAAGCATGGTTCAGCAATTCATTTCACTTTCCTTTTCTTCGAAGCAAAGTTGCATTATTACCCAAATGTTCCCATCACTCTAGTGGTCACATGGCTTTTCCCATCTCCAAGCAACTTGGCAAGGCCAAAATCAGAAACCTTTGCGTTGAATCTATCATCGATCAATATATTGCTCGACTTGATGTCTCTGTGCACTACTTTCGGTTCGATTGCCTCGTGTAGATACGCGAGCCTACACAGGACGAAACAAAACCATTCCTTTCAGCAAAAACCAACGTGAAAAGACTGAAAACAGAAAGGAATGTTGTGCTTAATTACGCCTTGGATGTGCAGATGAGAACTTTCATTCTAGCCTCCCAAGTTAAGTATCCGTGCTGTCTCATTGCTCCGTGAAGCCATTCTTCGAGGTTCCCATTGTTCATATACTCATAAACCAATATCCTAATAAAATTCCAAAAACTCACAAACTTTTAGTTTTCTTTTTTCTCTCTCTAATAAGGACAAAAAAGATTCAATCTTTATATACCTGTGTGTGCCTTCAATGCAGTATCCTAGAAGACGTACCAAGTTCTTGTGACGCACATGACCAATCGCATCAACCTCTACTCTAAACTCTTTCTCAGCCTGTCCCCTACAAAACCAGCAACAAGCAAAAATTTTCAGAATAAATCAACAACTCAAAACAGAGAACATAAACTCAGAGACCATAAACTTACAAATGGTTCAAGATCTTCTTCACGGCGACATGAGTCCCATTGGTCAGCTCTCCTCTGTACACAACTCCATATCCTCCTTCACCAATCACGTTTTCCTTTGAGAATCTGTTTGTTGCTATTTCAAGATCTCTCAGGGTAAACCAATGACCCCAACCAAGGTGTGACTCAGGTAAACCGGAAAGAGGTGATGGTGTTGCCATCTCATACAACGATGATGAAGACCGGTTCGCAACACACAGAGAACCTTCTTCCCCTGAGCCAGATCGGCTACTACTACTTACACCGTTCTTTCTCTTCTCCTCCACATCCAAGTTATACAAGAAGCTGTCAGATTCGTTTCTGTGTTCTTTCTGATGAGGATCGAAGCTTGAGACATGCTCGATTCTGACTTCCTTGATCTCTTTGGATATCGGAGGGGTTTGGATGATGGGAAGACTTAACGTTTTGGATATTCTTGATTTCTTTTTCCAAATGAGACAAAATGAAAGAAGAGAGAGTATGGCTATGATGAACAGCGCAATGGCGACAAAGGTTCCTTGCCAGACCTTAAGTCCAGACATTTTTCCTTCCTAATCTGCTTGATTCGAGCAAAGGAACAGAGGAAAGATAGAGAAGTAAATTATAGAAAGGAACTACATTAAAAGTGCGGTTGCATTAATGTTGAGGAGGAGACTCCAAGTTGATTAAAGTGGTCCCAATTTATACAAAAAGGACCACTATGGAGCTAAAAGCCACCCAGAGAAGGCAAGAAAATAACAGAATGCAGCAATCAATACATATCCATTATCCAATTAGAAGATGCATAAGACATACAATGTTGATGGAAATACAGAGAACAGAGACAAAACAAGTACTAAGGAAGATGAGGATCTAATGATTATTACCTCTAAGAAATAAGAATGAACAAGAACTTTTGCATGGAACTGGGGAAACAGAGTTTTTTTTTTTGTAAAGAAAAATGTTGAACTTTCTATGTGAAGAAGAAGAAGAACAAAGATATGACGATTTTTGTTTTTTAAAGTAAATAAATGAAAAAGGAGAAAACTTTAAAACGTGGGATGTGAAATCTGGTGGAAGAGAATAGGAGAAAGGAGAAGAGATGGAGTTATCAAGTGGTAGGTGATGAGACTTTCAGTCTTTGTTTTAATTGTTCTTATAATTATTTAGGTGGTGTGAGAAAGTGAGAGAGAAACAAAGGAGCTTGCATTGCAAATTACATCACATATAAAATCCTCTGCATGTACGTATATTATACATATTCGTATATGTATATAATATGCATTGATGCTGCATATAGCATAAAGTGTGTGGTTTATGATTTGAGTTAAAACACCAAAGGACTAATAAATATGAAATCACAAATACTTATTACTATATACAATTTGTGTAAACGAATCATGAGTTCGTGACGTAGTGGGAGCTGCCTAACCTATACAAATTAATTTTATTTTTCCGTCCACTCTGAATTAGTATATATATTATTGATTTTTTTTGTTTGTTTTAGATGTGAAACTGTAATTTATTCTTTTGGAATGTAAATTGTTGATCGTAACCTTGTATTGGCTTCATCTCTTTTTTTTTTTTATATTGGCTTCATCTCAATACACACACAATCACAGAACTGTTCCAAAACTATGGATTTGTTTAAATTTCCTTCTGAGTGCATCAAATTCATATATTGGTGGTATCTATAGTTAGATTTAGATACGTCATTAGTGTGTTGTGATTATTAGAGTATACCATTATTATGTAACAGACGTTATAACACCAATCTACAAGCAGAGCATCAAATTGGAGAATGTCTAAATATTTGCTCTCTCAATATATAAATAATATATATTCAGATTCCAGAGAGAGAGAGAGAGAGAGTTATAGTCTTCTAGAATAGCTTTGAGTTGTGAAGCAATTAGGAAGGAGGTTGCTTAATCTTTGTTCATCGTCGTCTCCTTGAAAGAGAAACTCCAACAAATTGAAATGCCTTCATTTGCAACATTCCTCCGTATTAATCGTATTTTTTTATTCTCAAATGCAGATCCCTCACACATTTGCGGGAAAACCAATGATGATCATTTGGTTTGGTTAGAAAGCCGGTTTAAATACAAAAAAATCCGAAATTCAATTCGGTTCTTCCATCTTATTTATTTTCACAAAAAAAAAAAACATTAACTATAACATTTTAACAAAATTTGGATATCCATAAAATAAAACCCATAATAGATACACAATGTTGGGCCCAAGTTGGATTTTGTTCAAATTTTAGAGCTATCAAATTCTCCCGCCTTCTCGGTCCACAACTTTTAGTCAAATCTCTCTCTCTCTCTCTCTCTCTCTCTCTGGCGGTGACAGTAGCAAATCAGCAATTAGACCTAAGATGGGACAGAGAGGTGAGCCGATTGAGTTCGGCGTTTTAATTCGTTCTTGGGTTGCTTTAAAATTTTGTTTTTTTTTGTGTGCTTCTAAGTAAGAATATGTATAACATGTAAAGGCTGGTGTTTTTGTGGCAGTTGATCTTTGGTCTGAGATAATTAAATCAGAAGAACAAGACGGAGATACATTCAGAGATATACCTAAGGTCGAAGTATATCAGAGAAGAAAGAAACTTGAGAAGCCCTCCAAAGCTGCAGACTCGTAATTTGCAAAACCCTCCTTGTGGTTTCTCTGCTTCTGCATAATTTTTTTTGTTTGGCTCTGTATCTAATAAGAATCTTTTATTTGGATGTGTATCTGAGAAATCGAGTCTGGTCGGTGAAAGGGGCTCGTACTAGCTTGATCAACGGACCCAAGAGAGATAGCTGGACTCGTTCTCTTTCCACCAGGTTACATCCTGAGCATAACCCCAATTTTTCATTTTTCTTCTGGTTCTAGGTTTTTGCATGCTGCTGCAATCCATCTCGTTCTTCTTTCTTCTTTTGTTTGTCGCCTATCCGATTCTATTTTAAGTTATGAAATTATTGCACACCTCTTGTTTGTTGAAATGTCAAGGAAGTGCCACCAAATTGTTTTTTAGTAGGCTGATGTAAGGCTTGATAACTGTAAACGAAGCCGCTCGTATCTGACTTTTGGTGCTTGTGACAGAGGGAGAGAGAGTATTGCGGTGGGCGCTTACGTCAACAATCAGCCTGACAAGAAGCCACCCAGGAGGAAAAATCCCGCTATCCCAAAGGTAGGCTTCGTTGTACCTATCTTGTTCAATGGCTTATGTGTTTTTTTATATGAAGTCTAGAGTTCTCTGAACAAACATTTTCTTGTCTCTGGATTCTCATTGTCTCCTACAAGATGGTCAAAATGTGTTTTTCTCCTTTCTCCTGACTCTAAAAGCATTGTCTTTTCAAACTGTCAGGGAAAAGTTGTTAAAGCTCCAGACTTCCAGAAAGAAAAGGATTACTTTCATGAGGTTGATGCTTTTGAGCTTCTAGAAGAGAGTCCCTCTCCCAAGACCAAGAATTCTAGTACATGGACCATGGGTGAACAAGTTGTTCCTGAGGTGCCACATCTGTCCACAAGATTAGAAAAATGGCTCATCTCGAAGAAGTTGAATCTTGCTTGTGGGCCTTCGAGCACACTCTCTAAGATACTTGAAAACTCAAACTCAGTCACACGCCTGGAGCCAATATATGATGATGATTCATTTGATCCATTGACTCTAAAAACCCCGGAAAATTCTTCTGCTAGCGACACTCCACTTTTCCGGCTCATCCCGAGTGAAGAATGCTTAGATGCCGAAGATATGCCTGTTAGAAAAATCAAGGTGGAAGAAATCGACCTTGAAGATGAGCTGAAACGACTGTCTTTGACGTCTGATCTGACCTCCACTCATCTAGATTTTACCAAGCCGTTACGTGATCTCTTGTCCGCCTGTGGCCAGGTGCAACCATCAAACTTCGTGGAAGCATTTTCTAAATTCTGGTATGGACCTAGAAATGATCCTTTAGCATTGAGTGCTTGTCTATTGCTTTGCCGTGCTATCTTAGGAATGCTCTGCAATTTTGGTTGACTCTTTGGTAAACCCTGGTTAAGAAATTTGATGTTACTGTTCTTATCTCACTGAGTTTAACTTAAACCGATTATAAATACGACTTTACCACTGCAGTGAACCAGAAAGCATTGTCAAGATTGGTGAAGGTACATATGGGGAGGCTTTTCGGGCTGGTCATAGTGTCTGTAAAATAGTTCCAATAGATGGAGACTTCAGGGTTAATGGAGAAATACAGAAGGTATTTTTCTTACCTCACTTCTATTCTTCTCCATGATGGTTTGAGCTACAACTTCTAGTTGGTGAAATGATCATTGTAGTATCAGGGGAAATATTGGAGAGGCCAGCAAGTGAAAGTTTTGGTTAAATCCTATGTAGAGAAGAACATAGTGTTTATAATTTAGATAAACTTATAATCTTTAGAAAAATGCAATGATGCGCAAGGAAAGGCAGGCATTTTCTCACATCATATACTATATGGATAAGTTACGGCTAATGTCATGCAAATACTTACAGCATATCAAAGAGAATATTATAACAAATGAAATCTTATTATATGTTCATTTGTTGCAGAGAGCTGACGAACTGCTCGAGGAAGTGATTCTCTCATGGACTCTTAATCAACTTAGAGAATGTGAGACTGAAACTCAGAATTCGTGCCCCACGTTCATAAAAACTCAAGAGTACGTCTTCTCAGGAACTAAAATAAGCCGGAGATGTCTGTTGGATTTGTGTTATAAATGTTCTAGAAAACTTTTGTGCATATAATGTATTTGCAGTTTAAAAGTATGCCAAGGTCCCTATGACCCGGTACTGATAAAAGCATGGGAAGAATGGGATGCAAAAAATGGCTCTGAGAATGATCACCCAGATTTTCCGGAGAAACAAGTCAGATTCTTTTCACTTCATTAGATTTCAAAAAGCTCTGTTTATGTAGGATGCTGTATAATCTGTAGAAATAATATTTATTTGCCGTGTGGTGCTTTCTTCCAGTGTTATGTCATGTTTGTTCTGGAACATGGTGGGAAAGATCTTGAAAGCTTCGTACTTTTGAATTTTGATGAAGCACGGAGCTTATTGGTGCAGGTAAGCTATAGACTCTATTTCCCGTAACAGAGATTGAGTAAATGGTTTTTGCTTCCAGTTAATAGTATGCGCTTCACATATAAGGTTATGGCTGGCCTAGCAATTGCTGAAGCTGCTTTTGAGTTCGAGCACCGAGACCTGCACTGGTAAGCTTAGTATTAAATTTGGTATAGTTTACTACTTGCTACTAGTATTCTCTCGCCTGAGTTTTCTTTGTTTCTTTTTTCTTAATTCAGGGGAAACATTCTTCTGAGTCGTAATGACTCGAGTACTCTGCCTTTTATTCTCGAGGGGAAACAAGTTTTCATCAAAACTTTTGGAGTACAGATATCCATAATTGACTTTACTCTTTCAAGAATCAATACAGGTGAGTTTCTGGTTCTCAAGACTGTGATATAATGTAAACCATGAGGCCCTGTCTAATACTTAACTACCAATTTTCATGGTGCTAATGTGATTAGGTGAAAAGATACTCTTTCTTGACCTTACCTCTGATCCATACCTTTTCAAAGGACCAAAAGGAGATAAACAAGTAAGGAATTTATTCTAGCTCCCAGTTATTTCAAGAGCTATGATAATTATATATTTTATTTCAGCTTTTAATAATGTCATATTGCAGTCGGAAACTTACAGAAAGATGAAGGCGGTTACTGAAGATTGCTGGGAAGGACAGTAAGTGTAACTCTTTCAAGCCTTTTTTAGTTCTTACGCCATTAACTTGGAAATTTCTGCAGATTAGTAGAGTATAGCAATAAGTAACAACAATATTATTTCTCTCTAAAAAACTTGAGACTATGGTGATCATTGAGCGGCCAAATCGAAGTGTGCTTAAATGATGATTTGCTAATTTTTATATTTGCCTTGTTTTGTCTCTTGTTCTTTCTAAACAACAGCTTCGCTCGAACAAATGTTCTCTGGTTAATCTATCTGGTGGATCTCTTACTGACCAAGAAGTCGTTTGTAAGTTTGCAGGACACGAAGCTGATATTTAGCTGTCTCAAGTTAGAAAAGCCTATTGATACTCCTTTCTTTTGTGCGTCTATGTTTCAGGAGCGGTCTTCGAAAGACGAAAGAGAATTACGGTCACTGAAGAAGCGGATGGAGAAGTATAAATCAGCTAAAGAGGCTTTTTCAGATCCTTTCTTGTCAGATATGTTGATGGACCAAATCTCATGAAGAATACAATAAATCCCATAAGTTAGTAACCAGAATCTCCCCCTATCTCTCTCTCTCTCTTGTAAATTTGTTTGCCCTAACCACTAAAATCAACAGCGTATTAGCTCTTGTTTCATGGTATTCCTTTTGAAATTGTTTATCAAGGAACTATCTATACCAATCTTGATTTTCATCTCTTCAAATGAATACAAGAACTAATATGTTAAATCTTTTTTGTGTGTGACAATAGTTTAATTGGTAGCTTTTGTCTATCCACATGCTTTTGAGCCCATGTATTCTTTTTAGAAGAAAGTATCACGATCCACCAATTCCACATGGGTTGTCTCTACTTGCATGAATAGATCTTCTTATCTCAAGAACAATTGTACATACAAAAAAACATACGTCTTTATTATTGTAATGAGCAAAGAACAATATTCAAACATGTAGATGTCGAGGATAGATGAGAAATTTGCTTTAAAATTAGGACAATATGTTAATCCATTAAACAGCTAACAGAGCTTTACGTTCTCTGCTTTTTTCAATCTCTTTCCGCTTTGAAGATTTCTTTAAATCTTTGTGGGTTTTGCTGAGCTAAGCAAAAGATGATCCATTGTATTAATTAATTTCATGATCTTAATCTGCAGCACCAGTCTCTCTTCCTTTTTCTCCTTTTCGGATAAGAGAAATAAAAAAAATAGCAATTTGCAGCTTCTTTCTTGAAAACTTTGCAGAACTTTATGCATATGCTAATGTCTGAAAACGGATCTGACAAAATGGGTTTTTTTTCTTTCTTTTTTGTTATAACATAAGGTAAAAGCTTATATCTTTGCACACACATATATAAAGTAAAGAAACAGATGAGATTAGTCATAGGCCAAATCCAAAAGACTTCATAGCAAAGCAAACATCTTTTCTCTTTATATTTTCTTACTTAGTCATTTGCATGTAAAATACAGTCAGCCTCTCCCCTCTTTCTCCCCCTAATTTTCTCGAGAGAATCTCAAAGCTTTTGTTTTGGCTTCTTTATTCCATCTTCTTCACACCATTATGTACTTATAAACCCCAAGAAAGAAGAACGTAATAAAAAAAACAAAATCAATCTCAAGCTCTGATGGCGAAACAGAGTTACTTCTTCTTGTTTCTTTCTCTTGTCTCACTCTGTTCCTCAACAACAACACATCATGATGTCATAAACCCACCAACGGTCTTCCCAACAAACCCCACAACTACACCGCCGGCTACTACATTTCCTCCGGTGACCATAACGCCGACAAATCCTGCCACAACAGGTCCTCTTAACCCTCCAGTCGTAACAGTTCCTGCTACACTTACACCACCTGTGACCAACCCAGTGACACAGTATCCTCCAACACAACCCACAGGGACGGTTCCGGTTCCTGTGATTCCCCCACCAGCTGTTGTCTCAAACTCTCCGTCGGTTCCTGTGATTCCCCCACCAGCTGTTGTCTCAAACTCTCCATCGGTTCCAGGTCAAAGCTGGTGCGTGGCAAAGCCTGGAGCCTCTCAAACCTCAATCCAACTGGCTCTTGACTATGCATGCGGGCTCGGTGGAGCGGATTGCTCTCAGATACAGCAAGGAGGCAACTGTTATTCGCCTATCAGTCTTCAGAGTCATGCCTCATTTGCCTTCAACAGCTATTACCAGAAGAACCCTTCTCCACAAAGCTGCGATTTTGGCGGTGCTGCCTCAGTAGTTAGCACCAACCCAAGTGAGTGACAAAGAAACAGAGGATAGATATACTCTGTTTTTTCTTTTGCTTCTTCTTGTTTTTTCTGTTAGATACTTTTGCTTGACTTAGTTTTGAATTGTTTGTTCCCCAAAACAGGCAGTGGTTCTTGCGTATACCAGACAGGTTCATCGACATCAGCAGGAACAACAACGCCAACTCCATCGACACAAACAGTGAACCAGCCTCCTGTCACATCAACACCTACAATACCAACAGGAGGCGGAATAATCGGGTAATAAGAGCATTTCTTTAAACTCTTGTTCTGTCTTAAAAAGCCTCGTTAGAGTTTCTTAACTGAAAAATGTACCTCCCTGTATTTTTTTTTTATATTCAAGGGTTGGAACTCCACCAGCGGTTTTTAACCCGGCGAATCCTTCATCAAATACTCTGACCAATCCAACATCAGGAGGTTCAGCGGTTTACGGGTTTGATGGATCGCCTAATGGGAACAATCCAACACCATCAGTCTCCACACATTTGCAGATTCACTTTGTTCACACTATGGTGGTAACACTGATTCTTCACGCATTGCTATTTCATTAGAAGTAGAATACGTAGGAGATGAATTAGTTTTATGGCATAGTTTTGCGCAAGTTCAGGCTCATTTAGAGTATCGTTACAAGAAGAAGCTAGAGTATTGTAAGACATTATAAATTTGTTTGGTTCAACGGGCTTGCTCTTGTACAGAAAAAACCTCGGTTGTTTCTTTTTTTAAAGTATATCTCTTTTAGGACCAAAGCAGAAACTCAGATGTTATAACAAAGAGGCTGTAATCTTAAAAATCCTTCCTCAGCTCCTGATCAATTCTCCTTTGATTCTCCACCTGCTCCAGAAAGATACAGTCTTTACTGCATAAACCAAAAGTAAATCACAGAAAGAAAAAAAAAAAAGAGCAGCTAAAACACATGTATGTAAAAATTGCAAAATACATATACATCCTATATATAAAGATGGAAAGTTTTTTCTCTCATTTGAAAAACTAAAGGCAGCCTAAAGCAACATAAATGGCATCAAACTCTGGTGTAATTACATCGAGAGAGATTATTCGAAACAGAAGGTGAGTCTTGCGTGAATTGTGTAATTTCGTTTGCTTGTTTCTGTTCTCTCCCACTTCACTTCCAGGAGAATAGCTGATTGCTGCATATGGTTTTATCTCAAAGGATATGTCTCTCGCGAATCGTTACAAGAAAATCCCACTTTTTGGCAAGTGCCCTTGTTACCAGATCAGATGATTTCATCCCCAAGTCCGTCAGATGCTTGGATTCGGACCTGATCTATAACGCACACAAGGTGTTCGACGAAATTCCAAACTTGAATATTATTTCTGCTACAGCAGTAATTGGCCGCTTTGTGAAGCAAAACAGACATTTAGAAGCAATTGATGCTTTTAAAAGGTTGTTGCTTTTGGGTATCAGACCAAACGAGTTCACGTTCGGCACGGTCATTGGGTCATCTACATCTTCAAAAGATGTCAAATTGGGCAAGCAGCTACATGGTTATGCGTTAAAGATGGGACTAGCCTCGAATGTGTTTGTTGGTAGTGCGGTTCTAAACTGTTATGTGAAGCTGAGCACATTGATAGATGCTCGAAGAAGCTTTGGTGATACGAGAGACCCAAATGTTGTCTCTATGACCAATTTGATAAGTGGGTATTTTAAGAAACATGAGTTTGAGGAAGCACTTTCTTTGTTCAGAGCAATGTCAGAGAGAAGTGTTGTTACTTGGAACGCAGTGATTGGTGGGTTCAGCCAGACTGGAAGGAATGAAGAAGCTGTGAGTACTTTTGTGGATATGTTGAAGGAAGGTGTGGTGATACCTAATGAATCAACTTTTCCTTGTACTATAACAGCTATATCCAATATAGCTTCTCATGGTGTTGGTAAAAGTATTCATGCCTGCGCGATCAAGTTCTTGGGTCAGCGATTCAGTGTCTTTGTTGGGAATTCTCTGATTAGCTTTTACTCGAAATGTGGGAACATGGAAGATAGTCTTTTGGCTTTCGAAAAGCTCCAAGAAGAGGAACGTAACATCGTTTCTTGGAACTCTATGATATGGGGTTACGCGCACAACGGAAGAGGAGAAGAAGCTATAGCTATGTTTGAGAAAATGATCAGAGACACGAACCTGAAACAAAACAATGTGACGCTTCTTGGACTATTGTTTGCGTGTAACCACGCGGGCTTAATCCATGAAGGGTACTTGTATTTCAACAAAGCAGTGAATGATTATGATAATCCAAACCTGCTACAACCTGAGCACTACGCTTGTATGTTGAATATGCTTTCTAGGTCAGGTCGTTTCAAAGAAGCAGAGGAGCTAATCAAAAGTATGCCTCTTGACCCGGGAATCGGGTTTTGGAAGGCATTGCTCGGGGGATGCCAGATTCACTCGAATGAGCGTCTGGCTAATTTAGCGGCGTCCAAGATCCTGGAGAAGGATCCCAGAGATGTTTCATCATACGTTATGCTTTCAAATGCTTACTCTGCTGCAGAAAAGTGGCAGAAAGTGTCGGGAATACGGAGGAAGATGAAGGAAATGGGGTTAAAGCGTATTTCGGGATGTAGTTGGATTGAACTTAGAGGCCAAGTTTGTGTATTTGTCAATGCTGACAAGAACAACAAACTGAAGGATGAAGTCTATAAGATGTTATCACTTATTACACAATATATTGAGGAAGACTTCTGAAAGCAACGGCAATGTTTAATACAAAATAGAATAGCAATCTTCTTGGGGCTAAAAAAAACTAAAGGAAGAGAGATGGGTGGCTAAGGAAAGGTTCTTTGCGTCACCGGAGCTGTTGTCTCAAACTCTCCATCGGTTCCAGGTCAAATACTCTGACCAACCCATCCTCGGAAGGTTCAGCGGTTTACGGGTTTGATGGATCACCTAACGGGAACAATCCAACACCATCAGGCTCCACCCATTTGCAGATTCACTTTGGTCACACTATGGTGGTAACACTGATTCTTCACGCATTGCTATTTCATTAGAAGTAGAATATGTAGGAGTTGAATTAGTTGCTAGAGTATTGTAAGACATTATAAATTTGGTTGGTTCAACGGGCTTGCTCTTGTACAGAAAAAGACCTCTGTTGTTTCTTTTTTAAGTATATCTCTTTTAGGAACAAAGCAGAAACTCAGATGTTATAACAAAGAGGCTGTAATCTTAAAAAATCATTCATACACTGTAGGATACGGTCTATCTACTTTAATATGATCTAAAACTGACTTCGTTCTAACTCAACGCCTAGACAAGGCAACTAATATCAGCATCGACATGGAGACAACAATCTTGAAACCTGATTTGTCCCAGAAGTTTTTGTTACTAAAAGAATCAGCTTCATGCTGTTTTTTCGCAGCCAATTGCTCCTTGAGCTCTTGGATTGCCATGTCGTTTCGCTCTCCCAACTACCAAGTGAAAGACAACTCAATTGGTACTGTATTCACAAAAATTACTATATATACCAAGTGAAAGCAAGTGAAATTTACCTTGTGGAGTTTTCGAGTTTGGATGCGTGTTTCTCGAAGGCAAAACTCTAGCTTCAGCACCTTCTTCCTCAGCTCCTGATCAATTCTCCTTTGATTCTCCACCTGCTCCAGAAAGATACAGGCTTTACTTCATAAAACCAAAAATAAACCACAGAAAAAAAAGAGAAGCTAAAACATGTGTTGTTACCTGATCTTCTAATTCCTTAGTCTTAAACCTCCAGTGAGCCGATATGATCTTTAGCTCATCTCTTAGTCTTGCTATTTCATCATCTTTAGTCGTCAAAAGTTTGTTGATTCTTTCAAAGTTCTTTGGAGCATCTTCATCTACCACTTTCCGTACCTCGAAACTCTCCGTTGTCCTGACCACTGATACAGCACGCATGATGTCACCTTCAACTTTCAAAACCTCATCTCTTAGCTGCTTCTGTGAAGATTCTCTAGCTTGAATCTCCTTTCGTAAATTCTCTAGCTGCTCGCCGAGTCTAGTTACTTGGTCCTCATGCTGTTTCAAGGAACCGGTTCTCTCATGCAAGTGTTTCGAAAGGACTCTACACTGAGACTGAGCTGATTCAGCCGACAAAGCGCTTGCCTCTGCAGTTGCCTGTGTTGCTGCAAGCTGTGACTTGATATCACCCAATTCCTTCACATACTACACAAACAAGACCCAAGAAAGCAGAAAAATTGAAAAATTAAATCTACTGAATTTTGGCATCTTTTAAGACCATGGTCAGATTCAGAGAACAATGGAGGACCAGCAATTTTTGAAGAGTCAGACATAAGAAGGCTGAAGGACTAAACAATCAAAATCAAGTTGATGCTATCACAGATCTATGTCTTCAAGCGGAACCAAGCGATTTAGAGAAACTGGACCATCAAGAAATGTTAAACAACAACCCTAACCTTCTCAGTAGCCGCATCCGATGCACGAATCTGCTCAACTTTTTTGTTTAACTCCTCAGAAAGCTCGAGCATTTCATCTTCCATCCTCTTAACTCTTGTTTCTGCTTCCTGCTCATGTAGAAAGCACGAACCAAAGTCTCAACACCGAAACCAAAATCTAAGCAAAAAAAAGAGAGTAATAGATGACAATATGAATGAGCTTGCTTGCCTGTCTCGACATTACTTCTTGTGAACACGAGCGCTCCTGTTCCACGAGACGAGTCCTTGCTTGTTTCAACTCAGTAGCCAAAGACACCACATTTCTCCTGAAACTCTGCTTCTTCTCACTCAGGTCCTTCAACAGAGGATCATCTTCTCTTAAGCTAACAGAAGTCGGCATTTTCTCGATTGAATGAAGATCACCGTTCTTCAATCTAGACAGTTGAAAATTCCTCAGAGAAACCCAAATTTAAAAACGGGAAATGGATCTATTCATGTTCATCACGTGACCCTGAACATAACGAAGAAAATCTCGAATGAAAACACATAAATGCCCAATCTCAGTTTAATTAAGAACGTGAAATCAAATCTGTCCACAAGAATTAAATCCTCTAATATTCAACATCTTGTAATTACAGCCACTAAAAAAAACTCTAACGAGCCAGAGAATACGCAAGAGAGACAAAGAAACTCGTGCCGTCCCTTTCGGGTCAATAAAGAAACATGATAAAGGCCACTACTTTTAAGTAAGTATACAGCCAAAAAAAAGGTGATATTTTTGAAAAAAAAAATGAATCTCTTACGGATTTTTGCTTTTGATTTTTTGAATCTTCAAACCCTAAAAATCCAAACTTTATCGCGACCCACCAGTCTCCATCGTCGTCATTACTCAACAGCTCCCCGAGATAGAAAACCCAGAAGGGCGAATCTGACGGCTACGGTTTAGAGTCTATAATTGAATCAAACGGTTGGAAATTAGGCTATTTGGTTTTATATAGGAAGAAGAATCAATTTGCAGATTCTTTCAAGTTAGTGATTTTTCCACAGAGGAGGAAAGAGACAGAGAAAACGAACCTGGATGGGGTCCGTATTCTTTTAGGTTCGGATGAAGATTATTTAAGGTAAATAGCAAAAATGTTTTGCTTCGGGTGTAACCGAGCCTAGTGCCTCGGGTTTTGTGTCATTTAAGGCAACGAGTCCTACGCATCAGGCAGGCTCGAGTTCAGTTGCTACTTGGTAGGGTTTGACTGAAGCGCGGCAAAATCTATTGTTTTTTTAACATTCGAATTATAGAAAGCCACTGTAGCCACACTACTACACAGTGTAGTAGTACTATTCAAATTCGCATATTCCATGTTATTAAAAAGATATTAGTTTATTTTTTTATATGATCAAAAACTAGTGGAGCATATAGTTTACTAATGATGAAGTATCATCAACGCATATAATTGCAATGTAGAATTCTATCCTCCATACGGTAAAACAGTAAAAAAAAAATGTACACGACTGACTTCTGTCACTTTGCGACACCACTCACTTTATTTCCGTCTTTGACCAAAATTACAAAACCTACTACTCATGGACATCTCTCTTCTCTTCATCTAAAACAATTGATCATTCATTATAAAAATAAGAGAGATGAACGGCGGAGGAAAGGTGGTCTGCGTCACCGGAGCTTCCGGTTACATAGCGTCTTGGATTGTTAAGCTTTTGCTCATCCGTGGCTACACCGTCAGGGCCACCGTTCGAGATCCATGTTTGTTCCCACTTCTCTCTTTTACTTTCCCTTGTATATATATATCGTTTTTTTTTACAATTTTTGGATACCTCTCCAGCCAGATTTCAGTTCTTTAAACATTTCCCAGAGTTGGCGAAAATAAATGAACATTTTTTCCCTCGTAGAGAAAATAAAACCATTTATTAGAAGCTCAAAAAAAAAAAAAAAAAAACCGTTTACTCTGAGAAGAAAGAAAGAACAAGCATTGGTAGGGATAATTAAGGGTAGGCCAGCAAAATCTAATTGAATAATCTGATCAAATTTCTCGTTTTCCTGGCTCTACCTTTTTGCATAAAAACCAATAATATCCATATCCAATTTAGACCATAAAATCCACACTGAAACTTTTTTTGATCGGTGACATATATATGTTTTTATTTTATTTTTATTTTTAAGCTTAGGTATTATGTTGTGTTTTGACATATTTTTTCTTTAGCGGACACGAAGAAAACAGAACATCTTCTTGCACTTGACGGTGCAAAAGAAAGACTCAAATTGTTCAAAGCAGATCTTTTGGAAGAATGTTCCTTCGAGCAAGCTATCGAAGGTTGTGACGCTATCTTCCATACCGCTTCTCCGGTTAAATTCATCGTCACGGATCCTCAGGTTTGCTGTGGGAAACTCAATATGCATATATTAAGCTTAATTATACTATTAATTAGCAGAAGCATTTCTAACGTTTTAGATTTCTTATAAAGCAAATTTATCAAAATATTTTTTCAGACCGAGCTGATTGATCCAGCGGTGAAGGGAACTATTAACGTCCTTAATACATGCAAAAAGGTTTCCTCTGTCAAAAGGGTCATTGTAACATCATCAATGGCTGCGGTTCTTGTTCATCGATTCCCTTTAGGACCAAGCGACGTGGTGGACGAGACCTTCTTCTCCGATCCAAGTGTCTGCATGGAATCAAAGGTTCTTTAATTTGATTTTGTTTTGTGACATATCAGTTTTGAGAGTTCAGATTCTTTCCTTACATTTTTTTTCATTTTTCTTCTTGCAGTATTGGTATCCACTCTCCAAGACTTTGGCAGAGGATGCAGCGTGGCAACTTGCCAAAGACAACGGGATCGACATGGTTGTGATGAATCCAGGATTTACAATCGGACCACTTTTGCAACCGACTCTTAATTTTTCGGTGGGGATCATTGTGGATATGGTAAATGGTACGAACCCTTTCAACAGTAGATACTACAGGTTCGTGGACGTGAGAGATGTTGCATTCGCTCATGTCAAAGCGTTGGAGACTCCTTTAGCCAATGGCAGGTACATCCTCGATGGTCCAAGTATGACAATGAACGACATTAGAGAGATTATACATGAGTTATTTCCAGAGTTGTGTCTTGCTAACACGTGAGTTCTCTTTCATTTCATCTCTACTTATCATCATAGACTAAGTCCATAAATTTAACCAAGGGATGTTTCAAAAACTTAACATCGATCTTTTGATTTTGTTTTAGGATTGGAGAAGATGAGATGGGTGGAATGATTTACAAAGTTTGTTTGGAGAAAGTGAAGAATTTGGGAGTTGAGTTCACTCCTATGAAATCAAGCCTTAGAGACACTATTATTAGCCTCAAGGAAAAATGTCATTTATGATCCTGTTCATATATATATAAAAAAATTGCTATGTAATAAGTTATGGAGACTTTTTCAAATGTATTGACTGATATGTCTAAGCATTTTCTGATAATAAATAGTTGTATTACTTGTTTGGACTAAAATCAAGGTAAATCATTTAGCAGCACATATAATTTAGTTTAGCAAAATCATTTAGCGCAACATACACTTTTGTTTTATATATATATATATATATATAAGTTGCCAAAGACAAAAAAAAAAAAAAAAGAAATATATATAGTGATAAAATATGTTTTCCCAATGAGGGAAAAAATAGCAAAACCACATGTATTATGAAAGGCCGGGACGAGATTATGTTGCTAGTGTTGTCACACGTGGAAACCAAAGAGATGAGGTTGCGTGTAAAATATATGCCACTGTATATAAAGAGGGAAAGTTGATTCTCATTTGAAAAACTAAAGGCAGCCACACCAATCATATACTAATCAGATAAAGTAAGAGAGATGAGCGGCCAAGGAAAGGTTGTCTGCGTAACCGGAGCTTCCGGTTACATAGCGTCATGGATCGTGAAGCTTTTGCTCCTCCGTGGCTACACCGTCAAAGCCACCGTTCGAGACCCAAGTTTGTTCCCTCGACCCCTCTCTTTTCTGACAAGAAAGTACTTATGGTTTTAAAATCTAGTTCAAAAAAAAAAAAAATACTTATGGTTTTTGGTTTTTGTTCTTTCTTAAAAGCCAAAAACACACGCGCCAATTAAGAGCCTACAGGCAATTAGGGGTTGTTCTAGTTCGATTTGACTTCTCTAAGTTGGTTTGGTATCATTTTTCAAAAAAAAAAAAAAAAATGGTTTGGTACAATCTATTCGTTCAAAACTTGACTTATAGGTTTTGAAATCTAGAATATTTTCTGTTAAAGACTAAATCGTACCCAAAGCTAAACGCAATTTATTCACCTCCAATTCGGCTATTTTAACTTTTTATATGGAAAATGGCAAGGGACTATAAATTTCAACAAACTACAGCTGAAATGAACTGATGTAAATATTATACGTTACGTTTTGATGTTAATAAACGGAGTGAGAGAAGAATAAACCTAAAGAAGCATTCATCTTATCTTGAAAGTGCACTTTGACATACGTATGTGTTTATCTCCAGAGGATAAAAAGAAAACAGATCATCTTCTTGCGCTTGACGGCGCAAAAGAAAGGCTCCAATTACTCAAAGCAAACCTTGTAGAAGAAGGTTCTTTCGAGCATGCAATTGACGGATGTGAGGCTGTCTTCCACACTGCTTCACCGGTTGCACTTACTGTCACTGATCCTCAGGTTCGTCAGCAGAGATATATTTTTACTAAAATTACTTGCTTGATTTATTGTTAGGAATCTCACATGTGAAGTACGAATATATAAGAAAAAAAAATCTAACATTTACTATCTATTTGAAGGCTGAGCTGATCGAACCCGCGGTCAAGGGCACTATCAACGTCCTAAAAACATGCACTAAAGTGTCTTCTGTCAAGAGGGTCATCGTAACATCATCCATGGCCGCTGTTCTTTCTCCCAAACCCCCCTTGGGACCAAACGACTTAGTAGACGAAACGACTTTCTCTGATCCAAGCGTTTGTGAGGATGAAAAGGTCTTTACATTGTGTGCTTGATACATCACTGAGCTATGACAACTTGCATTTTGACCTTTTTGTATTTGTCCTATATATCCAGCAATGGTATGTACTCTCCAAGACTTTGGCCGAGGATGCAGCATGGCGTTTTGCCAAGGCCAACAACATCGACTTGATCGTAATGAATCCAGGACTTGTGATTGGACCAGCCCTGCAGCCAACTCTGAATTTCTCTGTGGATGTGGTTGTTGATTTTATAAACGGTAACAACCTTTTTAATAGGAGATACCATAGGCTCGTGGACGTAAGAGATGTTGCTCTTGCTCATGTCAAGGCACTCGAGACTCCTTCAGCCAACGGCAGATATATCATTGATGGTCCGATTGTGACAACAAAAGACATTGAAAAAGTGCTGCGAGAATTCTTTCCTGATTTGAGCATTGCTGATAAGTGAGTTTCCTTTTCTTCTTTCATCTATTTATAAATCATACTCATGTTTTGATTCTACAAAACACTCTTTTGATTTATATTTTAGGAATGAAGGCATGGATATGAATTCGATGACTTACAAAGTCAGTGTGGAGAAGTTGAAAAGTTTGGGAATTGAACTCACTCCTACGGAAACAAGCCTTAGAGACACTGTTCTTAGTCTCAAGGAGAAATGTCTTGTGTAATCACTTCAATTGTTATTTTCTAGTTTCTATTGATTAAATACTATACTTTTGATCAATTATAAGTAAAGTAAGTTAATTTTGCATCCTCGACCCTTTTGATGTCTATCTTATGCCCATAGATAGGATACAGCATTCTCAATTGAATCATGGATAAACAAGAATAACATTTCCCAATCAATCACCAGATTATATAGGCTTTTTGTCAGACACAGATACATAGGAGGGAGGAGTTATTAGAAATCTAACACTTCACAGTTCCTTCACAGTTCCACGGATTCCTAAAAGAAAAGTAAAGACTGAAAAAAAAAAAAAATGAAGGAGATCACTTACATAATCTACATGAAACTCGAATCAGAATCTGCAGCTTGTTTCATCAGAAGAAGAAATGCTTCAAAGCGGTGATAAACTATCTCTGAGTGGCATTGATATCACTTAGAAGAAGCATCACTCTCCTGCTTAACTCTAGCCATTTGCACTCCCGGACTCTGTTTCTTGCGTTGACCCGAACTGCTGGTGGTGGCGGGGCTCTCTGTCTCTTTCGCAGCGCCATTCGATGCGGGACTCATCTTTGGTTTCTGATCTCGACTAGCGGAGACCTCCACGGAGGCTTCTTTAGGCTTTGGAATGGCCAGCCTTGCCTTCTCCTTCGCCTCCAGCTTGACCACGTCCTCAAGAGCCTCGCGTGCTCTCTTTCTCGCCACCGCGGCTTCTCTTCCTCTCCGTTCAGCTTCGCATTTAGCGGCGGTGACGGCCTTGTTCATGGACGATGCAGCGATCTTGGCGGCGCATAGAAAGGCTTCCGACAGGGATTTGTCGACGGAGCGGCCGCCGTCGCTGTCGATGATAAGTCGGAAGAAGGAGAAGGAATCGTCCCGGCAAGGAGGACAGACGTAAGAAGAGGGGTTTGCGTCGCCGGCGCATTGGGTGTGAGTCAGGGAGATGCACTTGGTGCAGGAGACGCGGCGGGAAGGATGCGGCGGAGAAGAATCGTAGAAGGCGAAGCAGATGGGACAGAATGACCCCGGCTGGAGGCGGAGGAGGCAATGGGTGCAGAGAAAGCGGAGGGTGCCACGGACACGCGCTGAGTGTATCACCCAGGCATCTCGGCTGCCGCATTCATCGCATATCTCGGTGGAATCCTCCACTGCATCGTCCGACGCCGAAGTTGACGTCACCGAAGTCTGTGTGGCTGTTGACGACGGGAGATTCATAGCGTCTGGTCTGCGATTACGAAAATTAGGGTTTACTCAATCCAGAGGAAGAAAGGGGGCTAGACGACGGAGAAATTTTTTTATTTGATTTACCAAACGGCGTCGTAATTAGTATTAATTAATTGGGCCGTATAATTGTTTTACCTCTTGGGCCACTAAACCAGAATATGGGTTGGAATGTTTTTAATAAAGGAGGAGACAAATGTGTCTAGATATTCATATGGGCCGATGGTAGGGCCCAATGAAAAGAAAACCCAATTAATGAATCGCACCATTTTATTACATTTTGACTTTGCATCACTATGTCATATATAAATTGTCAAAAATCACCGCAAATCTCTAGTCTCTAGAGCAACAACACATGTATTATGTATACGAGAGTTAACACTGCCACGCTTCGGTTTTCTTTTGGTCTATTTTTGATCTTGTGAATCTTCTTCTATCGTCGTTTTGGTAATATTAGATCTACAAAATAATACAGAGTTACTTTGCACATACCACCATTTTCTAAGATGTTACATGAAGCTTCAATTCGCAGTGCGAACAAAAATAAGAGTAAAGAACTACAACATCATTTTTTTGCGCGGTAGGCGATCCAAATACTAAGATTAATTGGTTTTGTTTCTAATTCAACTTCAGATTATAAACTTCACAAAAATAATAATTTAATTTAAGTGGGTTTGGTTTGTAGTAGGGATTGATTAGTTTTTGGACAGTCCAAGGAAGTGGGGACGTTTCTGATTATGGGGATAGGGACACATCAAAAAAATGCGTGTCAACGTGTACAAGTTCATTGTATTTTGTGTGTAGATGCATTATGTATACATACGGATTCTTGCTCAAATGTATTGTTTCTAGTCAGCATTTTGCACCAATGGAAACGGATTCTCTCCTATTTATCTATGTGGCCAGATTGACATATGTCACGTACGCGTTTCATACCGTTCCCTCGACGGTCACCACGTGTCTGGAGTCATCGTCGTGAATGATTTTATCGATTGTCCAGCAAATTAGATTTTGTGTCTTGACATAAGGTGACGTTTGGATATATATAACACGTAGCTGACCTTATATATTGTAGAAGGGCCAATTCCATAAAAACAGCAAAAATATTTTTCTTTTCTTTTCTAAGTTGTTATGATATATATAGAGTGAGATAAAAGATTTTCCGTATCTTTTATTTTGCTTAGAGTAAGAGATATAAAGACATGTTGGCCTATTCCACGGTCACGGTGGATTGAGAATTTTGCGGGAATAGTTGACGATTTTTTTTTTATATAGATTTGAGTTATTTGACCTTACTTGGATGGATTTTATTTATGGTTATACTGTTTTATTTATCTCTACGGATTAATTTTTTGAATAAATTGTTGTTTACTAAAGATGGGGATAGACTATAGTGATGATATCAACGTTTAATGGTCCATGCAAATCCAAAAATAAGGTACTAAAATTTTAACCTTCAAAGTTTCTCAAATCCGGCGGTATCGTGAGTAATTGAGTATGGCCGGATTATACAAAATGCTTGATTATACATAATTGAGTATGTCAATATTAATTTTACATATAGGAAGGAAGAAAATATATATTCTAAGATACTAGCCCTACAACGAGAGTTTTTGAATCAGTATAATTATATAAACACATCATATGATTAGAAAAAATCTGAATTATTAATAAGCAAATGATTGGTTTCATTAAGTATTAGTTTAAATTTCAAAACTATTTGGCCAAAAAAAGTACACGTTATTATATATATATATAGAACTAGTTAAGTGTTTCCCCAAACCTAAGGATGATTAGTAGTATAGTAAAAGACTTACGAAAAATAGTAATGATTAGGAAGTCAAATCTTTTATTATTAAGAGAAATGAAGAGAGACAAGGTTGCCCCAACCCCACTTGGGGGTGTGATGCTTTTTTTGGCAGTGTTCCTTTATGATAACACATCACACGACTTTAGTGTATCACAGGCCCATGTCACTTTAAGATAAGATAACATATTCTACTATATTATTTTCCATATTTATTAATTAAAGAAGTTATATAGACACACCATGAATTAATTGTAATAATGCAGAGGGACTGTGCCATGTAACAGGAAGACAGCCGATGTGTGCAGAGAGAGGTCGGTGAGCAGCAATTTGGTTCAATAATATTCAATAACAACCATGCCCAAACTCTCTCTTCTCTAGGTCTCTTTCTCTTTAATTTTCTTTTTAAAAACCATATCTTTTTCTTTTTTCTTTTTTGTTTCCAGGCAAAAACACTACCTTATATTATTAAGCATGTGAGAATAGACTAGTTTTCTGAAAAGGTTACTCCCAACACCAACATACCTGCATATGGAAATAGACTGACTGGTTTTGTGAAAGGTATTTGCGACACCTAATTGCTTGCATATTCGTATTTTTGTTAGCAACAATAGTAAGACACAATTACAACAACAAAAACTGAATAAACAGAAATTTTAAAAAATGTAATATTCGTACCAGGAGATTTAGTTGATCAAATATCAACAGTGATCGAAAGAAAACCATGCTAAATGTTCTGGTATTCGATCTGAAAAAAATATACAGTATAAAGCTTGGTCTAAAATTTCTTAGTCAGCAAATTTTAATTTTTTTTAGTTCTATAAATCTTTTACATACAAAAAAAAATCCAAAATAGTCATAGGATATATTGTTAAAAGAAAAGTCATAGGTTATTCATCAAATTTTTGTAATTTCCAAATAGCAAACACAAAAAAGTGTGGAGGTTGTATACTTGTATTTTTTTTTGGGTTGTATACTATTAAGGAAACAATCATACAATCATATCAGTGATTGATCAAAGCATGGAGCTACTTATGTTAAGTTGTGTATTCTCATTTATTAGCTTCATATATCTTAGTTCTCCTCTTGTGTATATAGAGACACATCTCTTGAATTGTATTTTTGTATTTGTTTGAAAGAAGTTAATTACTAACCCCCTCACAAAAACACTTGATTTCTCCGTTGTAATAATAATATCCTGTAAAATATTCGTATATATAAAGATGGGAGAAAAAAAAAGAAAATACAGAGAGTAAACAGAAGAGCTAATGATTCGAGAGGGACGCTAAAGGTTGAATGTTCGAGGGAAGCGTCTCAGAGACTGTGAAAATCAAATCCTCTGTTACAGTGCTTGCGACGATTTGGTCCCCCTCCTCTCTCTCCCTCCGTCTTGTGCGTCGATTTGTCTCCTTCTCTTCCTTCTCCTCTCCGCCTACTTTCTCAATATTACTACTACTCCCCTCTCTCTGCCGTCTTCTTCTCCTCTGTTCTCGATTCTCCCTCTGCATTTGGATTGATGTCCCTTTAGTTAGTGCTTCGAGGATCTCTCTCTCTCTCTCTCTCTCTCTCTCTCTCTCTCTCTCTCTCTCTCTCTCTCTCTCCCTCTCTCTCTCTCTCTCTCTCTCTCTCTCTCTTCTCCGACTTCGATTTCCTCGGTTTATAACTGGCATCCCTTTCTCAGGTCAGCGACGTCTCTGCGATTGTTTGTTGCTACGATGATACGTTTTCGTATAGGGTTTCTGTTTTGAATTCAGAGAGCCATGATGAAATTTTGATTCTGGGTTTTTATGGGTCTCGGTTACGGTTCAGGGAACACGACGAAAGATTTGATTTTGTTTTGTTTCTTTTAGAGCTGATTAATTAGCTTCCGAGGTACACTGTTTTGAATCGCTCTTCACTGTGATTATGATTAAACAATTGGTTTTTTGACTAATCATTGGCATTAATTTATATGAATCTCTCTGCTACTTTTTTATATTTGCTTGTTGACAGAGACATTGATTTCTTTTCTATTTCTTATGTTTCGCCATTTTCTAATTTGGGATTTGCAAAGTGAAAGAACACCTATTTCTGGGAAGTATTTCTTGGTCTAATCTGGCCAATTTATGAATTTCCTTTCTATTTTCAGGATCAAGTCTCTGTGGGAGATTCTGCTTGTAAACGCAACACCATGCCTCTGTTTGAGCTTTTGAGGCACACCAAATCTAATCTTGAATCTGCTCAAGACCAGAACCCTTCTCCGTGAGTCCATTGCCGTGTCTTCTCTTCGTGACTGTCTTGTTTCGAGTCAATCAGTTTCATGTTCTTCTTGTCTTTTCTCTTAAAAACAGACCTTTGGATGAAGTTGTTGAGCTGGTGTGGGAAAATGGACAGATTTCAACTCAAAGCCAGTCAAGCAGATCAAGGAACATTCCTCCACCACAATCTGTTCATCAAGCAAGCTCTTCGAGGCCTAGAGAGATTGGGAACGGCTCAAAGACGACGATGGTGGACGAGATCCCAATGTCAGTGCCGTCTCTAATGACGGGTTTGAGTCAAGACGATGACTTGGTTCCATGGCTGAATCATCATCACTCCCTAGATGGATATTGCTCTGATTTCTTGCATGATGTGTCTCCCGTTACTGTCAACGAGCAAGAGAGCGATATGGCCGTTAATCAAACTGTTTTCCCGCTGTTTCAGAGAAGAAACAGTGGCAATGATTCAGCTCCTGCTGCTTCTTCGTCGCGGTATAACGATTTCCAGTCACATTCTCTGTATGGAAGTGATAGAGCTAGAGAACCTGGTAGCCAACAAGCCAAGCCGAATCGGTTTACTCAGACACAGGAACCGTTAGTCACTAGTAACAAGCCTGGTTTGATCAACTTTTCGCATTTTTTGCGCCCTGCAACTTTGACCAAGACTAATAACCTTCATGGCACTAAAGAGAAGAGTCCTCAAAGCCCGCCGACGGCGAATGTGTTTCGGACTAGAGTTCTTGGAGCTAAAGTCTCTGAAGAAAAGGTTCTTAACGAGTCTGTTGCTTCTGCTATGCCTAAGGATAACCAAAAGGCTTGCTTGGTTTCAGAGGACTCGGGTAGAAAAGAACAAGATAGTGAGAAGGCCGTTGTATGTTCTTCTGTTGGCTCGGGTAATAGTCTCGATGGCCCATCCGAAAGTCCTTCACTTTCTTTAAAAAGAAAGCATTCGGATGTTCAAGACATTGACTGCCATAGTGAAGTATGTATAAATCATCATTTGATGCACATTTCAAATCTCGCTTCTTCGCCGTTTTTTATCAGTGGTCTTATTCAATATTGTGGAGCAGGATGTTGAAGGAGAATCGGGAGATGGAAGAAAGGAAGCAGCTCCATCTCGAACGGGCATGGGTTCAAAGAGAAGCCGTTCGGCTGAAGTACATAATCTGTCTGAAAGGGTGAGTGAGTGAATCTCCCAAAGGGTTTGTTTTTCAATTTCCTAAACTCACAAAGGACTGCTCTTTTCAGAGACGGCGTGATAGGATTAACGAGAAGATGCGTGCTCTTCAAGAACTCATACCAAACTGCAACAAGGTCGGCTTTTTTTTTCTCTCCTCTTACCCGATTCTGTTTATGAGATGATGAGCAATGCCCTGTTTTTGATCAGCTTCACTAATCTGAAAGCTTTGTATGGTTATAAAGGTGGACAAAGCTTCGATGCTAGATGAAGCAATCGAGTATCTCAAGTCACTCCAACTTCAAGTGCAGGTAACACTCTCACTAGTCACTACTACGTAGACGTAATAAAAGAATATTAAGTCACAGTAATTAAATAATCTCAACACAATCATGATTCAGATCATGTCAATGGCGTCTGGTTATTACATGCCACCGGTTATGTTTCCGCCGGGTATGGCCCATTACCCGGCAGCAGCAGCAGCAATGGCAATGGGTATGGGAATGCCTTATGCAATGGGCTTGCCTGATTTGAGCCGAGGCGGTTCCTCGGTTAACCACGGACCACCACACTTCCAGGTCCCGGGGATGCAACAACCAGTGGCGATGGCGATTCCACGCGTCTCTGGTAGTGGTTTCTTTACGGGTTCTTCAACGATGGAGATGAATAAGGGCGATGATGGTTCGACTAGAGATCTATCGGGTTCTAAAGATCAAACGACGGCCAAGAACAACAACAATAGCTTGAAACCTATTAAGAGAAAACATCCGTCTTCTGATCACTTTTGTGGATCGTCGTAACGTATATTATATATACAAAGTTAAGGACTGATGCATCAATCGTTATCAATATAGCATTCAAACAAATCAATTCTACATAACCAAAATTATTGTGTTATCAAATGATATGTAGTAGCATGAGTTACAGGCCTGTAGCTTATGGCTAAAACTAGGGTGATGGGTTTCTCAGCCCATTTCGTTAAAGACCTTTATGGTCATTTTGTATTGTTCACGAAAAAGTAAGTTGTCAACTTCTCATAGATGCTATACTATTACCTACGATAAGTTTATATAAATAGCAGAATTTTAACATTAATATGAATATAAAGGAAATTTCTCACCTATGAGTCTATAGTCTATGGACTATCTTAATCTCTTTTAACTCCTGGTGTAAACTAGATGAGTTCAATGTGATGAATCGAGTCTACAATTAAAAATAAGTTTTCAATGAAATTGTCCTTGTTTAGTTTAATTTATTGAGGCTTTTAACCTTTAAAACAAAAACTTATTAGGTGGTACTTAAAAAGGGGTCTAGTGGAAAGAGGAGAACAAAAAAGGGTTTCAACTTCATTAGTTCCGATTGATATCTTCTAAATTTGTAACGAAGATGGATTAGACACCTCTAACAAATTACGAAAACCAATGACTTAGGAATTAGGATAGGCAATAGGAAACCGACACGTGGAGCACATAGGGAGACAAAATGAAGTAAAAGATGTTTTAATTGAAGGACCCTTAATTGAAACTTAAAAGAGAAGAAAATGGAGTTAATGTGGCAAAGCAAAAGAAAAGTTAGACATCATTTTGCTTTTGGCACTAATATATCAAGATTATCTATGATTATGTCTTTTCTCCTCATGTCTTACCAATTAGATTGGGTCATATTAGAGATAAATTCAACCATCCAAGCCCTCTTTTCTCACTTTAAATCAAACTTGATATATTGTTTGCCTTCTTTTCTAAGTTTGATCTTTTTCTCCACCACAGATTACAAAACACAAATCAAAATGATCATTTTGGGAAAATCATAATGAGATAGACATAACAATGCACAAGCAAAGCACATGGATTAAAACTTTTGTTCCCGTATATGATACAAAAACAAAAACATTTTACGTTAGAAACTACAATGTTAAATAAAGGTATACTTTAAAAGTATATAGTGTCAATGTATCATTAAAATTAATAATATCCTATATGGTAAGTCTTTAGTTTATATGGGAAATTATTTCAGTCCATTGTGTATTATTCATCTAAGAAGTCAGGAACTTATAATATCAGTTCATTAAATCTTCAGCAATGCTAATCGGAAAAGCTTATGGATAACATGCCAAATCGAAGAGTAATTAAGAACATCGACATGAAATTGAAGTCTTGAATAACTTGCAAATTATTTGAGTTTTTAGATATTTTATGATAATGTAATCAAATCCAAGTTGTAATTTCTTTGTCTTTTCATATGGGCATAATATATTTATTAGGAAGTGTTGCTTTTTAATAAATGATATGAGGATTTACGAGAAATTTCAAAATTCATTTTCCTTTTTAAGCAGAAACTAATAAAAAAGGGTCCTTAGTACAAGTGCATGCATGTGCTAATGTTTCCTTGATGATGGGATTAATGCTAAACGGGCCAATTAAGATGGATTACAATTTAGGTCACTTCTCACTGGGCCCTCGATCTCTCTATCGGTGACTTCATCCTCTTAATCTAAATGTAACACTTTCTAATAAGTCCTTTCTCCTTGTCTACTTAATAAAATTCTTATTACCACAAAAAAAAACCCCGATAAATCTTCCATCACCATCGTTATGCACTTTCACAAACTTTAATGAATGCATCTTTCCGTTAGCCATTACGAAATAAAACTTTGATGGTTATATCCTCTTATAGTTATTCTAGATCTTGGTCTAAATGTTTTAGTTATAGAAAGCTAATTGTACAGAATAAATGCTTTTGGCATGTACGCCACTTGATTTTTACAAAAAAAATTACAATGGTTTTTTTTAATTAAACTCACTTTCATAATTTGATTAATACAAGAGTGGCTCAGATATATCATATTTATTCAAATATCAAAATATCAATTAGAAACGATGGAAGAAAAAAATCATCTTAGATGCCACAATTTTCTTTTAAGAGAATCAGAAAAGAATAGCAATGCAATGTAGATTACAAATTCTACTGTTCACATCAAACTTGTTAATTGTTATGCTTAGGCCTAGTAATGCTCCTTGCTTTCCGAATCTTATAAGCAATATACTAGTAGTAATTAGTAACGCGCGTACATCGAAACCAAATAAAGCGCCGTCGAATCATTTATATTCTTTTGCTGATAAAAATGAGAGCCCTAAGAACAAAATAGGGCCTAGCTAGATTTAAGGAGGGTTCTGTTTATACTATAAGAGACGTGTTAAGTGCACAGCCTCTTCTACATTTTTGTCGGCGAAGATTTTATAACCCTCGTGAGTTGTGACAATGGCAAACGACAACGACCATCCGTTATGACGTAACGCTTCTTCACCTCTCTACTTAGAGAGACTGTCAAATCACCTTAGGGCAAAAACTAACGGACTTAAAATGACAGTGATGATACTTAATTAGCTTTTCTATAAAAATGCTAACAAGAGGTGTCGTTGAGGGTTGCGTTGAGACTTGAGATTGAGGGTAAAGTTGAGAGAACAGCTCATATGTGTATATTTTGGTTTTAATGGTTGATAAAAATAAGTACTTCGAATATATAGCTACAGTGTGAAACTTCTATTCTAGTGCATGGATGAAGATTAACCATGCAAACTACCCATTCGTTGCCCACTAAAACAAGGATTCGTAAAATAAGAAACTTGTCATACTTTCATATTGATGTATGCATTTACATATATATATATATATATATTTTATTTTACTATGCGGCAGAATAAATATATAGTTGATTATATTAAAAAATCATATGTAAGATTTTAATTATGTATGATGTGATAGAAATTATTAGTTTTGTGTAAATTTATAAAAAACTACTGAAATTGTGTTTTTTTTTTTATCAAATCATATGCATGTATGATCGTAATTGAATTCTTCCAGAAACCACCGAAATATTGAAAAGCAATTCAAACCTATCGTGGTAAAAGAAAAGTCATCTTCCCGTTTAGCAGAGGATAAGTTTCGTCAAGGTTATTCTTTCAAAAGGAAGAGATTAGTCTGAAAACTTGGAAACAAATGAATAAAAAGATGCATGCTCCTAATCAAATAAAAAAAATAACGCTTAAAAATCTGAAATCAGACTTATATGCTTTGCATATAATGGAAGGGCTGCGGCGGATATATGCATGATTGTCTTATAATCATGATGGATGATCAAATGATGGGTCTCAAATCTCAATCATGCATGATCCTAATCGAATATGTTCCATTTTTCGGGGATAATATTATATAGTTGAAGTTAATATAATGTTTTCTTTTCCATGATATACTCCAAGAACGTGTTGATTGGTATTAGTTTATTGAGTATGATTAAAAAGAAACTCGCTGCAATTGCAAAGTCTTTCCATATATTATTCGCGTTTCTTTGTAATTAATCATTTGGTGAACTATATAATTCGAAGTATCTTTTGACAGCTTTGGTTCGAGATATTCTACAATAAATCCACCAATCCATTTATTTTATTGTGTTTAAATAGATGACATTTCATGTCGGTTTGGTTTATTTTTATGAGAAGGATATTATTTAGCGAGTTTTCCTTTTGGACTCCTGCATGAAAAATGGCATTGAACAAGGTATTCCCTCACGTTAAAGGCTTCATAAAACTGTGGATGAAAACAAATTACTTCATTAGTAGAAATCATATATATATATATATATATGTATCTTACTAGAAGAAATAATGATTCCCGAATTCTGAAATAATAACTAAAAATGTAATAGAGTTATATAATGAATTTGACTACGTATATTATTACTTTCTTCATACGTCTTACTGTTTATTTTTTTTATGTGAATTTATCCTTATTAAAGCTTCTTGTTAAACATGTTTATAAAAATATAATTTTATTATATACAACCTAGTAAGGATTGGCTTTTAATATATAGGGTATTTGCACTTAATTTCACTCTTATTGGCTATTTATCAAATTTACTCAGGAACCAAAAAATGTGTGGTCTATGAGCGAGACCAGAAGGAGCATTACATATCATATATCTTAATGCAAGTATATAAATATTACCGTATAAATATCAAGAATCAATAAAATAATTAATTCTAACTTATGACTTAAAAACCTTGTATACGTCTAGCTAAATCTTATTTTCGACGATCTTTTTTAGGATTGGGTCCCAATAAACAAATGGATAAACGGTAAGAGTCTAATTACGAGAGGCCATGTCCAGATAACGTAAGAAAACTACAAAAATTCAACATGTGAATATTTGAGGGAAAGTTTGGGTAAATGGACAAAGAATATACCCTCTCTATTATGACTGGCTTAAAGGCAAAAAAAGGGAGAAAATTGCCAAAGAGAAGTGAGTCCATTTAAATTTAAAAATGTATAAAGCAAACAAAAGAGAGACTTAATTATTCTCATTCATCTGCAAAAGAAACCATGTATTTAAAGCAAAATTTCTAAATTCCGTTATGTAGACATTTAATTCCATTTAATCATTTCTGGAAACATTAACCAATGATGACAATTTCTTGCTGGTTATAAACCTTTCCCATTATTTCCTTTAATTGATGCGTTCATCTTCACAAAGATTTAGTCCACATTTAGCATTTGCTTTTAATTCATTGCAGAAGTCTTTCATGACGACAACAATCAACTCTTCTTTGTCCACATTCTTATCTAGCTATACGATCTACCTCGTGTGTTATTTTAATTCTTCCGTTCTCACTGTAAATCATTTTTGTATAGCGCTTCCACCGCTAACTATTGAATATCACTTTTCAATACATTAATCGTTACAATAAGTTTGTAGCTGCAAGAAAAAATTTAGACTCGGATGCATTTGGTAACATAGATATCATATAAAACTTTTAAACTTTTTCTCGTCATGCATCACTCAAAGAGTGCTATATCCTTGTCACATACCAAAAACGTTTTAGGAGCACGCATTGCTTCAAACTCTCGTCTATGTGCGATTTCGATACATTTTTCTAATTACTCTCAAGTCTCAACTAAGCACACTTAATTATGGATTTCTTTTTTAAAAATAGCCTATTTCTCGATTTACACCACTGTAAATATATTTCCATAAATTCTATATCGAACCATATACTACATGAGTATTTTTAAGTGAAAACTAATTATTTTGTGACATAAAAAACCTGATATACGTCTACCAAAAAAGGTTTTTTTTGTAAACCATGACTTACGTGAATCTCCGAAATAAAAATCTTTAGAAAAGTTGTTGAGGTCACGCTGGCTTTTGGCTGCGTACGTATAGAGTGGTCCGTAACATCTTCGAGGACAAACTGAACATAAATGAGCATGTCTCCACTACTTAGAACCACACTTACTATTAATTTTAAAAGAAGTTTTTTTTTTTTTTTATCAATTGTTGCATTTGTATGTATGATCATAATGGGTCCATTTGGAGATGACGAATGTATGATGATTAGAGTGATGTAAAGGTCAAAACTACATGAACTCCATCTCTTAACCCTGATTATTTTACCATTGGTGTGAACCAATCTGATGTGGACCAATCATATTGTTTTTACAAAAGCTAAAAAAGATGTACATACTTTTTGCTATTTAATCTTTAAAGAGAGTATAGAATTTCAACAAACCCTTCCGAAGAAAGTGACTTTTCTTAGTCCTATTAATACTCTCTCTCTCTCTGGAGATCTGTTATTTCGTTTTCTCCACCTTTCTCTTCAGATTCCATTAACCTTCAAAAGTTTTAAATACATGCTCTCTGCTCAAAGCGTTTTTCTTTCGTTACTTGTAAAGTAAAACACAGAGCTCTCTTCTCTTTCATCGTTCCTTTGCTCAGCATTGCAGCTTTAATAAACCAAAATGGGTAGACATTCTTGCTGTTACAAACAAAAGCTGAGGAAAGGGCTTTGGTCTCCTGAAGAAGACGAGAAGCTTCTCAATCACATCACAAATCACGGCCATGGCTGCTGGAGCTCTGTCCCTAAACTCGCTGGTAACATTTTCTTCCTTAATTCATGGGATACAAAACATGAACTTAAAAAGGCTACCTTTTTTGTAATAACAATTCACAAATCTGAGTCTACTACAGGTTTGCAGAGATGCGGAAAGAGTTGCAGACTGAGATGGATCAATTACTTGAGACCTGATTTAAAGAGAGGAGCTTTCTCTCCAGAGGAAGAAAATCTCATCGTCGAGCTTCACGCTGTCCTCGGAAACAGGTAATAATTCATAGAAAACAGAGGATCATGTTTGTGTCTTAAGCTTCCTCTGTTTTTAACAGAGGATCATGTATATCTTTTAACCTTCCTCTGTTTTTTTATCAGATGGTCACAGATTGCAGCAAGGCTTCCGGGAAGAACCGATAACGAGATCAAGAATCTGTGGAATTCAAGTATCAAGAAGAAACTGAAACAAAGAGGCATTGATCCAAACACACACAAACCCATCTCTGAAGTTGAGGGCTTTAGCGACAAAGACAAACCAGCAACAAGCGACAATAAAAGAAGCAGCAACGATCATAAGTCTCCGAGTTCCTCCTCTGCAACCAACCAAGACTTCTTCCTAGAAAGGCCATCTGATTTCTCCGACTACTTCGGTTTTCAGAAGCTTAACTTCAACTCCAACCTCGGACTCTCTGCTGCAACTGATTCTTCACTCTGCTCCATCATTCCGGCGCAGTTTAGCCCCGGAAACATGTCTGGTTCTGTCTTCCAGACTCCGGTATGCGTAAAGCCTTCAATTAGTCTTCCTCCGGACAACAGTTCGAGCACCGTCTCCGGAGGAGATCATGTGAAACTGGCTGCACCTAATTGGGAATTTCAGACAAACAACGCCTCCAGTTTCTTCGACAATGGCGGATTCTCATGGTCAATCCCAAATTCTTCTTCTTCACTAGTCAAACCCAATCATAACTTCGAAGAAATGAAATGGTCAGAGTATTTGAACACACCGTTCTTCAATGGGAGCACTGTACAGAGTCAAAGCTCACAACCGATCTACATCAAATCAGAGGCAGATTACTTAGCCAATGTTTCGAACATGACAGATCCTTGGAGCCAAACCCAGAACGAGAATTTGGGCACAAATGAAGCTACTGACGTGTTCTCCAAGGATCTTCAGAGAATGGCCGTCTCCTTTGGTCAGTCCCTTTAGCTTTTTTTTTTTCTTCTTTTCTTTATTCTAACAGATGTAGAGAACAAAAAAATATACAATACATACATACGTACAGTGGATTTAAGTCTGTATATTCCATGAGCTGTCTTTATTTTTACATTTTTTAAGTGTGTTTTATACGTCAAATATTCTTCTATTTTTTGCAAACCTTTCAGTCTCATACTATATATACACTTTTATTTCTTTTGTTTTGTTATAAAGATTATGATGCATAGAATTCTCGATGATTTCAGAGGCCTGTGTTTGCAATTAATCTGTTGAAGAACAATGATGAAAGTAATAAATCAGTTTCTGTCTGTTTCCGTGAACGAGTTGTAATCCAGAGTCACATCCTTCACCATTTTTCAGACCTGTAATGAATTAAAAGACAAAAAAGGACAAAAACATAAAACTAAAGCAAATCATAATAAATAAACTAAAGTGGGAATTAGCTCAACTAATAAGAAGGGACACTTTTTTCGAAAGGACCCGAGTTTTAATACGATGTAAATTTTTTAAAAAAAAAGATTTCTCTTTTCTGAAATCAATGACTGATCACATATTTGAGAGATTAGAAATCGAATACCCCTAATTTCTTCGGGCTATTATAAACTTTGAAAAAGGTACGTATGTCGTTTTTGCTTAGTCTTATCAGAGAACTGGAATTGTCCCCATTGACGGCGTCGGAATATTCTTTAGCGGTAGAAAATTCGGAACAGTTCGAGAATTTTCTATTTTTTTGTCTGTTAAATAAAATAGTTATATGATTTGACCTTAATAAACATGAAGGAGGTGATGACTGATGAGAAGGTGACTTCATTTTTAATCCTAAAAAGTCAATTGATTTATTTTATAACCCATATTTTTTTTTTTAGATTCTAATCCAAAACAATTACTTATTACTTTTTTAGAAATAACCTAACGCAATAACTCGACTGATAGGTAAAACTAAGGTACTATAATATGTTTGTTTTGACTTTAAATTTAAAGACGATGCTATATTTTTTTGAAAATGAAAAGAAATTGATCTATCAAACACATAAGTCTAGATTCAACAGTAATTATAAAAATAGAATAAAGAGAGAAAAGTTAATATTTTCTTGGCATTATGAGAAATCAAATATATTTAACCTATATTCTGTCCCTGTGGTAACTGTATAGTATTATTACTTACCGACCAAAAAGATTAATCGATTCAAGAATTTAGATATTATCATAACTATGCATTTGCAATATAATAAGGTTTAGTGGAACGCGAGAGACGAGAGTGCATGTGATCCGAATAATTGGTGCTACATTGAACCAATCATTGTGTTAACTTTGATTGGCGTATGTTATGTAAGGATGATTAAACATAAACACTTGTCGCCATTTGTTAGCAATAATAAAAAAAAAAAAAGATCTAATTGGTGCGTAAAGAAATGGAGAAGAAAAAAAAGAGAATGTCGTGGAATCTTTGCTCTCATGTAACTTCTCCTATACTTTATTTTCTTATATATCTATATATGTTTTGATGAAAAGAAATTTAAATTATCTTAAAACAACAACGACATTCGGATATTCGGAAACCGTGTTGACATGCTGATAATTCTACAAATAAATTAATAGTATTCTTTATTTTTCGAGAAGGAAGCTTCCGAGGTTTTAAAGATATATCAAAAAGAAATGAAGAATCCCTTTCTGAATAAGATCTTTAGTTTTTTGCTCTTTCGAAATACCAATCTCCAACAGCTACAGCAATCCCCTGTTATATTGTTTTGTTCCAACAACAAGACACACACATTATTATTTTCTATGCAATTGTACATGCTCTCAAATCAAAACACAATGTGCTTGAAACAATATAAGAACCATATGATCCTTGATAAATTATACAATAAAGAGCTTTTTATGTCTTACCTTATCTCCACCCGCTTGAGAGTTTCCAGGAAACCAGGTATCTTGTCTCTCCGCTTGACAATGAGCCCAACGTGAGTTAATAAACACTCCGTTCTTGCTTGACATCAAAAAGGTCTTTACCGCATTTAACATGCTCATCTTGAAACCTGCATGTACTCGGATTCCGAAAGCAAGAAACAATATTGATCAGCTTTGTTAGTATATAGAACACGATATTAGATCAAAGACTAGTAGGTTTCATGAAAATATCATTAATTACCTTCCAAGAATTGCTCCTGAGAGGCGTTGCACCTAAAGCTGGAGCTGCAATTATGCCAACTGCCGCTGGGATCAGCAGATGGTGGAGCTATACTATTTTCAATCTGCAAAGAAACAAGATAGTGTTTCAGGCTTTCAGCTAGCTTGAAATCAAGAAGTATATCGCTAGGGGTCTTATTCCAATGAGCACAAGAATGTAACGGGCCGGAGTTTAAGGCTTACACATCAAGAAGTATCATAGAATATCTTCTTCGTTGACCAAAAAGAATGATAGAATATCTTACTCATTTACATATTTAGCTAAGGAACCATAGAAAATGGGGATCTGCTCCAAGTTTTTGTTACTCTCTATTATGTTTTACGAGTTCATCAAATTCGTCAAAATCACTACAGATAGTTTAGACAATAAAACCACCTGATTCATATTAAAAAGAAAAAAATGAAGGCTGAGATTCAATAATATAAATGACCTGCCACGAATCAAATGCCGAGTTGATAATAAACAACGGGGTCTTGACTTGGTCGATTATGTTTTGAGGGAAAAAGCACTGTGAAATAAAGAAAACAAGTTAACTAAACGATGAACTATAGAGCATTGCACCAAGAAAACAGAGCAAGAGCAAAGGGTAATGAATACCGAAGTTGGATCAAGATGGCTTGTACAAGTGCGAGGAAGCGTGTTTTGCAAACCCTAAAATTTCAGTACAAGTTTTGGGTTTATACTTTAATGTATATATATTTATCAATAATAAGCAAGGCAGAATAACGTTAATACTTATACCTGGGTCTTTACAACACCAGAATACATACGTCTTAAAGAATGATCTCCAGATATATCAACGCTTCAGTTACAAACAAGACACAATTCATCAATATGTTTACTAATTTGTCCAACATCTATTGCACGAAGCAAACTTGGAAAAAAAAGAAACACAAATCACTCACGCATCGAGGAAGAAGCCAGCATCACTCATGCATTTTACGTTGGTGGTAGGAGGAAACAAACTCTTGAAATCATCGCAGCGTAATATCGATGAAAGACCCCCAGAAGAACATCCGTTGAGCAAAACCTTAATTTTATTATTGCATAATTACCAATACTAATAATTTTAGGTTAAAGACATATTCAAATGTGAAGCAAAATACGGAACCTAATTAAGTAAGTACCTGCTCTGCCTGGCACATTCCCTTTGCCATCAAATCTTCCATAACGGCTAAAAATACACGCTTTCCTCTAAATTGAAGTTGTGCCGCCTAAGCGTAAGCAACCGTAGGAATCTTAAGATAGTTACTAATTAATGAAATATATAAAGATCGTCATGCATAGAGAATCAATACATGAGAACAGAGATCTTTATGGTTTTAGCTAACCTTGTTTTCGCTATCACCGCTAAAGGATGCGCCATCACAGTACCGGACTTTGATTTTATTCCAGTTGTAAAAGTCTACACAATATTATTCAGAAAAAAAAAAAAAAGAGAATCATTCAATTACAATTCTACAAACATCACATTTTTTTTTTTTAAATAATAAATCTTGAGAAACCTGGATTTTCAGCGGTCTTATTGCTTAGTATTCCTATAAAAGCTAACTCTTTCTCCATTAATGTGGACGATCCGTAACTACTCCTTTTACGGTTCTGACAATCTTCTATGCTGTCACACCAAGCACCACCCTTTCAACAAAATTGGCCTTAACGATTAGACGATGAGGTAATTAAAGAACACAAACAAATTAATTTACTAATTAAATCTATTTTAGCGTTTATATTAAGATAACTCTAAAAAACCAGTATTCGACAATTTTATCATTCCACTACTTATCTATATACCAGTGAAAACACATGAATACATTTGCAATCTATCTTTCTCTTAAGATTTTAGGTTACATACCTATAAAATTATAGAAACAGTGGTATTTTTAGTCATCACACCAGAATTTGATGATGTATTTGTTTCTAGCTAGTGCTTGTTAGAACAACTTTTTAAAAATAGAAGTAATACTGGTATACCTATAGATATACTTATATATGCTACTTATCAAGATTACTTACTACACACCTTAATCACATGACACTGACAGGAATTAAAATATTAACCTGGTTCCCAGACGGTTCCATATTTTAATATTGTGGAAATTTTGTAAAAATGGATCTTAAGGATGGATATTATTAATTACGCCATAAGGTATATCTTTACATAAAGACTATCTAAAGTACCAACCTGCAACTGAATGATCCAGTTGTTTGCTCCTGTACCACACCCGCGATGCAGATGATATCCAGGCACCGACCCATCCAGACACACTGCCACAATAAAGTTTTCCTAACGTCATGAAAATGCCAATCCATCAAGAACTTTGTAGTAATAATGATGTAAAAAATACATATATAGTCTCCATTGTTTGTTTGAGTTGGTACACATGTTATATTGTCAATTATAAACGCAGAAGTCAAGCCAGCACTTTCTGCAAACGAAATGAATACTAACAAAGACTCTTACCCGCTCCTTTAGCAGCAGCGGCTTGGACGAGAGTGAGTCCTACCATTAGAACATTAGCAGCACCTGATTCACTTTCTTTCTGAAACACCTTTGTTTCATTTAAATCGTTGAGAAACTCCATTTCATCAAAATCCATCATCCCATTTGCAAGAATGCTTAAGAGAATGAGTCCTGCGAGACTCCACCTCCACATAAGCGCATTCATTTCCCTCTTAAAGACGTTAAAGTGATAAAAATAATAATAAGAAGAGGAGCAAAACCAGAGCGAGAGAGAGAGAGTAGGTAATATTTTGTTTCCTTCGTTAGAGGATTCTACACGAGGAATCATGATTTTGCCATATATAGTTTACCAGATATTGAAGAATGTGACAGACAGACTGTATAGATCTGTGGTTTTTATGCCAAAAATCTGCTCATTAATATTAGGGCCACAGTTTTTGGCCTAAACCGCATTTCAGCACTAGGTTGTTTATATAGGCTCTCAAATAGTTATAGAACAAAGTCAGTTTTTTTGGCTAAAAAACAAGTCAATTTTGTAATTACGCTAATTTCATGTAGTGGTGTAGAATTTAGGTTTTCAATTGTTTTTCATAATCTCTCGGTCTTTTATTTTCTGGTGATCAAGAAACAAACAAAATTGGTCAAGAATAATTGTAATTTACAATATTATTTATTTACGATATTTTTTTAAAAAAATTCAGACTTATAATTTCATCCCTATATATATATATATTTCCAGTTTTTTCCCCCACGAAAAACTGCAGAACAAAACTTCCTAGGAATCTTCACACATTATGAAAATGAAAATAAAACAAACAAACAATTTGCTTTGAAAGGTGGAACGAATTTTCAGATGCTTGAAAGAGTTTAATAGCTAGAAGACAAAAATTTATTTGGATTAATGGTTGATGTTGAATATATTTTTTTGCAATGTTACCGGAGAGATTTATTACAATACTAGTATTATGCCCGCACTTCGTGCAGGCTAAAATGAGTATTTATATTTGAAAAACAATTACATAATTCAAATATGAAACTCAGTTAAAAATATGTTTAGGATTTTCATAAATTGATTATTATATATTTTACCACAGCATTAAATCTGTTTTTACGTCAAGTTTGCGTTAGATTTTAGCACATCACTATTAATATCTATATTCACATTTAGAACCGGAAGATATATATATATATATATATATATATATATATATATATATAAATATATGCAATCCCAACAATATATAGTTTATCGATGTGCTATCTCTATTCATCTATAATTGTTTATTGTATATACAAATACTATTACTGTCTATTTTATTTTATTGTTATAAACAGTATAGATCTAAAGTCATAAGTTCCTAACAACATACTACATATTATCAAATAAAACTGTACTCATCTGTATTTTAGATTTATAAAACAATTAAAATATAAAAGAAGCCTTCATCATTTCTCTTCTTCTCCCTCGCCTACATCCTCGTCTTACACTTTTTATTGTTTACAACTTTTTCTATTTCTTTGTTTGTAAAAGAAACAAACCAATCTGAACCTGAAGTTATATTTCAATCGTACTTTTTATTAATTAAAAGTAGATTTTATTTCTACAAAATACAAATAACATTAACCTGAATTTCTTATTTATTAGAACTGAATTTTCTAGTTCTAGTTTCAAAATTGAATGCTCACACTTAGAGAAAAGGAAGATTGGGGAAAAAATAAGTTACATGGATCATGCAAGATATACGGCGAGGGAACACAAACCAAAGCACAACCAACCACATGCGAGTCATCTCCTCTCGATCATACTCATTATTTATCTTTATATCAGCCAAACCCTCAAAATTTCCTTGCAGATGCTCGGTTAATAAAAGGTCGTGCCTGTTTTACATTATTAAAACAGAGCATTTGCTTTATTCAACCGTCAGATTGTTAAAAAAAATAATGGAAAGTTATTTGAACAAAAGAAAAAAAAATCATGGAAAGTTAGATTATTTGAAGTCGCAGTAAATACATACTCAGTCAAGCTATCATCTACATAGGTATTGTTTTCACAACGTTCGGCTATTAGCTCCAAAAGTACAACACCGAATAAGCAAACGTCAAATTTCTTTGTGAACTTTCATTGGAGACTTCTCTGTAAATACCTAAAGCATAAAGCCAAAGTCTTAGAAAAACCAGACACATAACACGTTGTCATATGAATCTAAATATGAATACATACTTTTTCAAACGTACTCGTCGACTCTACTATTCGCCATGAGAAGTTAACTTCAAGGTTCTCTTTACCCGAAGTCCCCATCACTCTTGTAGATTGATGAGTCTTTGTATATCCAGTTTTAATCAGTTATAAGCAGGTTTATAAATTTTTCCGTAACAGTTATGTGAAAGAGATGGAGATCGTAGATTGAAAGCAAGAAAATCTCAACCATCAATCTTTTATTATTTAATTTTTTATTATCATACTTTTTTTTAATTGAAGATTGATATCATATAACCTAAATAATAGCCACGATAAAAGAAAGAGAAAGAAATATTTTAGGCAGATATTTTGTAAAAACTGATTGACATTTCAAATTAAAAAAAAAATGTAAAATGACACGTGTCAGATGGACAATTGCCAACTGACTTGTACTTTATAAGAATAAAGATTTTACCGGAGTTCAAATCCTATCTTTCACGACGGTCTTCGATTAGGCTTATTAAACAGTAAAGCCCAAACTCAAATTATGGATAAACCCAACCCACTAAAGACGACGTGTAGCTTAAGGACAAAATGAAACTATCGGAACAAGATGCAAAAGCCATAAAAATCGGAGGACATGTTTGCAAATCAAGTTTTTTATTCAATAGTAAACCAAAAGGTCCAAAACAAGTGTTTTCTATGAAAACCTCAACCATAACTAGATGGGAATAAAGCAAAATAAACATTTCCTAGTAACGATTCTTGCTGCCACAAGGATAATCACAATCTATAAGGTTGACTTTTTGGCTCTTTCGAAATACCAATTCCCAACAGCAACAGCAATCACCTGTTTTTTATATTTGCATGTAACTTTAGAGGCTTTTCAATCAAAACAAAATGTGTTTGAAACAATATTATAGGAATCATGTGATCATCAATAGTAAAAGAGTGTTTTTGATTTTGTTTTGTTTCTCACCTTATTGTTACCCGCTTGAGAGTTTTCAGGGAGCCAATAATCTTGTGACTCTGCTTGGCAGTGAGCCCAGTCTGAGGTGATTAACAATCCGTTTTTTCTTGTCGCCACAAATTGCTTTAACGCATTTAACATGCTTATCCTGAAACCTGTAACTCGGAATTTTTTTTTTAAAGCAACAAATCTTGATCAAATATTCTAAAACTTTTCATATTTTTTTTTTAAAAGTTCTGGGGACGAATGTTTGAGTGCTCTGGGTTTCATGAAAACATCACTATTACCTTCCAAGACCTTCTGCTGAGCTTCGTTGCACTTGAAGCTCGAGCGGCAGCCATTCCAACTGCCACTCGGATCAGCAGATGGTGGGGCTAAACTATTTTCAATCTGCAAAGAAAAGAACAAGATTACTATAAAGAGACAATCAAACCTCGTGGTAATCATGAAAGAGATCGAGTAATAATTTACCTGCCACGAATCATAAGCCGAGTTGAGAATATACAACGGGGTTTGCACTTGGTTGATTAAGTTTTGTGGGAAAAAACACTGTGAAATATTGATAGCAAGTTAAGTAAACGAGGAACCACGTTATGTATTACACAAGAAAACAGATCAACAGGAACGGGAGATGGATACCGAAGTTGGATTAAGATGATTTGTACATGTACGAGGAAGCGTGTTTTGCAAACCCTAAAAAGTTCAATACAACCTTTTTTTTGGTTAGCGTACGTTCAACCATCTACACCATAATCATGAAGTTATACTAGTACCTGGGTGTTTACGACACCAGAATACATACGCCTCAAAGTACGCTTTCCAGATATATCAACGCTTCAGTTACATACAAGGCATAAACCAGTCATTATAGCTAAATTTTCCAATCATCTATTGCGCAAAGCAAGCTTGGATACGAAGAAAAAAAATTTACTCACGCGTCGAGGAAGAAGCCAGCATCACTCATGCATTTTACTTTGGTGGTAAGAGGAAACAATCCCTTGAAATCATCGCAGCGTAGAATGGCCGAGAGACCACCAGCAGAACATCCGCCGAGCAAAGCCTTCATGTAATATTTATTACATTAGTTACTTGGGGATGAAGAAAGATTCAAAATACGACAAGCAAAATTATGAAATATATGTACCTGCGTTGCATGTTGCATTCCCTTTGCCATCAAATCTTCCATGACAGCGAAAAATATACGCTTTCCTCTAAACTGAAGTTGTGCCGCCTAATTGTAAACAAACCATAGGAATCTCAAGTTATATTACTAACGAAATATTTCAATATCGTACGTTATGCATAGAGATCCTTATTGTCTTAACCAACCTTGTTTTCGCTGTCCCCGCTAAATGATGCACCATCACAATACCGGACTTTAACTTTATTCCAGTTGTAAAAGTCTGCAACGTTTGCCGCAAAAGAAGAGAAAACATTCAATAGCGATTCCACAAATATCACACTCTTTCTTTTCGTTAAAGGATCTTAAGAAAGACCTGGATTTTTAGCGGCATTATCGCTTAAAAATCCATCAAAAGATAACTCTTTCTCCATTAATCTGGACGATCCATAACTAGTGATTTTACGGTTCTGACAATCGTGTATGCTGACACACCACGCACCACCCTTTCAACAAAATTGGCCTTAATGATTAGGCGATCGATGATTGATAGGTATATATATTCATAGAGAGGTACTCTATATTTTTGTACGAACCAGCAACTCAATGATCCAGCTGTTTGCTCCTGAACCGTACCCACGATACAAATGATATCCAGGCACTGACCCATCCAGACACACTGCCACAACAATGTTAACCTTATAATTACCATCATGAAAATACAAACCAAGAACCTTAATTAAAAGTAGTGATGAAATAAAGTGTGGTATCCATTGTTTGTTTGTGTATTGCTTTGCTTTTCTGTTTACGTCATACTAGAGCGTGTTTCTTCTAGACAAAATTACAATCTTTTAAACAAAACTATTTAGTTTAATTATATAAACACAAAATAAATAGGAACACAAACACAAACGAACGAATTGGCGTTTTGAAACGGCTAAAGCATAGATTTCAATAGAAATAAATGGGATCGAATAACTCGAGTTACCCGCTCCTTTAGCAGCAGCGGATTGAACAAGAGTGAGTCCTACCATCAGAAGACTTTCATTTGCATTTTTGCCATTGATTTTGTTACGCAAGTGCATTTCATCAAAACCCATTATTCCATTTGTAAGAATGCTTAGCAGAACGAGTCCTGCGAGACTCCAACTCCACAAAAGCGCATTCATTTTTCTCTTAACGAATATATGAACCACGAAGTCGAATATCGAGACGTATGTAAAGTGGTCATTTATATAAGAAAGCAAATTAAACCATCGATCCTGGTTTTTTTAAATGGAAACCTCAACTAGAAATGAAGACCAGAGAGCGAGAAAGAGAATAGCATTCGTTGCCACTCATAGGAGATAGTTTTTACAAGATTTGTTTCCTTAGTAAAAATTATTTTCTTCTTCTTCTTCTTCTTACATAGGATAGGAGCAACAGGTCTTTGTTTCCTTATACTAAGGATTCTACATAGTATCATGAATTATCTTGTTACAATATAGTTTAATTACCAGCTACTGAAGTTGAAAACTGTATATGAATTATCTTCTACATAGTATCATAAATCTGTGCTCTATTACTAAAACTGTATGTATATACAGCTCATACTAAGTTGTTATGAAGATCATAAATCATATATGAATAAGCGGTCCAAAATTGGGTTTAGATATCAAATTTAAATAATAATATCTTTTTTTCTTGTTTTCTGTTCTTATGTACTGATGTGTTGAATGGTGGATCAAGAAAAAACCTGTTCCGTAACATCATCTCTCTACGTTGCAGTATTGCACAAGAAAAGCAAAGCACTAAATAATCTAAACGATCCACAAGCGTCACCTTAGACGAGGCCTAATAAAACAATAAAGCCCAAATTCAAATCATGGAGATAAGAGACCCAACCCACTAAAGACGATGCGTCGTAGCTTAGGACATTTGTTTGGGGCAAGAAGCAAAAGCCATTATAATCGGAGGACAATTGTGCAAATCTCGTTTTCAATAAATACAGCTAAGAAGAGTAAGACAAACATTACTTGATAAGTACATTAGGTAATGATAAATCCATTTTTTCTATGATTTTATACAAAACCATTATTAAATATCTACAGTTCTACACCGTGTAATTGAGGCGTGTAATAACGAAACAAGTGTAGGCATGATTTTTCAATAGCACAGCCCCTGATCCATCCGTTTAGTCTAACGTTGACCTTTGACATTTCATGTTTGACAGAGGAGGGAGAGAAAGAGAAGAGGAATAAAGGAAGCAGGCATGTTCCTTGCCTTTTCTCTTTCATTCTCAACGAGAATAGTCTATCATCTCCTTCTTCAATTCCCCTTTATAAACGATAAAATTCTCAGCTGTTACAGTCTCACCTTTAACAATCCATGGCTTCACCAACTCCATTTCTCTCCGTCTTCCTCGGCCTCGTCGTCTTCTTCTTCTTCTTCGTTACAGTCTCCGCAGATCCCGACATGCTCCAAGATCTCTGCGTCGCTGACCTCTCCTCCGGTAAGTGAACTACTTGATTCACCACCACCCTTAAAAATCTCTGATCTCATCTTTCCATTTTCTTGAAAGAAGCTTCAATTTTTATTTTTTCTCCGAGTTTTCAGGAATCAAAGTCAATGGCTTCCCTTGCAAAGACGCGGCTAATGTCACATCACTCGATTTCTTCTCACAAGGATTAGCGAAACCAGGTCTCACCAACAACACATTCAAGGCCTTGGTCACAGGAGCTAACGTAATGACGATCCCAGGGCTCAACACACTCGGTGTCTCCCTCTCTCGCATCGACTACGCTCCAGGTGGCTTAAACCCACCTCACACGCACCCACGCGCCACCGAAGTCGTCTTCGTCCTCGAAGGAACCCTCGACGTTGGGTTTCTCACGACGGCCAACAAGCTCATCTCTCAATCCCTCAAGAAAGGAGACGTCTTTGCTTTCCCCAAAGGACTTGTCCACTTCCAGAAGAACAATGGCGACGTTCCTGCCTCTGTTATCGCTGCTTTCAATAGTCAGCTTCCTGGAACTCAGTCTCTTGGCGCTACTCTGTTCGGCTCTACGCCTCCTGTGCCCGACAGCATCTTGGCTCAAGCCTTTCAGACATCTCCAGGAACTGTCAAACACATCAAAACCAAGTTCCAGCCCAAGAAATGATCTTCAATCTCTCCCACATTCTTTACAGTTTTCCGGTTCTGTTTTCTTAAAAGGGAAGAGCTTTTCTCCTTTTCATTGATCTTTGTGTGTAATACTCCGTAATAAACAATAACTGATCTTTGAGTGTGCATTTGAGCTCCATAGTCTCATATATTACATCTTCTGGATAATCCCATTCTATTAGATTTTTGGTTTAAGAGTTGACTACAAACAGGTATGCTGATGTTGATTTGATTTAGAAAAACTTCAAATAAAATAAGAAAGCAGGTAAGCTACTATGTGACTTTTTTATTTAAAATAATCAACTTGAGAGACTCTAACGTATGGGACTGATAAAACTGATTAGTTTAATTGATCAAATTGTATTCTTCCTCCATGTGCCTCATCTTTCAAATCTAAGTGTACTTCATATGGCCAGCTAATTAGGTGATCTGTAGAATTTAGAAATTTATCTTACTTTTTAATGGAGCTAAGCTAAAGCAGGATTGTTTAAACATAACATTCTTGCTACATAGTGTCAAGGATCATACTTTACCTCGAAACTCTGGCCAGTTGCATTAACCCGAGGCACAGACTCCAGCTACGGTGATTAGCGTATTAGGCAGATCCTCTCTACTATCAGGCTACACTCAGAGAGACAAGAAGCAGTCAGTAGAATGTGAATGAAAACCCTGAAGAAAGAAGATTATCAGACTAGAGAGAGAGAACTCATGTGAGGAGTTTCTGTTCTCATGACCAACCATAGACCGTAAATTAGCTCATTTCTCATACATCAGTTATTCAATGATACATCATGAAACCAAAACACTCGATAGGAGATTAGATATGCATCCATATTTACAGCTTCAGAACAGAGATAACAGAAGATGTAAATGGATGGATATTTCATCGTTATTGAAAGTTGAAAATGAAAGCAAAACGCAAATTATGAAAGTTACAAACAAACAGAAACCGGTGACTACAGCCATATAACCCCTTTTCTTCAGGGGACTACTTTGCTCGCTGCAGCGAGTTCCGCAGTGATAATAAAACTCGATTTCCCGGCTTGTCTCAAGTACTGAACATCTCCATTCATCAGCTTCACCAGTTTCCTGCTAACCATCAAGCTCAATCCTTCCTCTGACACATCTTCCTCAGTTCCAAACATTTGGTTTAGCAAAAACTCTGGTAACCCAGCTCCCGTATGCGTTATTCTGTTTTCATAAACACAAAATCATCAATGCATTTTCTTTTCACATCATAATGTGTATTCTGATTAATAAAAGTTTACCTGATCTCTAAATAAGCAAGATGCACAGATCGCCCGAGCTGATCTTTCCTCAGGGAAGCTGTAACAGTGAGCTGACCACCGGATGGTGTAAAGTTAACAGACATCAGCATGAAATCTGCCAAGACTTGCTGAAGCCTAATACTGTCTCCATACAAAGTATCAGACATTACTTCTTCTCCAGTATCATTCGTTATCCGAACGCTCTTTCCATTACTCTTCATCATTACTTGACTTGTGGAGGCAGTCAACACTTCGTTTAAGCTGAACTCTTTCATTTCCAGATCCAAGCACCTGCACGCAGTCAAACTCCCACATAAGTTTACATATGAGACTGAAACAAACAAAAAAAAAAAGACTAAAAAGACTTTCATTGTTGCATACCCTTCAATGATGCTTTCGAGATCGGAATCATCAAGGATCTTGCTGAGTTGCTTCTGACATAATGCGCTAGTTTGCAAAATCCGCCTCTGCTCTGGTCCTAACTCAGAGCCCTCCATCATTTTCCTTGTAAACATGATTCCGGATAGCGGATTCCTGATCTGTCTTTTTATGTAAGCTAGAGCCTTTAGTCTCTTCAATGCAGTTCGCTCAGCTAGACGCTGAACATGGAGGGCTTGCTGCAGCTCGTGGCTGGCAAGTTGCAGGAAACAGAATACACCGGTCACTACACCTTCCCTGTCCAGTTTCTTACTCACACACAACAGACACTCCACATACTTTCCACTTCTTGTAAAGAAAGCAAAGGACACTTTCTCTGCATCCTGACTGGTCACAGCATTGTTTAGCACAATCCCAAGGTTTACAAAGGCTTCTTGATTCTTCAGACGACAACATGACTTCTGCGTCCCAAAGACTTCTCCTAACAGCATCTTGTCCATCACTTCCTCTCGCTTCAAACCGGTTAACTTTGCCATCGCTGGATTCCACTCTGTGCACCACCCGAACTCGTCGGTACCAAATATGGGCGGGATCAGCGGGTTTGGATTTTGGATGATCGCCTTGTAATCACCTTCGATCCTAGTAAACTTGTCCATCACAGTCTTCTGTCCAGTAAGATCATGGGCTACAAAACACACCCCAACCACGTTTTCGTGGAGATCTCTACTTGCGCATGCATTTACAACTAAACTTATTGGCCCAGCATCAGCTCGTGACAGATGCGTCTTGATCTCAAATTGGACATTCTGCTCCTCGGTTCCTGCATATATATGCAACCAAGTTTCTCAGACTAAGATACTCAATTGAAAATTAAACAGTTTCATCTAGTTCTAAGTAAGTAAGAGAGTTATACCTTCTAGTGCATTCTCTAACATCCTTTTAACGATTTCCATGGAGGAATCTTCGACAAGTGTGAGGAGATGCTTCCCGATTGCTTCATCAACGGAAAGACCAGTTAGCTCAGCAATTTTCGTGTTCCAACCATTAACCAATCCATCGGAATCAACCGCCAATATTGGCACCGTAGCAGTCTCAATTAAACGAACCATCTCACTGGTCACAGCTTCTAGTTCTTGTATACCATCAATTTTCAGATCATTTAGCTTCGAGTGAATGATCTTTGTATTCACATCAGTAGTTTCGCCATCCTTGAAAGCATTCCTCAGAATAAGCTGCAGCGAGTGTATGGCATCCATCTCATAGTCCTTCCAAGGTAAACTCCTTGTCTTAACCACTTCAAGGAAGGCCTTGAACGATGACCTCGGGTGCATTCTCCTTGCATCATCCCTATCATCTGGATCATGCTTTGCACCTCCCCATCTCACTTCACCAGCTGTATGAGAACGGAACCAGAAAATCATGTCTTTCGATGATATCCTCACAGCCGCCATTCCGCATACTGAATCCCCAAGAGCCAGAGCCCTAGGAAACCCTGCATCATGCAAGCTGTCAGTGCTCAAACCCGTTGAATCCGTGTGGTACTCACACAACCATGAAGCTATCTCCTGCAGATGGAAGTCGCTTGGAGTTGTTCCCAGTTTCCATATCTTGTCTTTGTACAAGAGAGCTGCTCCATCACATTTCACAAGGTCCATTATGTTGGGGCTCTGTGACACAATACCCAACGGAGCATCACGCATCAGCATGTCGCACAAGAGTGTCTGTGTGCGCAAAATGTTCTTCTCCACAATCTGATTCTCCAGTTCCACCTCCTTGTTGACATGTATCGCAAACACTTGAGCTAGAAACTCACAGGCATACCTGAGAGGAAACGGAACAAACCTCGGAGTCGTGTTATGGCAAACCACCAAGCCCCATAGTCTCTTTCTCTTTTGAGGCTGTGTAGTGGAATCAGGAGCATCCCCTTCTCCATCTTCCTCGTTAACTACAACCGCCATTACCAGAGATGCAATTGAATCCATGTTGGCCATGTACTGCAAATGGCAGCTGTGTGGTGCTCTCAGGGTGGAGCCACACAAGGTAAGATCAAAGGAAAGCTTTTCGTCTTGAAGCACCCTAACATGTTTTGCATTGCAATCAACGATCATCCGAACCTTGTTCTTCATAAACAGAAAACGGGCTGCTTGAGGGATGTCGGTAGCTGGATAATGCAGTCCAAGATAAGGCTCCAGACCAGGTTTAGTCACCTCGGATACAACCTCACCGTGATCATCGTCATGAAACTTATAAGCCATCACCCTGTCATACCCCGTGAGTTCAAAAACCTCCTGAGCCATCGTGTCACAAAGCCTTTCCATGCTTCCACTAGGCAAAGATTGCAGCCTAGTGATCGCTTTGGCAGCGAGCTTGTACGATTGTAAGGCACCAGCAGCTGTCATGGGAACTTCATAGGGCTTCACCGGTTCAAAGTCGACGATGATGCTCCCTGTAACCCTGTGGACAATCGCATAAAAGGGCTTTGCAGAAGTCTTGCAGTGGACAAGAATGGGATTCAACAAGGAGACATCTCCAAATCCAAGGGCTTTTTGCAAAGCAGAGGCACTAGGAGCAGTGAAAAGACTCCTCAGATCCGTCCCAATGCCAAGAACAGGGTGTTCGCCAACACTAGGAACTGCATGACTGGCCATCGTCAACAGCTCAGGAGCATTCTCGCTGTATGCAATGATTTTGAAGGTTTTCTCATCCAAGGCAAGCAAACAACCGAAGGGCTGAATCAGCTTTCCCTTCTGTATGTGATGAAGATAAGTCGTGGTCACCTTGTCAGACCTCGGTGGCTGGTTCTCCACAACCGGGCCAGTGACTCGCACTGAGGTTGAGTAATCAAAGGAACTGCCTGACTCCTCAAAATCAGCATGGAGCTTCGCATCTACAGTGGTCTGCGCAATGATCCTAGCGCTGTGTCTTGATCGCCTCGAGCCCTCAGAGGACTGAGTCGGCCTAGACCCTGACATTTTTTTCCTGACACAGAGACAAGACAACAAGAGTTTTGAGTATTAAACTCTGATAAAGAGGGAATAAAACATCAGCAAAAGTGCCATGTTCCACTGTTCAATGAAGTATCATCTTCAAAGCAAAAAGCAACTTAACCACCTTAATCATGAGGTATAAAATCACAGCTAAGGGGTCAAGAATCCATGAACACTACCTTTCTAAGTCATCCTAGAATCCAAAATCAACAAGATCTTGAGAATTAACATGTAGCACAATCTTCTGTTCAACAATCAAATACAGCTACATATATTAAGTAGACAACATATGAACTCGCTAAATCTTTACAGCCATACCTTTTGAAAAGGAGCAGTAAAGTCCAACTGCAAAAGCAATCTTTAAGAGTGAAGAGCGCTAAGAGGATGAGATTTGATTGGATGCTTCTTCTCACAAGTGATGGTCACAAACTACAAAATTTGAGTTAAAACACACATCAAGCCAGATCAAAAGAGACCTGCCAAATCTCTATTCACAGAAAACACAAGAATATCGATGACAGCAGAGAAAAGCAGCTTTTAACTAATTAACTTCTGAAGAAAAAAAAGACTGATATATTTCAAAAACGCAACCCTGAAAGGAGCTTACGCAGTAAGAGGAGTGTGAGTCTAAGTGATAAGCAGAAAAAAAAACGAAGCAAAGCTTCAATATTTATATGTAAATCAAGGAGAAAGGAGGAGACTTGGGGAAAAGGAAAGTAGCTACCTTTAAAAGAAGGAGAAGAAGTTTAAAGAAACCATGATCGGATCTCGTCTAGTCACACTCCTCAGAGGCTTTTCTTTTCTTTTTGTTTTTTTTTTTGTTATTTGTTTTCTAAATCATGACCTCGATCACCGCCTCTTTCTTCAGCTGCGTCTCTCTTCTCTATTATTTGTGCTCCCTAACACAGACGACGACGATGAATGGGACCACCCGAATACGTATGCCCATGTATCGGAGTATGGGCAATTTGTTTATATTATAATGGGGAGATATTTAAAGAAAAAGCTAATTTCGGATAAAGAACAAACTTCACGCGCAAATCAAGAACAAGGTCGGTTTCGCCGGTAACATTTTCTCGCCAATACAGAGAACGGTGGCCGAAGAAAAAAATAAAACCTGTAGTTACTTAAAACCTTGGCACTTTCCTGGGATTCCAAAAAAAAAAAACTATTTTTTTCCTCTATTCTTCGGAGCTTAATCCATTAAGCTGATATTTATTTTCACCGATGTAACTATCACTGTTCAAGTGGGAGAAGAGATTGAGGTTGATCTCAATCTGATCAAAGAGAATCGTCCAAAGGATAAGATGAAAAGTAAAAATATTAATAAATAAAAAAAACAAGAAAGAGGGGAGAGAAGAGAGAGAAGGATGGGGGCAGTGTTTAATGAAGGCAATAACCAGAAGTAGAAAGTGGTGTTTGGGGGAAGACGACAACGCTAGTCTTATGGGCTTCACGTTTTCTCGGCTTTTTGCGCTTTGTATTTTGCCTCTCTGGGATTGAAATTATAAGAAACGACTTTCCAAATTTGTAATTTGTTTTATCGACCTTTCAAAATTTAGATGCCAATTAGGGGAATAATCTATAAACTAATTTCAACGTCCTTAAGCTTCGTTTTTTTTTGTATTAGTAGAATACTCCATATGTTAGGTTTGAAACAACACTTCAAGTTCTGCCAGATTTTTTAGGTTGTTTTTGATCATTTTCCTCAATTACTTGCAAAGAATATTCATTTCTCCTCAATTACTTGTATGTGAAATAATAATTTGTGCAAACAAGAGAATATAAAATAATTTTCTTTGGTTATCTTAAGTTTGATACGATCAACAAGTCTTTCTCGCATTAAGTTAAAGGCTGGCAGAAAATGAAGTTCATGTGATCGGGAAGCTTCAAGATCAATCGTATAACTCGCAAAAGATCCGATCTAGTGAACCTTCAAACAATTATCTAGATTCTTATAAATAATTATAGTGGTGACTGATGTAGCTAAACTATAGTCTTTCTCAAAGTGAAGCAAGTGCAGTAGTGTGCACTGTTGTGCATGTTGTAGTAGTTAGTGCATAAAATGTCGAACCCACAAGAAGGAATTTACATCAAAGAAATCCGAGAGTTTATACTAAAACGAATAATTTAGTTTGGTTGGTGCTGGCCTTGTTGAATAGGCCTGGCTCAAGAAAAATAAAAGTTATTGGATAAATAAAACTAAAGTTTGGGCCTTTGGAGCATTTTTCTACATAAACCATAAAATAGTAGTCACACTAGATTTTGGACTTCTTAGAAAAAAGTGGTCATGAGCCCTTTAGACCATTGCATTCTTGCACTGCCCATTTAAGTAAGACCTGAGGTAAAATCTATGGGTTTTAAGGACGGATTGACGATTTTAAACGCAGGTTTGATGAAGGCAATGGCCATATGACCATTAAGTATATAGCCTATCAACGCTAATTCGATTCTCTTCTACCCATCACTCGAGATGTCCATTGAACTAACACATAGCTTAAGGCATGTTGCTGTTCTCGCAAACATGACATGCGAATATCTAAATATATTTTGGACCCACAGTCAAATAGTTGCTGACACTAAAATCCTTTAAGAAGAACTGAAAAAGATATAATCGTAAAGACAACAGTCAGTATTTGTTGAGTTAACCCATCTTCACAGTAAATAGAAATGTCAATGGTACTTTTATGTATAAGAAGCAGAAAGCTGATCGTAAACAATCTATGCGACTCTTGCAGAGACAGACTGATGATCTTCTGCACCCAAAGCCAAAGATAATTGGGTTTGGTTTTCTTCAAATTTTAAATCAATCTCTGCGACTCTGCAACGCATCATCGAGATCGAGTTCTAAGCCAACACGATTCTTTATGGACGCAGCAGCGTGGCAAGACGACGACGTCGTTTTGCACATAATCCCCAGTTCCTTAAACCTCTCCACATCAAAATTGTGGCTCTTCAACAGCTTCCTCTGCCTCGAGAGGAAGAGCCTCTTCATGAAATCCTGATAAGTCGGATCCCTCGAGGTTATCAAGAAATAGGCATAGCCCACGATGATACTAGTCGCTGTAGCGAAGAACGTGATTGGTTCCATCACATCCCACGAGAACTCCCAGAAAGTTAGCCTCACGAAGAGACCAATCTGAACAATCGAAGTAGCCAGACCGCACCACAGAATCTTCCTCACTTGTCTGTGAGCTAGAACATCGATCTCTTCCTTCATGATCCTCATCTTGTTGAATTCGTCCTTGATCTGATCTTCCTCGGGATTTTGATCCAGAGGCATCGCCCGTCTGATCAGATCCACCACCTGTAAAAAAAAAAAGTCCAGATTTCATTGAGACACAGAGAAAGTAGGGGTTTTTGTGAGTGACATTTTTTTGTCGGACCTTGTCTGGGTGAAGATAGACTTTATCCCGGAAGATCAAGATGACGCCGGCGTCGTCGAGGACGCGAGCGAAGACGTGAGCTTCATCGGGGGATCTAACGATACCCATACCCTGAGAAGCTTCTAAAAGTGCACTGTAAGGGACCACGTCTCTCTCCGCCATACCAACGAGCTTCTTCTTCATGTCTTCAACATTCACCAGTCTCATCAGCTTCTTCGCCTCCGCCACAGTGATCTCCTTCTTCTTCTTCTCCTCCTCCTCCGGTGGTGTTCCGACGGCGAGACTCCTTAACCCACCACCAAGCCAGAGCCTCTGCGAAGAAGCTCTAATCGCGTCGGACATTGCCGTACGCCTTATCAAACCCATTGACGACCACATTTCTCTCTCGATCTGAGCTCTGGATTTTCGTGAAAGCTAAACCCCAAAAAAAAAACAACAAGGCTCGGAGATCAAAGATTAAAATAAAAAGTTATTATGAATAAAAGGTGTGATTCGATTCCAGGCGCAGTGACTTAACGCGCTTAATTAAGAATCCCATAAAGATTACACGATTAGGAAAAACGGAAAAGAAAAAGAGGAGAAGCACGAAGCCATTGCTTTATTTATGGAATTCAGAAAAGATAGAGAGAGAGAGAAATAAAGTTTAAAATATTGTTAGGTAATAGCCATTGTTGACTTGTAGCATGGAGAATGGCTTTTCCCAATATCCGAATTAGATTTTCTTCTCGATGGAGTAGTAAAGTAATGTAATAATTATCAGAGTTTATTTATCCAACTACCCACCTGACAGAAAAAAAAAATAAGGAACTCTTGATGGGGTAGTAAAGTAAATACAGTAATTATGAGAATTTATTTATGCAATAACCAAACTGAGTGTCCATGACAATACAAAGAACGAATTACATTTTGATTGCACAGAAAACTACAGTAATAAGTTAAATTTAGAGGCGATGCAAAACATATACACGCCTATGTGTAATAATGTACACACCTGAAAAGTACTCCAAACAATAGAATTTAGCAACTTTCCACAGCTTGAGAGCTGTTGCATCGTCTCTCTATCCCGATGCACTACATTGAATATTAGTTATGATCTCCCTCGTTTTGCCCTTTTTTCTCTCCTTGAGAATAGCTGTGATCGTTATACGACCTAAGGACCAAATTTGTTATTTAAATCGTTTTTCTTTGCGATTTAAAGCCAATCAAAGAGAAAGCAACCTCCATTTTAGGACATTTATTATATAGTGACGTTTTCCACGTTCAATAATTATTATTGCACAAATAAAATAGAGTTTGGACCAAATTTATTGTTTATGGAGCTAAAATAGGCTTAACGTGCAAACAAAGAATAATTCAAGAGGTTGATGAACAAATGGGTTCTATAGTTTTTTAACCTGAATTTTCTATACAGGAAAATGCAAAATCTTATAGAGTGGTTCTGGTGAAATATGATGGTTAACCTTACCATAGAGTCTTGCTTTAATTTAATAAAATGATAAATACGTTTGGAATTAATAAATTCGTATGCTACATTTTGAGTCGACTTTACAATTATATAGGGTGCCACTTTCGTAAAGGGATAAGCTATACTAGTAATTATTAAAACAATACCAATAATGACATGATCATGAGTTGTATCTGAGCATCGATGCATATAAAAAATATTAGTATCAATTTAAGCTAATACTACTTGGTTAGCCTAGCTATGTAATTATAAAACATGTTTAATTAAGCCTGGCAACTTATCTTATTTTTTAAAAAACAAATGGAACTTAACAAATCTTCAAAAGAGTGCCAAATATTGCCTTGACTGCCACCAACATGTGCACATATAAAAAGAAAAAACAAATGGAAATTAGAAAGGGAAACTATAGTTGAAATTTATGGATCAAATATGAAATGTTATACCTCGCATGAGTCGGACTAGATACCGACTTTATCTCAATTCTCAAGCCCATGGGCTAATGTCATAAAAGCCCAATTGACGCTTCAATGCTTCTTCCCAAGAACAAACCAAAAATTCAGATGAACAAACAGAAAGTCTCACTCAAAGCAAAGATCTGGCCACGGGCCACCACCGTAATACAAGGATCGATGCATACAATAGGAAAGTTCGAAAGCTCGATGAAGATGACGGCTAAGATGCGCCGTAACCTCCCAAGGACGCTCCTTTTTGGGGCTCTTCTTTTGTTGCTGGTCCCGGTCAGTGAGGCGATTTGGCTTGAGGTGCCTCCTACCGGAACAAAGTGTGTATCCGAAGAAATCCAGAGCAATGTCGTCGTTTTGGCCGATTACCTCATCATCTCCGAGGATCATTCCGTCTTGCCCACTATCTCCGTCAAGGTATTTTGTCTTTGATTCTCTGTTCCGATCATCTCGCTTGTTCAGTGATTTGAATGTGCATTTTGTTGCTACTCGATCCGTAATTTCAGCTGATGCATATAAGTCGTTTCCCTCCGAATTTTGAAATGAATCACAATGAAGTAGGAAGGAATGTGTTGTTACTGCTGATCCAAGTTTCCTTATTTGGACAATTGTGATCATGATTGTTCTCGTAATGTGCATGTCTTTCGTTGATTGTTTCAATTAAAACTTTGCAATAAAAGCATTTCAATTGGAGAATTGTGCTCATTACTGGAGAACGATGTCTCTCTCTTTCGGAACTCTTTTGTGGTATCTCTCATCTTCTCGGAGTAACACAAAAGCATTTCAATTGTTAGCGTCGTGAGTGTTTTCATAGATGTTTATACGTATTTTGTTTGTATCAATTGGCATTTGAAACCTTCAGAGATCATATTTTTTTTGTAGGAAGAGTATCAGAGCTTAAGCGTTGCAGAAATGCGCAAATGCTTGTGTATAACTTAATCCCTATGATTACTTATTTTGCCGTAACATCAAGATCCTAAGTCACAGGCTGGGGGATTGGAATAAAAAAGCTGAAAATTTTATGTAGGCTGTTGATAAAATCTGCGTGGTAAATGTATCAGTTGTTGGTAATCATGGGTTTTTGCTAGTTCCACATAGCTTGATGGATTGTCGAATAAGGATAATGTGGGAAACGTACTTGTCCTGGATGGTGCTCCTCTGTTGCTTGGCTCTGAGTTTGAGAATCTTTATATTGCAGGTGACATCCCCATTCGGCAACAATCTGCACCACGTGGAAAACGTGACGCATGGACAATTTGCATTTACAACTCAAGAATCCGGGAACTACATGGCGTGCTTTTGGGCAGATGCAAAGAGCCACGGAAACAAAAACGTCAGCATCAACATAGACTGGAAAACTGGGATCGCTGCTAAGGATTGGGACTCTATTGCTAAGAAAGAGAAGATCCATGTGAGCTTTCCATGAGATATTACTACAGTTCACAGACTTTGTTGCCCATGTTTTGCTTCAGATTCACTGTCACTACTATAACCGCAGAAAATCTTCAAAGTTTGTTTCTTTATGACATTTTGATTTTGCTTGTTAACGTAGGGAGTGGAGCTGGAGATCAGGAAACTTGAAGGCGCCGTCGAAGCCATCCATGAAAATCTCATCTACCTAAGAAACAGGTAAAGTAAAATCACCAGCTGCATTCTCACTCATTGCTCTCGACTTTGATTCTCAAGTTTTGTGGATCAAAATGGTAACATTGCAGAGAAGCAGATATGAGGACAGTGAGTGAGAAAACGAACTCGCGGGTAGCTTGGTACAGTATAATGTCGCTGGGTATTTGCATTGCTGTTTCTGGTTTACAGGTCGTCTACTTGAAGCAGTACTTTGAGAAGAAGAAGCTTATATAGATTTTGACTCTTTTGATAGCTTTTTTTTTGTCAAAGGAATTAATATTCATTCAATTCCTCTCCTATTCTTTTCTTGTTTACATTCTTTTTAACTGACACTGTAAAACTTTGTTCACGGATTTTTCTTGTAGCTTCTCTTGTTTAGGTTTTATTATTTCTCATAAGAAAAAGGTTTATTTTTGTGGAAGAATTAACTTGTTACCCTCAAAACGAAACAGATTTACTCTGGCAAACTGGTATCCGAATAACATGGTATTAGGTTTATCTTGAAGTTTATGTTAGTTTGGGGCTACAACACATAATTTTACAGCAGCATTGGATAAAACCATTTGATTAAAATCAGTATTCACAGTTAAGCCCAAATCTGTAACCAATGTATATAAACAAATTAGCCCAAATTTGGGACAAGGCCCGTTAAAGAAACCCTAAACTCAAAAGGCATATAAATAAGCGTCTTTCTCATTTCGTTTGTTCGGCGGCTTCTAGGGTTTTTACTAGTCGCATCAAAAATGCCGGCAGGACATGGAGTTCGGGCGAGAACGAGGGATCTGTTCGCGAGGCCGTTCAGGAAGAAGGGTTACATTCCACTCTCGACCTACCTGAGGACATTCAAGGTCGGCGATTACGTCGATGTTAAGGTGAATGGTGCGATCCACAAGGGTATGCCTCACAAGTTCTACCATGGTCGTACCGGTCGTATCTGGAACGTCACCAAGCGCGCCGTCGGTGTCGAAGTCAACAAACAGGTCAGAAAATATCACATCTCTTAACTTTTATCCGTCTACTACTTTATAGTTCGCTATAGCTCTCATCGTGATTTAGAATCTCTGATTGAAAATAGCAAATGAAACTGATTTGTGATATTTTGGAATGTTGATCTGTATTTTTGGTGAAATTTCTCGGTTCAGAGTGTAAATCTCCTCATTTGCTACAGTTTGATCTAAACGCCTTTGATTTTTCTTAGGCCTTAGCTATTGTGTTGGATTTAATTCCCTAATATGGTTTTTTTAATATATTTTCAGATTCCAAATTCGAATGCTTAGGTTTCGTTTAGTCTTCAACATTAACAGGCGTTATGTTCAATCCATTGTCCTATTTGCATCAAAAGTGTTTCCATTGATCGAATATTTGAATTGCTGTTATTTGGTTACAGTAGCTTGGGTTAAAGTTAAATCTTAAGCATCACCTTGTTTCTATAGTCTCTGTTAATTATATATGTTGTAATTGGGATTGTCCTGTTGAGATCAATATAAACTTTTTTGCAAGTGGCTATCTTGGTGTGTAACATGATGACTGACATAACTATGTTTGTGGGTGTGTATCAGATCGGCAACAGGATCATAAGGAAGAGGATCCACGTGCGTGTGGAGCATGTGCAGCAGTCAAGGTGCGCAGAGGAGTTCAAGCTGAGGAAGACGAAGAACGATGAGCTCAAGGCTGCAGCCAAAGCCAGAGGTGAGACCATCAGCACCAAGAGACAGCCTAAAGGCCCCAAGCCAGGATTCATGGTCGAAGGTATGACCTTGGAGACGGTCACTCCCATCCCTTACGACGTCGTCAACGATCTCAAGGGAGGCTATTAGTTTTGCTGTCTCCCCCCGTCTTAATTTTGTTTTTCGTTGTAGTGACTTGATACTGATTTATAATATAGCAAGACGTTTGCATTTCGGATTTTGCAAGGATGATTTTTCATGAAGCATTTTCGTTGGCTGATAATTTTCTTGAAGCATTCCAGATTTTTACCGTGACTATCTAAAACTGTTTCATTCCTATGTGATCTCAACACTTTAATTAAAAAATGTCGCACTCATATAGCCTGGATAAATACATATGAGCATAATTTTAGAGATATTGTTATCGTGGGGGCCAGAGATGTCCATGCGCTTCCACGTGGCGGTCACTTAGCGTCTCAGCAACACACCCTCCTCGTTAACTTGTGTTTTAAACACTGAGCTCAAAGAGTAGTCAAAAGAGTATGTATGTGTTGTGTTTGTCTTTGGTCAAGTCTCCACTAATGGCGGTCTTTGTCATTTTCTACAGATAGAATCCAGCTGCTTCTTTATTTATCTTTTCGTTTATTCTGTTTGCTCTTTGAATTTCCTAAAATAGAATAGAACATGAAACCTCATTTCATCCGTTACTTGCCTAATTCCTTATAGGCTATTCGTGATTTTAGGAATCAATCAAATTCCAAACTCTCTCTCTCTCTAATTTTCCCCTGAGCAAATAATTTTACCATCTCTCTCTCCGTGATTCTTCTTCTCTACTGACCAAAGTCTTCCTTTGATTTCAATTTGTTTTCTTCAAAAAAAAAAACATTAGACCCAGAATACTTATAGTCGGTTTTATCAAATATATCGAAATCAGTCGTTGCTAATCTTACATTTTCCAGTTTCGTTAGATTTACAAAATCTCCTCTCGATTTCTATTCCCCTTCTTGTAGGTTTTCCTTAAATTTGATTTTGGGATCTGCGTCAAATCCATTAAGTCCCGGGATTGGATTATATAGGTAGAGAATCATAAGTCTAAGCACCAATTTGGTATAAAAAATCAAAAAACAGATTTGATCCAAAAAGCTCGAATCTTTGTTCCCTGTTTGGGATTGGTGGTGGGAGGATTTGATTGCCACTTGCCAGCGACGAAGAAGAGGAAGAAAGGATACGGAGGCTAATTAAAGTAAACAGTTTCCTGATTCCGGTCAGGAAACTGTGGAGGATAATGGGCTGCAATTGCTCCAAAGGAACACGAGCAAATGATGTCGATGAAAGGAACAACAACAACGTCAAGGAGCCAAGAAGCAAGCCTATTAACAAAACCTCCAAGAAGAACAAGAAGAAGAAAAAGTCTGCTTCCTCGAGCAAAGCAAATGTAGGTTCCGAGGAAGGTTCGGGCTTTATCAATGGCAACAGCAACGAAGCCACCTTGAGGCTCTTAATACCCACCGATGCCAAGAACAACGCTTCTTCAACTCCCTTATCATCTGATGACGCTGAGAAGACGCCGAGTCTCGAGAGAAGATCTTCCAGATTGGTGTTCCAGAGACGGCCCACCATTGAGACCCATAAACTAGGGACGTTACAGCAGCCTAAGATGACTAGAATAAGCAGCGTTAGTAACGGAGAAAGAGGAGCTCAGGTTATGGCTGGTTGGCCTTCTTGGTTGGCTTCAGTTGCAGGTGAAGCTATCAATGGATGGATCCCGCGAAAGGCAGATTCTTTCGAGAAGCTTGAAAAGGTGAGGCCTTTTTGTTTTTATCTTTATATAAAATATTTAGAAATCCTGATGAGAGATTGACATTGTTTGGTTACACTGTTAGATTGGGCAAGGGACGTATAGCAGTGTGTACAAAGCCAGGGACCTCGAGACGAACCAAATAGTTGCACTGAAGAAAGTGCGGTTTGCTAATATGGACCCCGAGAGTGTTAAGTTCATGGCAAGAGAGATTATCATCCTTCGAAGGCTTGACCATCCCAACGTTATGAAGCTTGAAGGTTTGATCACTTCGAGGGTCTCAGGGAGTATGTATCTAATCTTTGAATACATGGAACACGATCTCGCAGGCCTTGCTTCAACCCCTGGGGTTAAGTTCTCTGAGGCACAGGTATTATTATTATCATTCATTACCAAGAATATATGCAACTGGAGTTACTATCATGTGGTTGGTTCCTCTCATCTGAAGCATTGTTGTGCTTTTGCAGATTAAATGCTATATGAAACAGCTGCTTCATGGTCTAGAACACTGTCATAGCCGAGGTGTGTTGCACCGTGACATCAAGGGCTCTAATCTGCTGCTTGACCAGAACAACAATCTCAAAATTGGAGATTTCGGTCTTGCCAATTTCTACGGGAGCCACCAGAAGCAGCCTCTCACTAGCCGTGTTGTAACCTTGTGGTACCGTCCACCGGAACTATTGCTCGGGTCAACGGACTATGGAGTTACTGTGGATCTGTGGAGCACCGGTTGCATTCTAGCTGAACTCTTTAATGGGAAGCCTATCATGCCTGGAAGAACCGAGGTCGAACAACTACACAAGATCTTCAAACTTTGTGGGTCACCTTCTGAAGAGTATTGGAAAAGATCGAAACTTCCACATGCGACCATCTTCAAACCTCAGCATCCTTACAAGCGGTGTGTAGCCGAGACATTCAAGAGTCTTCCATCTTCAGCTTTGGCCCTCGTGGAAGCTCTTCTAGCTGTTGAACCAGATGCCCGAGGAACCACAGCTCATGCCCTTCAAAGCGAGGTAAAAAGCTATGAAACACAGATTTCTAACAGATTTATCAACTACAAGTCTATATGCTTCTTGTCTCACACTTTTGTTCCTTTTCCTCATTTTTTTCAGTTCTTTACGACAAAGCCCTTTGCAAGCGACCCATCAAGTTTACCAAAGTACCAACCGAGAAAGGAACTTGATGTGAAGCTTCGAGAGGAGGAAGCAAGACGGTAAGATCCAGATTCTACTTGTATCACATAAAAAAAGTAGCACTTGTATGCCTTAATGAACACTGACGAATCACTCTTTCCTCTTATTTACCAGAAAGAAAGGCACAAGCAGTAAACAGAATGAGTCGAAAGAAGCATCTAAAGCTGTGCCGGCTCAAGATGCCAATGCCGAGTTACTGGCATCTATACAAGTACGTCTGATTCTCTAGCATTATACACATATACAACGTTTTATGCTTATATATCCGTGTAACCTCAACTTTTGGTCTATTTACTTGTTTTTGAAAGAAACGTCAAGGGCAGAATAACCAGACAAGCATGAGCGAAAAGTTCAATCCTAACGAAGATGCAGCAGCTGGCTTCAGGGTCGAGCCACTAAAGAGTAGTGGAAACGAACAAAACGGTTACACGCGTTACGGTGTGTCCTCGGTTAATAGAAACGGAGAGAATGTTATGATGAGGGGTTCGAGTCGGTCTCCTCCAAGAAAAGAACTGAGGACACAGCGGTCTTTTGTTCAACGCGGAGCGGCCCAATTGTCAAAGTTCGCAAACTCGGTAGCTGCTAGAGATGCATCACATTTCGCCATAGCGAATCCACGATGGTTTGAAGATAGGTATAACAATAACAACGGAAGGCAAAACGATGGTGATTGGTCCCAACGTTTGCTGGTTAAACCCAAAGATTATACAAAAGACAAAGAATCCATACGGGTAAAAAGAACATCTAGACCAGAATTGTGCTTTTGCTCTGCAGTGAAACTCTTTGTGGGCTAATCATATTCGTTGTTTGTTAATCTTCTAGGGAATGAACTACTCAGGGCCATTGGTTTCTGCAGGAGGAAACTTGGATGAAATGTTGAAAGAACATGAAAGACAGATTCAGTTAGCGGTACGCAAAGCTCGGACAGATAAGAAGACAATTAGGGACAATAATGGACAAACTCAAGCGTTTCTTGCTGCAAATGGCACGTGAGATATCAAAAAGAAGAAAAGAAGAAACTTTTGGGGGTAATCTGAAAAAGGAGATTGAAAGTTTGAGATTTTGCAATTTAGAGTCTATTGATCTTGTGTAAAGTCGAAAGCTAAAAATTGTATAATTTATTAATTCTTCATTCTTTAAAAAAAAAAAAATTATCAATCTTGGTAGAATATTCACTTAGAAGAATCATTATCGTAGTTCAAAAGAAAAATCATTATTGTCCTTGGATTTATTCAATTGTTTAACTGTATTTTGGGATTTGCCAACAGTACCCATAAAATTTGCAGAGATAAGTGTCGACCAACCACCAACAAACTTAGATATGTATAAGGCTTTCTCGATTGCTTCTAGCAGAACCTGAAGTTAGCTGCTCTGTCTTTCTCAAGTAACCTTATAGTTTTTCTCTTCCCTTCATGTCTAAGCATAAACCCAACTTCCTCTTTCATCTCCCCCAACTTCCTCTTTCAGTAGCATATTTATATATAACTATATAGAGAAAGAAGTTGTAACTTCCTTCTGAAATTCGAATCAGACAATGAGGCCTAAAATCAATCAAAGACAAGAGCTCAAGCTTCTCCTAGTTTGTCTTCTTGCGGCTTTCATCCTCATCTTCATCGTGAGAACAACTCTGACATCTTCTTCACAGGAAGAACAGCAGACTCAGGAAGATACAAGATCAAAGCGTTGCGGTGGTGCCTGCACCAAGCTGCCTCGTTCCCTCGCACAAGCCCTGATCCACTACTCGACTTCAGTTATCACACCGCAACAGACGCTCAAGGAAATAGTGGTCAGCAGTAGAGTACTGGACAACAAGTCACCCTGCAATTTCTTGGTGTTTGGTCTAGGCCATGACAGCCTTATGTGGAGCTCTCTCAACTATGGAGGCCGAACTGTATTCCTCGAGGAAGACGAAGCATGGATCAAACAGATCACGAGACGGTTTCCGATGCTGGAATCGTACCATGTAAGATACGACAGTAAAGTGAACCAAGCAGAGAATCTCATAGAAGTCGGGAAAGGACCTGAGTGCACAGCCGTTGGAGATCCGAGGTACTCAATGTGTCAACTAGCACTCAAGGGTCTGCCTGCAGAAATCTATGAGACTAGTTGGGATCTCATCATGGTCGATGCACCGACTGGATACTATGACGAGGCTCCTGGGAGGATGACAGCCATTTACACGGCGGGAATGATGGCACGGAACAGAAATCAAGCAGGAGAGACGCATGTGTTTGTGCATGATGCGAATAGGGAAGTGGAAGACAAGTTCTCCAAGGCTTTCTTGTGTGAAGGGTACATGAAGAAACAAGAAGGGAGGCTAAGGCATTTTGTTATCCCTAGCTATAGATATGGATCAAATAGACCCTTTTGTCCATAGTTGACAAAAACGTTACCTAACTCTTCTCTGTTTCTGCGAATCTCAACTCTTTATCTTCCTACCTGTTTTTCCTATTTTTTGCACAGACAGTATTGAGGAAACTAGACAATAAAGCTAAAGCAAGAAACTAGACTTCCTTATTGCATTAAACCAATTGTTCCACGGAGACAACTGAGCCTGTGTACAGTTTTGGGTGTCGTCATGCTCGAGCTTCTCACCGGGAAAAGACCAATGGAGGTTTTCAGGCCAAAGGTGTCGAGAGAAGTGGTCGCATGGGTGCATCATATGATATGAGAAGGGAAGGGAAAACAGAGGAGGTATTTGATCCATTGCTCAGAGATAGTGGTTATGGCGAGAGATGCTTCGTGTTTCTTAACATTTAGACTAAAGGAAAAAAAGATATGCATTGCACACACGCCAAAGTAGACAGAGGGATCTGTATGTTTAAGTTTATTATGTTTGCGTATAATGGTTAAAAATTTGAACAATAGAGTGAATGGTGATTGGATGCTCATAGATCATATATGGTGGATCGTCAATAGAAACACTGGAAACTACTAATATTAATTTGATTGTACTGGTAGCAAATAGTATAGTATAACTGGATAGGAAACCCACACACAAAGCTTCAAATTTGCATGGAAAAAATATTGAAAAACTTAAATAACGTTTCAGGCTGTAGAATTCTCTTTTTGGTTGTAGAGAATGCGATCATCGTTCTTGTCGTCTTCTTACACTGGATTATTCTCTTCTGTTTCCTCGCCAGGAGGTGTCAGGAACCGCCTTCCTAAAACCTGTGATAAACCCACTAAAAATAATATAAATACGACGATGAAGCACCATGCTATAATAGGGACTTTCATTGTTTATCTTAGATGATAAAAAATAAACGCAGAGCAAAATTGTTTGTTGATGATCAAAATTTCTTAAGAGTTGTTTGTATATATATGCGGGTAAGAGTGGGAAAACTTGGAACATTACCATTTTAGATACATCTTGCTAGGAAAATAATTAATACTACTCTATTGTTTTTTGTATTTTAAATCAATAAACTTGGAAAATTTCCTTCTTTTTTAAATCAATAAATGGTAAATTCCCTTTTTTAGATAGTGAAAAAAAAAAAGTCTTCTTCTTCGTTCTGGCTTGCCTTCTTTTTGTAACTTTTTTCTTTTGCATTTCCTTTCTTCTTGGTTGAAAAATGTATAGTATGCTATTTTTTGTGCTGTCGATAAATATATGTTAGGTTTAGTTACTTAATTTATTTGTTACTATCTAAGTCATTTTTGAAGCCAAAACTAATAGAACAAATTAACCAGAGAGAATTCATTTCTTTTTTTTTTCAAAATTCAAATTGTAAAACTTCGCTGGTCTCTTTTGTTAATAGATGAAAACTCTTTGGTTTTATTTCTAACTATCTAAGTCATTGTAAAATTGTAAACGATTTAACACATCTTAAATTTCATCTTGTTTTTCTTACATATTGCAACTAATAACTCAACACAAAAAGTCTACAAATCGTTTTCAAAAAGATTAGTCATGTACAAAAAAAAAATTATGAACGCTTCCAAATTCCACTATTAATATAGAATGATCTTTGAGTTATATATCAACACAAAAAAAAAACAAAAAACTTGCATATTTTTAGCTACTAGTACAACACAACGCAAGCCTTATAAAGAAAAGTCATAGATATTTGGCTTCGAAGTGTGCCACAAACAAAGCCTTTCAGGAAGACGAGCAACAAGGCTTCTTAGAGTTTGATTCAGAAGAAGCAGCGACATCAATGGTTTGGCCTTCCTTGACGTTGTTCGCATTTGCAGTTGCCTGGTCTGAAGATATCGATTTCTTGCTGATGATCCGATAAATCTCTGAGAGAATCGTCTGGAAAGACTTCTCGACGTTTAATGCCTCAAGGGCCGATGTCTCGATGAAAGATAAGCCTTCTTTCTCTGCATAGCTCTGAGCATCCTCCGTGGCAACTGCTCTGAGATGCTTCAGATCCGTCTTGTTCCCAATCAACATGATCACGATGTTGGAATCTGCGTGGTCTCTGAGTTCTTTCAACCACCGGCTTACATTCTCAAACGTCGTTGGTTTGGTGACGTCGTACACCAAGAGAGCTCCAAGTGCACCTCTGTAATAGGCGCTGGTTATGGCTCTGTACCGTTCTTGCCCCGCCGTGTCCCATATCTGAGCTTTCACAGTCCTTCCTTCAACCTTGGAACAATGAACTTTAATTCAGAACTAACAGGCAGCTATTAAATGGAGTTTTGCAACATATGTATTTGATATGATTACGTTCTAAATCGAAATCAGTCTTTACTATGAAAAGATTCTTAGATCTGACTTGGACAAGGTTCTAGATCTGAGGCAGCCTCACGCTAAACTAGCCAGAACAATCAATTCACGTTATAGATATGCAACTTGCACTTTCTAAAGAGAGACGAATCGTACTCGAGCACATGAAACTAGGGATCATTGTAACAAAATGGCCCAAATTAAGAAATTTCAGAGAAAATAAGCACCAAGCAAGTAAACAGCAATTTCAAACGAAGGCCAAATGTTTCTACACACAATGGTTGATTCCGAGATTCCAAGAAAACCTCAAACACATCTACTGGAATACACACAACGACAAAGGGAGGATACGGATCGAACCAAGAAGAACCCACACAAACAAACGGAGAAGTTTACCCTGATTACAAATACTTAATAACAGAAATTTTAAACTAATCCTGGATCAAGCAACACATCGATTACACTTAACAGGGATAAGTACATACTTGGAGGGTACGAGTAGCGAATTCGACACCGATGGTAGATTTGGATTCCAAGCAGAACTCATTGCGAGTGAATCTAGAGAGGAGATTTGACTTGCCGACACCAGAGTCTCCGATCAGAACCACTTTAAACAAGTAGTCGTATTCTTCATCCGGTCTTCTCGCCATTGTTAACCCTTTTTCGAAGAGAGAGCGAGATTGGGATTTTGAAAATTGAAAAAGCGAAGAATAGAAGTAGAAGAAGAAGACGAAGAAAATATTTTATTTGTTTTCCCGAGAAAATCGAAATGCTTTATTGACTAAAATACCCCTGGATCTATTCATCTCTTTTTCCAGTTTATTGCCGACGACACTACCCTTTATTTGCCGAACGAGGACTTTATTTATCAACTGCGCTTAAAAAGCCTTCGCCTATGCCAAATGTGTCAAATATCCCCTCAAATTATTGTAAATTTGGGATAAGAACAGTCCTCGTTCGGCAAATAAGGGGTAACAAGATGGCGTTTAACCAAAAATAAATAAAACCGGTACTTAAACCAATCAGAACCGAGTTAAACCAAGGGAATACTCTCCGAAACCACGTACATATATAAAACCCTAATTCACATCTTCCTCAACACTCTTTTTTATAGCTCCCTCTCCTCCGCCTCATTAGCTTCTTCTCTCGATTTGCTCTCACGGAAGGTTTCCAGAACGTCTGGTAAGATCCATTGATCGAACAATCACTTTCTCCAATTAACTTATATTCGTGGCTATGATCATATCAATTGCGAGCTCACTGCTTCATATTTTCATTGAAACCAGATCCAAAATCAGAAGCCGAAGTTCGTATACTTTCCGTCTGAGCAATGGCTTTGGTGAGCTCTCTATGATTAGTTTGTTTTTACTTTCCGTCGCACATATTACTTCGGACCATCGCATCCTGTATTGATATGTTGCTACGGTGCTTATATGATCTGAACAAGCAAAAGTGAATCGATTTAGTATTTCTCGGGTTCATATTAACTGCCTGTGTTTTTAGACGGAGAATAGTTATTTTTAGACTGATCAAGGTTCCTGAAGGATTGTTTATATACCGATTTGATTGAAACTATGTTAGTTTGGAACTGTATATTTATAGCTAGATACGTTTCTTCTCGAGGAAGCTCGAGAATGAATCATTTGTTACAGTCTGCTCCTGGATATATTCTGTAGTTCGGTTGATATGTATTTGGCATATGAAATCATTGCGTTGAATTTTCTCAACGATTGCGATGAGTCTTACTGGAATATTACTATTGCAGGTCCTGCACACGTACAAGGGAAACAAAAGTGCTGACAAGGCACTCATTGCCGCTGAATATACCGGCGTGAAGATCGATGTGCCCTCTGACTTTGAAATGGGTGTCACAAACAAAACCCCAGCGTTCCTCAAGATGAATCCTATGGGAAAGGTATGAGAAATAGCTTAATTGCTGCGATGGCTTTGGTTTTGATCTGAGTCTATTTTAGCTAACCAAACTTTGTGATCTTACTAGGTTCCGGTACTTGAGACTCCTGAGGGTCCCATATTTGAGAGCAACGCCATTGCCCGTTATGGTAAGAATTCGTTATTTCTCCTTCATTTGTCTCTTCATGTCTTTTTACTTGCTCGTTGTTTGAATCTAATGGATGTTTTGATGTCCCACTGCAGTTAGCAGATTGAACGGTGAGAACTCCTTGAACGGATCCTCCCTGATCGAATATGTAAGTTCCTATTTTTTTCGTCGAGCTACTATTATTTGATCCGTTGGAACTGGTTAGTATTTTCGATGTTTATCTGCATGTTGTTACTTTGCAGGCACAAGTTGAGCAATGGAGTGATTTCTCCTCACTGGAGATTTACGCAAACATCTTGAAGTGGTTCGGCCCAAGAATGGGATTCATGCCATACAGTGCTCCGGTAAGCTTTTGTGACACTATTTGTTGATTTTATTCAGTCTCTCGCTATATCAATAGTACACAGAGTTATCTCATCCCTGATTGTTTTATGAATGAAGGGTGAGGAAGCTGCTGTCTCTGCGTTGAAAAGAGCACTTGATGCGCTGAACACACATCTTACTTCCAACACATACCTTGTTGGTCATTCTATTACCCTTGCTGATATTATCACCGTCTGCAACTTGAACTTGGGATTTGCTACTGTCATGACCAAGAGCTTTACCTCTGCATTCCCTCACCTTGAGAGATACTTCTGGACCGTGATCAACCAACCAAACTTCAAGAAGGTGGTGGGTGATGTCAAACAGACTGAAGCTGTGCCTCCTGTTGCTTCCAAGAAAGCTGCCCAGCCTGCAAAGCCCAAGGAAGAGCCCAAGAAAAAGGAAACGCCCGCAGCAGAGGCACCTAAGCCTGCTGAAGAGGAAGAGGCACCAAAGCCCAAAGCAAAGAACCCTCTAGACTTGCTACCACCAAGCCCAATGGTTCTCGATGACTGGAAGAGGCTTTACTCAAACACCAAATCTAACTTCCGTGAGGTTGCTATAAAAGGTGTGTGGTGCTATCTTCTCTTTACCTAGTCTAAACAGTTTTTATTGCACCGAGTTGTTAAGTTAGTGGAATTGATTATGACCATGTTTAATCTTGTTGCTGAATGCAGGGTTCTGGGACATGTATGACCCAGAGGGATACTCATTATGGTTCTGTGATTACAAGTACAACGACGAGAACATGGTGTCGTTTGTGACACTCAACAAGGTGGGCGGGTTCCTTCAGCGCATGGACCTGGCACGTAAATACTCGTTTGGAAAGATGCTGATTATCGGGTCAGAAGGTCCCTTCAAGGTGAAGGGCTTATGGTTATTCCGTGGACCAGAGATCCCTAAGTTCATAATGGATGAGGTGTACGACATGGAGCTGTACGAGTGGACTAAGGTTGATATCTCTGATGAAGCCCAGAAGGAGCGTGTTAGCCAGATGATCGAGGACGCAGAGCCATTTGAAGGAGAAGCTCTCTTGGATGCCAAGTGCTTCAAGTGAAAAAGATTGGTTTGGGTTGATACTTCCATTTCCCAGGTTTTGCAGCCGTGGGATGTAATCTCTCTCTCTCTCTCTATAGGAGTTTTGCTCTGATACTTGTGTTTTGAAATCCTAAGAGTCGCTTAGACTGTTTTTCTAATCCAGTTGGTTAAGGACATGGTTGCCGTCTTAAGGAATATGCTTTTTTTTGGTTATCTTTAACCTTTTTCCTTTTGTTAATGTTTCTCTTTTTGTTGCGACAGAAGCACATACTCTATTACCAGTTTTTCCAAGTTAATCCGGTTCACTTGTTTTATGGTCTCTCTTTGGTTTATGGTCGTGTTGGAGAATGAGTCTATATTTTGGCGTCGGTAGACTTTGGCTTGGCCGTTTTGGCTGATTCTTCGGCGGCCATGAAAGTCTTTAATTTGGTCGCTGATTACGTTGGGTTAGTATTTTTAACAAGCAGTAGTTTTAGAACATTTCAGCAAAGTTGAAGATGATATACAACGGTTGTAAAACTGTCATCAGAGTCCACTTGCCGGCTAGTAGCTTTGGTTGGTGGCTGTGTGTAACTAATTCGCTGCTCCATTTTGCTCATTTTTCATTTCTTTTGTTTCAAGATATATGTAAATAGCAAAAGTATTCCAAATTGTCGAAGGTAATTTAACAAATTGCAAGTTGAATAGTATTATGTTTTTTGACCGTATGAATTGTTCTTTACTACACGTACAAAACGTACAAATATCAAAAGAAAGTCTGGGGTCTAATTTTTCCTTTTCTGTTTTCGACATCGAAAGTTGATCTACCAGAAGAATTTGTTCTTTGTTGAAGCGAAAGATCGATCCCTCCTTGCATACAAGCAAAGTCTCTTCAGACTGAGAGGCAGAAGAAGGGATACTGGAATTGAGAAAGATGAGAGAGACCTCGGCGAGTGGTCTTTCATGGCGGCGTTTGGTGTTCTTTGCTTCGATTGGTCTCCACTTCGTCTTAGGTTCGTCTTCTTCAGATCTATCCGATCTCATTTCCAAAGGCCTTGATTAGCTAATTTTCTTTGTCAGTTTGGTAGAATCGTCGAATGGAATGTTCGTTTTGGGATTTTTTTGTTTTGAATCCGCGAGATTTATGCCATTTTTAGCTGAGAACTCGGCTCTTTCTAGAACTCGCGTCTTTAATCTCTCTGTTCATAAGGTTATGTCTTGGTCTATCTCTGTTAGTAGATCTCGAGCAACTACGAACCTTGGCCACAGATATACCGTTCAATTCATGGGTTTGGTGTGGCTGTAGTTTTGATGGGTTGCTGATTTGAAGAGATTGTCTGCAAATTCTATTATTTTGCTGGGAGGCTCCTCGTTTTGTTGAAAATAAGCAACATCCAAAGTATTTGAGATGGGCAATTGTTAAGTCTTGTGATATTATGATATTTTCCCAGGTCTATCCGGTGATTCCAAGAATACAAATACAGGAGTTAAGACAGAGTCTCACACTTCTTCCAGCAGAACAGGCACTAAAGTAGTCCTCATACTGGTCGGATTTGTGGCTGTAGCGATGTTCTCCTTCTTCATGTACAAGCTATGGCAGAAGAAGAAAAGAGACGAGCAGTATGCCCGACTGTTGAAGCTGTTTGAGGAAGATGATGAACTCGAGGTTGAATTAGGCCTTCGGGATTAAAAAGAAAAACATATATACAATGTCAACAATTGTCTGAGGTATATTTGCTTGTTTTTTTCATGTAAGGTAAATAGAAGAAGAATCAGAGAGCATGTCTTTGGTTAAAGCTTTACTTTTCAATTATGTTTGTTATTAGGGCGTGTAGGTGGAACTTATGGGCATCTAAATCTTAAATAAACAAAGCTATCAAAACTTGTGCAAGTGAGGCCTGAGGTTTAGCTCTTCTTGTTGAGATGAAGTATAAAGTTATCTTTGACGTTTTGTGAGGAAGAATAAAAAGAGATTAGCAGATAAATGATTAAGATGGGGAACAATAAACTTTATTGACCGAGAAGCAATATGAACTTAACCCAAAGACTCAAAAACCAGAGGGATTGACAAATAGAGACTGAAAGTGAAATTAATGTTTGGGTTTCAAACTTGAATAAAAGTTACATGATTCAGAACGAGAGATTACACTTCATAAACACCATTATTAAGTTTATTACCCACTGGTTAATGGTCATCTCTGCTAACCAACAAAATTTTTAAAAATAAAGAATAAACTTAATGACAAAATAAATTAATTGAAAGAGTCTTAAACGTTAGAAGAACATTATCACCTCGCAGATAGTTAGGCAATGCATAGAGAGCATTTGCCCTGTCCACACGACCATGCCATGGTTTCTCTGTCCGAAGCAGAGAAAAGAACTTTGATCATCTCTCTGGTAAAAATCTTCATTGTCCAGTCTTGGCACGCTTGCTGTTGAAAGGGGACATGCTCGGACTCAGACAAGGGCTCAATCCCGGACTCGGACTCTCTTCCCTCAGTGTACCATTCAGAGCCGCTAATTCCTTCAGCTGCTCCCTCTTGTAGTGGTCCATTGATTCGTCCTGTATAAAGAAAAACCAAACCATGTGAAAAAAAAAGGTCTCGAGTACATAACCATATAGAGATGTTTGGGTTTTCGTTAAAAGAATTGTACCATTGGCTTTAGGAGTGATTCCAGGAAATGCACAGCATGCTCCAAACGAGAGTTTATTATGTCCTCTGGAAGCTCCGCTTCGATCAGTACATGTAGTGGCTCGCTGAGATGCTCGTACCCTGGCTTACCTTTTAGCTTTTCCTCCTGAAGACAAGTTAAAGCACTAAACAATATGAGAGAACAGAAAGAAAAAAACACTCAAAAGAAACGAATTTCAGATTGCAAGTTTCCCTATTCACTTCTAATGATATTATTTGACCAGCTTTATTCTTGAACAGATTTACAAATTTCAATTGCTAATGTGAACTAATAATGCAGGAGAAAATGTATCACCACTTCAACAAGAGCTGGCAATGCAAAGAAAAAGCTGAAAACAAGGTTATGCACGATGGAAAACAGATTGTTGCTAAAGAGCGTAAGCATATTCACATTCAACACATGGCTGTAGAATCGGTTGGCAAGTAAGAACATATGAGATGAAGTCAAGTTTTGAACTGTAGGAAGTCTTCTCTACTTGGAGTTGAAACAATGATCAAATAGAAATGCTTCAGAGAAGTAATTATCAAGAAAACATACCTTGACAGTGTCCTTCACGGATCCTCGCCCTCTAATGAACACCCTACAGTGTGTTGCCAGCTCAACTCTTTTGAGTGAGTTTCCACGTGGCCCGAGAATCCGCCCAACAAAATTATACTGCAATGTTCAACGGATTTAACAAAAGACCAACCCAATCACACATTTGGCTAAAACGTTTGGAAACTTACGCTTGGAAACTTATCCACAGGGACATCAAGTCTGATCACTCTTTTCACAATGGGTGGGGTAGGGATCCCAGGCATCCCAATCCAGCCCACTGAACCAGGAGCACGAAATGGAGAAGCTCTCTGGAGATGACAATTTTCCTGGAGAAATCAAGCAATCAATATCGACGAAACCAACTTTTTGATTTTAGGATTCTTAGCAGCACCATCAATATTTCAACATGAGTGATATATGATTTCAACTATTAGCACTGCCTTACCTCTGCTTGCATCATTGACCATCCGTCTAAATCAAGCTTTCCGTTTGTCGGCTGTCCAATGGATCTAAATGGACTGCCATGCTCATATCTCTCAAGATCAGAAAAACTGGAGATCCTCCTAATTTCTGCAAGAACACGACCAACGTAAGCAATAAAGCAAATATTCCCAACAAATAAAAATGCAACAATTGAACATAAATGGGCATCTTTCCACCTTGATTTAGTAGTCTGCAGCAATGTGGCATAACTTGCAAAAAGGGACCCAACTTTTGCCTCTCTTGCAATAATTCAGACAAGTACCTGATCAAGATTCAAACAAGTGAATGTAAGTTCCAATGGATGCTGCAGTTCTGTGTACTGTCTATTGAGATTCACATTGGAATCACAGCACACATGTAAAACTAAACCTAAACAATTTACATCCGACCCTCATTTCTAAAACATTTCCGTTCAACTCATTGTGAGAAAGGTGAAATTTTTTTGAGGCGAGACAAAGATTGAGAAGTTGATAAATAGAAACCAAACAGAATCATTCTCAACACTCATCCAATAAAATAAAATAATACAAAATCCACCAATTATAGAGTTGCACACACTTCGGTTTCTGTTAACTCAACAAGAAACCGATCCACAACAATCAATTTAATTTGATCCAAAAGAACAAAAGAAGCTCACACAGATTTACATCAGCAAAGAATGCCCGAAAGAAGAGAGAAATTGGAAACCTTTCACGATCAGTGGGAGGACAAGGGGATCGATTGGGAGAAGCACGGAATCCGGAAAGAGGAAACTGGAAGAAACTTCCGGGAGAGATCCTCTCTTCCATCGCCGCGAAACCAGCGCCGGATTCCATCATCTGCGCACTCTGTATATCCGTCAGAAAACAAAAAACTGAGATTGCTCATAGCCGCAGAAAGTAAGATACACAATGAAGTATACATACAACAGACGGAAAGGCAAAAGAGTGAGAGCAGAGACTAACCGTAGAAACTGAAGATAAGATGCGGCGGAGGATCTGGCGCCGATCTCAAGGTTCCGAAAACTCTCTCTTCTCCTTCAGAAGTAGGTGTGGACTGTGTAGAGTGGCCACAGCAACAGAAGAAGAAGAAGTAGGCAAGTAGGGGAGTCAAAAGCCCTACGCACGATGAGAGAGAGATAGTCTCACCGCAAATTTTTTTTTTTCTGTTATTTTCTATGGAGCTTGTGAGCTCTTAAGGTTCTTGCGATATGACGTATTTGGGCCTTCGGCCATTATTAATGGGCTTAATATCCTTATGAAAATCTATCTCAATCACACTATTATCATCTCTGACAGCTTTAGTCAACATTAGTTTGATCGAAGCATTGGTGTTGATGACTGAAGCTGATAGGCAACATGTACAAGACAGAAAAAAGACATTCATACACACTACATGTATACATGAAGCTCATGTGGTTACATGAGTCCCATGAAGACCTGACATTTCTCCAACACAGGGGAACAATACACGGTTCAGAAGAATAGAATCGACATATCGCCTGCAACTATATATGAAATCACGGAGAGGATACAGTGAGTTACTCTGGATGTTACCTACGAGGCTACGATGAAGAAAACGACCTCTGGTGATTAACAGAAACGTTTTAGACCGCATATCCATGAACAAAAAGTCGGATGTTATCTGTTCCGGTGATCTTTTGAACCTCTATAGAGCTCACTGACTAGTGATCTGTAAGAGGCCAAGTCAGCTACAATCCCTATCTCAGGTTTCTGTTTATAAAGCTTTGATGCATTTACATGTCTATGGTGACCTTCCAATAGGATGTTGTATGTGATGTCGTCCGGAACAGCACCTATATTAAGCATGGCATTTAGCAACACGTCAGCATTTTTCATCTGTCCCAGTTTGCATAGTCCGTTCAGCAGAACATTATACGTCACAACACTAGGAATATGCCCATCGCTCTGCATTTCCTTGAGCAACTTGAAACCAGTTTGAACATCGCCTTTCTTACAGAATGCATCCATCATCATTGTATAGACGACATCATCTGGCTTCAGACCAGCTCGCAGCATCTCCCTCAAAGCTCTTTCAGCATCAAAGACTCTTCCTTCTTTGCACATTCCACAAATAAGAGCTGAGAAACCAACCCTATCGAGTTCTATCCCATCCTGATCCATTTTCTTCCGTATCTCCAGAGCTGTTTCTACATCTCCTCCTCTACAAAATCCATCTATAAGAGTTGTGTATGTAACTTTGTCAGGCCTCAGACCTCTGTGGATCATTCCATCAACAATGTTCCTTGCAGCCACCAAATCCCCGTTCTTGCAAAAGCCATTTACTAGAGTATTATACAGAACAATATCAGGCTGAAGACCCCTACTCAACATCTTCTGATAACTCTCTTTCATCAACTCAATCTGTCCATTCCTACTATGACCATGAATCAAAGTAGTGAAAATAACATCATTTGGGATCAACCCTCTCTCACACATCTCATCGAATAGGCCATGTGCTCCGTCCATTTTGTTCTCCTTACACAACGCATTAATCAAGGCACTATACGTGAAAACATCGGGGCGTGTTCTGATTTTCTCCATATGATGTTTGAGCCTAAACCCTTCATCTAAGTTTCCTGCTTTACAGTACCCATTTATCAAAGTGTTGAAACTAACCACTGTAGGCCGCAAACTCCTTTTAGTAATTTCGTCGAACACTTTCTGGGCATCGCATATTTTGCCTTCTTTACAGAATTTGTTCGTCAAAATATTGAAAACGTACACATTTGAGGGATACCCTGCATCCAAAATCTCCATATAGAATCCCCAAACAGTCTCAGTTGGATTCAGCTTCATCATCCGATCAAGCAAATTGCCACAGCCACGAATCGGAACAACGAATTTATACTTCCGGGATAGCCTGAAACATTGAATAGCGTCGGGTATGAATCCTACATTTGTGTACGTGATCGTCAAAGCATCAATAAGGAAGTCACACATAGGGGCTCCTCTCATTTCTAACAAGGCAATGAACACGGAAGAAGCCGAGTTTTTCCCTTTCCGAGAGACGACGAGCCCGATAAGCGACTGTGCTTCAGCGAACATTTCATGGACAGCAAGAAAACGAGCCATGACGAAGTAGGAGTCGACGGTAAACCGAAATCCAGGCTGAGATGAGATGAATTTGAAGAAAACGAAGATATAATGGTGGGGAAGGGAGAGAGGGTTGCGGTTGATGAGATCGATAACATGACGAACGCTGAGAGAGGGCAAGATTTTTCTGATAGAAGGACAGGAAGTAAAAGAAGACAACTCCAATGGCGGATCCCTGTAAGATTCTCTGATGGCAACTGAGAGTTTGACTAGCACTGGGTCATCGTCGTCGACTGCTTGTTGATGAGGGAGAGATTCTGGAGAGTACCATGTCGAAAAGAGAGACGACGTACGAGAAAAGATTTGTGGGTGGGATCGAGAGAGTGTTCTTCTTAGAATTTCGATTCTGAACATCACTTTCTCCGGCGCCGGCTATTTTCGAGACTGAAGGACAGTGGAGAAAAAGAGTCGACTACCATTTTAAACTCGCAAAACCGGGATTCGGTTAAGACGGTCCGTTTCAATTAATTTGGGATTCTCCGGTTCAATGTGTTTGCTACGTCAGACGAATCGAGATGACAGTTTTGGACTTCTAGGGTAAGATCAAGTGTGCGCTTTTACTCACTCTAATTCGAGATGAATGTTTTATACTTTGAAACGATAACAGAGACGAGATAGAGAAAATGATAGATATAAACGGGACAAAGTTTTGTTTCACTTGATTGAATCCTAGAGACATTGTAATTGTAGCCAAGACACATGAAAAAACACTCAAATACGAAACTGCCAAAATGGTCTCGAGTGAAAACACTGGAAAAAGCAAAACTAATAGCCTCCCTTGAGATCGTTGACGACGTCGTAGGGGATGGGAGTGACGGTCTCCAAGGTCATACCTTCGACCATGAATCCTGGCTTGGGGCCTTTAGGCTGTCTCTTGGTGCTAATGGTCTCACCTCTGGCTTTGGCTGCAGCCTTGAGCTCATCGTTCTTCTTCTTCCTCAGCTTGAACTCCTCTGCGCATCTTGACTGCTGCACATGCTCCACACGCACGTGGATCCTCTTCCTTATGATCCTGTTGCCGATCTGATACACCCCCACAAACATAGTTATGTCAGTCAGCAAATTCACTGACCAAGATGAGCACTTGCAAAAACGTTTTTATTGTTGTCGATAGAACAATCCCAATAACAACATGTAGCTAAATCGAAATAATAATGAAGCCAAACATTTTAGCAATTCAAGTATTCGATCAATGTAAACCTTTTTGATGCAACACAGTGTATGTTAGGCTGAAGACGAAACGAAACCCAAGCAATCAATTTTGGAAGAACACGATGATACTGCATAGTAAAGAGTTCAATCCAAAAATCTTTGAGATCAAACCCAAAACCGCGAAATCTCATCCTAAAGTCACAGATCGACAATCCAAATAACACGAGGAAGCTCTAATCTAAATTCAAAAACTAGATTTCAATCAGAGTTCCAGCATCACGATATGAGCTATATAGCGAACTATAAAGTAGCAGACAGATTAAAAGTTTCGAAGGGATTTGAGCGCTTCTGACCTGCTTGTTGACTTCGACACCGACGGCGCGCTTGGTGACGTTCCAGATACGACCGGTACGGCCATGGTAGAACTTGTGAGGCATACCCTTGTGGATCGCACCATTCACCTTAACATCGACGTAATCGCCGACCTTGAATGTCCTCAGGTAGGTCGAGAGTGGAATGTAACCCTTCTTCCTGAACGGCCTCGCGAACAGATCCCTCGTTCTCGCCCGAACTCCATGTCCTGCCGGCATTTTCTCCTCTTGGGTGAATGCGACAAGAACAAGAACCTTAGAATCGCCGAAGAAGCAAAAAGAGAAAGGCAAAGATTATTTATCTCTTCTGAAACTAGGGTTTTCTGTAAACGGGCCTGTTGGGTCAGAAAGTTGGGCTTATTTGCACATAGGATTCAAAGAAGGTTTCTTATCGTCCAAAATAAAACCCACATATTGTTTAATGTGGTTCCGCTCCAAATTCACAACCGACTATGAATTCCGAAGCATTTCCAAAGATGGGCATTGTCCTAATACCGAATCGGAAAGGCTTGTAGAATGTAAGTAGAGTGAGAGTAGGGTGGTTGTAGAGATTGTCCTAAAACCTTATGGTTTGTTGAGCAAAGCAACTCTCTCATGTTTCTTAATAGTACAGTATTAACTTAATACTATTAAGCTAACTAGTGTGTTTAGAAAAAAAATGAGAGAGAAATAGAGATAGAGAATAATCACAACATGAACATATGAATATACATATTCATGATGTATTTGTTAAATTATTGTCAGATTATAGCATTGAGAATTTGACTTCGAATGTACAGAATACAAAAAAATTGCAAACAAAATTTCAACTTACTAAACAGAAACCACTCAAATAAAATACCATAAAATAAATATAATTTAAATACTCGAAGAATGGTAAGTTCTTTTTTTCTTTAATCTACAAAACATAGAAATAGAGAGAAAGGTAAATAGCTTGTGTTTTGAGATTTTGCTTTTGGTGTTTTGTAATTTTGATTGTGTGTTGTGTTAGTTGTGTAAGTTTTTGTTTGAGATAATTATGGTTTTAGATATTGGGATGTGTGTTTGTATTGTGATGATGATTCGTGTTTTGTTTTGTGATTTTAAAGTTTTTGGTTTCTGAGATAATGGTTTTGGTGATGATGATTCGTGTTTGTGTGTTGTGATGATGGTTTTGGTATTTTCTATTATTTTCCCACGAACTTCCTCTCTATTGTATCCAAGGTTAAGCCTGCACAAGAAGAACATCAGGTTAGCAAAAAAAAAAAAAAAAAAGAGTTGCACGATTCTCATGTTTCCACCTGAAGAAGATGATCTCTTCTCTGATATAGAGATTCCATAGCCCACCAGCAGCTTCCTCAGTCACAAGTCTGTTCAATGAAGATAAGCAACCCGAAGCCCTATAACATAATAACCAAATACCTAAGTATCAACTTCTCATTCACCTGATTCACACTCTTGGCGATGAAATCAAAACTAACAAAGTCAATTCAGGAAATACCTGAAGCAAGTGGCTTTAGCTAGATTCTGCTTCTCCCCTTAGTTTTTCCATCTCTTCTCTCGGCATCTCTTAGCATTCTCAATTTTAACATGAAACAATAAAAGACAACAACAAGTTTGGGTTAGATCCAAAGTTTCATTTTACTATTTCTAATAGAATTATCATTTACGTTCCTAATAAGAAACTGATTGATCTACATTAGTTTGTAGAAACAAATTGAACATAAGGCAATCTCTGACGATCAAATTAATGACTGGATATCATGTCCTGTTAGTTTTACAAACTAATGTAAATCTAATCTGGTTTCTTATAAACTAATCCACGTTTAAATGGAATGAAAAAACAAAGAGAAGAGAGACATATCTTTGATGTCATTAAGAAACATTTCTCTGTTGCAAAACTTCGACCATTTTGTTCCTGCTTGAGCTGAAAATTTAATAAAAAATACAACGACATGTCAGGGAGATATATTTAAGTTCCAATTAAACAGCAGCGTTTACTTAAATTTAGAGATCTTACCTTATCCATCCTCGATAGATATGATCAGCTTCAGGGTAAAAGTTGTTTGAACCTGAAAACAAAACGAGATAGTGCGTGAGAAAAGCCTGCTCTTTATACACATATCACAATGTAAAGTCCGAGGAAAACGAGTTACCAGAGGCTCCTAACCAGAGATGATCATCATGATAATCAGCAGATGATTTTTGTCCATCGCTAGGAGGATATGACTTGTAACTCTTCTCTTCTTGGGAAGCTCGGGTAAGCAGCTTGCTTTTTGATGTTCTACTTGAATCGACAGAGTTCTCAGGTTGGGCAACATTCTCACGAGCAGGACCACCTGGATAATTGTTACCAATATCACTGATACAAGATGATAAAAACCTACCAGCCTTTGAAGTTCCAAGTGAAAACAAGACGAAAACTAACCTGAAGCTGGCAAATGTATAACCAATTTCGTATCTATAAGCCCAGAAGTCAGTGTATGATCAACTACAAAACCATTCTCCTTCGTTTCAAAAGGCCCTTTTTGGTAAAAAGATCCACTTGGCTCCCATTCTAGATTGTATCCAACGTGACTTGAGCATAAATCACCTGCGAAATACAAACTCATATAACAGAGCTGAATTGGGATGAATCTTAGTTTCCATTAAACAACACAGATACGGCTTGTTTACCTCGTCACGGTGATAGCTTGCCAAGAGAGCAGCACGAAACTGAAACAATTTCTTAGTGTGGAACCGCGCTATGTGTGTTTGAGAAGCTGGATAGGGATCAAGCATCATGCAGTAACGAAAAGGCCTGAGATAAGTCAAGTTTTGTAATTTATTCATTCAGACCTTTGGTAAAGAGCAACAAGCATTGCTAGTTACAAGTGTTCCAAGCAACGAAGGATTAAACGAGGCTATCTTGTCTTCAATTGACTATCTTGGGGTTTTATTGTCCTACAAATGAGTGTTTATATGTTTCTATACAGAGTTTTACCACAATATTTACGGAACAAGATCATTCAAGAGTTTTGTGTAAGCGACCCAGAAACGAAGTTATCCACCATTTGTTTCAGGCAATTCCTAGAAAAGCAGCAAGAGCAAGGAAAAAAAAAAATCAAAAGAGATTGATTCACACCTCTTCAAAGCGAGCTTCTTTGAATGCTTGGTTTCAGCCCTTCTCTGCAAGTTGAAAAACTTGATTGTGTATGTCTAAAGGTTAACGAATTGTCAGCTTCACTGACCTGGAAAAATCAAGGAAAAAATTCAAAATTGATAAGACATTTGAACAACCCTAAAGGCAAATAGTGAACCTAACAATCCGAAATAAGAGCAAATTGCTAAATCGTATTCCGAACATATAATCCGAGAGAACTCACCAGACCATAGTTTTCGAGTTGATCCAAATCGGAGAAAGTGACTGCCGGAAGATAATCCCATCAAATCGAGTCGAACAAATCGTTGTCGCTGTTGCTATGCATTGCGTTCCCTTTCCTCAATTTCTTTCTCGCCACCACAACAAACCGAATCTGGGGCTGGGTTTAGATCGATGATCATGCACTTCCGTCTTCCCCTTCCTAGACGTTCTATCCTTCTTCCCCTTCCTCGGTTTCTTACTCGCCACCACAACAAACCTTCGATTCTGGGGCTGTGATTAGATCGATGATCATGTACTTTATCCTTCTTCCCCTTCCTCGATTTCTTACTCGCCACCACAACAAACCTTCGATTCCGGGGCTGGGCTTAGATCAATGATCATTCCTTCTTCCCTTTCCTCGATTTCTTTTTCGCCACCACAACAAACCTTCGATTCCAGGGCTGGGTTTAAGGTTCCGACTCTGATTCTTCTTCGCCGACTTTGGCTCCCGATGATTTAATAGCGACAACGGCTAGTTAATAAATTTTAACCGTTGGATCAAGGTTTAATGCCACGTCACATCACTTTGCCCACCAAAATGTTCGTCAAAATTCCCAAAGACTCTTGTGAAGTCACGTTATTAAGCCCAAATTTATCATTGGATCCCAAATTTTGTCAAAATACCCAAAAGACTGTTGTCAAGTCACGTTTTAATTCCCAAAATCCTGTTATAAAAGTAAAATAGCAAAATAGCATTCCTAAAATTTACTATATTTTAAGTGAAAACAATATATATTTCCTAAGATTGTAACGGCCGGTGAATATATCAAAAATATAATTAACTACAAATTTCAAAAAGTGAAAGGAAACAAGCCCAATCAAGAACTTAATATTTTAGTATACAAGATTAGATAGCTAAAACGTAAAGAGTAATTTGCAGCAGTATGACAATATTAGTTATGTTGCTTCTATGGATGAATTAATATAGATGAACTCACCCTCCTTGCACTCTCGAATTCCGATTTCCATTATATTTCCAGCAGTTGAAGATGTAGGTAAAATATCACAGCACTGTCTTCTGGGAGCAATTAACTACCACAATCCAACAAATTATTTTAGTTAAGATAAATAAAACTTAAAAATATTGAAAAGGTAAGATTTTCATGAAATAATACTTTTACTATGTTGTTTTTAAAAGTTTAGCTCATTGTTTGTTTGATTTACATGTTCTCGGTTATCATCAAGAGATGTTATCTCATCCGAATATGTCTCTCGATCATTGTCTGGAAGTTGACAATATTTACGTTATTTTTAACCTATTATTCCAGAAAATAAAACTTACTTAAGAAAATATTTTAAATTAATTATTAATTAGTGACTAAAGTTTATTTTAACAAATCATTGGAGAATATAGCATTGTAATTTTCTCTACCAATTGCTTCAGATTTTTTAACATCCATTATCATATTTAAACATTCTAAAATAATAGTAAATTTAATATTAAATTTTATGATATTAAGATTATATAATATATTATTATAATAATATATATATAATAAAAGAAGTATAAATACCTGCATCTTTAATTTTTAATGGACATCCTAAAATAAAATAAAAATAAAAATAACAATTTATAATAACACAACTAAAACTTAAACTATTAAAATAACATTTAAAATTAACACCGTTCGTTATAAAATTCTAGCATCCCAATATTTATATTTTTATTATTTTCGTATTCAATTTCTGGACGCATTATAAAACTATTCGATTTATGTTTTTGAAATACTGACATCTTATGTTATCTATAAATATTAATAAAAAATGTTTTAAAAAGTTCTACATTTAATAATATTTTTTGTTCAAAATGAAAAGTTAGTTTAAAGTGAAAAATTACAATGATAAACTTGTTGTTTACTTGAAACTGAATGATGGATTATAAATTTGGATGATGATTGAACCTTGCATAATGACACTTCCCTTAAAAAGTATTTCAACATTTATCAAGCTTTGAGTTAGAAAAAAACCCTTGGAGGATAAAACACAGTTCTAATGGTGATATGTGTTTTTCCAAAAAAAATTTATGATCTTTTGGAATAGTGGAACTCTTTCTTATTTTCTTTGCTTCAACTTTTTTTTCTATTTTTGTTGTGATTTTTGCAATGCCCACAACTCCTTTTATAGCAAACCAAATGTCACTTCCAAAACTTACAATGGTTGATTAGAGTGCAATGATTGATCATCAACTGGTGCAATGGTTAGTCACCGAATAATGTAACCATACGTCCAACAATTACAATGGTTACTAATCAAAATGGTTGCAAATATTTATTTTACCAGTTGCAACAGTTCTTCAATATGTATATGTTAGGCATACATAATAAATCTAATATATACCATTAGATCTGGAAACAAAAATTGTTAACCATTAGATTGATTTTCTTTTAGCAACCAAAATGTATATGTTAGGCATACATAATAAATCCAATCTATACCATTAGATTTGGAAACAAAGATTGTTAACCATTAGATTGATTTTCTTTTAGCAACCAAAATGAAAAATCACAATGGTTCATAAAGTTGCAATGTTTTAAATATAAAATTGTAATTTTAAATATAAAGTTGCAATGTTTTAACTATGTGCCTGTTTAGATTTACATTTTTTTAAACATTTAAGATGATGTGAACAGTCAAATTCTAGCCATTAAATTTTCAAATCAAAACTAATCAAAAAACATCAAACCGTTAGATTTATCAAGTTTTTTCCTAAAAAAAATGATAACATCAACAGTTCAAAAAAGTTATTTTGGTATTATATTTAGATACTAGAACAAAGAATCGTTATTACAAATCCTTATCTAGAGTAACTCAACATAACCAAAAGTATTATATCAATTGTAGGTTTCTTTTCCCTTTGGGTTTCCGTTGAAATATTGTTTCTCTTCAACCCTGTCACCACTAATTATAACCAACTACAATCACAAACTCACAAAGCTCTCATCTTCAGACAGTTTTTATGCTTGGCTTGCTTCTGTCTCCACACTCCCAAATGCTGCTTCCTTAAACCCGTTCATGCAGGAAGAAGGTTCCAGATTAAGCGTTTTCTCAATAACCTCTGGCTGATCGTTTTGACAATGCTCGGTAGGTTGAGGAGGGATGGTACTATCTACAAGATCCTTGGCTACTTTGCGCTTTCCTTTCCGAGCCTTCTTCTTGAACTGAGCCTTCCTGGCTTTTGGAGTCTTGATGGTTTCTTTCAGTGGGCTTGCTGCCTCCAATGTCTTCTTCTCACATGGAAGTACAGTAAGCTGAGTGTTGTAGTTGGAAATGTCAATTTTAGATTCCGACTGGAGAGCTATAAGAGCCGTTCTCCCTGCGCTTATCTCAGCCTCTTTTTTAGTTTTCGTTGCAGCTCCTGTGTACTTTATGCCTCCGATCTCCACAGTGCATGTGAAATTTTGATCTCTCCCGAGAGTTTCCCTCTTTTGGCACTGATACAATGGGATCGCGTAGTTCATCTTTTGAGCGTATTCTTGAAGAAGGTTCTTGCATAACCCCATTTCGTGCTGCATTAATCAGCCATTCAAACGTTAGCCAAATGCACACAGCATACAGAAGTTATCTATGCACATAAATCTGATAAAGATTCAAACTGGTAAACTCCTTCTGTAATCTGAGTCTAGATCATACGCCCAAACCAAGACCCTCGACAAAAACAGAATGCCCCCTACCTAACGCATTCTCAAAGCTCCCCTGTACTAGACTTAACAATCAGAATCACAAGATACGAAAGATGAGGTACTTACAACAGGTAGTGAAACACATTGGCTTAGCTCACTGGATTTTGCTAATTCCTGGAGAGCAACCTCCGCAGCTGATTGCTCTGCAGCCTTACGATTGAAGAATCCAGGCAATGAATCATATCTGACACCATCGACTGTTACCGTCGATTGAAACAAAGATTTGTGTGAAGGGCCTTCTCTGACAGTCTCATATACAGGCGTTGATAGCTTGTATCTCTGAGCATATTCCTGCAACCGGCTTTTGAACACATAGCAATTTGAAACACCTGAGCAGAAAAAAAAATTTATAAATCAGGCGAAAGATAATAACCAAGTCATTCGAGCTAAGCACTGTAAGACAAAACAGAAACAGCAATGAAACCATAGGATGTTATCCGTTACAGCATAAGTTACAAACAAATCTCAAAGCGACAGCAGGGAAGAACAGTAAACGAGTCCTCAATTGCAACGACTTTCTCAAAGAAACTTCGTATCCAAAATATGAGAGACAATGAACTTATCTAAACTGGAAACTAGATTCCATGTATTCTGCAAATTGATAAATCATCATCTCGAAAAGGGAAAGCTTTCCACTCCATGAAGAAGAACCAAGATATTATTTTACGATTGTTCATTGAAAGCTGAAAACAAAACAAAAATTTCCAACCTTTTACGCGAAATCCTACAGCTTTTTACAGAGAGATCTATGTTTAAACCCACAAGGGTAGATACACTATATAACTAAATCAAAGCGGCAACCCAATTTCCCAGTAAGAAAGGAATCGAGTAAAAACTGGAACACACAAATGATCTGATTTAAAAATTAAAACCCGATAGAAAAACCCATCGACAGGAACAAGAATAATTGCAGACATGATGAAGAAGAAGGGAGTAGTAATTCACCAGAAGCAACTTCATTAGCAGTCATTTTCTCGAGCAGAATGTAGCTGAAGAGGTGAAGACTGTTGAGTAGGGCACCGCGAAGGGGCGAGCGATACAGAGAAACTTGTCCGCAACAGAGGCACCGCGTGATGCCGCTTAGAAGCCGAAAGAGATGATTTTAACAAAAACCCTCCTCCCTCGAGCGAAAATACTCATTTAATTCCCTAACTATTTAGAATAGGTATATTAAATCCTGGACTATTACTTAGCACAAAATAATTCTTCAATTTGTAATTAACTTTACAAAATCATGATCAAAATAATTAACAGTTAACCTTGAAAGTTGAAACAGTTAGAGGATAAATCTATTTCTCTAACATCAGAAAATGCTCATTTAATTTCCCAGCTATTTAAAATCAACACATTAAACCTTTAACTATTTGCATGCTTATAATAATTTCTCAACTTATAATAATTTCTCAATTAGTAATAATTTACTTTGTAAAATGGTGATAAAAATATTACCGGGCATTTTGAGATGACTTTTCCTGTATCCGTCTTGTTACTTTTTTCATTCCATACAAATAATTACCTATTTGAAATCATTTTTTATACTAAATATGTATAGGAAAACAACAATTATGAGATCTGATAACTGAATTAACCGTTTTAAAATTTAAAACTTAAAAATTTAATATATTTTCATGAAATTATCCGAATTTTCTAAAATTACTCGAAATATATGTTTCAAAGTTGATCATTATCCAAAATAATTACCTGTTTGGAAAGAATTTTAGGTAAAAAAGTTTCATGAATCCATCCCATTACACACATTTTCATAATTTTTTCTCTTTTTAAAAAAATTTCCGTCCTGAATCATACGAAATATCCAAAAAAAAATCAGGTATTTATCGGTTCTTAAATTGACACGTAACCGAAAGAACCAAACTAAAACCAGTTTTAAAATGAGTATTTATCAGTTCTTAAAAATGCTTATTTAGTTTTCTAATTGTATTTGTGATAGACAATAATTTACGGATACAGAACGTGAAGAGAAAAATGAAAATTGGAAAACAATCCCCAAAAGGGAATCTGATAAGAATGAGAAGAAAGTTTGCGTAATAGTAGTCAATTTTGGATAATTATTTTGTGTAAGGATCAACTTTAATACATATATTTCAGATAATTTTGGAAAATTTTTGAAAATATATAATTTTTTATTTTTTAAATAGGTAATTCGGTTATCAGATCTTATAATTGTTCTCTTTCCATATCTATTTAGTATAAAATAAATGATTCCAAACAGATAATTAATTTGTACGGAATTAAGAAAATGACATGTACGAGATGTTATGAGACGTGTACGAGACGTTATAGAAAAACCATCCCAAAATATTCAAAAATAATTTTACTACGATTTTGTGAAGTTAACTACTAATTGAAAAAATATTATGCGTATGAGATAGTTGGAGATTCAATGAGTTGATTGCAAATAGTTTCGAAATTAAATGAGTATTTTTGTGATGACAAAAGAAATAGATTTAACTGTTTTTGCTGTTAACGATTAACTATTTTGATTTTGATCATGATTTTGGAAAGTCAACTATTAGTTGAGAAATTATTTTGTTTTTATTTGTTTTTTTATGTTATGTTGATTTTGAGTTTGAGTTTAAGTTTGAGTTTGAGTTGGTTTTTGTAATAACCCCCTTCCTCTAATCACCTTTCTTTCATCATCCGAAAAACACCCATTGCCACCGCACGCGTGCGCTGGACGCGCTTCAACAGTCTCTTCTCCGATCTCCTTATCGGGTTCCTTGACCATACCCGAGGATCAGGATCGTTGTGCGCTCGTCTCTCTGGTTTCATCTAACTCCCATTCCAAGTCTCTCTCAATCTTAAACCCTAAGGCTTTTTGTGTAACCGATTTCAAGCGGGAATTGCTCTTCGGAGCATGTGATTCTTGTTTAAAAATACGGAGATGGTTGATAGTGGCAGCAAGAGCAGGAAGAAAACCATTACTGAAGGCGACATCGCCACGCTTTTGCAGAGGTAGCTACCTATCTCTCTCTCTCACCTCGTAAAGTTGTCTTCTTTTCACGATTTGACTTACTCAGTGTGGGGTGAAAAAATCCTGATTTTTGATGCAGATATGACGCGACGACGATACTGAGGCTGCTACAGGAGGTGTCGTATTATTCCGATACCAAGATGGACTGGAGTGAGTTGGTGAAGAAGACAACCACCGGAATCACCAATGCTAGAGAGTACCAGTTGCTTTGGAGACATCTTTCTTATCGTGACCCTCTTCTCCCCGTGGAAGATGGTGCTCAACCTCTGGTAACGTCTTTCGTATCTCTCTTCCTCTCAGTTTCGATGAATCGCTTCTTGCCTCGTGTTCTCAAGAGATTATATGAACTGACCATAAACAAGCTCACCAACATCCAATATTATGCATCGGCTGATACAGTTTACAGGATTTCTAAAACGGTTATTGGATGTGCAGGATGATGATAGTGACATGGAGTGCGAATTGGAAGCTTCCCCTGCAGTCAGCGTTGAAGCATCTGTGGAGGCTATGGCACATGTGAAAGTAAGAAGGGGTTGAAACACTATTTCAAGACGCATTATTATTTCATCCCTTAGATATATAGTTCATGTGTCCCTTTACTCTGTTCAGGATGTCACTTGTACTAGATTATATAAACAAGTTTTCGTCTCTCTCTCTCTCTTTATGCACCAGGTGATGGCTGCTTCGTATGTGCCAAGTGAGTCCGATATACTCGACGACTCAACAGTGGAGGCGCCCTTGACAATAAACGTACCTTATACTCTACCCGAGGGGACTGAGGAGCCACCAGAGTCGGCTTGGTCGTCGAGAGGGATGAATATCGCCTTTCCCGTTTGTCTACAGAAAGCTACAACTCCCGAGGGGGTGAATGGGAATGGTTCAGCGAGCAGCAGCATGGCTCTTCGCAGGAAAAGGAAAAAATGGTCTCCCGAGGAGGATGAGGAGCTGATCGCCGCTGTGAAGCGATGTGGTCAAGGCAACTGGGCACATATCGTTAAGGGAGACTTTAAAGGAGAGAGAACTGCCTCCCAACTCTCGCAGGTTGTCATTTGACTCAGCCAATAATGACCTCTCTTTATTTTTTTTCATTAGTGGTAACAAACTGACTATTTTATTTTGCAGAGGTGGGCGGTTATAAGAAGAAGGTGTGGTACAATGACTGCTGTGAGTCAATCTGGCCTACAACGAACTGAAGCGCAGAAAGCAGTGAACCATGCATTATCCTTGGCCCTGGGAAATCGGCCTCCTCCAAAACAAACTTCAGTAGGTACAATTAGCAGAAGATCCTTTCCCGCTGATTCTAGTCTTTATTATATGTTAGAAGAGGCTTTAGTTTGGTTCTCAGGTAAAATTATCAACTGGACTGCATTTTGTTCAGGTATATCTCCAACGACTCCATCTTCTAGCATCACAGAGACGCAAGGCAATGAGGGCAACTCTTCTCAAGGTCAACAGCAGTCCAAACCAGTTGTTCAAACATTGCCCGGGGCAGCAAAATCTCGATTTGCTGCTAAAAGAACAGCGGCAAGCTCCACTTACAGATCAAATTTAATGGTAACAGCTAATTCAGTAGCTGCTGCAGCATGCATGGGTGGCGTATCGACTGCTGCATTAGTGCCAAAGGTCAGGCCTGGAAAAACCGATGCTCCATTAGTGCCAAAGACTGAAGCTGTAAAAAATGCTTCTACAGCCTGTGTGCCTCCTCCCTCAGGTAGCCTCGTTGTGCCAAAGGTTGAACCAGGAAACACACGGCCTCTAGCCAATGGATCCCCGAAACTTGTGACGCCTTCGTCATCTTCTATCAAACCTCCCCTTATGGTTCCTCGTCCAGAAGATTCTACAATGATTTCTGCTTCTACCCCTTTGGCTTCTGCATCGAAGATCATCTCCAATCAGCTTGTAGTTTCAGCCTCTGCCCCAGTTACCGTATTACCACCAAAGCCAACTGTAGAGACCGTCACTTGCAAAACAGGTAGTGGACAGAAAGAGCAAGCTCCGGGAGATGGAGCAAGCTCATCGGTTGCGATCCAGCCAAGTAAAACGACCTCAACAAGCTCGGAGATCAGCAGGGGAAAGCCGGCGACACAGGCTCAGTCCCTTAACATTTTGCCTAGTAATAAAATCCCATTGGCTCAGACTGCAGTTGTCGGGGAAACAAACCAAAATTTGGTGGAGAAACCATCTGATAAAACTGCAGTGCCATCCATCAGTGGAGCAGTTTCGCAATCTAAAGCCAAATGTGAAGTAAACAGCAATGTTGGTTCGGTGATCAAAGTGAGTAATGTATGCGGAAAACCTCCAGAGGTTGTAACTGCGGCAGGGACCGGACAGGGTGTTTAGTTCTTTGACAAAAACGTCTGATAGTTTTTATTTTGGAACTTTTTTATTTGTAATTTTTATTAGAGGACTGAAAAAAAGATATTATGTAAAGTAGGCCCTCCCAGTACATGGTACTAATTTATATGAATCTCATACACATATACAATCTTCAAAGTCTAGAATATACTGTTAGATTTGAATCTCGGAAGCTTTAAAGAAGATCGCTTTCTCGGCTTCTGTTGATTTATTCAGGTCGCTTTACGGGTGGGACAATGTAGCTACACTGTTTCCGCATAGCTGGTGATGGACTGACACAAGCGAAGATTGATGAGGGCTGCTTCGGTTGTTTATACTTCTTTATCTTGACACCAAACAAGAATGACCTTAGTGGAATCCTAGGCTTTGTTGATGACGTGCTCTTGCTCAGAGATCTTGTCGGCGTAGCATTCAAGAACCCAAGATCCTCTTCTTGTTTGCATACAACTCTCTCCACTTCAGTTCTAAGTGCTGTTGCACGATCAAGGCCTGCTTGAAGCTCGTTGAAGACCCTTTTGTTCTCCTGTTTCATGTTGAGTATCTCGCCATGGAACTTTGCAGCCTGGTAACCGCTTATCTCTGTATCGCTTACTTTAGCACCACCCGACTGAGACGTGACCCTTGAGACTTCATCTTTGATATTGCAAAGCGTTGCATACCTTCCCTCGAGTTCGTCTCTCAGAACCACACTGTTCTCTAGCCATAACTGAAGCTCTGTCCGAATCTCTCTAAGGTGTCTATATATAGGCTTTGCCTCTGATGCAACTGCAGCGTTACTAATGCCTCCTGCATTGTCCTGTTGCTTCTTTTCAATTCTCATTTTCGCTAGCTCCGCTTTCAAGTCCTGAACTGCTGTCTGGTACTTCTGTATCTGATGAACGGATGTACTAAATCTTAACCAGAACTCGATATTCTCCTCCAGCACCGCGTCAATATCTCCACGCACTTTCTCTTCCACAGTTGGAATCTTCTTCCTTAGGGTATCATTAGTATCTGCAAATTTCACCTTGACCTCGTCTTCCTTTGCTCTTTGATATGTTCTATTCCACTCTCCCTCTTGCTGATGCGGTGCCATGGAAATTGAAGAGTTAGAGCTATGAGAAATACTCACACTTTCAGACTGGTTTATTTCTACTGGATGTGGAGAATCCTTGCCGGCCATTTCGGGTTTCTGGCGTAAGAAATGAAACTCCACGTCTTCGCAAGAAACAGCGTTCTTGAGCTCTCTCAACTGCAATGCAAGCTCAAAGAAGCCGTCACGGTTCTTCTTCTCAACTTCACTCAACTTTCTCTTCACTTCTCTGTAGTCCCTTAGTACTGATGTGTATTCATCCATGCCACCCGCAGGTAACAACTGTCTCCAGTTTCTCCCCTCCTCATCTTCCGCCTCTGTGCCAAAACAAGTGCTCTCTGTTTCTGATATACCACAAGAGTCTTTTGTATCCGATTTCTCTTCTTGCACCGACTCTTGATCTCTACTATGTTTGACTACAATGGCCTCTTTAATTTCCTCTGCACTCTTTACCTCTGTGTCTTCTGAGATTGAATCTAAATCCTCAGCAGGAAGATCTTCCGGGTTAAGTCCATCCCCTTCAACATCTTCATCCATTTTCACTTCCTGTAACTTTCCAGACAAGTCTTCAGCTGTGCTATTAGCTTCACTTAAATGATTTTGAAGATTCTTGTTCTGTTCTTCCACTCTTTGGAACATGTCTTTAACTTTACTCAGCTCATCTTCAAGCGCCGTCATCCTTTTCTTCATATCTATAGAGTCTGAAACAAGACATGCCTTGTCCTCCTCTACACCACGGATATGTTTATGTAACTCATCAGTCTCTGATCTTAAGGTCTTTACCAATGCTGTATGAGTTGAAGCTGTGGTTTCCAGAGAAACAACTTTCTCTACAAGCTCATCTATCTTCTCTGCAAACTCAGCATTACTCAGGTTCTCATTCAAATCAACCTCTCTCGATTCTTTCGCAGATTCATGTCTCGATTCTTGACCAGAAAAAGCTTTCTTGTCTTCTTTTTCTTCTACCTTAATCTCAAACTTGTTTCTCAATGCTTCAAACCTTTCTGTTGCAGAATCAATCCTTTCCTTCTCACTTTCTGCATCTTCAGCAAATTGCTTCTGCGTCTCCTCGAGCTTAGTAATCATCTCTTTACAGGAGCTAAGAGCCGTGCTCGCCACAAGCGTCCTAGCTTCACCATCTTCGATCTCTGCGCCAACACCAAACTCATCTTGTAAACTAGAAACCCTCTTCTGCATTTCTGTAACCTCATTCTCCAAATTCCAATACCTTTCATAAGACTGCTCATAAGAACTCCTCACAAACTCCTTCTCGGTCTGCAGCACCAAGATCCCCTTATGAATCTTATCAATCTCCTCCAACGCCTCTTCTATACTCAATCCCGAACTCGCCAATGCAGAAGAAGATGCCGAGCTTTTCATATCACCAGGTCCCTTTCTCGACAACACCATCAGAGACTGGCTCTTGAACTCTTTCTTGGGAATCTCTGGTATATTAGATCCAGTACTGGGAATGAGATGAAGATTCTTAGGTGGTTTATCGGGATTGTCACCATCATCATCATCATCATCATCATCATCATCACCAAGAGGAAACTGAACATGTTCAGGGAAAGCAGTAGCGATCATGTGGTTGGCACTTTGAAGCTCTGTGGACAGATGATCATAGCGTTCTGCTAAAGCGCGGTATGATCGAAAGGCCTCCTCCACGAAATTAACAATCTCAGGCCTTTTACGGTAATACATCTCGGCCCTTTTCGCAAAAGTGTCTCCATCTTCGTTTATGATCTTAAGTGTGTAATGCACCTTCTCCTCCATATCTATAGGAAAGTTGAGAATGGAGAAGAAGAAAAAGACTCAGTTTAGCATTTTATTCTCTGTTTCTTTGCACTGAAATGTATGACATGTGAAACGTTACATAATAAATTAGAACATTGCTACGTGAAACACACATAAAGGAACGTACCTTGGAGATTGTGTTCGAGCCATTTGGATTGCTTTGTGCGTATGTGGCTGGCCCACCACCATGAATATGCATTGCTTGCTGCTCTCTGCAACATCGTTTTCGTTTTAATGATGAATACTAATTAGAGGAAGGCTCCAACATCGTAGTTTCTTTATGATCTGCAGCATCCTCTCAAATTCTTTTGTGTTTTTCTCTCTCAATTCCTATGTTGATTCAATTTTTTTTATATATAGATGCTTATGACTTCGATGTTTCTTCCTTGCGGGTTTTAACTAGAAAACCTAAATTTGGAAGATGGTACATTGTTTTCTTTTGTTGTTTAAAATGGTGATGATTGTTTTACTGTAAATGACTATATAAGACTTGGCAGCTCAACTGGTTTGTAACAGAAAGTAAAAACGATTGTTGATTGTTATAGAATACGCCAGTATCCACCAATGTCCCTTGAAATCAAAACACGAATGCACTAATTCGAATTCACATGTTAACGAAAAATTGAAATTTTACATTCGAGTCTGATATATTACATTTCATTCAAAATTTTTTGTCGTTTGAGTAATTCCTGATAATACTATATCAAAGGATTTCTTCCAAACAGTATTTAATGAAATCTTATTACCTACGTGCTAGTTCTTAATTTCTGATTGGACTAATAGATTTGGTTCGGCATTAGAGAGGTTGAAAGATTCAGAAACCGAACCAGAAACCCGGAGTGCACACCTTGAATTGAAATTACGATTCCGCCATCTCACCCAATTTCTTATATACATACATTTTGATCTTTAAGAGCCTTTTGTTGGGTATATTAGCCCAATAAGTAAAACCAGGCCCAAATTTAAAGATATAGCCGAAACGATAGTTGATTCGGATTCAGGCCCATGAAAGAAGTGAAAAACCTAACCGGTCCTTTGAGAGATTGCTTCAGAGGAAAGTCCAGGGGCTAGGTTTCAAGACAGTTCCACTAGAAAACACATAGCTCGCGGGCGAAGCCATTAACATACGTCTATGATCTATCCTCTTGTATATATGTAAAACGTTACTCGAATTAAACCGTAAACAAAATACCGATGGAAGACATTTTTCTTTCCTTTTTTTTTTTCTCAAGAAAAATCTCCTAAAACGATATAAACATTTCCTAAAACGTGTTCATTGATATAAATTCTAGCATGAACGACCCAAGACAAGTTATACATATCACAATCACTATTTCTCCATCTCCTCAACTTCGCCTGTGGAAGATAGCCTTGGCCTTTTTGCAGCTCGCTTCTCATCTTCTTCCTCCATTGGCTCCTTCTCTTCCTGATCACAATCATCCACAAGGTCTTCACTCGTCTTGTCCTCCGTTATGTGATCATTACTCGTCTTGTCCCCAACTTCAAGATCATCACCCCTCACGCCCTCAATTCCAAGATATCCATTCGTCTTGTCCCCGACTTCAAGATCGTCACTCGTCTTGTCCTCAACTTCAAGATCATGCTCCAATGGCTTCTCCTCGTCTCTGTCATCTTGACTCGGTGCAACCACAAGCTCGTCGTCAGTAGAAACGAGCTCTTCATTCTCAGTATTATAGTCACCGCTAGGACCCACGGATGCAGCAAATAAAGAGTCCGCCTCTCTTGGTGGACTCTCGCTCGTTTCTCCATCATAAATATTTTTCACTGGGTTGTCTTCTATGATACCAATATCGTCTGAATCACTAGAAGTGCTTTTCGAGGTATCAGATAACGAATCAGCCTCACTTTCCTTCTCCCCCGGCACCATAGTAAGGTCCCATGTAGGGAATGAGATAGATTGCCTCGGAGGTGCAGTTCCAGTCATGCGTTGAAAGTTGCTCTCTCCATAGTTCAGACACATAAACTGTTCACCAGTTTCCAGCTCTACGTGCTGCCCAAAACAGATACAAATAAGAATTTAAAAAATTCACATGACGAAAATAAGAAGATTTCATTTTTAGCTTGCTGAATGTTTTTAGTACCTCTGTTCCCAATGAGTTGTTACCAACATGATAAAACGAGGATGGTTCCTCGTATGTTTGTTGTAGCTGTCCAAGTAATGATCCTGTGTTGTTGTCTCCTGAATCGAATAAATCCCTCAGAACCATACCGGAATCATCAACAGCTTGCACGTTCCTCATGGAAGATCTTTCAAGCAAAGTCATCTCGATTCCTTGATCGTCTTGCATCTGTGTCATATTCCCGTTGCAGTCTATCACGGGGGTGCATCTCTTAGAGAGAACCTCGATACCTGTATTGTTATTGACAGGCACTGGACTTTCGCAGGACTGGTTCTGGTCATTGCTAACTTCCCGTGAACGGTTTTCAAGGAGTTCAAAAATTAACTTCTGAATCAAGGTACGCTTCAATGAGGCCTCGGCAGGAGGAAACCAGTTTAGATAAAGCTGAGAAATCCAGAGAAAAAGCATGAGCGAGCGTAACATATATCATCCGATCCCAGCAGCCAGTGTTTACCGCTCTATGAACTATAGTAATACATGAGAGGTAGCAATTTAAGTACAGACTTACAAAGTTGGAAGCATTATATATCGTGAAAGGACTAAAATTCTGGGGAGCTTCAGCAAGAAATAGCTCCAAATAGTGCAGCAGAAAGAGGCCACAGTCAAATGAGTTTTCCTGCTGTGGCAACTGAAACAGAAAGATCAAATCAGAGATCACATAAACTACCATTAACAACTGCAAAAATATCTATTATTTAAAAGGAAAAAGGGGTTTCAAAGAAGAGAAAGAACGTATTAAGGGGCCTAGAGGCAAAAGATTTAAAGCCTAGATGCCACACCTCAAGTGAGACAAACCGCAAATTCATGAATTTGGAAGAAATGTCATCCGATGCCTCCTTATGTCTCTCCTTCCACTCCTCGCACAAGTAACTAAAATCAGCAAAATGTTGTTATTAACAACTTGCACTACACAGCTTAAAACTTGAGCATGAATATAGTTCCACACTTCAAAAGGATCAGAGCATGGAGCTACTGTACAATGTATTCTTCAACGAATAAGGTAAAGAGAGCATCAGGAAAGTATGTTATCTTGTTGGGCTAGTGAGACATGTAAATAGATGACGTATATGCAATGCTGCCAAAATCAGAAGATGCGAATATTAAAAGACGAAACTGATCATTGCTGCAAGGGAGCTAACAAACCTTTGGACTAGATTCTTAAGCCCTGCATGACTCCCTTTTATAGAATCCATATGTAATATGCATGGTACTTTTGTGGAGTCATCCAAGTTTAGATCTGCAGAATAATACAATATACTGAATTATCATGACTTACTAATAAATAAAGTTACATGTGACATTACCTGTACAATTAGCCACTTCACCAGGATGACATATGACTATTAAACTCCAGTGAAGACTGTCATTAGCATTTAGCAGTGTCAGATTTCAAACTTATACACATCTAACATAAAGAGATAATAATGCCATAAAGTTTTTCATACTTGTAGTTCACCGGCACAAAAATGTAGTCCTTCCCAAACATGTCCACTTTCCTTGTCCACTTCCGGACACGTAGGAAAGCAGCCTTTCCATCAGCTATACTCGATGGATCTTTGTCGAGATCAGCAAGTTTCCGGAAGAAAAAGCTGTTAAAGAAATGGAATCGATGTCTTTCCTCTGCTTGAATCTGATTCTTCAAATAACTGTAAATAATAGAAGAATACAGCAAATAAAGTAGATGCCATTTGTTAATACTGTATCTAAGTTAAATGAGGTTAGCATCCCAAGAAATTTTCAATATGACTTCAAGATTGCACAAGTAAAACTGTGAATTCGGTTGGCACCATCAACCAAGTGAGAGATATAACTGTCAAAAACATGTGTCACAAAAACAACTAAACAGCAAACCCAAATAGTTCACTACAACGCATGCCGCAGTCTATACTACCTGTAATAAGTAATAACCTGCCAGCATTGCATCAGAGAGATTAAGTTTAAGAACTTACTTTATATAGAAGTCGATGATTGTGTCATTCACAAATGTCTCCGGCTGCAAGAGCTCAACGTCTCTTTTGCAAATGGAAACAGCATCTGGGTCTCCCTTTGGATAGATAACATCCTCAAATGGTTCATCAAAGCTGAAAAGACAACATAAAACTTGCAATTCAAGATGAAATAAAACCTCCCTGTGCTTAATATTCTTTGGGTAAAATTTTGCACCACCATAGCAAATGCATATTGCTAAAAACTAAGTCTCTACTACTGGGCACAAACTTTCCCATTGCTAAAATATTAATTCTGGCTAAAGATGAAAAGACAGGAAATGCAGATGTTCGGTTATATACGTCAGAGCCATAGGATAAGTAGTGACATACTTTGGAAATCCCCAAAAATAGAACAGAAGACAACATCTGATCCCAAAAAGACATAAATACAGCCGGTATAGAGCACTCTTACCGTGGAAAATAACGCTTCTGTTGATGCAAGTTGTCCCCTGGTACTTCCTCGTCACCACTACAATAAAGAAGAAACGCGCTCAAAATGTAACCAAAACTAAATCTGAGCCTAGTGTCCCTTTGTCCAGTTTTTTCCCTCAGTAAGCCCAAAGTATTTACTTTTAAATTAGTTTGTATTTTACTTAAGGTTCTGTTTACCTTAAGCTTTACAGACTCGAGTCGACTTTCCTGACTAGATTTAGGTTTTCATACGGTTCTATCCAAATGACTTGTACTCATAGTTGACAACTTCCCAGAGTTCAGTAATTCAGCAAATAATATTTGTCATCATCAGAGCATGCAATTAAATTTTCCAAATGAAAGTGGGGAGAAAAAATGTCTTGCCCAATTAGCATTCTGTAATATAAGAAGCTTACTCGAGGTCAGCATTCCATAAAGCCGGGTATTTCACATGCAGCGAGTTAATTTTTTGTTGCTTCTCGGGCCAATTGTATTCTTTAACTGCAAACTTTAACTCCTCAATGTCTGGAAACCACATGAAGCAGCATAAAAAGTTAGTTTCAATTTTTCCAAAAATAAAAATTAAATAAACATCTCTCTTATGACTCTTGGCCATCATGAACAAGAACATACAGGAAGCGGCCCTTCAATGGCCCCACTAATTATTTGTGCTATCAAGTTTTTGACAAACAATTTCGACGCCATTTGGGTTATTACAGAATGTTTCTTACAACAAGTTATCTTGTTATAATCCTACCAATTTTGTCATCTTGGGCACCTCATACTATATATTGGGGATCCAAATTTAGATTTTTTGGGACAAATATTAGGATCCCCAATATACAGCCCAAATGGCATATATACAATAACTAGGCATACCTGTGGTGTTCTGCATATCTTCATGGCAATTTTCATCCTTCGATAGAACTCGAATCCTGAGAATGATCAATCCAACCTATGACAGTGACCACAAAAAAATTATAATATTGATAGAGATGCATATATTAGATGTAGAAAATGAGGCCATAAAGTATCTTTTTAAATGAAAGCACAACAGAAATGAAAAACTCACATTTTGGTACCAATTGTATTGAATACTAACTATGTCTTCAACTCCAAATTCACAAGAGAAAGTCCCTTCTTCATTATTAGCAAGGTAACTCTTTACTGTGATGCCATTGCATGAAAAGATTACCAGAGATGCAGCACAAGGCATATCCTTAAGTACAACATACTCAGGAGCCATGATAACGGCAGTGTTTCTGTCAATCTGTAAAGTGGAAAGTGTCACTTCAGAAATTGTACCTATATCTTTGTATATTCAACCAAAAGCAAAAGTATCCTCAACTATTATAAAAAATATACAAAATCAGATATATCAGCCATATTCCAACTTGTATTATTAGCAATGACATGAAACTTTTGCAGCTCACAAACAATTGAGGGCAAAAAAGTTATAACACTCGGCCGAAAGAAAGACGATCACGTCATTTCCAGGTATAAACCACAATCTGAATACATGAACGAACAAAGATGCCAGAATCATAGAACCATGCATAAAGAGATTCTTAAGTCAGGCTGAAGAAATAAGCAGTAAAACAAGTAAAACCTAATCACATAAAAGATCACACAAATTACTATCATGTCATACAGGAGATGAACGAAGAAAAAGTACCAGTATTATCCCTTTGCAACCACAGAAGATGGCATTAAAGGCTAAGAAAAAAATCTGGCGTTCAGTTTTAAGGCCATTGGTTAAGAAACATAAAAACTCCTTACCTTTTCCATATCGTTGAAGCAGTGTTCAGCCATCCAATCTTTAAGCGCATATGACAATGAAATCAAAAATCCAGTTAGACATAGGAGGACATCAAAGCCTATCTATAAACAAATATAATGAAAAGCTGTAGCATGTACCTTCATCACCTTCTGAATCAGAATGACTCAAGGCAGATCGATCACTCAAGCTTTCATCAACAGCAGACATCATATCAGTTTGCTCCTGCTGCAAATGTGAAGAGGTTATAAATGCAAGCTAAACTTGTGAAGGCATTTTAGCATACGAAAAAAATAAGCAATACAAGATAGATATACATACACTGAATGAAGAATCTGAAAGGGGTGAATTTAGTTGGGGTTGACTGTATGATGAACTTTCACCGTAGAAATTTTTTGCGCTGGGCTGGCAAGAGAAACTTTCCAGTCCATGATCTACATCTGTTTCTTCTATGTGGTCTTCAGTATTCAAACCAAACATCAATCCATGATTATCGTGATCTACATCTGTTTCTTTTGCATGGTCTTCGGTATTAAAGCCAACCATCAATCCATGATCAACATCTGTCTCGTTCACCTGGTCTCTGGTTGACTCATCAGCTTCCGTTACTAAAGTCGGAGCATCTTCACAATGACGATCGACTACAGCAGTAGCAGCCTCTGCACAACTTGTTCCCTCCATTTCTTCTTCCTGAATACGTTTGACCTGGCAAACTGACAGCAATTAACCATGGCCATGAGCATTCATATATGATACAAACATGTACACAACCAAGCTGTTTGCTTCAAAGTTTATAAAATAAAAATAAAAACCAAAACAGCATTGCTAATCTGAAACGAAGATATGTTCACTCAATTTTACACTAGAGTACGAAAAATTAAAACAGATTACAAATTCTCAGGTTAGCTTAACTCGTCTCCGTTGGAAATATCTCAATGTTCCCCCAAGTTTTTATTTTCCGGAATTGAAATTGGGGCGAGAAATTTAAATCACCGTGTGACGTTTAAGGACGAAGAAGAGCAGACACTTACGGCTTTGGATGCGTTGGCGTTGCAGAACCGAAGAATTGGACGGACTAGGGTTTGTGAATTTTTCCAACAGCTTTCCAGCAGTGGACTCAGCGAGCTCGTCCTCTTCGTTGAAATCGAAGACTTCAATGTTTTTCTTCATCGCTAGGAAACTCTCGCCGGGAGAAGCAGACAATCCGAGCCGGAGATCGGCGATCAGAAATCGAGGGTCGAGTGAGAGAGAGAGGAGAGAGGAGAGACGCCAAAACGAAACAAGTCAACAACAAATGCCAGCGCGTCTGAACTCCACGCGCGGAGGTAACTTTGCTATATTTATACTACAGCACTTCATACTCTAAAGATCTCCATTACATAATTCACCCCCTGAAATGACAGATATGCCCTTTTTCTTCGCCGTGAATTTTAAAAAAGCAGAGACGTGAACGCCATCGTCCTCGCGACTCGTCTCTTTCCAAGAGTGTTGAATCACAAAGCTGAAAACTTCGTTAGTACAGAGAAGTCTAGAGAGATTGAAATTGAAAAAAAAAAGTCATGGATATCTCAGGGAGCTTGACTTGCGTTGTGGTGGCGGTGGATGGGAGCGAGGTGAGCATGGAAGCTCTGAGGTGGGCTCTGGACAACCTCAAGCTCTCATCGTCTTCATCCGATTCATCATTCGTCATCCTCCACATTCAGCCTTCGCCTTCTGTCGCCGCCGGCGTGAGCCCCGGAACCATCCCTTTCGGTGGTCCCAGTTGAGTCTCGTTACTGCTAATTTTGTGAATGTAAATATACGATCGTATGGTGTTTGTTGAGTTGACTCTGTGAAAAAAATTGCGATGAAGGTGGTCTGGAGGTTCCTGCTTTCACCGCTGCAATCGAGCAACACCAGAAGCGGATCACCGATTCCATCCTCGATCACGCTCGTCAAATCTGTGCTGATAAATCTGTGAGCCTCTCTTGTTGATTTCTCCTCTGAAAATGTGGATCTTTGCCTCGTAATCAAGACCCAGTAGCGAGTTTCTTAAAATTTGATTCATTAGAATCTTTTGTCTTCCACTGATGGGTTATTGTAAGTGTATTGATTTTGAGGATGTTGATTCAAGTTGTGATGGTTTACTACTCTCAGGTGAATGTGAAAACCCAAGTGGTTGTTGGGGATCCCAAGTATAAGATCTGCGAAACCGTGGAGAATTTGCACGCAGATCTGCTTGTCATGGGTTCACGAGCTTATGGCCGCATTAAAAGGTACCAATCTCTTCTTCTACTCTAGTATCTTGCTATGTTGATAGAAGCTGCAAATCAAATTCAAGGCTTTTGATCTTGGTTTCTATGCTGAATTAGTTGTCTCTTACTGACTTCTGACTGTGTAACATCTATACCTGTCTGTGTATGAACTTGAATCTGCGTCAACTTCAGAAATGGAATAGCTTTTTGGCCTAATAGTTAGAAGCAGTTTTGGTCTAAGCTAGGCTTGGAAAAATCCGACTAAACCAGACGTAGTTGAAGTTGCTGCATTTTCCCCTTCTTATTTGTATGGATGGGTTATTATATGTATGATCTATGATGCAGACACACTCTTTTAAGTAAACATCATGTTGAGAGAAATGAAACAGTGCATACTTTTAACTATCATTAAAGATTGAGTTGCTTGATACCCTGTGGCATATGGATATCTACCTGATATTTTCTGAATTTGTCCCGTCAATTAGCAGAAGAAATGAAGGATTCTTAGACTTTGTACTTACCTCACCTGCTTTGAGGAGCCTTTTTTTTGTTATACCATATTATTTAAAGTCTGTTGTTTAATGAGATAAATGTTATTTATTGGAGCAAATGCCAGTGTTGAATCCAGTGTTTTTTTTTTTCTTTCAACAGGATGTTTCTAGGAAGTGTAAGCAACTACTGCACCAACCACGCGCACTGTCCTGTTGTGATAATTAAACCCAAAGAGGATTCTGCGGAATAATCAGGTAAACAAGTTTACCCTTCTTGCAACTTATGTCAAACACTTCATTCAGATTAGTATACTCTCTTTAAGGTATAAGTCATTGTATTGAATCACCTCATTTAGATTATTCACCCTTTTAGAGTTCATTCATCAATCGTAACCCACATGATCTATAGTTCATGTCTAAACTCAACCCAATAATTTTCCGTGATCTGGAGGCGCTTGTCAATAGTTTGCCTCCCTTGTAGCTATATCTTGATTTTGTCAATGTCAAAAAGTGTGTCTATACTCTATTTCTCTCTACTGGTACAAGTAGCCTCTGACTGATTATCGAATCACCTTCATTTTTCAGGAGATATGTACAAATGCAAAGGGATATCAAAGCCATATATTATATAATTTTGTGAAGTTTTATTGAAGCTATGGAAGCAAAGCAAGCATCCCCCTGCTTACTTCCCACAGCGTTGGTGTGTATGTAAATTAATAAGAGCTACAGAAACATAGATTGGCTCAGTCTCAGGCTCAGTGTATATGTGTTGTATTCATGTATTCATCGTTTTATTTATTTATTGGTGAGGATTGAATAATGTGAGTTGTTGCATCAAATTACTATTAAAGACATTTTACAGTGTCGCACAATGCAAAACTCACTCGTTGTCAATGTAAGCTAGCTCGAACCCAGCCCAACTTGGCTCTGTGGCATTGGCTTATCTTAAAATCATGGAAAGTTATATTATTTGAGATAATTAAAGTATACCGCCGTATACGTTCAAGAAAAATCTCAACCGACAAAGCTCCTTGTCCCTGATTGATCTGCCTTATATAGATGTTCAAAAAATTTGGGCGCTGCTGGAGAAGTTTTGTTTCAACGTGAAGTGTAGCATACACAGTAGAAAGTTTTTCTTTCGTCATAACCGTAAACATGGTCACTCGATAATGGAAGGGTCATTTAGCAAATTAATAAGAAATATAATTGAAGGTAGATGTAAATGCATATTATTATATTGGAGGGACAAAAGATAAAAGAAAGATCATGACATTTCAAGATGATAAATATTTTTAAAGGGCTCGTGAACGAACAATGAGAGGAAAAGACGAAATAGGAATCGTCGGTTTGTCACTGCAACACGATAAAGGAGGCTCACGGACTTATAAAGGGATTAAAGACTGCTATTCTCTTTTATTATTGGTGCACCAATTTTTGGGATTTTATTGTAGCTTCAACCAAGATTATATATCCAAGACAATAAATATATTAATTTGATTTTATATATCCAAAGGGAGACCCAGATGTTGTTTCCATTTGCATAAGAGATTTTGAGCTCTTGCAGACATTTGTGAATGACACAATCATCGAGTTCTTAATGTTACATACAGGTAGTATAGACTCTGGCATGCGTTGTAGTGAAGTATTTGGGTTTGCTATTTAGTTGTGTTTATCACACATGTTTTTGTATTATTATATAAACTAAAAATGATAGAAAACAACAAAAAATAGAAAGGGGGAGCATGTGAGTTTAGCAAACAATGGATGATCAAGTAGTACTGCCAGTCCAGTTAGAAGTGACCGGATCCCACCAAACAAACATACCTCGACGCTGAGGGGACATTTTCGTACTTTCAGATATCACTTTGCCATTATATGAAGGCCACACACATCATCGTAATCAAACCACATTCTCTAGTAATACGTATCTCTCTACACATCACATTATCGCAAAACCATGGCCTCCTCAACTCTCCATTTCATCTTCTTCTCCGCCCTTCTCTTGCCGTTCACACTCACCACCTCCACACGTGATCCATGTGCGTCCGACGGCTCTGACGATCTCTCAATCATACCCGTTAACGCCAAATGCTCACCTTTTGCAGCCAATCCTATTTCTGGCTCAGTCATGGACACTGTCCTCCACATGGCTTCCGCAGACTCCCATCGCCTCACCTATCTATCGAGTCTCGTCGCCGGAAAACTCAAGCCAGCCTCTGTACCCATCGCCTCCGCTAACCAGCTCCTCCACACCGGCAACTACGTCGTCCGAGCCAGTCTCGGCACTCCTTCTCAGCTCATGTTCATGGTCCTAGACATCAGCAACGATGCCGTTTGGGTCCCTTGCTCCGGCTGCTCCGGCTGTTCCACTGCCGCAACTGCCGCTTCCTTTGCTCCGAAGCTCTCCTCCACTTACTCCACCGTCTCTTGCTCCACCGCACAATGCACCCAAGCACGTGGCCTCACGTGCCCATCCTCCTCACCCTCACCACCGTCCATCTGCTCTTTCAACCAATCCTACGGCGGAGATTCGTCCTTCTCCGCCTCGCTCGTCCAAGACACGCTGACGCTAGCCTCTGACGTCGTCACCGGTTTCTCCTTCGGCTGCATCAACTCTGCCTCCGGCAAGTCTCTACCTCAGCAAGGACTAATGGGCCTGGGACGCGGGCCAATGTCGTTAATCTCTCAAACGGGGTCGCTATACTCAGGCGTGTTCTCCTACTGCCTCCCTAGCTTCAGGTCGTTCTACTTCTCCGGGTCGTTGAAACTGGGCCTGGCGGGTCAACCCAGATCCATCAGATACACACCACTCCTCAGTAACCCTCGCCGTCCATCACTTTACTATGTCAACCTCACTGGAGTGAGTGTCGGTTCGGTCCAGGTGCCCCTTAACCTTACGTACTTGACGTTTGATTCGAATACCGGCGCCGGAACGATCATCGATTCCGGCACTGTCATTACTCGTTTTGTTCAACCGGTTTACGAGGCCATTAGACTCGAGTTTAGGAAGCAGGTAATCTCAGTTAGCTACAAAATCTAATCAGAGTTCGACATGTGAGATTTCCTGTTGCTAAAACACTTTTTTCTGAATGAAGGTGAAAGGGCCATTCTCGACGATGGGAGCGTTCGACACGTGTTTCGCGGCTGATAACGAAAACGTGGCGCCAACGATAACGCTGCACATGACGTCACTCGATCTGAAGCTGCCGATGGAGAATACGCTTATCCATAGCAGCGCGGGAACGCTGGCGTGTCTATCGATGGCGGGGATACCGCAGAACCCGAACGCTGTCCTAAACGTGATCGCGAATCTCCAACAGCAAAATCTAAGGATCTTGTTTGACGCCCCCAATTCCCGTATAGGAATTGCTCATGAGACCTGCAACTAATACAATATGATATCTTTCTATTGTTTAAACGTTTTCGTTTGCTTTAGTTTGATGTTTTTATTTCATTTGAAAAAAACCTTTCAAGTTAAGGGTTCGAGATCCGTTAGATTGAATGTTAATGATACTTGGCTCGCAGCACCAAATAATAATCTCTTCCACTATTGTCATCATTTGTAAAACTGAGGGATGCTTTGTTTACCCCTCGCGTTGACTCTTCTGTAGTTGGCAAATTTTCAACTTTCAAGAAATGGGATAACATTGCCAGCATCTTTTGGAATACTAATCTAATTTAGTTTCTCAGTAAATGAATACAAAATAAATTGAGATTAAATTATAATGCGAAAAAGAGCATTGGCAAATACTGTGTGCTACACGCACTCTCTTTCTCTCTCTCTCCCTCTGCGAATACAGATTACAATCCTCTTTGCCACTCTTTTCAAAGGTTCAATAAAAAGATGCTCTGGAGCACAAGTATTTTACAATGTCCTAGGACGTGACAGAAAGAAACCTTACACGACTGTGAAGCTTGTCAGAAATAACTGCTGTGTGCATTTGAGCAGCTACTACCACGATTCGAGATGCAACTGCCACACTTTCTATTCCTGAATGACAATAAACGCACAGGATTTCTTAGTACATTTACCAACCATGATTATGTTTTTATATGAGTTCAAAGCAGTAGCAAACTTTTATGATAAGTAGCCTACCTCCATAGGACCAGCGCCGTCTTTTGTGGCTACGTTGGAATGAACAGGATCAGGGATTATCAGGCCTGCAGGAACCTGGCCAAACTTCAAAGCCTATTTTCCACAGACAAAACACAGAAGAAGAATGTCAAAATCAACCAAAAGCAACATCATCAGGCACATATTCAATAATAATAATAATAAAAAAAGCAAGGGACCTGTTCGAGTCTGGCAATTTCTTCTATCGTCTGGGAGTTGATAATTGCAGCCTGGAACATCACCAAAAATGAAAACCGAAGTTCCTATCAAACACACATACTTAATATAAAGATAGACAAGTCAGCGAATATGCTTTGGTCCTATGCTTTGGTCCTATCCAGTTTTCAGTTATTTTCTCTCTTTCAACACCCCCAAGAAATAATTTCCTTGAGCTTTTGTGGTTTCTATCTTGGAAAGAGCTTTTTAAATTGCTATCCCCCTATGCTACTCAGCTGAAAAATCCATTTGACCCAATTTAGAGATAATCGCACCTTGATCGCTAAAATTTGCTCCGGTGTTGGGGCCACCACTTTTGGAGTCTCTGGTTCTTCTGTAGTATCTGAAACTTTTTGAACCTCCTCCTGAGAAACCTTCTTAACCTCCTCTTCTGCTTCCTTAGATGAAAACAACGCCGCAGCTTCAGCTCTCTCCTGTAAGGAAACAATGATTGTCATATAAAGGACTTGGTTTTAGAAGTTCTAATTCACTAATATGCATTATTTCCTGGAGTCAAGGGAGAGGTAAAGGAAAAAGCCAAACAATTATTACATTCAATGCTACAACCCTAAGGAGCTGCTTGCGACACCATAGAGTACAGAACACGAGGAAAACAAAATTTTCTTTAAAAAACAAAAACACAACCTAGATAAGATCAGTATATATGTGCCCCATAAATTTTAAAAACAAGTTTCAAGATGATCAGGCAACCAAGTCATCAAGACCAAAGGCTAATTACTTTGCATATCAGTTTAGCGAAATATTTTGTTAAACGAAAAGAAAATTCTTATTTCCGTATACAGATATAACATATATTCACAAGAATCTAAAACAACAGAGGATGCCATCTTCACTCGAATCTAAAACAAAAGGTAAACCAACTTTTGTATGTCCTACTTGTTCAGGATGCAGCAAAACTGAGCAGTGGATAAAGCAGAGAATAAGGTCCTCACCTTTGCTTTTACTTTTATGAAATCCAGTACTCGAAGTGATTTTAGCTTGTGAATCACATAAAGGCGGTAATTTGGCTTCTTGGTGATATTATTATCCAATAAACTGAGGTACTGCAGCTTCGGAATGGAGGCAAGGGGATCAATTTCAACCAAATTCACAAGCCTGTTATTTGTAAGAACCAAAGTGTGAAGCTTCGGTAGGAATTCTGCAGAAGAAGAACCAAACAATAAACACACTTAATCAACAAAGCAAACAATGTTTCCAGTTTACATTTTACTACAACACACACAAAGAGGACGTTACCTCCAAGATTAGGATTGATTCGGGTGATCCGATTGTTATTTATGAGCAAAGTTCCTAGGCGGTTGAGGTAAGGAAAGTTCTCTAGCTTAACTATCTCATTATCAGAGAGATCAATTGTATCGAATTGGTCCTGCAAGCAAAACAAAACAAGTTGATTAGTTAACAATCAAAATCAATTCAACACAAGAAATATAATACGAAGGAGATTCACAATAGCATCTATCAGAGATCCTCAAACATGCAAATTAACACCTTACGGGAAGACTTTCATAGAGAAGACTGACTCTAAAAGGTAAAGAACTAGTATTACACGAAGCCACGGATGTTAACTAAGACAAAGGAGCAAATTGCTCAAATCCTCCATTGTTTCTTTCAATGAATCTTCAGACGACAGAGAATTAGCAAACGAAACTAAGATAGAACATGTGGCCAAAAACAGAAGAAGAACGTACCTCAGTAGCACCCAAGTTCTCGATTACAGGAATCTTGTTGCCTGCAACAACATAACCCGAGAAACAAAGGATTACCGAGAGGAGAAGCGTTTAGGTTTACAAAAACACTACAAAGGTAACGGAAAAGAGAATAAGTTTACCTCGTAGATCCAATTCTCGCTCCTTAATGGCATTGAAGAAGTGAGGACTTTTCCAGATCAAATCGGCCGTGAGCTTCACCATTGTTCTACTAGGGTTTTACTACCTTCTGGCTCTCTGCTATGAATTCAGGGGAAAAGAGAGAAAGTGTCGAAGAACACATTAAACGCAGATGTTTGTCACACTTTGCCATTATCATTGGGCCCTTTCTAAGTGCAATATTGGGCTTTCGGTTGGCCCAATATTGGGCTTTGGGTTGGCGGCTTTCGGTTGGCCCAATATAAATTTTCGTCGCTTTGTTTAAGCCGAAAAACAGTTTTCAAAAGCAAAGGACTAGAGTTCGATTGAATCTTCTCTTCCTTGTTGTTTCCCAACCCTATTCTAGGGTTACTCTCTCGCTTCCTCCTGTTCTTTGTTCTGCCGATTTGCGTGAGCATTAGCCTCACATACCCTTGAAGTCGAGTGCGCTGGGACAAAAAAAGTTGAGCGAAGATGAGGATTATGATTAAGGGAGGTGTGTGGAAGAACACCGAAGATGAGATCCTCAAGGCCGCCGTGATGAAGTACGGTAAGAACCAATGGGCTCGGATCTCGTCTCTTCTCGTTCGAAAGTCGGCCAAACAGTGTAAAGCTCGGTGGTACGAGTGGCTCGATCCTTCTATCAAAAAGGTTAGTGGTCTCGGCGTTTTCCTTCTTTTAAGTGTTCTTGTTCGATGAATTTTTCTGGATCTGGCGAACAATGAAAAAATAGTTGGAATTTAGGCGTATTCGTGGTTTGTTAGCTTGTTTCTACTCGGAAGTTTAGTTGCATCTATGAATTGATTTGTTTCTGCAATGCCTACAAAGCGTAGGGAAGTGTTAGAACCTTTGTAGTATTCTAAGGCTTATGTTTATAGGTTTTTGAATTAGAAACTGACTAATTTTCTTTTGATGTTAACGCAGACTGAATGGACTAGAGAAGAAGATGAGAAGCTTCTACATCTTGCAAAACTTCTGCCTACTCAGTGGAGAACCATTGCTCCTATTGTGGGCCGTACGCCATCTCAGTGCCTTGAGAGGTATGAGAAGCTTCTTGATGCAGCATGTACTAAGGACGAGAATTATGATGCATTGGATGATCCACGGAAGTTGCGTCCTGGCGAGATTGATCCCAACCCAGAATCAAAGCCTGCTCGTCCTGATCCAGTGGACATGGACGAAGATGAGAAAGAAATGCTCTCTGAAGCGAGAGCCAGATTGGCTAACACTAGGGGAAAGAAGGCTAAACGAAAAGCTAGAGAAAAACAACTTGAGGAGGCTAGAAGGCTTGCTTCTTTGCAAAAGAGGAGAGAATTAAAAGCTGCTGGAATTGATGGAAGGCATAGGAAAAGGAAGCGAAAGGGAATCGACTATAATGCAGAAATTCCTTTTGAAAAGAGGGCACCTGCGGGATTTTATGACACTGCAGATGAAGATCGTCCTGCTGACCAAGTGAAATTTCCAACTACCATTGAAGAACTTGAAGGGAAAAGAAGGGCTGATGTGGAAGCACAGTTGCGCAAACAAGATGTTGCAAGGAACAAAATTGCTGAGAGGCAGGATGCTCCAGCAGCTATATTGCAAGCAAACAAGCTGAATGATCCGGAAGCTGTTAGGAAGAGGTCAAAGCTAATGTTACCACCACCGCAGATTTCAAACGACGAGCTAGAGGATATTGCAAAGATGGGGTACGCCAGTGACCTTCTTGCAGAGAATGAGGAGCTAACCGAAGGCAGTGCTGCTACGCGTGCGCTTTTGGCAAATTACTCACAAACACCAAGGCAAGGAATGACACCAATGAGGACGCCACAAAGAACTCCTGCTGGTAAAGGTGATGCAATTATGATGGAAGCAGAAAACCTGGCTCGGTTAAGAGATTCTCAGACACCTTTGCTAGGAGGAGAAAACCCTGAGTTGCACCCTTCTGACTTTACTGGGGTCACTCCGAGGAAGAAAGAGATTCAAACGCCTAATCCAATGTTGACTCCTTCAATGACTCCTTCCATGACTCCTGGTGGTGCTGGCCTTACTCCCAGAATTGGCTTGACGCCATCAAGGGATGGGTCTTCTTTTGCTATGACACCCAGAGGTACTCCCTTCAGGGATGAACTTCACATAAATGAAGACATGGACATGCACGAAAGTGCTAAACTGGAGAGGCAGAGGCGAGAGGAAGCTAAAAGGAGCTTACGCTCTGGTCTGACTGGGCTTCCTCAGCCAAAGAACGAGTACCAAATAGTTGCACAGCCTCCTCCAGAGGAAAGTGAAGAGGCGGAAGAGAAAATTGAGGAAGACATGTCAGACAGGATAGCTAGGGAAAAGGCTGAGGAGGAAGCAAGACAGGAGGCGCTGCTTAGGAAAAGGTCCAAGGTGTTGCAGAGAAATCTTCCTAGACCTCCAGCAGCTTCATTGGAACTAATTAGGAACTCGTTGCTTTCAACCAACGGAGACAAAAGTTCTGTTGTTCCTCCTACTCCAATTGAGCTTGCAGATGAATTGGTAAGAATAGAGCTTCTACAGTTGCTAGAGCATGATAATGCAAAGTATCCTCTTGATGAGAAAACTGAGAAAAAGAAAGGAGTCAAGAACCGTGCTAATGGTTCTCAAGTTATTGCAATTGAAGACTTTGAGGAAAATGAACTCCAAGAGGTATGAATATATATATATATATATATATATATAATATCGTCCTTATGTCAGTTAACTTTTGTTGTTTAGTCGATACCGCTGGAATCGTTAGTTCTCTCTTGGTTTATGGATAGATTGCTTGATTGATATTGTGCACATGAATGTATATCCGCTCTTGGTTTGAAGCAATATCTCTAATTTGGTACACGCTAGGGAATTTCTAATGAAAATTGTACATAATGTTTTGGTAGGCTGACAAGATGATAAAGGAGGAGGGGAAGTTTCTTTGCGTGTCAATGGGACACGAGAAGGAGTCGCTTGATGATTTCGTAGAAGCTCACAACACATGCGTGAACGATCTCATGTACTTCCCCACTCGAAACGCTTACGGGCTCTCAAGTGTTGCCGTGAACGCAGAGAAAGTTGCAGCTTTGCAAGTGGAGATGGAGAATGCGAAGAAAAAGATGGAGGAGGATGAGAAGAAGGCTGAACACATGAAGGCTAAGTATAAAACTTATACAAAGGGTCATGAGGTATAAATATATATAGATAGTCCACATTGCCTCTGAACTTGATTCCTGAAACTATATCGTTATCATTCTTTAGTTTGGTGTCATGCTTAATGAAACTATTTGTCCATTTGACAGAGAAGGGCAGAGACCGTGTGGAGCCAAATAGAGGCGAGTTTGAAGCAGATTGAGATTGGTGGAACTGAGGTAGAGTGCTTTAAAGCATTGAAGAGGCAAGAAGAGATGGCTGCGTCTTTCAGGAAGAAGAATTTGGAGGAAGAAGTGGTGAAGCAAAAGGAGACGGAGCGAAAACTGCAAGCGCGCTATGGGAATCTCTTGTCAATGCTTGAAAAGGCCGAGGAGATAATGGTCGGGTTCAGAGCACAAGCATTGAAACAAGCGGATGTCGAAGATTCTCAGAAACTGAAAGAAGCTAAGCCAGAGGAAGAAGACGTTGCCATAGCCATGAAAGCTTCTGCTTAAACATGTCTCGGAACTTGAGTTTTGTATTGGTTCCAAGTTTAAACGAGACGCAGCTTGACTATGTATTGTTTCCAAGTTTTATATGAGTCATGACTTTGTAAAGGTTGTGATTTTCTCTTTTGTATGCTTTGCAATGGTCAAGGAATTTGAATACGTCAGACTGATTCTGAATATGTACACAAACTGAAGTTGTTATATCTCTTCGTTGAGAAATTTCCTATTTGCTAGAGATCTTGTTTGGAAGAGAAGGAAAAATCTTGAAATATCATTTAAACCAAAATCAACACAAAAATGCAAGTCTGGGTGTGTAAACCTTATTAATTTGAAAGCAACATAACATAATTTTTAGAGTTTTCCAGCCTTCTCTTCAAAACTAATCAGGCTCTTAATTCTTGTCCACAACTTCAATTAGGGTGGGCTCGTAGTCAGAGGGAGCCACAAATCCGTGGAGGTTCATCACTGTTGCAGCTACATTCGCAAGTCCCGGCGTCTCCAGATCCTTACGGAATCTCACTCCTTCGGACAATCCTGGACCTCCAATGGCAATTGGCACCTGCAACACATTCCAATCAGTATCCACAATGTCACATCAACATCTAAGTTTTACGTTTCGGGAATAAACACAGACAACAAGATATGGGACTTACTGGCTTCAGTGTGTGAGAGGTTAGAATCTGAAGCTTCCCTTCCTTATCCAAAGCAGGCTTCCCAGATTTATCCCTCTTCACCATGTCCTCTGCGTTTCCGTGATCAGCAGTCACAACGTAAATGCCCTTCACTTGTTCGATCGCATCAAAGATCATCTGCAACAACCAAACCAGGCAACACCTGAGTCGCTCACTCATTTCATGAAGACTTGTCAATAAACTTTCAGAAAAGAAAAGAAAAAAAATACCTTCACAGCAAGATCAGCAGCCTCGCAAGCAACAACCGTGGCTTCAATGTCACCTGTATGACCCACCATATCTCCATTTGGGATGTTAACTCGCACCTGCAAATCAATATCGAAACATTAAGATGGTCTGCCTTATTTCCTGAGATGTTTGATTATTATAAAGATCATAAGACCATTCATACACCTCACCTGATCAAACTTGCCACTAAGGATTGCGTCCCTCGCCTTCTCACCAATTTCCAGAGCTTTCATCTTTGGCTGGGCATTGAATGATATCCCACTGTCACTTGGGATCTCAACGTACTGCTCCAGTTTCTCGTTGAAATATCCAGATCGGTTTCCATTCCAGAAGAATGTGACATGCCCAAACTTGACGGTCTCACTGTATATTGCAAAATAACGATCAGTACATGATTATAATCTAAATGCCATCCAGATCACTGAGCTCTGGTTTGATCAGCATACGCCACTAATGAGCAAGCAACAGTATATATAACCAATACTCAGGTTGAATAGAAGAGAACACAAAAGGTTGAACAACCTGCAAGCAAAAGTACGGACGCCATTGTGAGCCAAATATTCACCAGAGGTTCTATCAATCTCCGGGGGAGAGACAAGGTAACGGCTAGGCAGCTTTAGCTCTCCATCATACTGAAGCATTCCAGCGTATCGGATCTTCGGGAACCTCACACGGTCGAATTTGTCGAAATCTTCATACTCAAGTGCCTTGGCATGCATCACCATACGGTCAGCCCTGAAATTGAAGGTGACAACAGCATCGCCGTCCACAATCGGACCAACTGCTTCCCCGGCATCGTCAACGATGACAAAGGGAGGCAGATACTGGTCATTCGCGCCAGGCTCCTTCCTCAGTGTCTTCACTGCCTCAACAGCGTTTTTGAATTTGTGGGGAGCTTCTCCAAGAACCTGAGCATCCCAACCTCGCTTCACAACTTCCCAGTCGTTCTCATATCGGTCCAAGGTCACATACATACGACCTCCACCAGACGCAATCTGAGCATCCACGCCGTTCTCACGATGTTTGGCGAGGTCGGCTTCGAGAGTTTCCACAAATCCGACACTCGAACCATCCAAAACATCACGACCGTCAGTGAGAATATGAACACGGATTCTCTTGGAGCCACGTTCAGCAGATCCCTTAATCAGCAACTGCGAAAATACACAACGACAAGCTTAAGGAATCAAACAACACTCACCCAGAAATTAACCAAAACAAAAAATTATTGAAGTAGAAGATCAGTACCAGGAGCTGATCGAGGCGGGAGTGGACTCCACCGTCACTGAGAAGTCCAACGAAGTGCAGAGTAGATTTCTCGAAGGATTCAGAAACGTATTTGAAACCTTCGCCGTCAAAGATTTTGCCGGAAGCAAGAGCGATGTCACAAAGCTTAGCACCTTGAGCGTAAATACGACCAGCACCGAGAGCGTTGTGACCAACCTCACTGTTTCCCATATCATCTTCGCTGGGTAGTCCAACGGCAGTACCATGAGCTTTGATCAACGTCCATGTATCGGGAGCGCCCTGTAGACAAGATAAGAAAAAAGAAGTGAAGTTCGAAGAATCCATGTATAGGATTCAAAACATAGGATTAAAGTAAGGGACATACGTTTTTAAGAGAATCCATGGCGGGAGTGGGAGCGTTGTGGATGCAGTTGTACTCATCAGGAGCAGATTCACCCCAGCCATCTAAGACGATCAAGGCGATGGTTTTGCCCTTGGGGAGCTTGGGGTGGTCATCGAGCTTCCAGGCGGAGGGAGTAGCCATAGCTAGATTTTGAGATGCAATCGAAGGTTGAAAAATATCAGAAGCAGATCTGAGAATGGCCAAGTGAAGGTTGGTGTGCAGGAGGAGGCGGGTTTTAAAAAGAGGCAATCTTGTGTGGTGGCCCACATGTAACAAATGGGCCACTTGTTTTTCACGCAAATATTTAGGCTCCGAATATTCGTTTTTTTGTTTCTTCCTTGCTACTTTCTCTTGTTGACTAGATATTCTTATTTCTCAATATACTTGCCATTTTGCTTGGTTATTGGATGGATGTTTTAGGGAAAAATACATTGGAACATGTCATATATTTCTTCATTACCTTTTTTTCTAGAATTCGTTTTATAGAAAATATTGCCTTGTTACTTACTTCATGTATTTATTAATCATATTACCGTGATTATTAATCCTTTTAACGTTGGCTTACCATTTTTTTTTTTTTGATAAAAGTGTTGGCTTACAGCTTACTTCCATTACTCAATCATTAGTCTTTACTTCCATTTACTAACTCGTACTAAATGTATCTTATTTTATCATACAATTAAAAATGATTTCGAAAATAACAAACATTTTTCAATTGGATGGATGTTTTTTAGGAATAAGGAGTAGTTTGATTACATAAAAAAAATTAAGTAGTTTAATATAGTAATTAAAAATGAGCATATGTTTTGTAATTTTATAAGGTTTTTTCCTATGCTACAATAAATAGAAGAATATTCCGATCAAAAAAATAAATAGAAGAATATTGTATAACTATTTTGAAAAAAAAAATCAAAATATTAATTGCTTTTTAAATCTCCCAAATATCTGGTTTTGTGTCAAATAAATATTTATTTGTTATTCAAATACCCGGACAAGCGTGAATCATCCTGATCTAGTTATTAAAATTGATATAAACAGGTGTGGGAATTGCTTTTGCGTTTCATCGATTGGTATGGGAGAAAACTTCATATGCAGTTTTACTCATTGATTAATTAGTGGTCTAATCTATACAAATGTCTTGCACATAATTTCGGCATATCTTATTCTAAAACTTTGCTTTCTTTGACAATAATTGTTAAAGCAAAAAAAAATTTCATTTCTGGATATGAATTTTTTTAATAACTTTTACGATATGATTGAAATGAGTGGTTTAATAATGGTGCACTCCTTTGGAGACAAGGGTTTAAGCAAGGTTTGTCCTATATATTCTCTGTTGTAAAATCCACAATAGGTCAAGAACTTTCAATGCTTCAAACCTGATATCTAATGCCAAAAAAAAGAAAAGTAGCTCTCTTTATCAGAAGCTTTGTTTCTAGAGAAATTGTCAAAAGCATGAAACAAAGGAGGTTGAAATGAAAATGTTTTCATCAAGCAAGTAAAAGAAGAAGAAAACAGAAAACGATCGTAAGAATGCTAATAACAGCAGAGGGAGAAACCGAATTGGGCAGCCTGGGATAGTCATCTGGAGAAGGCATAACACATTCATCACCATTGAACAAGATTCTCCTTGGAAAAGCCCAACCTTCCCTAAAAGTGAAATCCACCATATCCTTCTTTAGCAACAACTCTGTCTGCACATTTCCAATCTCTCCTGCTTGAAGCAGAACATCATTGTAAAACTTAACTCCCCAAAACATCCCTGTGTCATCTAAAACCACACCAAGAAGAATCACACGACTTAGAAGATGTAACTTAACAATCTGAGAAAGAAAAAAAGGGTCTTATTTTTATTATAAAAAAAAAGTACTTACTGATGCCGTCGTTATAAGGTGTTAAGGATTTGTAGTTAAAGCTGAAGACTTGTTGGACGCTTTTCAAGTTTGGATGAAGCACCACTAAGTTCCAGTCAGAGTAATTCTTCATTGTGTTGTAATTCGATGCTGTGATCTTAACCCTCCAATACTCTCTATAGTTCACTTTCACATGCCAGTGGATGTGGATGGGACACATATGCTTCGTACACTCCACCACAGGCGATACTTCCTCCTCTGGATTATGTTTCTGTTGAAGATATGGCGGCGTCTCACCAGGCCTTAACAAGCCAGCAAGAGAAAGAAAAAAACCTTCAGTGATATTTAATAAGACACTAGACATAGAAACATTAATGAAGAGTTGGTAAATATATACTTGACGCAATGGGAACTAGAGCAACCGCAGCTACAGACAGGGCAAGGAACGATGTTTTGGTAGTAGAAGGCAGATAGTGAAACGCAGCATTTTGGTGACTGTGATGACCGAAACTGCGAGTACACGCACACTGCCTCCCATGTTGCTGCTCTCAACATTAAAAACAACACCAAAAAAAAATCTGTGTTATGTCCAGGAAAAAAACTAAACTCATGATCAGCATAATTTTTTGTACGTATTCCAAGTTTGTTTTTAATACTCAGATTGGTAGATAACAGAATGATTCAGCGGAAGAAGATGAGATTGTGTTTACCTAGAGCTTGCGTTTTGTGACGACCCTTATCGGCAATGTACTTAGTAGGGACCACGGATGTAGCATTGTCGCAGCTATAACCGGGGACACCTATGTCGAAGTTATAAGGCATACTGAACTCTCCAGGGTCATCAGGAAAGCTTCCGATGGACATGTGGAAAGCAGAGACGTGGTTGATGTGGTCCTGAGACATAGATGTCAAGACGCCTCCACGGCAGCAATTGGAGACTTGTGAGTTGAGAGGAGCTGCTCCGGGAAGAAGGTCGACGATGGTTGGTCGCCGGAGACAGCAGTGAGGGAGGGTTCCCGAGGCAAAGGCTGAGCAATTGCCTTGCTCCGTCGTCTCAGCTCCTCTCATGTCCCATATCACTTCTTTGTTCACCCAGTGCCATCTCAGCTTCCACCCTGGCTTTTCCACGTGTCGGTACTCTTGCTTGTTCTCTAATGTTACTTTTACCTGCAACGTTATGAACATTCCAAAGCATTTGTGTATAATAATATACATATAGATAAGATGTGCTACTTTTTTCTAACGTCCATCAGATACTATTTTGCAGTAATAGTTATTGGCTAAGTAAGAATCTTTAGTAAAAGAACATTTATAAGAAAAGATATACATTAAAATGAATTTGAATCTTCATTGAACAAGGGCAATATTACGACATAATCAGACTTTACAAAACGTCAAGAGAGGAAAAAAGAAGCATAAATCAGATCTTACAAGCTTGAACTATAATAAATTTGACAAATTCAATTAAAGGTGGTAAACGATGTATCCAATTTTGCAGGAAACAAAACAAACTTTTGAGAAACTTCTTCGTCTCAAACCGAATATCCGGACACTATTTTAGTTATTTTTATTTAGCCTCTAATTTGTTACATCTTTGAGTGATTGATCATAAACCCAGATTCTCCCAAGAACACAAGAAAAAAAACAAAAGAAAAAACCCCATATTCTCTGTAGCTCATGCGGGTCCCATAATCAGACACATAATTTTTTTACCAGAGTATTTTTTTATATACAAAAAAAAAACTCAACAAAAATTATGCTGAGGAAATAACAAGAAAAAGAAGACTTACTTCGTGATGGCCAGGTGATGATAGAAGAAGATCCCATTTGATGATAATTTTACCATAGGGATCCAAAGGATCGTATCCATCTGCAACCGTAAATAATCAAAAACCCTACTTAAGAAATCAAATCAAATTTTACATTCTATGATAAGACAACAAAAAAATAAAAGGAATTATAAAGACTTACGTATGTGTGATGAGTTTATGCAGAGGATGATTGTGACGGTAAACAAAAGGTTTAGAATTCCCATTTTGGTATTACAAACGATGAACAAACGAGAAGAAAAGAAACAAGTCACGTCGGATTTTTCAGATTCCGATGATGAAATTAACAAACAAACAATTAAACCGAGAATTTTGATTTGGCTTTGGGAATAAGAGAGAATTAAAGATAAAACAAATCTCAAGAGTTAAAGTCTGACGCCTCGGGTTTCCATGTTTTTAAGAGAGAGACAATGAAAGCAAAGAAGTGTGACTCAGTGACTGTTACTGTTAGTTCTACGAAGAGTTTTGCATTTGTGAGAACTCTCTTTTCTCTTTTCTTTCTATTTTTGGTTTTTACTTACAATTATTTTTACTTAGCTTGTAGCTGTAAAATAAAATCGATTTTTACCTAATTTGTACATTAATCAATTTAATCTGTGGTAGTTTGGTGGGTGCCAGCTATTAGTTCTATAAGTGTGAGCGAGTTAATTTAACGGTTCACGTTCTCTTATTAGTGAGATGTTAATGAAGTACTACTTAAAAAAGTTCAAGTTTTTTTTATTTCTGTAAGAAAAGTTATGGATTTGAGAAAAGACCAAATCATAATATACAAACCAGTTTTAATTCTGGTTTTCATTTGAAGTACGTGTATATTCTAATTTTAAGCTCGCATTGGTTTTCAGAATTGGACATCAATAGATCAGAGAGTTTAGCAGAGTTATTGATAATGCAACCAGAAAATCGTATGGTCATCGATTAATCAAGAGCGAAGAGCTTCTGCTCTCTCTCTCTCTCTCTTGGCATTGGTTAAACTTTTTAATTAAAAGATATCTGCAAATTATAATTGTGAAGCCAGCCACAAATTATTCTTCACATGCAATTAAAAGTTTTGACCAAGAGGAAACTAAGAGAAATGAATAAAGATATAAGTAGAATTTAATTAGAGAAGAATGTGTCAGAAAGAGATGCGTTTTTTAATGAGCGTCAACATCAACAAGCTCCTTTCACGCGCTCTTTCATAGAATTAGACAAAACATTACGTAACACGTAATGTGCCATTAACAGTTTAGGCAAGGAAACAAACCAAGAATAATTCTGATTCCGGTTTGGTTCGATTTATAGTGTCTAAATGGTTTAGTCGGTTTAGTAAGTTCGATCGGTTTGGTTGGAGTTTTTCGGCCCAAACTTCCGATGAATAGTTTTCCCAGAGGTGTATATGTCAAGTCGGTGATCGGAGAACTATTCCACGCTGAGAATCAACGCCCAAAGTGGAGAAAGCCTTGAGAGACAGAGACGGAAAGGAAGCGGGAGCTAGAAAGATGGCGCAACCAAGCAAAGAACCCTGCAAGAAAGAGGCTTGCGACATCCAAGCTTGTCTCTCGAAGAACAATTTTCTACCTCAAAGGTGATTTAATCCCTTCTTTTTTTTCGTTGTGCCCCGCTGTTCGATTTAGTATATTCATCGCGATTGTCCGTGAATTCCGTTTTGTTAGCAAAATGGTTTTTTTCTTACTTTGAAAGATTCCTTCAGGTTGCGAGTGAATTAGGGATCCAATTAATTGGATAGTAGCGCTGTGCTGTTGGTTTTGTGGGTTTATGGTTCATGTCTTGACTGAATTTTGGTTCTTTCTCTTGTTAGCATATGATTTGATACATCCAAGATAGATTTTGAGAATCAGCTTCTTAGTAGCTGTGGGGTTTTGGTTTGGAGACTATGGACCAATTTTCCAACATTAAGTGATTTTCGGGTACTTGCATTGGGTCATAATCACACTGATTCACGTATCAGTGATCCTCGATGGTGTGAATTAATAACGAGACACTGTGGTGGAGAAGTGTATAGTGTCAGTCTGTCAGACTATGATAATTTGAGCATGAACCTGCGACTACCACCTACAACTTAAGTTTGAGAAAAAGAAATGGATGCATAGAATAGATTTACCTGAATCTTTTGGTTGCTTGTTGTCGGAGGATCAAAAGCAGGCTGTTTGTAGATATCCTCACAAAACTAATATATCCCCGTCTTAGAATGGTGTCAATAGTTGGAGGAAAAAGTATAGAATGCATTATCACTTTGTTTGCATGCACTTTACCATGGTTTCTTGACATGTTTCCGTAATTTACGAATTCAACAATTAAAGAATAAAGACAATCGATAAACAGATGAGCTTGAGAAGTAGCGGTTGAGTACGATTAAAACAGCTACATGAGTACTGGTTTCCTCATGTCTTGTCCATAAAACCATTTTGTATCAATGTGTCATGTCTCTGAGTCTTAGGCATTATACAGTTTCATTACTGGCTTGAGAAATAAGACCAGTATGAATACCTTCAAGCGTTGATTGAACGATAGCCTCGCTTTCGATATGATAGTTTTCTACATCGTGAGACATACACTTTCTGACTGCAAATTAATTGATGGAAAAATTCTTGTCAACCATGTAGTGTGTATTCGATACTGGAGATGCTAATTAGATTTTGTATAAACTTGTGTGTGTGCAGGTGCCAGAGAGTGATAGAGATGTTACAGACTTGTTGTGAGAGATGCAATAACGAGTCAACACATTGTGGGTCTGTAGCTGCTCTCTTGAAGCAAATCAAGAAGTAATAATACACGAAGGACTAAACCCTCTAAACCAACTGGAGGGAGCCATCAGACTCTCTAATGCGCATTACTCGTTCTGTCTTCTCTGATTGGAAGATGATCTTCTGTGTAAATTTTGTCAGATTCAGTATAAACATGTTGTTAAATAAAAAAATCCGAGATATTATTTTAATTAAATTTGAAATAACGAGTTTCCACGTGGACACTCGGGCTTTATAACGGCCGAGCTTTCTGCAATAATATCCGCCGACCTCCTCCGCCTCGAGAGAGCAACCATGTCAATCGCAATTCCCCTCAATACCATTTTACAACACTCGCCGTCGGGCCTCGTACCTTCTTTCTCCATCTTCCCTCCGACTCCTTCGACCGCTGTTTCCGTCAGGGGAATTCGACAGAGATGCCTCAGGATGGTCACTTCCTGCGTCTCCTACGCTCAGAGCTCCGTCCAGAACGGCGCCACCGACGCCGCACCGGTCGTCGGGCGGAACCAGATTCGTCTTGGTCTCCCCAGCAAGGGACGCATGGCCACCGATACGCTAGATCTTCTCAAGGTGAGTGTTGTGGAAAAGTGGATGTATTTCCGTTTAGTCTCGAGCAGAAAATTGACGACTATGCTGGGAGATTTCCGTGGAGATTTACAGTTCTCCATCATCTTGAATTGTTTCTTCTGCTGGTTGTTATCTGATTTGCGAAATCTTCAATTTTGTTCTGCGATTTACTCATCTAAAATGCTCCAAGGCACAATGCTCGTCTCCTCTATTCCGGTTTTACACTCTGCTAAATATATCGGCTTTGTTGTGAAGCCTAAATATTGATTGCTTCAATTGCATGTCGTTCCCTAAGTATATGAGTGTTACACACTTACACTGTTATGGTTTTGTGTTTGTTTGATCGTCTCTTGCTGAAGATTCAATCTATCCTTGTTTGCTTACTAGGTTATTGCAAGGTTTCATTTTGATCCTTTGATTCTCTAAAATGATGTTTTCTTAGCAAATCGGACACAGCGATTTACAATCGACTCTTTCTTTATTTGCTTTCTTTCTCCTCTCTCGTGAAGGATTGTCAATTGTTAGTCAAACAAGTCAATCCGCGGCAATATGTTGCTCAAATTCCCCAGGTACGCATTTGGATAAAGGCAAAAAGCGCATTGAGTTTTTTTTTTTATTGTATGTTTGGTCTTCACAACTTCCAGTAGTAATCTCTCTTTTTCTATTGTCCTCCAGTTACCAAATACTGAAGTTTGGTTTCAGCGGCCAAAAGACATTGTCAGAAAGTTACTCTCAGGAGATCTAGATCTAGGCATCGTTGGTCTTGACATAGTTAGTGAATTTGGTCAGGTAAAATGACATCTTAATTCTTTGTGATGGTTGTTGTTATACTGATATTCACGATAGAGATCAAGAAACAAGTGTGATCCTGTTTTTTTTTTTTCATTCCCCGTGATTTCCCTTTGACATTGCGAGGCTATACTGTTTGAGTTAGCTTAGATGACTTAAGGCTTATCTTCTGAAGGCCACTTTTCCATCATAATTTAGATATTTTTGTAATTTGTTTTTAGGGAAATGATGATCTTATCATTGTCCACGAAGCTCTCAACTTTGGAGACTGCCATCTCTCCCTTGCGGTACGTTCTAACTTTTAGTAGTTGTGCCTTATCATCACTACAGATGACTTCATGAGTGATCTTCTCATATGATTTCAGATACCCAACTATGGAATATTTGAGAATGTAAATTCTCTTACGGAGCTAGCACAAATGCCTCAATGGACTGAGGAAAGACCTTTAAGAGTTGCTACTGGATTCACTTATGTATGATGAGTTCCAAGTATTCCTTTGGTGCATCGTTGTCCTTTAATTTTATTCAGAATGCAATTTAAGTGTTTTGGAACCATCTAACTTGTGTTTGCAGCTAGGCCCCAAATTTATGAAAGAAAACGGTATAAAGCATGTGGTTTTTTCAACTGCAGATGGAGCCCTAGAGGCAGCTCCTGCGGTGAGATTTACGTTATTTTGCATATCTAGCATATCCAATCAGCATGAGATAATGAATTATGATAATTCTGAAAGAAATCATTATTGTTTGTTGACACATTTTGTTTCTTGTTAATTAGATGGGGATAGCTGATGCCATTTTAGACCTGGTGAGCAGTGGGACAACCCTTAAAGAGAACAACTTGAAAGAGATTCAAGGAGGGGTGGTCCTGGAAAGCCAGGTTTGATGTGAAGATCTTTGGATTTGATTATTGTTTCTGCACTTGGCAACCGTTGTATCAGAAAGAACAAAACTTTCCTTTTTGCTTGCTATCAGGCAGCATTAGTGGCGAGCAGAAGAGCATTGACTGAGAGAAAAGGAGCACTAGACACAGTGCATGAGATTCTCGAGAGATTGGAGGCCCACTTGAAGGCGAATGGTCAATTCACTGTATGCGCATAGTAATTGTAATGTTTTTTTTTTTCTCATCTCTGTACCTTTGCTCTCTTTCATCCCATGGTTTTCACTTCAGGTTGTTGCAAACATGAGAGGAACGGATGCTGAGGAAGTGGCTGCACGTGTGAAAACCCAACCATCATTATCAGGATTGCAGGTAAATTTTGAGAATAGTTATAGTTCCAACCCAAGAATTGCTTTCGATATCTATCTGGTGTATTTTCACTGATTGTAGGTGATATAGTATTCAGACAATTGTGCTTCTTTTGGTGATGTGCAGGGACCAACAATAAGCCCAGTTTACTGTAAACGAGATGGAAAAGTATCGATTGAGTACTATGCTATTGTGATATGTGTACCCAAAAAGGCTCTATACGAGTCTGTGCAGCAACTGAGAGCGGTTAGTAATGCCATCCATCTTTGCCTCGACCTCACCCTTTTACTCTAAGATGTGTCACCCAAACAATGTTGCTTATTGCCTGAAATTATGCAAATCTTGCTCGTGATTTGTTTGTTGATGTCATGAAATGTGATTGCAGGTGGGAGGAAGTGGGGTGCTGGTTTCACCTCTAACATACATTTTCGATGAGGAGTCTCCCAGATGGAGTCAGCTTCTGAGTAAACTCGGACTTTGATCCTGCTTCACATTACTCAAGACAGGTTTTTGTTTAGTGAATTGCGTCCGGTACAAGCTATTCTAAGTAACAAGGCCAGTTGGGTTAAACACCCCATGTTTCTTTTTTGTTCGTCTTTGATGGATCTTTTAAAAGAAAAACAGAGGCTCTCTCGTTCCATTTCCGGATGATAGTGAACTTCAAACCAATTTTATCAATTTAATAAAAAATCATTTGAGTTTTCCTTCTCAGTTTTTGCAGTTTGATTGGAATCCAAATTGAACGTCCGTATACCTCGTTTCCTACTTAAACGAAATGAACGAATAAAAATGGAGATCAAAATTTTCATAATGGAATACAGTGAAAGTCGCACGATCCATAATTCAAATTTTCCACTTCAGTAGTGGAAGCTTTTTGCAATCCACATCAGAACTCCGAAACTCTCATCTACTAAGCTTCTGAACAAATTCCATTATGTGATTCTTCACCTCACCCATTGTTGCAGAAATGAATAGAACTTAAAATCCTCACGGAAATTCATACTTGACACGCGCGAGATACAGACCAGCTGCAGGAGCCATGGGTTTGGCTGCACTCACTGTCTTCGCCTCTAGGATTCGTTCAACTGAAGCAAAACCATAACTGTTAAACATTGTTCAATTATTATCAAACCCATAACTGTTGACTCTACAAGGAGAGAGATATACCGTCTGCCACCGTCAACTCTCCAGTGCCTACACATTTAAGCGCTCCTACAAGCAGACGAACCTGCACAAGATAAAAGCGACTTTGTAAATCAACAAGGCTTTAAAGTAACGCAACTCCGTCTCTCTAATGTCGTCCAATCAAATTGATTTGCTTCTCAACACTAACTTTCACATAGGAGGTGAGGACAACTATTACTATCTATATCAACCAATAGAGTATAGACTAAAGGCATGTGGTACCAAGAAAGAGAAAGACAAATGGATACGAATCTTACCTGGTGGTAAAGAAATGCGCGGCCACGGGCTGTTACTACATAGCAGCGGTGTCGTCTCCTCATACCAAAACTGTCACCAATGGTAGACCCCACCAACGCGCCAGCGTTTGTAGAAACTTCACTCTCGGCTTGACTGGAACATGTGAGAGCGTCTCCGTTGTTTGAGCTATTCCACGTCCTTTCCGTGATAGATGGAAAATACGGAGTTGATGGTACCTCAGTGACATTTAGTTCATCTAAACATCTCACAGGTGACTTTGCCTGCGAAACAACCATTCCTCAAAAGATTATAGATCAATATCTAACACTAAACTTTACTTCTTTTATAGATACAGACGAAACGATATCTTCCTTTTTCCAGTTAATCACTGAGACGAATGGATACATAATTCGTACTTGGTCACAAATATCTAAGTTCTACCAAGCCACAATCACGGATTCTATGAATGGGAGGGAGTGGGGAAGATATCCAACGGTTCAGTACATCCATATTGATCGTGTATGCAACAGTGCAAAATGCAAAGAAATTAGACCTGGCAACCAGCTGCCCTGAAGGAGCTAAAATCATGAGATCCAACAAGAACTCTGCATGCTTCCTGTGCACCAATCATTGACGATGCTCGTTAGAGAAGGACTAAGGGGTTATCTTTTGAGGGAAAATAAATAATTTGGATCACACAGCTGATGTTGATCATAGTAACGGAAAAGCTGCTCAAAATAGAAGTAGGCGAACCTGCATAGAGCGAAGATTAAGCTCCTCAGGAACATGCCAGGCACGGTCTTTCTCCAGGATGGATAAAGGATCAGACCCCGATAGCAAGCGATAGAAGTATCTACAATGAGTGTCATGGAAACATTCAGTTGAAAAAAGACATCTTTGGTTCCCATAAAAACATAAAGTTAGCATAATAATACTACCTATGCTCTAAAGCACATATTTGAAAATTAAGATCTCTAGAACAATGGAATCTTAGCCTCTCTATAGAGAATACCTACGTGCGCTCCCGGGCCTTATATCTGGCATGATAATTATTTGGAACACACCGGACATCAATCACCATAACATCGCCCTCATTTTTCTGGTGAATTGAAACGTATGACTTTAATGAGATGCTCAGTATTGAACAGGTCAAACTAAGTGAAAGCAAGCACATTTAGGAAAAAAAACAGAGATTAGAGGAACTGCCAAGAGACTTGAAGAGAACTTTGTTAAGATCACTAATTACATGATAAATTTGTGCGAGTAACCGTTAAATGAGAAGAATACCCACTGTATCCAATTGCAAATTCCAAAAACTATAAAATATTGACCTGTAAAAAATGGTTAACAGCTTTCTGGACCACAGCGGGTTCGTGAGGTGGTAACTGCATTTAGAAAATGGGGTTCAGTGAGAATGGTAATAAATTGATCCTAGATAAGCTGCAAAGAAGATTAAGCATATACGATCAATAACAGGTGTTTGTGAATGTAAACCTCGGTCGTTTTAACCATATTCATGTGTAAAACAAACTACAACTGGGACATATGATATTCTATTGATTAATATATGAGGGAGGTTCCAATTGTTAGCCACAATATATTAAGTAGCAGTGGGTGAAAAAAAGAAATACCACTTCACCGGGCTTTCTTTTACTGATGCGTTCCACATCTACATGGCAAACATTTGATAGTGCATGCACTCCTGCATCCTAGAGCCATAGAAGACGACGTAACAATGTCAGCCAATACAAACTCAAATCATGAGCGTATCATTTGACTATGAAGCAATGGTCCTTATGAATGTATAGTCACAAAGTCACACCAAAACCAGATGAAAGGTTTCTTCAGACACGAACAAGTTTAGGTTCTAGGTGTTCGAAGAAAATACAAAATTCTTAGCTCGGTGGACAATAAACTTATGAAAAGCTCTTACCGTTCGACTAGAGCACAAGATCTTAACTGGCTGACCAATAAACTTATGAAAAGCCTCCTGCAAAAATGCATCGCGAAATGTATCAATTCACACACTTGAATCCTCCAAGAAAACTTGTCAGCCCAATATTAATTGAACGAAATTACATACGAAATCCATCTAGCAACTTCTCGAATCACGGACAAATCGTAAAAGGGATCTAGAATTTGAAATGGCGGAGACATTTCAGAATGGAAAAAAACATTAAATCGGCGAAGAAGATATATATCTAAAAAGTGAAAAATTACAAACAGGCATCAACCTGCAAGACGCCGGCGACGGTGCGGTCCGTAGCCTGCTGTTGTGACCCGGAGAAACGCGTTCCGATATACTCAATTGCTACCAAGTAACGCTGCACTCTAGCGTTTCCTGGGATCATCGAGCCTTGTCGTTGCTCTGCTTCTGCTTTCTCTTCCTCTTCTTCGTCACTGAATCCTTCGATTTTCGCAACTTTTGAGAGTCTCTCGAGGGATTCTTCAAAAGCTGTAGAGTCGAGAGGATGCTTCAGATTATCTGACATTCTAACTTCCCTCACAGATTTTCTTATTTTCACGCCGTAGCTCAGTCCCAAATACCTAAGGGTTTAAGAAATATTGAGATACTTGGATGTTCGTTAAATCGTCCAACAATTGGACTCAGCTACTCGGGAATATATTTTTTGGATCGAGAGAGTTTTTTGTTCTTCGTCTCCACACGGATTTTATATATCATAAATTAAATGTGAGCACAGTACCCAGAAAGATTAAACTTGTAATTGATGGGATGAGCCAGGCCCGTGCAGTAGTGCAACGCATAGGCGACTCGCGAAAGCCCAGATAGCAAGCTATCTTAGTGGACTTTCTCCCTTAAAAAATAGAGTTAATATCGTGTGAGCCGATGGCCCACATATCAGATATTAAACTGATAAGAACAGATACTACACTTGATCTTAGCCAAAAGGCCGAGAAAGGTATGAATTGGAAGAGAGGTCCAGCTTCCTTTTTATATTACAAGACTTGGAAGACATTCGTCTCTTATTCCCGATGTGGGACATTTATACAAAACAATGGTTAAAAACACATTTGGCAATTTTGTCATAGCTCTTTACGATAAATCGGATTAAAGGATTTGATGATGCTTACAATCTTCCCAGGAACGATTTCCAAAAAGGAATTTTTTTTTTCGTTAGGAAATTCCGAATTTCTCATGATCTTTACCAAAAATGTGGTCATCGTCACTTATTTGCTCTAATTCTCTTCACTTATGTCTAAAAGCTTATTAATTTATTATTGGGATGGTGCAAATGAATCTGTAGCCTTTCAACACTCTGAAGAGGAAATAAAAAAATTGAACGCCCGAACAAAGAAAAAACCCTACTGATCCTAAGCTAGTTAAAACAATTCATTATGAATAAAGAAAATAGGCACTGAAGATTGAAGATGTCTCATGTTGAATTGCCAGTGTTCTTCTTGGAAGAAGAGTAGCCTCTTATGGAGAGATTCTTGGTTTGATTGACAAGAGATGGTTGTGTTTTGCTACTGCTACTGCTGCTCCAATTATATCCTCTGTCTTGATTCATTCTCCTGTTGCCTTCCGACTCATACTGATGCAATCAACACAAATAGGGCTTTAGACAAAAACAAGAAGTTGTATATATAGGGAGTGAAGATGAACACGTTTGTTAAGGTCGTGAGCATTTTTACATCATAGTCTTTCTCTTTGTAGAAGGGATCCATGCGAAGAGTGGCCGGTTTATGATCCTTCTTCCCTCGAAGCGACTTCTCTCGTTCCTCGTAAAAGTCCATGTCGTCTAACAAAGACGTTACCGCAGAATATTTTTTGAATATGGAAAGCATTTGGAGACCTTCTTTGAGTTTGATCTCGTGAGTATCCCTCGTATGAGTAACTGGCTTGCCTTCATTGTTGTCAAGCATGATATGGCATAGTTCCCAGTTAGGGACATCTTTAACCACATGCCATTCAACAGGGAAAAAGCCCATCCACTTATCAACCTGCCAGAAATCTAAATCCTTGTTGAAGTCCACGTATCCAACCATCTCAGCTAATCCCACAAACTGTCTACTCGCATTCACCTGAATAGATAAGAAACCAAACGTGAGACTAACTAGACACACTCTTAGCCATAGAAGCAAAAGGAAGAAGACGACATCTCAAAGCTCACTCACCGAGAAGAAGAGAAAGATTGGACGTTTTTTGCCATCTTTTGATGTTTTTGTTTCAGCATCACGGAAAGCTGCGTCGAGTTTCTTGTTTCCGTTGGAAGTGCTTGACCACACTGAATATTTGATACTCTTGTGCACATCGTCTTCGCTGTAGGACTTGATTACGAAAAGCTTGGCATCCTCATAGTCGGTCTGAAAATCTGGGAGGTTATACATCTCTCTACGAAGAGACAGGGCAAACGAATTGTTCTGCTTGAGTGATGATGGCTCAGAAGGAGGATGAGCCTTTGCATGGGCTCTCGGACCACATTTCATTTCAACCAAGGACTCAGATTCTCCATTTCTCTCAGGTTTCCTATAATTATCTCTGTGATCCCACAAACCACTACTTGCATTTCCATTATTAATGTAACCACTATATGGGACGGAGCTTGTCTTTTGATTGGCAAATTTGGAGAAGTGTCCTGCGGCTTGTTTTCCCTTCAAAAGGCACAATGAAGCAATTTGATCAAACCTAAGATTGTTTGGACAACAAATACAGAAAAGAGTTGTGGTATTAAGCTATTTATATAGTAAGATATGTGTAGAGATACCTTAAATGGCGGTCTGAGTGCATGTGATTGTGTATTGTGAGGAAGTTTGCCAGCACCACTGAAACTTCCTGGAGGCTTAGTAGCCGACACCGAAGTTTGAGACCAAGAATTGCTTCTTCTTGCTCCATCTCCACGCAAATTCGAATCATAATAGCCATATGAAATGTTTTTGTCACGGTGACTTCCCTGCAAAATGAACATGGTACAATGTCAAACAATGTAATTTCAGTAGCGGCGTGACCAATGGACAAAAATCAAACCTTTAGTAAATCCGTAGCACGTGCTTGACCATTGTCATTTGGCTGAGAAGAGACTACATCAGATCCTGCAAAACGCCTCACAAGACACAAATCACTGCTGAGCCCTAAGAATCTAATTCGTTTAAACGAAATAAAGTTGTAATTTTGCTCCTTGAATAAGAATCCAGGCCGAATAATAATAGATTACAAGAGTTACTAGGTGGTCGTCTTACCATTAGCACATGCACTAACAGTAACGATACGATTTGTGGCAGGAGACTGAAAAGATTACCAACATAATAACATAAGCAATCTTTGCCAGCAGAGAGATTCTTAAGAATTGAGGCTAATAGGATTTGAGTTACCTCATCATGTTCCTTTGTTGTAGAATCAGAATCTGGTACAGTTGGCGCAAAAGCAGACTCAGCTAAAGTTCATGTTAAGGGGGCAACACACAAATTGATAAATCAAAACTGTCGCAAACAAGTTAGTAAAGCAAAAGGCAACTGAAATTACCCACAAGAGAGAATTGTCTGAATCAAATAACAATCAAGTAAGGATTAGGAAAGACGGAGCAAATTAAACTAAAGCGGTAGCAGAAAAGGATACAATCGATAGCATTCCTTTCAGTGGCCATTGCTTGAAGCGGAACCAGAAATATAAGAATAGTGTAGAGAATCCGAGACTCAAATAATACTCTCGGGATAATGGGATATCCACAACTGTTCTAATGAACAACAAAGTACAGAATGCTTCGTAGTCTAGTCTAACACCAAAATAAACCCTCGCATTCCACTGTTCCCAAAATGGGCCTCAAAGGCTTGGTATCATCTATTCTTCCCAAAGTATTCCAAAATTGGGCCTTAAAGGTTCTCAACATATCCATCATCTATTCTTCCTTTTTTTTTTTTTCCCAAATTTGTGATTCAATTGCCTTCAAGACAATACCGAAACTAAAAAGCATGCTCTATGGTTTTGTCTTATTTTGAAATAGTTTTTAACAGTTTATGTATATTAGCCAAAATTGTTTTTTATTATACATTACTAATTCGGTCAGGTTGGAGAAACTTGTTTAGGACAAAAAAAGAAAGAAGTAAAAGAAATGGTTCAAATGAAAAGCTAAAGAGTGAATAAGAAAGAGAGGTCACATGATGGCCTCTTTTTGTCATGAATGATCTGTGACTATGAGTCACAAAAGCCAAAAGCCTCAATTCTATTTTCTACATTTAAATCATTCTAGGCCCTTAGAAAAAAAAAAACATTAAAATCATTCCTACTTTTGAATTTTGCTTTGCTGTAACTTCACCTAAGCCCCCACTCTTTCTCTAAATGCCAATTTTTCTCTATAATAATTAGGTCCTTAATAATTAAAACAGATTTATTCACCAACTCCAGTTATAATAACTTGTAGCACCGACATTTCACAATCACATTTGAAGCAAACATCTTTTGAGTGACTCAAAGTTTCTAGTAACAAAACTGTTTTTATTGAAATTAACCATACACTAAATTATGTCACGATCAACAAAAGGATGTCACTAAATTAACGCAAGTTTCTTATATCATTTTCAATATTAATTCTTGTTTTGGATATCTATATGTTTGATCATAACTCGGTCTGAAACACTAGCTCTCTGGTCCTTGAACTACAAGCCTACAACTACAACATTATACTTGTAATCAGAAATGTGTTCGTCTACTTGATCATGTCATTATACTATGTTTCTCATTATGCTCTGTTCTTTTCATTTCTGTATTAATCAGCACAAATCAGCATTTGCTCTATCATTGATGACTAAAGGAACGTATGATCATATGCATGTTATTGTTGATAGCGGGGCTCTTACTCTATTCGTGGAACATTTATCTAAAGATTTTATTTTTGTACATAAATACATCTTTATACTTGAAATCAGTATTTCCTTTCTTGTTTCTTCTATTTTTTCGTTTCTTACAGTTTGTATATGCTTTACGAAACATAGCTTCTGTCTTAACTGTCTTAATAGAGCTCCATGACAAAGTTTTAGAATGTAGCGCCATGAATAATTTGTTAGCTCTATTCGATGATTCAACGCTCACAATGCTTAAAAATGCTTCAAAAGCATTAGTACATTTTGGGCCAAAAAAATCTGAACAATCACTTCGATTTCAATCTGAACAATCAATCATTTTTAATAATAATTCTTGTTTTAGATATCTATTTGTCTGGTCATAACTCGGTCTGAAACATTGGTCCGTGAACTACAAGATTATACTTTCTTGAAACAACTACAACATCATATCTAGCGTTCAAATTTTCACATATTGATGATCTCTTTCCATGCTTCATATTAATTGTATTTTTGACATTAACAGACCAAAAAAACGCTATGTGAGTTAATATATTCGTCAGTGCGTGGTTATAGATAGGTCTGAGGTCTCCCCGCTTTTGCCGCAGCTAGTTAAGCTATTTTTCTCTCACTGAATCATTATTTTTGCCAAATAATTATTTTGTTTTGAGAAACTCATTCGATTGCGGTAGATTTGGACCATCATTGCCTACCACATGCATGTGTGTTGAACTTTTTTTCCATAATTTCGGATTCCTGAAAAGCATTTATGAGAGGTTTAGATTTTCACCTAACACTATAAAATGTATCTTAGTAAAAGAGTGTGAACCATCGAAAATTTATACAGATATTTGTGTGATCTACATTCAGTTACTTCTAGTATTTTATAATTTTAGTCTTCTATTGTTTGATCTACATTCAGTTACATTGTGCCAAATGACTCAAATCTATAAATGTGCTAGTTTACTAAAAACTCCTATCTCCACTCTACGGAAAAGTAAAACCTTTAATATGCGAGTTATTTCCCTAATTGATTAATATTTAAAAGCATGCCGCCATTTTCTCTTAAAAAGAAAACGGTTTATATTTGATTGATATCTTAATATTTATGGCCTCAAATTGCTGGTCGTACCAATAAAGCGAATATTAGTTGTTGTACTTGTTCTTCGATTAAGAACTTTAGGTTTGCATTATTATTGAGCTTGATTAACAAAAAGATGATAGACATCAAAGTTTTCTCGTAACATAGATGAATCACGTATGTTCATGCAATGCGGGTCTACGGTACATAAGAACTGTGGAGCTACTGATTAAGAACTAGACAAATTAAACTACTTTTATAAGTTATAATTAACTGTGAGTTTAATTATAAATCTTTAATATGTTCTTATATATTCAAGAAAAATAATAAAGTACCCTATTTCCGTAAAGTGAATTTAGCTAGAAATTATTATGCATCATTGTTTTCTTAATTATGAAAACTAACTAATTGAAATCTTACTATGATAATTAATAGTATACATTAAACTAAGGGTAAACGTTTTTTAAAGCAGCCAACAGAGTCTCTTCTTTGTTGTTCTTTTGTGATGACACGAAGGCCCCATCCTCAATTATTATTGTTGATTTTTTTTTTTTTTTGGTCGTGGATAAGATGAAATAACAACAAAAGGATATCACATTATAGCTAGTTAACACCATCAATTTTACATAACAGTTTTTAAAAGTAGACAACGAATATGTATACACTATACCGTAATATACTGTGTTTATTTAATTAAAAAAACAAATTTTGGGAAAAAAAGAAAGAAAAAGGAACAGAGATATAGCTTTTTCTTTACATTGTTTATGCTACTCAACTTTAAAAGGTTTGTTAAGTAACGAATCGGCGAAAAAGAAAACAAAGTATCAAATACTGTAACTTGTATATAAGGAGGGTATTACATAGAAACTATCAATTAGGGTCGTCGTTATCGATACTATTAAATTATAATTCCTTGAAAGCATTTAGTAATCTTCTTGTTAGTTGTTCGATATTTTACCCTTAATTCTCAACACAATGTCTTCTTTATAATCACAAGAAAATCTCAAACTGCACCGCCTAAAAATTAGTCAGCAATCTATACATGTTTGACAGGACGATCATATATGAGCCACAACAATCTACTTATACATATCACGTCTCACCTCACCTGATATATATACTCCAAGTGAGATTCCTAACAAATGGGACCAAGACATTAACAAAATGATTACACCAAGATAAGCCATTGAATAGAAATGAAGAAGATGATTATTAAAAAAAAAGAGAGAGAGTGTGAGAATAGAAATGAACTAAATTAGAAAAAGTAAGCAGTGTGAAGTTGTCAGTTTTAACAAAAGACAGTGAAGGTCCTGAAGGGGAGATGAGATAATAGCAAAATATAGGATCCAGGGACCAAGATTTACTACATCTGTTCCTACTACTTAGGGACCATTATCACCACTAACTCTCTGTTAACTCTTTCTTTTCTATACTTTATAATATAAAAACATTTTTTATATATACACACCTTTTTGTGACTATATATACACATACAGCCCATTATCACACATAGTACAGAGTGTGTTTTGTTTCTTCTTCTCTGCTGTGCTTTTCACTTACTTCACACACAAACAGAAAAAAACAGAGGAATAATAAACTAGACACTGGCGTCGATTACGTGAAGATATCTCAACTTTTATATTTCTATAGAATTTCTGATTACTATTTTTTTAACTTGGCTTTTGGTTCTTCATCTAGAGCTCTGAGTTTTCTCTCTTCGATTTCATTTCCTCTGTTATTCTCCACGTTCTTGAGAAAGAAGAAAGGAAGAAGAGCAGTTTGAAGGAGTCCAGTCTCCTGATTCTTCTTTTTCGATTACATCTTTGATCTAAATTCTCCACACCAAGAGAATAACCACTCGACTTCAAACTCAGAAAAAGCTCAAAGCTCGCATGCCACAAGGAGAAAATGAACGAGACGAGCTCATGGAGCATATACAGTACCAGAGATGGAGAGAGTGAGGGGCCATGGAGATCGTCGACGTCGATGAATGCCATCTCTTTTGGGCTCGTAGCTACGGCGATACTCATCTCCATGTTCTTGATAATGGCCATCTTCGAGCATCTCTTCAGGCCCGAGAACTCTACATTTGATTCACCACATCGGATCAGACAAAGACAGAGCCAGAGCAGAGATGGGTCCACTCAGTTCCAGAAACTTGCTCATCAAGCATCCATGGTAAAAAAACAGGAAAACAAGAACGAAAAAGTTGTTAAAGCATTTCTCAAAAGAATTTTTGTTCTTTATTTTATAAAGTCGAAGCGCATTAACTTGCCACTGTTAGAATTAGTTTTTCTTTCTCTTTGCAAAATGAAATTGTTTTGCTTTTCGGTGCAAAAACCTTTGGAAATGAAAAAAAAAAAAAAAAAAAACCAACTCTGGAAAGTGAAAAGCAAGACCCAAGTTGTACTTTATTCTTTGTTTTCTTACAGAATAATGTAGCTAATTCGTTTTCATATGCCCTCACTTTTTAAATTCATCTTTCGTATGTTTTCTGCAAAAGTTTCGACATTAATGATAAGGAGTATGACGTGGTAGGTTCCGGTGAATACGGCGGTGGATGTGTCGGTAGTGATGCCGGGAGAGAAGCTGCCGTCGCACATAGCTTTGCCGGCTCCTTTACCTTGTCGAAGAGAAGGCCTTCGTTGGGATCTCCACCTCTAAATGTTACTACATAGTTCTCTTCTTCTCATGCTTTCTTTCTTCTTTTTCTGACTCATTTAGTAGATTAGTGTTGGACTTGGAAGCTGGTGATAATATAATTTTATTCTGCATTCATGCCACGAGATTGATCGACCGATGCATTTATGTTACAGTTTACTAAAATTTTGTCCATATGCTTCTTTTTTTTTGGCAAACATTACAGTATATATGAACTATAATTAATTAATTTTGGAATAAATCACTTTTTCGAGAAAATCGTTAATTGGGCTGAGACACAAGCCCATAGCATTATTTGGGACAAGAGTCAAGCCCATATCATTATTTGGGACGAGAGTCAAGCCCATTATCATCAGTGGCCGGATATTATTTAGGAAGAACACCGAGATAAAAAGTCACCATCTCCCTCAATCGTCTCTTGGAAGCAAAAGGAAAGGTGTTTCAAAATATTCAAAATTTGAACGAGAAAAATGGCGACGACGGCTAAGAATATGACGGGTTTCTACAAGCAGACGAAAAGCAATATCACCGGAGGTATCTCCAAGTCCAAGTCCAAGTCCAAGTCCAAGCCTTCTTCCCGGAAACACGCGGCCACTCAGGGTTCTGATGCTACGCAGCCGGCGGCGTTGGTTTCGCACGGCTCCCTCGATGTCAATGGTATGGTTTTACTTCTTTCTGTTTATACTTTCATCTTCTTACATTGTTCTTTGCCCTTCCCTCTCTCTATTCCTCTCTGATTTACTCTATGCATTTAATTTGGACTCGGCGAGAATAACTTGTCTCCCGAAATTATCCCTTGATTATTCTTCTCCATGTTCAGGTGCTATTGATGATCTGATTCCTTAATTGTCCTTTCTGTTTCATGATATTCATCGATTTCAGTAGGAAGAAATTTAGGGTTTAACCCCAATACATTTAGGGGTCCGATCGAAACTTAGTCGTGAAAATCTCAGTATTTTTTCTGCAGACATGGTGATGTTTTTTTCTTCTTATTGATAACATTTGCTGTGTTTCAACAGACGCTTATGACAAGAACGAGGAGATGCTCAGACAATTTGACATGAACATGGCTTACGGTCCCTGCTTGGGTATGACAAGACTTGATCGATGGGAACGTGCACTGCGTCTAGGGATGAATCCTCCCAGCGAGATCGAGAAGCTTTTGAAAACTGAGAAAGTTCAGCAAGAGTGTCTGTGGCAAGGTCGTGTCTAAAGTTTCAATCTATAACCTTTGTATGATTCAGTGTCACTTGCAACTCTTGTCTTTTTTGAGTGTTTGTTGGTTCAGCCACTGGCTGGATCATCTACTTTCAGGTGTTAAATGTTTAAAACCTTGGTAATGGAATGCATTTTGTGGATCGAAAGCTTCAGTTATTTCAATGATCTTTCGAATTGGTCTAATCTCATTATCACAGGGAAATCTATCACTACAAACTTCCTTATACAATCTATTGTGTCAGTAATTACGTGTACTTACAAGAACTTTGTCAGTTTCCAAATGAAGCTGAAGCATTATATAACCCAGGAACCTGTGGTCACAGCAGAGTAAACAATGTAGCATAACGCTATAAATTTGGTAGGCCTGAGTCATCATCCCTGTCTCTGATAGAACAAGATTCTGTAGGGTCTGGTTTACCTACTGCCACCGTTTCTTTTCTGGGACGAGAGGAAGAGATCTGAGTATGGTGACCTCAGGAAGCAGCGTGGAGCCTATCATGTGAATAACAAGGCCACAGGGCAGGGAGTTGCTTCTCATGCTGATCACTGAAAGGTTACGATTTAGTGGAGACGTTACAGAGATGCCCTTCAATGTCTGGAACAAAACCTTTATCTACCATTTCTGCTCTAACTATCTCATAGGTTATCCGGTTCGGGACAAGACCTTTCTCCAGCATCTCATTCAAAAGCCTGTTCGCCTCCTCCAGCTTTCCCTTCTGAGAATACCCTTGTAGAAGCACGTTATACGATGCCACGTTCATCCTCAACCGCCTCTCTTTCTCCATCTGTATCCTCACGTTCGCTGCTGCTTTCAGATTTCCTTCCTTACAGTAGCCTTCCATCAGAATGTTATATGTCAAATGTCTCGGTTTCAGACCCATCTTTGATATCCCTTGTTTCAAAAGCATCGCTGCTTTTCTCGATTCTCCTTTACTGCAATAACCATCCATGAGGATGTGATATGTCACAAGATCAGGAAGCCCTTTGCTAGTCAATTGATCAAAAAGCTTCTTAGCTGCTTCTACGTTATCATTTCTACATAAACCACCAATCAAGCAATTATAAGTCTCAACGTTTGGTGCAATCCCTTCCTGTTCCATCTCTTGTTTCAGTGCAAACCCATCCTCGATTTTTCCTGACTTACAATACGCATCGATCAGCATGTTATATGTTTTAGCACTGGGAACGATTCCTCGGCCTTTTAGTGACTCAAACATATCAAGAGCTTCCTTCAGCATCTTGTTCTTGCAAAACCCGTTGATAAGAGAGTTGTAAGTAATTAAGTTAGGCTGCACACCTGCGCTCACCATCTTATCGTGTATATCAACAGCCTCGCCTATCTTTCCTCCACTGCACAAACCATTTATCAGAGAATTATAAGTGATCACGTTCGGTTTCACGTCTTGATCCAGCATCTCTTTAACAACCTTCACACTCCCTGAATAATTGCCATCTTTCCAGAACCCATCGATCAATATATTGAATGTAGTCAAGCTCGGGGACACCTTGTTCTCCACCATTTCCTTGAAAACCGCGTCTGCTTTGTACATTTTCCCGATTCCCCCAAGCTTACAGTATCCGTCGATGAGAGTGTTATAACTGACCACATCTGGAGAGACTCCGTACACTTTCATGTCCTCCATAACATCCTTCGCCTTGTTCATTTTCCCCGTTTTGCACAAGGCGTTGATCACGACATTGAAAGTGAACACATTTGGTTGGATCTTCCTCCTAATCATCTCCTTGTGTACATACTCAACATCCGCGAACCGATTCTCCTTCAGCAACGAAACCATCAAAGGCTTACAAGACAAAGCCGATAACTTAAACCCATAATAACCTGAGCGTTTAAAAGCCTCAAGACCTAGCTCGAATCTCGAGTTGCTCGCATATGCCAGTACCAACATATCAGCGATAATCGAATTGACGCAAACATTGTCACACACTGAAATCGCGTGGAAGATCGAGTGAACCGGATGATCAGATCCTTTCCTCACAAACCCATCAAGGAAAGATCGGATCTTTGAGTACCTTTTAGCGTTCGCAAGAGAATGCAATAGCTTGAATGTGAGCTCTAGCGAAACAGAGACGTTGCGGTTCTTCACTAACCAGGTATAGTACCTGAGACACAAATCTGGGTCAAGCTCAGAACAAACCAACTGTTGAAACAGCTCGTTGGAGTTTATGTCTTTCACGTGAATTCCGAGCTTTGACCAGTGCTGCTTCTCTATGAGCTCAGCGATGACAGCTACGTCATCTCTAGGCGGGCAAGTGCTCCCGGCGATCGTAGCTGAAGAAGAAGAAGGTCTTCTTAGACCTGAGAATTTTCCCGGGAAAACATCTATGAAATTCAAAACTTTTCTCCTTACGGCTGGGGATTTGGGGAACATTGATTCGAGATGGAGAAGAACACTGGGATTTGAAATGTAGGGTTTTTCAATTTTGACCCCACTCACTCTGGCCATCTTCACACTGGGATTTTCAGTTTTTTTATTTACAAAATGACACCCGTAATTTCACAAATTAACGAAACTACCACTGAAATTTATAGAGAACACATCGAATGAAAACTTCAAAATTGGGTCTTGATGTTATTATTGATTCAAATCTTTGTAATGTTTTGGTGTCTTCGTTTACAATCCGTTACAGCAAAATTCTCTCTTCACTCTTTTGTAGCTACTTGTTTCTGACGAAGCGCTCTCCAGCCAATGTCACGCCTAAAGAAACCTCCGGGCCAGTTGATCTGTTGGACCGCCCAGTACGCTCTTTCGCGGGCCTCTTCCAAGTCTTGACCCTTGGCCGTGACACCAAGAACACGTCCCCCACTCGCCACAACATTCCCTTCTGAATCAAGATCCGTCCCCGCATGGAAGACCTTCACTCCTGGAGCCACCGTTTCAGCTTCTTCCAGGTTTCTGATGATCGACCCTTTCGCATAAGCACCAGGATAACCTTTGCTTGCCATTACAATCACCATCGCTGAATCTTTTGACCAATCCAGCGTCACGCCGCTTAGCTCGCCTCTACAAGCCGCTAGCAAAACTTTAGCTAGGTCAGACTCAAGCCGCATCATTAGCACCTGTGTTAAACAAGAAGCTCTACTGTTTAGACTTTAGAACAACAGTCCCGGGACAAAAAAAGTTGGGTTTTTTTCTTTCTTACCTGACATTCTGGATCTCCAAACCGGACATTGTACTCAATCAGCTTAGGCAAACCGGATTTCTTCTCGATCATGAGACCCGCAAAGAGAACTCCGACAAACTTACATCCTTCTTCTGTCATTCCTTTGACAGTGGGATGGATTATAGTCTCCATCACCACATCCTGCAGCTCCTTGGTCAAGACCGGTGCAGGAGAATACGCTCCCATACCTCCCGTGTTAGGACCGGTATCTCCATCTCCAACCCGCTTGTGGTCCTGAGCAGATTCTAGAGGAATGGCGTTTTCTCCGTCCACAAGTGCGAAAAAGGAAGCTTCTTCTCCTTCCAGAAACTCCTCCACAATCACCTGACATCCTGCAGAACCAAACACACCTTTGACCAGCATGGAGTCAACAGCTTCATAAGCCTCCTCTAGTTCCATGGCAACTGTGACTCCTTTTCCAGCTGCTAACCCGTCTGCTTTAACCACGATTGGCACCCCTTGCTCTTTAATGTATTCTTTCGCAGCAGATGCATCGGAAAATGTTTTATACTGCATTTGATTGAATATGATTAGTGTTTGTAACCACGTCAAACGTTGGAATCCTTATGATAAGATCAAAGCAACGAAACTGCTATTCTTATTCCAATTAACCAAACCAGAAAAACCTTAAGCTAATGAGAGACTATCAACTCTCAGCCAAACCATTGAAAATCCACAACTGAAAACAATCTGCTGATACACTATTATAAACTCAGCCCTCACAACAGCTCTAAATTGTTACATTCAGTCCTAGGTAGACTACAGTAGACCTATAGCTAAGAGTTGACCAATTGCACTTCTTCAAAGCTTATAACTTTATCTGACGAGTATATGAAAAAAAAGTTCACTTTCCAATCAAAACAAGTTCTTCACTTCTATCCGAAGGAATTGTTCTTCATAATCATCTTAAGACCTTATAGATTCCTAACGCAACAAGGAGAGAAATTGATAATCACGAGGAATATGAGAATGAAAAAATAGAGAGAGTGACGCAAACCTTAGCAGTAGGGATATTGTACTTGTGGCAAAGATCCTTCATAAAGTTCTTGGAACCTTCAAGAGCAGCAGCTTGAGAAGAAGGGCCAAAGGTGAGGATGCCGGCCATAACCAGGTCATTGGCGAGACCAGCAACAAGAGGAACTTCAGGCCCAACAACCACTAAACCGACATTCCATTTTTGACAGAAAGAGATGACAGCTGAACTGTCTGATACGTCAAGGTCAGGGATGCAAGTAGCATCACCAGAACTCGAAATACCGGGGTTTCCAGGTGCGCATAACACAGAGTCACAGGACGGAGAACGTTTCAAGGCGTGACACAGGGCGTGTTCTCTCCCTCCTCCACCGATTACTAGAACAATCACTCTCTCATCTGCAGGAATTGAAACGAAATTGGTACAAACACAAACACTGGAGTTTAATTTCTCATAGCTTAATATGATTCTATCTCAAACCCATAGTAAGAGGATGGAGCATTAGCATTTTCAAAATTCAATCTTTCTACAATCACAGTCAACAACAGATATATAAATCCACTGAACATCATAACACTAAAGCGAGCAAAAGGGTATCGCCGGGTTTTACCAGAGCCGCCGTTACCGCCGAGAACAGCCGAAATAGACGGCTCGGATTCCGTTGAGACGCACCGGAGCCAAAACTGTCGCCTCTGGTGTCGGTTCGAAGTGAAACGAGAGCTAAGGGCGTGATTGGTGGTAGAGAATTTGAGAGGAGCAACAAAGGAAGAAGAATTAGAGGTGGCGAATCCGAGAGAGAGAAGAAAGGGTTTATGTGAGCTGTTGTTGTTGTTGCAGAAGAGATTGACAGAAGAAGATGAAGGATGGAAATTAGATGTACACAACGACATGTCGGAGAGTAGGAACCCAAGTTTACGAAAGAGAGGAGCAAGAGATAGAGACGGTAAAAGTTGCAGGCAGAGTTGAGAGTGTTGAGACTCAGACCAGCGTCGCACAAGGGTTTAAACAGTTTCTTCTTTTTGGGTTTACTTTTTCTCAGTCAATTAATCAAAGAATAAATAAAAAAAATACCATCTCGTTAACTTAAAAATCAAATTTGCAAGTTCGACAAATGATTAACGGGTAAACTCTGTAAGGATATCTAGTAAAATTGATATAGATCTCTATCAAAATTTGGTGAAAACAAATTGAAATGACAGGTACATATTTAAGGTTAACATATTCGAATAGAAATAAAATTATGAATTATCAGAAATTCATTCATAACGTTTACCAGTGAAAGACGATCATCCATTTCGCAACAGAAAGAGGGTTTATAAACTGGCCGTGAAACAAACAAGTGGTTTATAGAACCAGCAACCTCAAGTACTGTTTGTATTCATGCTTCCTCATTTCCAGATTATCAAACAAAAAGGAGAATATAACTCACACAAAAAGAAAAAAAAAAATCGCCAAGAGGGCGTATAAAACCATCTGGCTGCTCCAAGTTCCGATAGCAAGAGAGCTTATACAAAAGCCAAAAATAAACCGATAAGCGTCTTAGGCATTTAAAGCCATGAAGAGATTCTGCTTACGGGCATGCTCTGGGACAAGCCGATTCACGATTTCAGGAGGGATGCCAGATAGCTCTGCACAACACACACAAAAAAACCACTTCATGAAATTGAATTTTTAAAAGCTTAAGAAGCATCTAAGAGATTCTCATATGGTGAAGGAGAACAAAGCATTTATAAAAGAGAGCTCTTTCCTTTCCTAGAGGAGGCCACAATGTTCACCACACTTGTAAATTCACTTTTTAATCATCCCTCTTTTTTCAAAGAGCATCTTAGTAATGTAAAATGTGGTAAAGGTTTATATTTTATTAGCAATCAGGTGCAAAATACAACATACCAACAACTTGGTAGAGCATAGATGTTAGATCTCATAAGACGTCCAACAAGTAGTATGATTTACTAGCCTACAAGACGCTGTTCTTCATGGAAAGGTCCAACATAAACAAAAAACAAGGGAACGGTACCTTGCGGCTTGAAGTTGAAAAGCGGAGGAAGTGGTCGGCCACTGGGAAGACGAGTGTTTGGGTCCCTTAGCTCATCAAATAGCGGATGAATACAAGCTTCCAACTACAAAAAACAAATTTCATTTTTATTTAATGTGCTTATAACCTTAGATCATGAATTCAACATTGGAAAGTATATTACACAACAAAGTGCACAAAACCATGGATCACTTACAGCTGTGCATCTCAAATTAGGGGAATATTGGAAGAACCGACATAGAAGATCAACCGCTTCTGGTGGTAAACGTTTTTGGAAGACCTGATGATAAAGCACAAAAAGATCATTCAAGCAGTAATAACGATATCAGATAGCAAAGAATCTTAGCGAGTCAATGATTACTAAAGCCAAATTTTACTTTTTTACCATGGGAAAATAAAATGCCAGATAGTTTGGTTCAAATCACGAACTTGTGAAAGAGTACAAATTCCTGAAGACCATCTTCAACCACAATCATTTAGCCATTTTTTACAACTCTATGACAAAGGCAATGGATAACTTCTTCGACAATAGTAGGAGTTGAAATATTACTATTTCAGACGAATCATGTCACTTTCCATTACTCCTTTAAGACTACAAAGACATTCTTTTGTTTATTACTAACCTTGTGCCATGGATGAGGTTTTATCTGGGGAAATTTAAATTCTGTATAGTTTGGATTCATGCACTTGATTTCCTCCCTTGTTGGTGTACCTAAAACCTGCATGAAAAATAATAGCAGACGAAGTAGGAAAATAAGGTTTCCTAGAAAAGGTTGAGGTGCATTATCTACTTAAAATGTGGAGAATCTGGAGATAAACTTTCTAAGAATTAATGAAGGCTACCTTAATGATTTCAACGAGCTGATCGACTCCGCTTTCACCAGGAAACAGAGGCTGTGCGACAGTTTAGTAAGGAAGAAGTAAGAGAGGGAAGAAACAGAATGTATAGCACAAAAAAGCATATAGCTTAAACAATTGTTTTGCTTTAACCTGTCCAAGAAGCAATTCAGCCATCACACAACCAGTGGACCATATATCGATTGCAGTTGTGTACTCGCTGGCGCCAAAAATGAGTTCTGGAGCACGATAGTATCTAGAACAGATGTAAGAAACATTGGGTTCTCCTTTTACCTAAGAAGAATTAGATTTTGTTATATTCTACAGATAGATTCGTTAAAAACTGCGTCAATAGCACTTACCAACACTTTTGCGCTCCCGAAATCACAGATTTTTAGCTGATGCGTATGTGGGTTCACCTGCACAACAACATATCTTCAGTCAAATATAAATGCGGTTAATTTAAACCAAACCAGTTAGGTGCAGATAGTTGACCGTAGACATGTTACTTCAAAGAGTTAAAGAAACTGCCATCTATTATAAATTTCTTTTGAAACAGGGAGATACAAATGAGCTTACGAGCAGGTTTTGAGGCTTGATATCACGGTGACAAAGACCAAAGCAATTATGAATGTAAGCAAGCGCCCTGCAAATCTGTAACCATTAACAGAAACTTGTCAAAAATCTTTGGAGACTGCCCTTAAAATTAGCAGTCTGGGATGCAGTTACAAGTTCGTTACACTTTCAAACACATATCAAGGAAATAGTTACCTGATAGGTGTAGAGTTTAACGTATATCAAAGGCATCAGCTGGTTCATCCTGCTGTAACTTCTTGCAGCACGATTGACGGTCTCAGGCACAAACTCAAGGACAAGATTCAAATAAACCTCATCATTATCTGTTCTTGAGAAGAAGCTATGCTTTAAAGCAACGACATTGGGATGGTCTAGCATCTGCATAATTTGTAGCTCCCTGTTCTTGTAACGCTTGTCTTGTAAAACCTTCTTGATGGCAACAATCTCCCCAGTTTCCCTACATTTGGCCTACCAGAAGGAAACATAAATGCACCGTGTTTGAATTGACCCACAGATCAATAGCAAGGCATTAGGGATGTTAATTTAACTTACTTGGAAAACCATGCCAAAGGAACCAGTACCGACTACATGTTCTGATATGTAACTGACTGTCTGTCAATCGAGAAAAAAAGAAAACATCTATATGAGAAAGAGTTAGACAACAACGTTAACAATTCACGCACACGATTGTCCACAGCAACCAACCTGTCTTGATTGACCATTTCGTCCACGGACTGTGGTTCTAATCACATGGCCAGGTTCAGTACCAGCCGCATCAATAATATCTGGTTCACTATCCTGCAACATAACAAAAAAACCTCTCACACTGTAAGCTACTCCGTAAAAACGATAAGCTCATGGTAACGTACTCAAGCTAAAAACAGTAGAATAAACATGAAAAAAAGAGACGCAATGCAAGACTTACCCTCTCATCCTCGGTCTCCACCTTGTCCCTTATCCTCATGTCAACCAAATCTCTCGTCAACCAATCGACTGAACTAGAAGAGGTCTTTGCGCCTTTGGCAGATCTCGAACTGCCTACTCCGTTCCCCAGTCCAGAAGAAGCCATTATATTTATTCTGAAGATAGCAAGTTCTAGTTTTTGATGGCATCATAACCCTTAGTGATTTGGTGTCCCATCCCATCAAAGAACCGAATCTACCTGGTAGAATTTTCAAGGTCATTTGCGTTAACGTAAGTGTATTATATCTCAAAGGATCTCGATCATTTGGTAAACAATAAGCAATTGGATCAAATTGGTATGTACCTCACACTCTAGGTTCTAAAGTCTATTTCACTATGAGTCTATGAACAAAAAAGTAGGCATTGATGAGCTTTGAACTAGTGGCGATTCACTATCACTACCTAGGAAATAGGAGTAGAGATGAAACCCAGCCGAATTATTAGATCTACTCCAGACTAAAATTGATCAGTAATCGTCAAGGTTTTTATTGAAAAAAGTTTCTACAACGAAACAACGAGCAGCTCTGAAAATCAGCAAAACAGTTACTACACCCAGAAGAACCCTAATTCAACCCAAAATGAAGAAGTCGAAAAAGCACATTGAGCGAAACAATTCAAGATACTCGCAGCGAAATGATTAGGTAGAAGAGCGGATATGATGATCACCTCGAGGTGTTTTGAAGAAGGCCGGGAACCGAAGTCAAGCATTTGACGATTGTCGTCTTCTTCTTCTTCGATTGAAGAGCTTCACATGAAAAAGGAGTCAAAAGTGTTTTTTCCTGGTGATTGATCGGATGGAAAAAGCTAAACCTTGGAAGATATTTTTCTTGTATCTGCGTTAATTTTGTTCTCCACTCTTCTTCTTCTTCTCCCCCTCTGTTCGTCAATTTCTACCGTTTTGAATCAAACGAGATTGTGAAAGGACAGCTCATCATTATAAGCATGATACTGCATATATATTAGTATTTTTTATTTATAAATATGAACAGAATTGATTCAAACATGCATTCCCTTTATATTTATATACACATACTGTAATATATTCCTTTTTTTATATTTTTTGACATACGATAAAACAACAATATGTTAAATGAAAATTATGGTGAATTTACAACAGTGTTTTAGGGAAAGCCACTTTTAGTATTTGCTGGTTATTATATTCACTAGTAAAGTAGCCTTTGCTTGTCGATAGTTAGGTAAGAGTAAGACTGAACGCCACACTATTTTCTTTTCAACAGTGTCGAGGATGTGTTCATTTCTTTGTCACTCGTTTTATCATAATAAGTCAAAATGAACAAGTTTTGGAAAGCATACTCTCAAGTTTAGCCTGATAATATGTGAATAGATTGATATAATATTCCCGTTTTAGAAGATTTGATTGAATATTGATGAAATATATGAAAAGATATTGTTATTTTGAATTCTGAAAACTTTAAGCATAATGCTTTGTTTACTTATACTCTCTCTGCGCTCCGCGTGATCTTTATTTTTAGTAATAAAAAAATATTTAACCAAAAAGGGCTAATGGCTAATCCCATAAAGTCGTAAGTAGGTCCAAAGTACTGCCCAAATAGCCTACAGTAGGGAGTGGTGGTCTTGTAACCTATAAAGCCTAAAGTTGCTTCTTTATTTTTTTGCTTCAAAAAGAATTCATACTATAAGTTTACATTTAACAATGATTTTAGTGTTGACCAAGATAATACTAACAACAATAACAATGATTACAAGTGTGTTTGGATTTTGCTTGTAATGGGCCTGGCTGGCCCGATTAGTTATCACTTTCATTCTTCAACGCCAACGCAAACCCAATGCACATCCCAAGATGATCCTCAGTGGCTAAAATCTCAAAAGAAATGGGAAGTAGAAAACAACAAATCTCAGCTCATTTCTAGGCCAAAACCAACTCCACGACGACTAAACAAATTTTTACTCTTTTTTTCCCCGTAAGGAAAGAAATGTCATCGTCATCATCTTCCTCCCTTGTCTCTCTCAGTTTCTTGTTCCTTCTTCTTCTGGCTTCTTCTCTGAGCTTCTCGTCCTCATCTCCCGATGACATCTCCGAGCTGTTCGACGACTGGTGCCAGAGACATGGCAAAACGTACGGTTCGGAAGAAGAGAGGCAACACAGGATTCAAATCTTTAGAGATAATCACGACTTTGTTACCCATCACAATCGCATCGCTAACTCTACATATTCACTCTCCCTCAATGCCTTCGCGGATCTGACTCACCACGAGTTCAAGGCCTCTCGTCTTGGACTCTCTGCTCCGGCGCCGTCGCTGGTGGCTACAGGACATACTCCCGATGTTAGCAAGAAAGTTCGCGCGACGCTTCCAGATTCTGTTGATTGGAGGAAGAAAGGAGCTGTTACTAATGTCAAAGATCAAGGAAGCTGCGGTATTTGATTTAGATTTTGTTTCTCTAATGTGCTCCCTTTCATATATTAAGATTTCAGATTTGATCAGAGCTTTTGGTTCAGTGACTTAGGGGATAAATTCAAGATCAGGAACCTAGAATCGTAATCTTAAGTTGGAATTTAATTTAGAATCAGGGTGAAATTTCAAAACTTTAAAGTCAGGGAGATCTTTGAGGACTCTGGGAAATCTTCTGTGGTTATTTAATATGTAACAGGAAGAAACCAATGATGACATGCATAGTTTGTCACACTAATCTAATTTTGCATCTCTTCTACGCTTTTCACCTTTTGGGAGTATAACAGATTACTTTTCTTTTCATGTGTTATTATGGCAGAATTTGATAATATAAATCGAACTTTTTCATGTCGTGTAACTGAAACAGAATCCATGTACCTAACTATTAGGAAAGTCTAGAAGCAAATATCCTTGTTCCTTCTATGACATTTATAGCTTGAGAGAGTAAACTAAAATCAGAGTATAGCAATATAGATCACTCTTCTCAGATGTATCCATATTTGATTATTTTTATAGGAGCGTGTTGGTCGTTCTCGGCTACTGGAGCTATGGAGGGAATCAACCAGATTGTAACAGGAGATCTCATCAGCCTCTCTGAGCAGGAACTGATTGATTGTGACAAGTCCTACAATGATGGCTGCAATGGTGGTCTCATGGACTATGCTTTTGAGTTTGTCATTAAAAACCATGGAATAGACACGGAGAAAGACTATCCTTATCAACAACGCGATGGCACCTGTAAGAAGGATAAGGTATCGGATCAATCTCTCCTTGTTGGACTCTTTTCTTCTCTGTTTTTCCCTTTTTGCTGACCTTTACACGAGTCACTCCTGTTCTGCAGTTGAAAAGACGGGTTGTGACGATTGATAGCTACGCTGGTGTAACATCAAACAACGAGAAAGCGTTGCTGGAGGCTGTAGCGGCTCAGCCAGTTAGTGTCGGCATCTGTGGAAGCGAGAGAGCGTTTCAGCTATATTCTAGTGTAAGTTGCAAGATTTAGATATACACACCTACTCTGTTTTTCAGAATGTCCAACGTTGTTCTTGATTGAAAGATTTTACCTTTTCGATGCAGGGGATATTCTCTGGCCCGTGCTCTACATCACTGGATCACGCAGTGCTCATCGTAGGATATGGTTCGAAGAATGGTGTTGATTATTGGATAGTGAAGAACTCGTGGGGGAAAAGCTGGGGAATAGATGGGTTCATGCACATGCAGCGGAACACAGGGAACTCAGAAGGGGTGTGCGGAATCAATATGCTCGCTTCATATCCCGTCAAGACGCATCCAAACCCGCCTCCACCGTCACCTCCCGGCCCAACAAAATGCAACCTTTTCACGTATTGTTCGGCTGCAGAGACTTGTTGCTGTGCAAGAAACTTGTTTGGTTTGTGTTTCTCGTGGAAATGCTGCGAGCTAGAATCTGCTGTGTGTTGCAAGGATGGTCGTCATTGCTGTCCGCTTGATTACCCAGTTTGCGATACCACCAGAAGTCTCTGCCTTAAGGTACATTAGCTGCGGATTATCTACTGGCTTTTCTCCTGCTACGTTTTTGTTTTGACTGATGAAGCTTTTTTTTCTTTTTCCGTACAGAAAACTGGCAATTTCACAGCGATCAAGCCCTTCTGGAAGAAGAATTCTTCAAATAAACTTGGCAGATTCGAGGAATGGGTTATGTAAGAGAAGATTTACGCATATGTTACAGAAATTTCAAACTCTTCCACACCGAAGCCTCGTACATTCGATTTATCTGTAGCTGCGAGGGGGTTATTCGTAGCTGTTGTTGAGATATATATATACCATCACGGATGTATTTTTTTTAGTCTCTCATTTGGATGTATACAACTTTTGAATCAAATAAAAGACACTTTCAGGACAAACACAGTGTATTGTATCTGCAAGGCACATAAAAGTATTAAGAGTTTCATCTATACATATTGTAGATCAAAAGCAGAGACTAAGCTTCACTGTTGTTGTGCTCTCTTTTGTTCAGTTCCGCTATCTCCTTCTTCTTTGTTTTGTGCAGGGAATAGAAGTAAGAAGCTAGAGCCAAGACTGCTCCTAGCAAAGCACCTCTTCTCTGCCAACCATAGTCATCATCCATGAAATCAAAAGCCAGCACAACAAGCAGAGCCACAACCGGTGAAGCACACATATGAACAACATCAGCGAATAAACCAGACACCAAGAGCACGAGACCTAACAGCCCAACCGCCCAAACCTGCCAAGAGAGAGCCAGCCCGACCAAACTCAGAATGTAGTAAAGTTTCCCTTTCTTAAACCTCTCGCTATCGCCTTTCATCTCCTTAAACTCACCACTCGCAAATAAACCCACGAGACAAACGAGTGTGGCGATGAAAGAAACACAGATTTGCATCTCCAAGACCATCCGAAACACCTTCTTGTTAGCATACCTCTTTGTCTTCACAAGCACTTTTTCGAACCCGAGTTGCATTAGGCACAGGGACAAGGAGAAAGCAAGAGTAGGGAATATGAGGATCAACCAAGCCTTGATGCCATAAGTACCAGATTCATCTTCATCAGGAGTTCCGGAAAACGCAGGGCTTCCGAAGAAGTCGGTCGCAAGAGTGAAGACTATCGATATGATGATCCATCTGTTAAACTTGAGACGGTTTATGAAAGCTGAAAAGAGGGAGGTTAGTATCAATTGAGCTGATACCAAAATACCCCAACCTACGTATAATTTGGCCAGCGCATATAACTTGCTATAAACAGAAGCAAGAACACCAAGAGAAACGTATAGCAAGAGAACACGAAGAAAGGGAGGACGATTGTTGCTTTGATCAGAGACTGTTTCCGGGTTTGGTTTTGGTGAAGGAAATAGGAAGAAGAGTGGAATCAGGATCGGAAACGCAGCGTTTTGGACCAGAGCTTGCGTCCATGTTCCTCTGTACTGTCGGTCTTGATCACTCTCTGATCGATTGTCTTGGACGTAGAAGAAGTTTAAGAGAAGCATGACGAGAGAATCTCCGGCGAAAATCAAGAAGCCGCAGAAGAAAACAGAGATCCACCATTTGCGTCGATTGAGCTCAAGGGATCGATTCTCGCTGCCGCCTGGCTCCGGACCTTGAAACTCTTCCATGAGTCTCTTTTTCGTCGTCTTCTTCTTCTTGAAGTTTTGCAAATGCGCAAATATTAATCTTATAAACCCTGGAGGTTGGAACCCATTCCCATGATTGGTGGTTAACGTGCAGACACACATTTCAATCTGTAAAGAGAAAGAAGAGAGAAGTCTTGGTCACGAAATGGTCATGCTTTTGACTCAACGTTGCTTTGAATGGTTCTGTTCCCAATTCTTTTATCTGTAAGAATGGTTTGTTTAGTTTTTTATATTATCAAAGAGCATATTGGCGGCAAATGCTATAAGACAGCTATAAAGCTCCCCTCAAGAGGCGGTAAATGTAATAGAAGAAGGTAACTAATATTCGTCACTAGACGTGTATAGTTCTGAGGAAAATTTGTTTGATATCTCTCGATTGTACTCCATTGAGAATCATTCAAGTGATGTTTGACATTTACATTCAGTATTAGCATGATGTACTTATTCTTCATCTAAGAACCTTTTTTTCGTTCCATCTTTTTTTTTTTTTCAATTTGTTAGGGTTAGTGACTACTATGTCCCTTTGTATTTTTCTTTGCTATTATTAGAAGTAAAAACCGTCTTAAACCCGAAGTGAACCAAACCAATTACAAAAATCTTGGAGATAAAAAAAAAGAACACGTGTAGTGAAAAGGAGTAATCCGTGTGACCCGAAACAGTGGAACAGTAGCGTGTTATGGCTTCTTTAATAATTTGGCAAATAGATATGTGACCGGAGTGCATAGACAAAAGAAAATAACAGTCTGGAAAGGAAGAGGAACGCACAATTGCTCAAAGAAACAACGTATCATGCATGAACTTGTCAAAAGAGCTTTTGTTTTTCTTTTAGTTCATGTACATTCTCTTATAACCAGAGAGATGCTAAATTGATACTCAGACAAAATATCGAGATCAATATCAATACCACTAAAATATCTACGTGTTACCATTACCAAGTGGTTCCAAATATCAAGATATCAATATAATTTTACTGTTGAGGGGATCGCTCTCAGATTTGAATTGACAAGACAAATCTTCATCAAAGTTGAACCACTAATTCATTTACCAAACATATAAAATTTTGAAATTCTTTAAACCTATATATTTTTTTCTTTTCTGAACTACGTTTTTCAAATTTTCAAACATATTGATATGTATATCTTGATATTCGGAACCACCCATTTTGCAATAATCTACTTTGTATATGATGCATTTACTAAAATTATAAAACTAGTTTTAGCTACATTTAGACCACATCCACATCCATCTATGGCGTTCCTAAAATTTAAGACGGTTTCTACAAAAGTAATAATATAATATTGTATAAGATTCTTAAAATTAAGAAACTAACTTTCTAAAGTTTTGTAAATAAAATATTTTAAACTCTTTCTCTCCATTTTAAGAACCCTATAATTATTTATTAATAATTCTTCTACTAAGAATCTCATTTTAAGAACTCTATAATTACCCAGAGGTGCTTTTACACTTACAAATGATAGAATTTCTTTTTCTCAGGTATTATTTAAAAAGTTTGTCATTTCTGTGACCCACAACAACGGTAAAAATTGAGAGAATACTTCTTTTTAAAATAAAATACGCTTTCAGTTCTTAACCCTAAATTCTTAAATTGATCGTCTTTTCTTTCACATAAATTAAAATCTTTCTTTCGATTAAAATTATTTTTCTTCTTGCTTTTCTCGATTGAAATTGTTTCCTTGTTCTCTTTATTAAAATCGCTTTCTTTTCACTTTTCTTTTCGCTTTCTTTAGGAAATTGCTTTTCTCTCTTTCACAATGTGGACTGTAGAAGATGATCTTATCATTCGCATGAAAGATCCCATCTGGTTTTACAGTAATGTAGACCTATTGAGCATTGCCGTGGGAAAAAGGCACTCCAGCAAAGACCGGGAGATATCACAAGCTCAACAAAATTCAAGATGAAATCCTTCTGGCTATTGCTTCCCAAGAAGAAAACTTGGACACTCACGATGCTTTACAAGCCTCTTCTTCCAGCGGTATTGATTCACTTTTCTCTGGATGTTGCTACGATTTGCACTATTATTGTATATACTTGAAATTATATTTGCTTGCTCTTTCTCTCTAAAATTTTCAGGTACATCTAAACCACTTAAGATCTCGATTAGCTCGCCAGCAAATAATCAATTAGATTCAGTCAGAAAGATTTCAAGTACTCACATTAAGGCATTTTTTGTTTATTCCATGCAAGCATTTTTGTTCCATTTTTTCTCAATTTGTTATGGTTAGTGACTACTGCTATGTCCCTTTGTTTTTTTCTTTGCTATTATTAGATTTTCTTGCGTGGAATAAACAAAAATACTGGCGCGAATTCAAAGATTCTGTAGTTATTTTGACGTAACAATCTCTATTAAACAAATAGTATAAACATTCTATTCGAAAATGGGTAAAGAAATTATCACTAATTTATAGAGAAGATTAGAAGACTTTAGGGAGAAGAAGTTATCGTTAATTTATTTGTTGGAAGCAAAAGCAAAATCCCACCTTTTAAAAATCTTGACTCATTAGTCAACAACTTATTGAATGTCTAATATATCTCTATCCCTGTTGCTTCAATTCAAATAATCCACTTAGCTCCGCTGTCACATCGACTCTCCAATAGACGAAAAGGTCGGGGTTCGAATCTCACACATCTTTCTAATTCCGTTTTTTGCTCTATTATTAGGGAAGTGAAAACCGTCTTAAACCCGAAGTGACCAAACCAATTACAAAAATCTTGGAGATCAAAAGACATAACCATAAAACGAGAAGAAAGAACACGTGTCGTGAAAAGGAGTAATCCGTGTAATTAAAAACTCTGACCCTAGTGCTCTGCTTCCTCCCGAAGGAAATTAGAAAGCGCGAGAGAGATGGCGATGAAGACTGTTTGGATCATACTGCTGTGTTTGTTTGCTATTTCACAGGCGGATCAAGGTTTCGATGTTCGTCATCACTTGTCCACCGTCACCAGGTTCTTCCTCTCTCGCTCTTATGATAGACTCTCGAATCATTTCAGTCTGAATCAGGAACAACACTTCTCATCTGGGTCTGAATTTGTTCAACCTAATTTGTTGGATTAGTGTCGTTTCCTTCTTCACCGTTTTTGTCAAAAAAAAGGTTGCACATTGCGGGAATTTGCGTAACTTCTTCAGTGAGTTCCAATTTTTTTTTTTGGGGGAAATTTTTGATTTGGTGTGCAGGTACTCAGCTTCGAAAGATGTATCCCAAAATTTGATTGAACCGTCGAATGTCCCCAGTGAGTGTACACCTATCCACCTTAACCTTGTGGTAAGCATTATTTATTTGGGGAAAAAATGGGATGGATAAATCCAAATGTCGAAAGAGTGAAAGACTGAAAATTGTGGTTTTGAACATTGTTAGGCTAGGCATGGAACTCGTTCTCCGACCAAGAAACGGTTGCGGGAATTGGAGAATTTGGCTGGTAGGTTAAAGGAATTGGTAAGAGATGCAGAAGCTAGGAAGACGCCTTCAGACAAAATCCCCGGATGGTTAGGGAAATGGATATCTCCTTGGCAAGGAAAAGTGAAAGGCGGAGAGCTGATCAGGCAAGGCGAGGACGAGCTGTACCAACTTGGAGTCCGGGTTAGGGAACGGTTTCCTACGTTGTTTGAAGACGATTACCACCCTGATGTCTACACTATAAGAGCTACGCAGGTTGGTGTTTGCTTTTTGAGTTTTTTTTTTATAACTTTCTCCATTTTGTCCAAGCAAAGTTTCGTAATGTGAACACTAGGATTTGGTGGAGGACATTGATAAATTGTTTAAATCTCTTGGTAGATTCCTCGGGCATCTGCAAGTGCAGTGGCATTTGGAATGGGGTTATTCAGTGAGAAAGGAGAACTGGGACCAGGACGTAATAGAGCATTCGCTGTCACAAGTGAAAACCGTGCTAGTGATACCAAGCTGAGATTCTTTGAATGTTGTCAAAACTACAAGGTATAGTTTTGATTGACTCGATCTAAGCTATTTCTTTTATTGTATTGCTCATTCATGTATATTTGCTTCTGAGGTTTTGTGTTTCTTTACATGGTCTATGAATGCAGAGCTATAGAAAAGCTAAAGAGCCTGCTGTGGATAAGCTCAAGGAACCTGTTCTGAATAAGATTACAGCTTCCCTTGCAAAGAGACATGATTTAAGTTTCACGAAACAGGACATTTCTTCTCTGTGGTTTTTGTGCAAGCAGGTTCGTCTTTCTTGACTTTCGTTAGTAACTTCGTAAAGTTCATAAGCTCCTTTCCTGTGGGCTATCACACGTACCTGTCTGTGATGAATAGATTGAAATGCTAAAAGTTGTTTTGAAATTTGCAGGAAGCATCATTGCTTAATGTAACTAATCAAAGTTGTGAACTTTTCACGCCATCTGAGGTACAAGTTGCAAATTCTTTCTTAATGTGTTTTGGACTTTATAATACGTGCTTTAGATATCCTTAAGCTTAAGGATTTTATGCTATATGCCAGTTATGTGTAACACATAGTCAACTGTAGGTTGCTTTGCTCGAATGGGCAGATGACTTGGAAGTGTTTCTCCTCAAAGGTTATGGAAATTCCTTGAACTACAAAATGGGAGTTCCATTGCTAGAAGATGTTTTGCATTCGATGGAAGAAGCTATCAAGGCCCGAGAAGGTAATCTCAACGTGAAACCAGGAAACAAAAGCGAAGCATTTGCTAATCATCTTGATAACCAGATTTAATTACTTGTCCTATTTAATTATCATGCAGAAAAGCTCCCAACTGGAAGTTACGAAAAAGCAAGACTTAGGTTTGCCCATGCCGAAACAATAGTTCCCTTCTCTTGTCTTCTGGGTCTTTTCCTTCATGGACCTGGTTAGTCCATCAAATTTCCTTCATGCCCGCGGTTGCGTTTATTGTGAAACAGATAATTCCCCTTAGTGCTTGTTCAAAAAGAAGGTTTAAAATGTTTCAGAGTTCGAGAAAATACAGAAGGAGAAACCATTGGAACTCCCTCCCCAGCCTCCTAAAACCAGGGACTTTAAAGGCAGCACCATGGCTCCTTTTGCTGGGAACAACATGCTTGCCCTCTACAGTTGTCCTGCAGCTTCCTCGCCCAAGTACTTCGTGCAGGTTCTGCACAACGAGCATCCTATTCCACTTCCGGTAAGTTTTTTCATCTGATCAATAAACGCATACCCAACTTCAGCTCTATCGTAGTGGCCACATAGAACTTGAGACAAAGCTTCCTTGAGAAATGAATTGACTCATTGTTCCGTAACTCTCTTCTTCTGCTTCCTAACATCTCCTTACAAGTTTATCCGTTTCTGCCAACAGGGTTGTGATGGAAAAGATTTCTGTCCTCTTGAAGATTTCAAGGTATTTTGCATCAGTCCCTCTGAATTTTTTTTCCTACAAATATTTACATTTTCCCCGTTAAGCCTACAGATGCTGACTCTCTTCTGTCTTCTTTTGAAACAGACTAAAGTGGTGACCCCTCATCTGAAGCATGCTTTTGACAACCTCTGCAATGCAAATGCGAAACAGAAGCCTTCATCAAGTATGTTTTCTTTACTGTCGAGTTGGCTGTTTGGGTCGAGCCATCAAACCGAGCTCTAATTGCTTAACAACTTGTTCTTACATTCTGGCTGAGTAACGCTTTGAAACTTGAAATGATCACACAGAGCAATGTTGTCTGTTTTCTCTGTCCCCTAGCCACTGTTCTCTTTTTAGTGTGTTCAGTCTGAAATGGTTTTGAGAGGCATCACAAGCTCGGTTTTGATCTCTGAATCTACTTCCATACTTGCTGGTTGAAACTAAAAGCTCTAAATTGCATAAAAGTACCAATTGAGAAAAGAATGTGTGTATTTCTATCTGTATAAAATTAAATTATTGGTCTATATATAAGGTAAAAGACTGAAAACAAGTCCTATGATCTAGTGATATGACTAACGGTATCAGCACATTCGAGGCGAATATAATCGTACATGAGTCCTTGAAAAGGGCTCGTGGCAAGCGGTTGGGTCAGATATATAGAGTTATATCCTGGGTGAAGAGAAGCAGCAGGCACATTCACACTGTATAACCAATAGAGTCCATGTATACCATGTCTTGCAATTGTATTATCTTTCCCTATTTGCCCTGTCGTAAACAATGGAGGATCCACTGAAAAATCGTTCACCCGAACCTGCAAAAAGGATCAAGACCAAAGATCAAAATGATTGTTTTTTTTCACTTCTATAGAGAAAGAAGATTGCGTCTTTGCAGCTTTACACCGCACCTGCAATTCCGCGACATTTGATGTGGCTAGAGCGATTCGCAGTTTGAAATTTCTTCCGGTATAGTTTTTCATCTGATCGTCGAGTTGAAATCTGATCGTCCATGTAGTACCGTTATATCCTCCATCGGCTTGTTTCCTACAAACTCACCAAATGTTGCATACATTTAACAAAGTCCCTTTTATATTCGTAGAGCCGCTTTGAATTTAAAAAAAATAGAAGGAAAAACTAACCTTGTGACTTGCATGAAGAACCAATTTTTAGAGTAATCATCAACATCGACATTGTAAACCATATCTTTGTCCGGGTACAATTCGGAATACCGTTCCCATAACCCATATTGCCGGTATTTATAATCAGATTGGTTTAGGTATAGTTTGTTCACAAACGTTGAGTTCGGGTCAGGAATGTAGAACTCTGCAGCGGTTCGGTCTGGTACGCCGATTTCCCATAGAGTTACACCGTCTCTTGGAGGTTCATACACCAACTCGCCTAGGCTAATATTTGTCCCTGGTTCAGATGTTTTTACTCTTTGTTTAGCAAGATGTATATGGAACAGAGTCATAATTGTACGTGGTATTACAAATAATTCGAACCTGGAGAAATGTCGAAAACGGTGTCGTTGTGGTAATCGCCGATGAATCCCGGAGCAAAGGCATAGAGATTGTAACGACCACTTCTCACATTATTAATGGTAAAGTATCCCTTTTCGTCTGCTTTTGACCAGAACTGATAACCCTGTCAAAGTAATCATCGTTCACAAATCTTTATGATTTCCACTAATTAATTATTACTTGACAAGATGGATATGAGGGATTAAGAAATTACTTTGTATTCTGTTTGCCATGAGCCAGCATCTCCTGGCGCAGCCAAGCCCACGTAGGAACCATTTGCAGGTATATCCTCACTACTTATGTATCTGTTACAAAAACAACCATTTAGGAATGTTTCATGCGAAAACAAACCGAAGTTTTAGGGAAGAAGGAAGCAACTTAGTGTACCGGTCTCTAACGAGTAATCTACCGCTAACAAATCCTCTTTGCTCAGATGGAGGAAAATCACTTGAAGTGGTGAAGTTATAAGGCCACTTCTCTTCCTCAATCTTTGTCTGAAAAAAAGAAGCTAAATCAATTATTCAGCTCTTTTGTTCTTACATATGCGTATGCATATCTCTGTATATATAAAATGTGACAGACAGGACCTGGTTCTTGGCTTGATGCCAGAGCAAGAGAGGATCAACTCCTTGAGGAAAAGAGTTGAGATAAATAAAGACAGGTCCAAACACTTTCTTCCATGCTTCACCTTCTTCAAATTTCATGATTAGTTCTGCTCCTACATAGTGAGTGCTGTGAAATATCTGTTTCCATTTCACACACAGATCAATTTATCATCCATCTTCTATCCGAATTATGGAATCGATTAATGTCGAATCCTATGCTCACCGCGAGGTTGGTTGGACCGACATGAGAGCCTAGGAATTGCTTGAGAGGACCAGCAGATCGGAACTCGTTGCTTGGAGTGATTTGCCAGAACCCAACTGAGTCATTTGTGCTTATCCATCCATGAACTTTTATGTCTTTACTGTCCATTGAGTACGCATACTTGTCATCCACCTGTAGGTTTTGTCAAGATTAATACTCTGTTTCCTCTGCTTTCATTGCTCTGTTTCCTCTGCTTTTTATCGCTCTGTTTCCTCTGTTTTCTAGAAAAGAATGTAAGTTTACCTCTCCTTTAAGCTCGGGCTCGATAGGGTCGAGAAGTTGAACGGCCTCGGGATACGCAAGAGGTTTACCTCGTGGCGGAGTCCGATCATCTGGCAGAGGCATGTACCGTTGCCTGTCATCTGAAATCGCCATATAATGAAACCTATACAAATACCCCAGTAGATATAATATTAATGAAGCATCAATCTAATATAATAGACAAATATGTTACAGATGATTACTTGTCCTTGTTTAGCTTAAATGCTAATCGGATATTATCAAGTTCAACAGCAGGCCATCCTTTTAACCGCTCGAAGATGGCGTAAGTGTAGAAGCCAGACGAGTTTCGCAGCATTACAAACCTGAAAATCAACTCAAATCCCATTAATAATAGATTCCAACAAAGTAAAGCTTATATTTAGATGTATACAATTTTAACTACCGCTTGTCTATATTCACTGGAACAGCCATTGTTGAAGAAGCATTCCATGTTCTTGAAAACGATATCTCTATCTGTTCATCGTTCTGCGTTACCACTTCCATCTTTGTTGCTTCAATCCTGCAAATTAACCCAAGTAAGTCTCGCATTAGAGGGCTATTGGTGATATATATATATATATATATATATATATATATATATATATATATATAACTACAAACAGAGAATCATTTACCGGTCTAGTGTGCCTTTGGTCTTCTTAGTCTTTTTCCCTGGAAAGTTCCACACTACGTCCCAGTAACTGCAGAAAATCAGATCAATAAGATTTTTGTCTCAGGGAGTTCAAAAACTCAAATTAAGGGAATTTGCATAGATATAGACTTACCCTCTATCGTATTCATCTCCGGTGTAGGCAAGCACATTTTCGATACCATTGTACTGGATTCCAGTGACAAATCCCTCAGGACTGGACAACGTTAATTGGAAAATTCCATTGTCAATCACCACCTGTAATCACTCATATTGTTTAGGGTTTCTTAAACGCTCCACGTGACTTGCACATCAAGGAAGCTGGAAATTAAAAGCGAAACAGTTTTGTTTTTCTTTTCCAAAATGGCGTCTCTAATTGTCAACTAAAAGCTGATTAAGAATATTATTGATTCAGTAAACAAAAAAAAAAACGTGAATAGACTCTACGTACATGTCGTTCTTGGTAATGTAACTGCAAGACTTGTGTTGGTTCCGGATTAGGACTTTGATTTTGGGAGATTGCAATTTCAAACAAAGACAAGAACATGATCAAAGCAATAATCCATCCTCTATTATTTAATAAGTGTCTCCGGTAACCTATTTGTCACCAAACACGTAGGTTTTAATCATGTTTTGAAGACATATACGATAAATATATACATATATATGTAATGATGTTTCTTCTCTGAAGCGTACCTATGATCGTCACGAGCTGGAAAACATGTGAAGGGAACAGAAACATGATTAAATCAGCGGATTTGTCTTGGAGCTTTCTCGAAATTCTGTCCACACAGATAAATTAGACATGTGAAGTTGGAGAGACGAGGCAAGTAAGAATTAGAAGAAGAGTCGTTTGAATTAGGACAACTAAAAACCATTATATAGGTTTTCTTCCAATAGGAATCTATTACCCATACAAAAACTTTGAAGTAGGACAAGGACAAAAGACAAAAGACAAAAGTAAAACAAAGGGTACATGTGAACTAAAAAAGAAAGAGATAGGTAAGTTAAATGGTTTAGGCGAACATCAAAGACTTTTCTTCTGCTATAAACAAAGAATTTTGTTTCCTTGTTATAAAAAAAAAAGACTTCCTTTTTAGTTCCCTGTATGTTCTCATTAAAGAAATGGAAATAGAAATATTACAATCCCAATCCTAGAGCCAGGAACCAAACTAATATCACAAAAGAAACATCTCAGATAATATTATAGAAAAAAAGTGTCTTGTCCGGCTAGTTTACAGCAATATGAAATTATGCATTTTTCATAAATGATTCAAATTTGATTGAAGGTTTATTGATAATGTAGATTTTATTACACATTGCTGCTCACGTGTGTAACCACTCCTAATAACCCTTGTTGTCTTTTCTTTTCCTCAACAATATATTTAGCCTACGTACACCTAATCATAACATGACATCCAATTTACCTAAAAGTGGTTCGGCTTCTTGATGGTGACACCACTATTTAACTATTCATTGTATTTTTCAAAGTTTATATTGTTTGTAAAGTAGAACTGATAGGATTATATATTTCGGCAAAGATATATCAATAAGAACTCATCTATACTATAAAACATGCGATTAAAGACAGAATTTATATACTAATCTCATGATGAAAGAGCTCAGCTTGAGTACGTACCGTGTATGACGTGATGATGCACATATAAAAGCAAATATGCGTAAGAAAACATAAACGTTAGATGTGTATAAATGCACACGAACAGGAGAATGGAATAAACGGAATGCTAAGGCTTGAAGCAAAAAAATTGTTATGCGGCTAGGGGAAGCACACAGGGGAGGGACCCACATTACCCATTGAGATTACAGTTGCCACCACTCGATAAATTTTTTTTATCCCATATGATTAAGCCCAAAGAAAAAAAAAGTCTTATTAACAGGTTGTTGACCAAATGCTTTACCAAATGTTTTTCCAACAAATACCTTTCTTCACGGGTTCAATTTGTTTACTGTATGTTGTTTAACAGAAAAAAGTTTTTTTCAATGAGAAAATCAAATAGATGAATACAATTATACAACCAGCAAATCCTCCATCAACTACACAATCTCATTTCTTTCATTTTCGTAATTTTCTAATATCTATACCGAAAATGAACAATGCTGTCACTAACCTTTCAATTATTGGTTTGGAGTCTCGATCAGTGACAGGAAAAAAGGGAGAAAATCTGAAACATTTTATCTTTTCTCAAAAACTATCTGTGCAACTTATTGGAAAAATTAAAATCATAAACTAAAGTCAGATTGCGTTTTCCCTATTTGGAAATAAATATTTTTAGTTATTGACATTATCTAATATGAAAGAGGAATGTCAACATATTAAATGAAAATTATTTATTTATAAATAGGGAAAACGCAATCTGACTTTGGTTAATAATTTTAATTTTCCCAATAAGTTGCACAGATATTTTTAGAAAATATCAAAATGTTTTAGATTTTCTCCTCTTTTTTTTTTTTTCTTTCTATTGAAACAAAAAATTTTACATGAACCTAAAACATGTTAATTTAGCCACTTCCTCAAAATAAAACCAATATACTCTACGCATAACCAATAGTCTGTACATATCCAAATGATGTTTAGGATTATAGCGAGCAAGAATCGAAAGGCATGTGTAAACAAAGAATCGAATTAATCAACAAACTTTTACAATAAATTTGCTTATATGTTCTGAAAGAACAATGCGAGAAAAGAATGATTAGTTGGGAGCTTCGAACCGGATGTAATCGTACATGATCCCTTGGAAAGGACTTGTGCACCTTGGCTGCGTGAGAAACAAGGTATTGTCGCCTTCTATAAGCTTAGAGCCAGCCACTTGCACATTGAACAACCAGTACAATCCATGTATTCCATGTCTTGCTATCGAGTTATCTCTCCCGATCAATCCGCTCGTGAACAATGGACTTGCATTCGCATCGTTTACACGTATCTTCATCCCCCATATATTTTCGAGTCAATTACGTTAAATTGTCTTTCTTAATGTTCTAATATATATACAAAAATTGTCATGGATTGATGATAGATATACACGTACTTGGAGTTCGGAAAACGTAGCGGATGCAATGGCTACTCGTAAAGTATAACTGTTGTTTTTATCAACGTTTTTGAGTTCGAATATGATCTGCCATGTTGTTGCTTGATATGCTTTGCTGTCCTTTTTCCTATGAAGAGAAACAATATATGTATATAATGCGGTTAGAGAAGAGTTAATTTAATTCAAGAAATAGAATAGTAAGGCGAAGATGATGATCGGAACACCTAGTGACTTGAGCGTAAAACCAGTCTTTTCTATAGTCGCTAGAGCCAACTACATATACCAAGTCTTTATCGGGGTACAGCTCTGCGTATCTTTCCCATAATCCATACTGTCGAAACCTGCCAGAGATAATAAATCATCAAAATGTACCAACTTTAATCCATCCTTTATATGAATATACTTATAGAAAATTTGGACTTCCACGTCAACAAAACTTTCCTATATTTATACAATATCAATAGCATGTTTATAGGCATGGTCATATATTAGCAGTTTACCATTCAATCAAACAATTTAGTTTCTCTTTATATGATCTCTTTTATCTACAATGTAGTTTAGAGATCATTAAGCACTGATTATCTTATTAAAAATCAAGAAATGTAGTTGATTTTGATAAACTTAATACGTAAAGAAAACCTGTCAGGGTGATTTTGATAAAGTTTGTTGATATATTTAGGGTTTGGATCGGGAACATAAAACTCTGCGGCAGATCGATCTGGAAAGCCGATCTCCCACAACGTGGCTCCATTTCTTGGAGGCTGATAGACAAGATCTTCAACATAGATATAACACCCTGCAGTACATAAAATCAATTTCTAGGTTGGGTTTGATTGTAGAAAAAATATGTTTTGAGCAATTAATAGAAAGAAAAGTGAAATGAGGACCTGGGGTGATGGTGATAATATCATCGTATTTATAGTCGCCAATAAAACCAGGAACCCATGCATAGAGATTGTATTGGCCTGGCCTTATTCCACCTATGTAAAAGAACCCTTCTTCATCTGTTCTTGTCCAAAATTGATACTCCTGCAAGAATTAAATTGAAATGTTCATAGAAAAATGTTATTTTTGAATCTTATAAAACTCAAACAATTTCTTCTTTGTTCCATTCCTGTCTCGTAGGGTGGGGCCAATATAAGTGAAACACATAAATTTAAATTTTAAAAGCACCTTGCATTCTCTTTGCCATGAACCAGCAGCTCCAGGCAGAGCCAAGCCAACATAAGCTCTATTGGCTGCAATGAAATCTTTATCTACATGCCTTTAACAAACGTAAATATAATTTACATGTTTAGATTATTGGAAACATGCAGTCGTCATGTGAAGTGTACTTGAGTCTTGAACAAGAATTTAATATGTAAACGTAAAAGCAAACGCAAATGCAAGAAAAGACAATCGGGCTCTCTGTTGTAAGTTTACCTGTCTTGAACGAGAAGTCTGCCTACAACATTACCACGTTGCTCTGCTTTCACATAATCATCCGAAGCTGGGAAATTGTAAGGCCAGCTTTCTAGTTCCACATTCATCTGAGATATACAAATTTATCAAATTGGAAATGAAGAAATAATGTTATTCGATCTGTTCTTAATTATAACTTAATAACTATAAATAAAACAAGATATAAAGAAGAACCTGAGATTTAGCATCTTGCCAGAGCCAAAGAGGGTCATTATCATCATCAGTAGATGAGTTCAAATAGACAAAAACCGGTCCAAACACTTTCTTCCATGCCTCTCCTTCACCAAACTTTGGCACTAGATCTTCCCCTGTGTAGTGTGCACTCATAAACACCTGAAGAAACCGCGTTTAAGTATTTGTCAATGATTTTAGAGAAAAATGTAAAGAGTAGAGTTCAGGTGTTTATTCTTACAGCAAGAGAAGTGGGTCCAACGTGAGAAGTCAAGTTCTGTTTTTGAGGTCCACCGGTTCGGTACTCATGGCTAGGAGTTATGAGCCAGAAACCGACAGATGGTTGCTCCGTGCAGATCCATCCATGGACAGTAATGTCTTTGTTTTCACAAGAATATTGGTACTTATCATCGACCTAATACCCGAAGAAGAACCATTAATGTAAGTAGACAAGCTTACATCTTTTTACAAGAAATTCTTGAAAAGTAAGCAAAGTGAATAACTTTACCTCTCCTTTGAATTGAGGCTCTACAGGATTAACAAGTAGAACAGCTTCAGGGTAAGCCAGAGCTTGGCCTTTGTCCGGTAACCGGTCATCAGGCAATGGCATGAATCTCTGCCTATCGTCAGTTACTGCCATGTAATGAAACCTGAAATCTCCTCAGTTTCAGTTAGAAAATCAAAGATGTTTTGGAAGTGAAGGAATGATTTTTTTGTTTTGTTTTGTATTTGTTTACTTCTCTTTTCTGAGCTTGAAGGCAATTCGAGTTTCGGCAATTGAGAAAGCAGGCCATTCTTTTAAATGCTCGTAGATGGCATAAGTATAGAATCCACATGACCCACGAAGCATGACGAATCTGTTTCGACAATTTATTCAGGGTTTATAATCTTCTAAATGGAATATGAAATTTATGCCTCTAAATAAAAAGTAATGAAGAACCTTTTGTCAATGTTCAATGGGACAGCTTTGCCTTCTTGTGATGGATCCCATTTTCTTGTGAATGAAAGTTCAATCTGTTCTTCATTTTCCATTATTACCTCAAATTTTGTTCCTTTTATTCTGTTACCAAAAGAATATAGACATCAAACATTGGAACTTCATTGATTCACTCGGCTCCTATATATAAGATCCAGTTCTATCTTTAAAAATGCAATCTTTCTTCGGTTTTATGGGATCAAACAATAAAAATTTTGAGTAATCTTATTTTGGCCTTAAGCTCACATAAAAGACTTACACATCAAATGCACCAGTGGTTCCTGATCCGCTCCAGACGAGGTCCCAATACCTGAAGAACACATGTACTTCATAACCAAATGACAAATTTTTGGCGCGAAAGTTATGAAATTAACTAGAGAAACAGAGCATGTATGGAATAGCCGGACTTTGATTACTAACAGAAAATCTCAGAGACTAATCGCATTACCCTCTGTTGGCTTCTTCATTAAGAACCTCGAGCAAGTTATCGATGCCATTATACTCGATTCCTGTGACGATTCCATCAGGCTTTGATAATGTAACCCGTGCAATGCCATTGTCCATCACCACCTGAGCCATTAATACAGAAAGTATCAGTCTTTTTTAGCATATGCAGCTAAATGAACATAGAGAAGAAGATCATGCGAAGAGTTTTTAAGTAAACCAACATGATTGCCCTTATCTCGCAGCTGCAATTTAGCAGACGACATGTGATGAAATGTCTGTCTTCTGGTGTTTTGGTCTTAAGCTAAAAGTAAATGTACATGTTTTTTTATACGTACATGTGTGTGTATCAATATAAATAGATCCGATTTGGAGAACTAAAGTTGCCGTGAACGGGAGGTAAAGCAGAGGGTACAGTGGAGAGATATCTCTTGACTTTGTCGTCAAAACAGTTTGGTTAGTTTGACGAAATGCTTAAGAGAGCCGCAATGATCAACAATGTTGACATTCGTGTGTCTCAACGCTTTCACTTACGTCTCTTCTAAACATTTCTGTTTATCATTATTTTATGTAAACCAATAAATTTTGTGATTCAGACATTCAACAATGAATTACGTGTTTAGTAAGTTAGTAGTATATAGTTAGGGTATTTTTTCCTTATATTCCTTAATGGACCCTTAAGTTCAACCTGCACTTAACCGTTACATTGACTAATTTCTTCCAGCCTCGAGAGTTAATAAAGCCCAAACATAAATCTGATGAGGCCCAAGTTTACAAAAGTCCTAAAATGGTTGTGAGGCCCAAATTCACAAAAGTCCAAAATAAGAAAACACTGCCATATCCTCTCACTCACTGCTTCAAACCGCCTCCTATGTTCTTCTTCCCCTTTCCCTCACTCTCTAAGATTTCTTATTCGGTGTCACAGAAACCGTAGTGAAGAGAGGATTAAGTTAGCTTTGTCTCTCTGTGTAGGTTTCCGTACTTCGTAGGAAATATTTTATTGTTATCTCTATGGATTTGATGGTGTCTACAAGCAGTGGACAAGAGGGGTTCTGCCTGATTCAACGATTCCATCGCGACTGTAAACGAAGTTATAAGCTTGACGTCTTAGGCCGCACGAGTAGCAATGTTCGGTCGAAATTCCTTCTTGCGCCACGGAAAAGGAATCGACTTGTTCTTGTTTCCGCGGCTTTCAAGGTGGAGAGTTCCGGTCTCAATGGCAGAGCTCAGAAGTTCGAACATTCGGCTTCCGGGCACAGCACTACTGACGGTAATGGTCATTACAGCTCTGCGAACTCGTCTTTTGCGTTGGAAGATGCCGAGAGCAATAACCACTTGCGGCAGCTGGTTAGAGCCGGAGAATTGGAGGAAGGGTTTAAGTTTCTAGAGAACATGGTTTATCACGGCAATGTCCCCGATATCATCCCCTGCACGACGCTGATACGCGGATTCTGCAGGCTGGGCAAAACGAGGAAAGCAGCAAAGATCTTGGAGATTCTTGAAGGCTCTGGTGCTGTTCCTGATGTTATCACCTACAACGTCATGATCAGTGGCTACTGCAAAGCCGGGGAGATCAACAACGCTTTATCGGTTCTCGATAGAATGAGCGTTTCTCCGGATGTCGTCACTTACAACACGATCCTGCGTTCTCTTTGCGACAGCGGGAAACTTAAGCAAGCCATGGAGGTTCTTGATAGGCAGCTCCGGAGAGACTGTTATCCCGATGTGATTACTTACACTATATTGATCGAAGCTACTTGCAAAGAGAGCGGTGTCGGACAGGCGATGGAGCTTCTTGATGAAATGAGGGATAAAGGATGTACCCCCGATGTTGTCACTTACAACGTTCTCGTCAACGGGATTTGTAAAGAAGGGAGATTGGATGAAGCGATCAAGTTCTTGAACGACATGCCGTCTTATGGATGCGAGCCGAATGTTATCACGCATAACATAATCCTCCGGAGTATGTGTAGTACAGGGAGATGGATGGACGCGGAGAAGCTTCTCGCTGAGATGCTTCGTAAAGGCTTCTCGCCGAGTGTTGTCACTTTCAACATCTTGATTAATTTCTTGTGCAGGAAGGGTTTGCTTGGCCGAGCGATTGACATCTTGGAGAAGATGCCTAAACATGGATGCCAGCCGAATTCTTTGAGCTACAACCCGCTGCTTCACGGGTTCTGCAAGGAGAAGAAGATGGACAGGGCTATCGAGTATTTGGAGAGGATGGTCTCTCGTGGTTGTTACCCGGACATTGTGACCTACAACACTATGCTTACGGCTTTGTGCAAAGACGGGAAAGTTGAGGATGCCGTTGAGATACTTAATCAGCTTAGCAGCAAAGGGTGTTCCCCTGTTCTGATCACTTACAACACCGTCATTGACGGGCTTGCGAAAGCAGGGAAGACAGGGAAAGCGATAAAACTGCTGGACGAGATGCGTGCAAAAGATCTAAAGCCTGACACAATCACGTATTCCTCTCTGGTTGGAGGTTTGAGCAGGGAAGGGAAAGTAGACGAGGCCATCAAGTTTTTCCATGAGTTTGAGCGGATGGGGGTTAGGCCGAACGCAGTCACTTTCAACTCAATAATGCTGGGACTCTGCAAGACTCGGCAAACAGACCGTGCCATCGATTTCTTGGTTTATATGATCAACAGAGGGTGTAAACCGACTGAGACATCGTACACGATTCTGATAGAAGGCATAGCTTATGAAGGTATGGCAAAGGAAGCTCTGGAGCTGCTCAATGAGCTTTGTAACAAGGGACTCATGAAGAGAAGCTCAGCAGAGCAGGTTGCAGGAAAATGTAGCAGTAAGTAGTTCACTCACTAGTCAGTCCCCCTTATGTTGATTGGTGCTACGAGAACAATTCAGTGGTTCCTTTCTATGTATTGATTGTGTCTTAGGTTCAGTTTTGGTTTTGTCAGAATTTTGGGTTTTGCATATCAATATCATTCATGTCTTTTGGTTTATATTCAATAAAATTTCAAATTGCATATATAAATTTACATGGTAAGTTAAGAAGGAGGGCCTTCAAGACGAATGTAGTCATACATAATCCCTTGAAAGGGACCATTGCATCTTGGCTGTTTGAGGAATATAGTGTTATCACCTTGCACAAGCCGGTTTCCCGGAATATTCACCGCATAGAGTATGTGAACCCCGTGGATCCCGTGTCTTGCTATTGAGTTGTCTCTCCCAATGAGTCCGGTAGTGAAGAGAGGGCGGATTGCTTCCGGATCATTGACTCGAACCTGCAAACAGAAAGTGCCAACAGAACTTTTACAGTCTTAAACAACTTCTTCATTTCTGTAGAAGTATATGACAGCTTCATTCTTACCTGCAACTCCGCTAAGGTTGCAGATGCTATGGCAACTCGCAGTTTGTAATTCGCCTTTTGATCAATGTTTTCGAGTTTAAACCTAATCTGCCAAGTTGTTCCTTCATGCACATCTCCTTTCTTCCTAGGAACTTGAGCAAAGAACCAGTCTCTGCGATAGTCGCTTACACCGATAGTGTAAACAAGGTCACCATATGGATACAGATCTGTGTATCTCTGCCACAACCCATATTGCCTGAACCTGCACATATTGAAGCAAAGCGGTGTTTAGTTTGGGTAATAGGCACATTGAAGCAGCAAGGTTCATAAAAGTGTAGCTCACAAACCTATCTTGGGGATGGACTAAAGCTCTGTTAACAAGCGTGGGATCAGGATCGGGGATAAAGAACTCGGACGCTTTTCGATCAGGGATACCGATTTCCCATAACGTAGGTCCATCTCTTGGAGGTTCATAGACAATATCACCCATCTCAATCTTGCACCCTGTGTTATTATGTACATCAAGAATTGGCTGATATATATAGGAAATTTTATAAATTTCATGAGAACTAATTTACCTGTAGTCACAGAAACAATAGTGTCGTTACGATAATCTCCAATGAAACCAGGGACCCAAGCGTAGAGGTTGTAGTCACCAGGACGCACGTTCTCTATTGAGAAGTAGCCAGCCTCATCCGCTGTCGCCCAAAATTGGTATCCCTGATAAGACATTAACAGTTGAAGAATCCAAAAGAATATCAAACCGATATTGTCTTTCCGCATGTTGCAAATAATTGAGAATGGAGAAGGAAGAAAATCACCTTGCATTCTATTTGCCAAGAACCAGCATCACCAGGTGGAGCCAAACCCACATAAGCACCTTGTGCTGAAATCAAATCATTACTTACGAACCTGTACCAAAAACCATTTGTGGCGGTTAAGTGGAATGTTAAGACAATTAAAAAAAAAGCAATGCAGGAAAAACAAGATGAGAATGTAAAGCAACCCTGATACCTGTCGCGGATAAGTAATCTACCACGGGCCTTGCCGCGTTCTTCAGACTTTGGATAGTCCTCAGATGCCACAAAGCTATAAGGCCAGCTTTCAACCTCACCCATCATCTACAGATTTAAGCCACTTGAGTGAACCCTTCTCTTTGTTACCACACATCTATCTTCGTATTCAACAACGCTTGGAAATTCAGTAGAAAGTTGTTTCATTTGTACCTTAATCTTAGCATCATCCCATAACCAGAGTGACTCATCTCTGTTGGTTGTGGAGTTTAGGTAAATGAAAACAGGGCCAAAGACTTTCTTCCACGGCTCACCACATTCAAAGCGAGGCATCATGGTTTTTCCCGCATAATGTGTACTGTGAAATACCTGATATATCCATAATGAAATCCATGATCAAGACTGGGCTAACTCTGACTACAATCACCACATTATTCACAGGAACACTTACTGCAAGGGTGGTTGGGCCAACATGTGAGGTGAGGTTTTGTTTGAGTGGTCCGCCTGATCGGAACTCATTACTGGGCGTGATTTGCCAGAATCCTACAGGTGGATCGAAAGATATCCATCCATGTACTCTCAGATCCTTATTCTCACACGAGTATTGGTATTTATCATCTACCTGTCATAAGAAGAAGAAAAAAAAATGATTTTAGCTATCTGTGAATCAATATTCTTACTCGATTCATATTATAAATTTTTAATGCCACAAAGCGAGCATAAGTTCATAATGTACGGATTCATGTAACTCATACTTCGCCTTGTAAGTGTGGATCGCACGGAGCAGTGAGCAGGGAAGCTTCCTGGTAATCAAGAGTTTGGCATCTTCCTTTGCATAGATCATCTGGAAAAGGCATTATCCTTTTTCTGTCATCTGCCATAGCCATGTAATGGAATCTGTAATCAAAGGAATCACCAAGGAGGATATATATGAGATATCAAACAGATATATTCTTATGTTGACAAACGATTAAACCTAATAGCTAAATATCTGACAAATGACACTATCCTTCACATGGGCGAGCAATCACTAGCATTTGAGGTTTTCTTCTCAGTGAACAAACATGGATCTTCCATAAGAAAGATAAATTGGCGTAGAAAATGGGGAAAAATATTACTTGTCTTTTCTGAGCTTGAACGCTATTCTTGTCTCCCCGAGTTCAAACCCAGGCCACTCCTTAAGGTGTTCATAAATTCCGTAAGAGTAAACTCCAGAAGAGCCACGAAGCATTATAAACCTGAAAGAAGAGCATCATTCCAATGTCTCTTCTCTAAGTTCGTTTCGCTGTCAAAGGATATACATAATTCAAGATGACCTTTTATCGATATTCAGGGGAATGTACTTTCCCTCAAGGGATGGATCCCATGTTCTTACAAATGAGATCTCAACCTGTTCTTCAGTTTCGACTATGACTCTGAAAGTCACTCCACTGATGCTGCATTAATACAATCCACCAATTAATACACATTATATAACATTCGTTAGGCAGAGAAAAACACGTTTTAAAGCATGCATCAACTCAATCAAAACCAAAGATTTCCACAAACAGCATGTTGAAATCATAGGATAAGGTTCCTGAGCTTCTAATACTAAATTTTTATTAAGGTAAATATGCAAAGAAGGCATACACATCAAATATTCCCTTGCCTCCAGGCTCATTCCAGTGCAGGTCCCAGTACCCTCTGTTAGTCTCCTTGTTACGAACTTCAAGCACATTGTCAATACCGTCATACTGTATTCCGGTGATGATACCACCTGGTTTTGACAGTGTTACTTGGAGTATCCCATTGTCCATCACAACCTGCAACATTTCCTTCTTCAGTAAAACCACCTTCAGTAAAATATTTATAGACTTGAGGAAGTTGAATTACATATCGGTCCTGGATATGCAACCGGACACCTTGTGGAGGCATCCTGCGATCGTTTCTATGCCTAAGACCACTTGTACCTTGATCTGTCCTTCCCGAGCCTGAATTTTTGTGTAAGAAAGAAAAAAAATCAACACTAGATAGAACCAGTGAATGTGTAAAATAAGATTTTTGAAGGTGCCACAGATATAGGATCCGCGGAACTGGTCTTTAGAACAAGCTGCAAAGTCGTTTATATCCGATAATCAAGCAAAATGGTAATACTTTATATCCTTATCAATAAATTGCAACTCTATGATCGTTTAAAGTCACTGCCTTTCTGGATTTATAAAGAGACCCACTACGGGAAAACCCACTTTGATGAAAGAAAAGAAAAAAAAAACAGTTGGAATGTCATAAGAAACAAAAGTAAAGGGTCAAAACAAGGAAATAGAACTTGATTCCTCATCTGGGCTAAAAAAATACTAACTTTGCCGACACAATTTCGTAGAACAAGGTTAAAACCGTTATTTTGTGAGCGAGTTTAAAGCAGAGGATGAAGAAACCATTAGAACTTAGAAGAGGTTGGACAATACTGTGGTGGGCGGCGCTTAAAGCGGTTTCATGGTTCGTGAAACGATGCAAGAGCCGATCAGCCAGTTTCTTCATCAATGCTTGACGCAACCGATCACACGCACGTGTACAGAGAGAGAGAGAGAGACTGTTAGCTTTTGATCAAAGCGATTGTGTGCCTTACTTAATGCGCCACTGCGTTTGTCTTCTCGCTCTGTCTGCGCGTATCGTCTTAACTCTCTCAATCTCATCAACAAAATCAAATTCGATTAAAAGTTTCGGTTCAATTTTTTCAGACCGGTTCTGAACCGAAATTCAGAGAAACCAAACCAAACACTCACATTGTAGAATTCCTTATGTTCATGTTTGTTCAGAAACTACGTCCTCTTCATTTGCAACAACAAAGCAAAAATTCTGAAATCTCTTTTTATTGAAAACAAATAGTATAAAAAGAAACTCTCAAGGATTAAACAATCTTTTGGGTGGGGACAAATCTCTGTCTCGGTAAGCATTAAAATGTATAAACCCTCGCTTAGGACTCTTGTCTGAAGGATTTAGAGCGAATTTACAGAATTACACACGAGCCATCATGTCTCTACTTAGCTCCCCTCTGGAAGAACAAGGATCCTATTAAGACAGCTATTCCCGTTATCGCGATAGTGAAGAAAAGCCTTTTGTGCGAAGCACCGTTCCCATCTCTTCGCCTCCTTCCGTTTCCATCTCCTTCTGCTGCTCTCGGGATCCTTCTACACATTATAATCCATGCCACGACACGAGTTTAGCCACACCAAAAAAAAAAAGATTTAAGTCTTTGAATCAGAGTTTCAAAAAATAAAACTATGCACTTACCTGGATGATTCAACATTGTTGAGCACAGAACCAGGGCATTTGGTTTCATGGTTATATGTTTCTCTCAACCTAACATAGCTGTTGCATTGATAACAGAGTTCGGTCCGGTTGCCACATACCTCCTGATTTTCAGAAACCCCTAGCGAATCAGAAAATCATTCCATTCAAGAGAAAAGGTGGTCTCTGGAGAAAGTTAAAAGCGGATACCTGATGCTCAGCAAGATCAACTGCAGGCAGTGGAAACTCACAGAACTCACACGTTACAATCCTCTTGGGGCAAACCTCTCCTTTATGACTATCAAAAACCTCACGCTCTATGGTCTCTTTGCACATCGAGCATGGTACCTTCTCAGAGCAGTACAAGATGATCGTCAATAAGAGAAAGCAGGGCATTTTGATCAACATATATTTAGACGTCAGATCAAACAAAGTATAGAATTTTCATGGAGCTAACAAAGAGAAGTTGCTCAAATGTGGAAATCAATCAAAACACAAGTAGAAAAATGAGCGTACCGGAGCATGTGTGTTCAAGTAGTGTTCCTCAGCATGCTTCTTCGGCACCATATCACCACAAATCTTACATTTTTCCAAATTCCGGGCACAATGTACACGATGCAGGTCGATGTTTGGTGATGGAATATCTCTGTCGCTGAAAACATTAGGATTGTCAGTACGCTAAGCTTAATACGGTACTTTCAAGGGATCAACCCATCCAAGTAAACAAGACTTAGATAGTATCAGAGAAAATAATTAAAGTAAAGGGAGAGAAAAGTTCTGGCAAAGATGATGATTGTTTCTCAACTTTTTGTATTTCTTTATAAAAAGACTGAATGATAAATCTGTAAACACCAACCAGATCAGAGAAATTGATACAGTAGACCAGGAATTCTAACAAAACATCAAATGTAGATTTATCATGAACGATTATAAGGGAAAGTGGCCATATCAAAATCAACTCTTTTGCAAAATGGTCTGTATATCATATGATTGCCTAATCCATCGGAATCCCTAATCATATTTATAAATCACCGACAACAGACCTAAGCTAATTCTACACGTGCATCTAGAGATTTCGGAACCAAACTGAATCACACAGCTCATAAGTGTCTTCAATCCGACACAGATGCTCTCACTTGCAATCACCGACCAAATCCAAATTTTCGAGTTCAGAAATTTCCTTTTGGTTCGAAACGAATTATAGAAGTCATCATCGAGCGAAAACAAAGAGGAAGCACACGATCGCCTAAAGCTCTGATCAAATTAAAACTCTGATAAAGATAGCAATTGTAAACATACCAGTGGTTGCATACGATGGTGATTTCTCCAGTCTCAGAGGCCATCGTCAATCAACAAACTAAGCACTTTCACAAAAAGAAAGAAATAACAGATCAGATGCGAAGGAGGACGATCAGAGACCTTGACGAGCGAAATTTGCGATTTACAAGCACGGATCTTTAACCTCGTTTTCTCGGATTTTGAGATATAAGAGAGAGAGAGAGAGAGAGAGAGAGAAGACCAATTTAATTCAATTATTTTATATATTTATGAATATGGTTGAACCAAACTTTTAGATTAATAATTTAACAAATGACTATTGGCGTCAATCCAAATTGATAACCACGACACCCATAACGCCTTCGTGCCACGCTCCCCTACACTCATTGTAGAACACGCGCCACATTGCAATTAAGTTTTTATTAAAAAATCTCATTCACATATGTATTTTTTATTTTAAAAGTTTTTAATAAATTTTTGAGATTTTTGTCATCACAATATAATGAGATAAATAGATTAACCTTGAACAAATCATTACTCCCTCTAATTACAAATTAGAATCCGTTTTAGTTAATCCGTAAGATATTTTCAAATTAGGAAAATATGCAGATTTTATAAATCTAAAAAACAAATCCAACAAATATCTCTAAAAACCACTGTAAGAAAAAAAACAAAAAAATCATCTAAACTCTAAAAAACAGGACAACCTTCAACTTGAATCCCAGGAGCAGTAGGACAAGAAGCAAGAGGACAATTCTCACCATTAGCACCCCACCAATGATCAATGGACTTACCATTCATGGTCAAACAAAAGTATATAAGCACTCCCATGAAGGCCAAACCGGCGTCTAAAGCTGCCGAGAGCACGTAATTATACCTCTGCCACCACATCTTGTAGTACTTGAACACAAAGTAATTGAACACCACACCAACAATGATCCAGGAGTTGAAATTCACGCTCGTCGCGGGAGGCATCGCAGCTGTTGCGCCTAGAAGAACAGGGAGGTTGATCTGTGAGATCCATGTTTTTGTCGGGAAGGCTCTTTGGAGAAGCCATACGAGGACTGGACCTATCAGTCCACCTAGGAAGAACCAGTTTAGTGCAGGGTAGTTTCCTAGCCGACCAAAGATTCTCGTCGGCCCTACTAATCCCCAAATCACTGATGCGTCGAAGAAGACTTTGTCACTCGGGCATGTCCATGGACTGTTTGGAGGAAGCAACTCTTTCTGGCAGATGTTTTCTACTGATGTAAGCAAGTACCATGCTACTGATATATTCACCGTTCCTGCAATCAATGTTCCTATGAACTGGACTAAGAACATCGATCTTGGCGGTATCTTCATGTAATGTCCTAGCTTGAAGTCGTTGAGGAATGAAATAGCTTGTGACATACTTATGTAACCATAAGTTTTGAAGCAGACGTTCGCTATTGGTCTCCCCGGTAACAACACACCCATGAGATATTCCGTGATGATGTTTAGACCTGGAGTCTGTCACAACAAGAGTAGTTTCGAAAGTAAGAAAGATTTAAAATCATGTTTTGAGGATCAATATAAGTTGTGGTCTACCTGATTAGTTGTAGCTGTAATAATGCTGACAGGCACAGTGAAGATTAAGGCCATGAATGAGGCTAGAAGGAGTCCCCACCAAGGCATTTGGATCTGCTCTTTCATGAAAATGCAGAGAACAAGAGATAGTGCCAATGAGATACCGAGCAGACCGTAAAACCACCAACTTGGTATGTCCTTGTACTTCCTCATCAACCTTGTGTGTATGTCCACCTTGGCCGAGGTTGAAGCTCGTACTTGTTGCCAAATTTCCCTAATAGCAAAGCAAAACAAGATTAGAGTAATTAATATCCACAAGTTTTAGTCCACAAGTTCATAATTTATTGACTGTTAGTCTACTCACTTTCCATTGAAGAGAGCAACATGAGTCAGCGTGGAAACGATTGCTGCGAAACCAATCCCGTAAGTGATAGCAAAGAATGTACTGAGATAAACCCGACCTTCTCGATGGTACATCCCTTCGTCCAGCTCAAACTTATCGTTGACAATGGTGGAGATATTGTAAAGCTGCCCTCGTGAGTCAAACAGATCAGAGGAGAAAATCGGGAACTTGTTTGCTTCATACAGATTCATGCCCCAATACGTTACTGGGATCACCATATACATGACGAGAACGTAGCCAACGAGGACATTGACGATTGCAAAAAAGGGAGTCACGAGAGGGCTTCCAAGGTAAGAAGCTATGACAGACCAATCAAGCGCGAATGCACCAATCCCAAGTCCTGACATCCCAGAGCCTAACTGCTGAGCAGTGATAGACTTGGGAAATGCCCAGCAAACCCAAGAAATTGATGATAAGGTCAGGAACAAGTATGCCGGGAAGACGTACCACGCGAAGCTACAGATAAACGCAATCACAAAGAACTTTCCTTTCGACATCCTCGCGTTGTCCTTCTCATGAAGAGCACTAGATCAAGATTATAAAAAAAAAACACAGTCTTTAGCACCAACTCAAGCCTAAATTGGAAACTTTAGTCAAAGAAACCATACATCAAACAAGTGGTATGCAATAAATCAACCATACCGAAACAGAGAGACCTGAAGAACACTCGTTGGCCACCACATCTGTGCAGGATCCACCACTAGCTTTCTCATGATACCAGCCCAACCATACCCGAGAATCTGATGCACCAAACGATAACCATATCAGCTAATTAATCACTCAGAAATTTTATCTTTTAAAAATGGAATTGGGAAAGAGACCTGTGTGGTGATGACGAGGATCCAACTAGCCAAGAAGCTAATCTTCCTCTTGTAAAAAGCCATGATGATATCAACGATTCCAACAGCATAAGCAGTGCCAGATCCGAATCCAGCACCAGCGTTGGCAAACATGGAGATCAACACGTGTTCCTTGACGTTAAACGGACCCGGGTTAAACGAGAACTCCCACGACCCGATCCGATACTTGGTCTCGGGTAAAATCCGAGCCATAAGCTTTCCGAGAGGCAACGTGACCACTTGAACGGAGATCATGGTGACCATCAGAGGCTGAGTCCTGTAACCGAAGAAAGTGTTGAGGAACGAGAGCAGAACGCAGGAGAGGAGCCCTAGAAACCACATACGAAACGTCCACACTGGCAAAGAAGGATCATCGTGGTTCGAAACAGTGAGACGAACCTCCTCCACCGGAGATTCGTCTTCGTCGTCGATATCCGGCTTGTGTAACTCAAGCGCAGCCATTGCAATTTGTGGCGGGCTTTGGCTAAAATTAGGGTTATGTAAGGTGAAGGAGTCGATCGGAGAATCTTGGGGTGAATCTTCATGAATCTGTGTAATTTAAATCAAAAATATTCGGAGATTTGAGATTTTTGATTTGTGATTAAAAAAATAAGTAAAGGGATAAAATTAAAGAATCGAAAATCAGACAAGTTTGTTGCAAACAACCCACGCGTAACTACTCGTCGCCTCCTAAAGCGCGGGAAATAATCCTACTATTGCTACTACTGTATTGTTTAAAAGGGCTTTTTAATTAAGCTGAAGAAAAAAACTATTTTCAGTAAGAACAAAAAGATCCTTTGCTGACTTGTAAAATTTATCGTGCTATAGGATCTCTTATATTTGTAAATTATTATGGTATTTTTGCATATAAAGGAAATACATATATACTTTTAATAAAAAAAGGACCGAATTTCGTGTGTTTTTTGTATTTCAATACTACAATTTTTCTAAAACCGCTCATACACTTTAAAAGCAACTAAATTTTAGTCAAAAGATGTGTTGGTGAATTTTTGATAAAAAAAAAAAGGTGTGTTGGTGAATATTTGTTTATTCAATCAAGAAACTAGGAAAGAAACGAGGAAACTGAGCCTATAACGGATTCACCTGCAAAGCCTAACAAAATTTGAGGTTTTTATTTAACATCCAACTTATTCTGATGATGCAAATAAAACCAAACTATTTATTTCTTTTTGCAGAAAATGCAAAACGCAATAATTGAAACACATGAGATTGTTTCACGTCAAAAATTATGATGCATGCATGTATAAGGGAAATCAATTACAACATAAAAGAGAGAATTTTCGTTCTATTTTTTTTTTTTTTTTGTAAAATGAAAGACAGATTGGCAGAAAATGCGACCGCACGCCTACGTATAGGGTTAGTTTGACCTGTGGCTTTTGATTAGCTATGTAATGCTTCTCTGGTTCGAAATGTCAATATGTCATGTTAGGGGTAGGTGCGGATCAGATATCCAGAAATTTTTTAATATTTGTGGTTTGCTATGTTTTTAATGGATATTTAATTTTATGATTTGATTTGCTCCGGTAATATACGGATATCCAGATTTTCGGATATCCGAAAAATTTATAAGTATTTGCGGATATTTACGGATATTTACAGATATTTATAAATATATAGTTTGATCCGTTTAATATAAACAAAACTGAAAGTACATCAATTTTTATTATAAAAAATCATTTTTCATCTAAACTTTTAAGTGAAAATAACTAAAAGAAAACATTTTATTTTATAAAAAAATCTATAAAAAATAAACCTACAAAATTAAGATGACGAAAAGATGATATTTTATATTTTAAAATAATATTAAATTGAAACTTTAATATTAAATTTTACTAAAAAACTTTTGTTGATATTTATTAACTAATATAAAATAAAATATTATTTATTAACATATTTTAAGTTTAAACATATTACTTATTTTTTTATGATTGGTTATTTAGTCATTTATTTTATATAATCAAAAGAATTTAGAAACAATTAAAAATTTAAGAAGAAAATTGAAAGTATACTAATAAAAATTTATAATATAATTGATATATACATGATAATATATACTAATATATAATAAATTTATAAAGATACGGATCAGATATCCGACGTTGTCAAAAAACATATTTGTGATTTGCTCCGTTCTGTACGGATACTACATTTTGCTATTTGCTTTGCTCCAAAACTTTACGGATATCCGGATTTTTCGAATCGAATCGAAACAAATATCGGTTCGAAGCGAATATAACAGATATTTTGCCCATCCCTATGTCATGTGCGTTGCATGAAGCATAAAAACACACAACTTACACGCACGCCTTCTATTCAAGCGTGTGAAAGGAGGTCGATGGTGGAGTAAATTGCTTCCATGTCACTGCACTTAAAATTTGTGAACAATATTTAGAAACAGCACTATACTTTCAAAATCCCCTAAAATTTCGTAAATCTAATTCTAATTACCTCTTCTTTAATGTAATTGACCGGAGTTCGCAATTGGCAAACCTAAACGAAAGAATATAGATCAACTGAATCAATTTTTTGTACTTATGTTTTTTTAAATAAATTGGTCATCCTATGTAGATAACTTGGGATCGATAATATTGATCACACATTAGAATAAATAAATAAATAAAATACTGATTCGATTCGGGAGTAGATAATTACCTTGTAAGAAGACTATCCTCAAGAGGTACTTTTACATGCAGTGCACGAAGTGTCTGCTGCAAGAAAATCCCATGGCTAACAACTGCGATTTCTTTCTCTGGTCTCGTCCATAACCTACATATATATATGATGATATTTACTCTGATTTGTGTTTCTGAAGATGTTAAATCTAACATTTCTGCCACGGTATTGTCTAAATTTTGAAACGGCAATTGGAATAATTTTGAAATATGAAAAATCAATTAATAAACGTAGTAATTTTTTTTCTTATTTAAAAAAATTAGTTTTGTGGTTTTTTTTGTTTGTTTGTCAACTAATTTATTGTTTAAAATAATTAAAATTGTGTGAGTACTCCAAAGAAAAGTTATTGTAGTAACCGTTTGACAAAGATAAGGCCTCTAGCGGAAACATCATCTAGTTTTTCCCTTTCCTCGGCTTGCCATAGAGCATCTTCATCACTCTCTATCTATAGTCAAATGAAAAAAAAAAAAACTTGAAAATAAAAACGAGTTCATTTGAATTTCTAAAGAATGTAGCGAGGTTATCTACCAATGTAAAGTCGATCTCTGAGAAACAAGTGCGATAGGTACTTATACTTTTTCTACGATCACATGGATATAATCCCTGCGAAATATTGAACAATCAAAGTGCATAGTTATTAATTTTGGAACATATACATAGTAATCTTTTTCAAAGTTTTGGGACATAAAATCATTCGTTACTCCGTCAAAATCTAAGAGCATCTGCATTGGTGAATCTCTCACAAGAGTCTCTCATCAATAAAAAAAAATTATAAAATAATATATATCAATATTTTATTATAATAATCTTTCAAATTAGTTGAGAGACTCTCTCAAAATCTCTCAAAATCTTTCATATGAGAGACTTTCTTCACTTTTTTTAGAGACTCATACATTAAAATATTAATATTTATTATTTTGTTTTATTTTTATTGTTGAAAAACTCTGGTGAGAGACTCCCAATACAGATGATCTAAGCTCTCAGGTTCAGAGAATGACTTATATAACAGTAGCACTATTCCATTGTATCTTTTCATATTTCTTAGAGAAGAGAAATGAATAATACCATGCGTTCTCTACAAATCTCAAGTGCTACAATTGGAGGAAAGTTGTGAGCTTTTGGAAGGTTTTCGGATTGATTTATTGCATCTTGCAATTGTCCCCTAAATATTCCAGTTGAAGTTTGCATTGTCCTGAAATTGAATGGATAGTGTTACTATTATGGGGTCAAACGAGACTAATCCGCCCATTTTACTCGTTTTGTAGTAGATTAAGGTATTATGTCGATTTCGACAACTTTTTCGTCAAAAAAAAAAAACTACACAGTCCTAGAAATTGCTAACCCCATGTTTGAGTCATGTGGGTCAATCTGCTGATTTTTAATAAGTTTTAAAATAATTTCAATTTCGATTATATATATATATATATTATGATATATTATAATTAATTTTCAAAATAAAGTATTAGTTGATCAATTCGATCGATATGAAAAATCATAAACATCAATATTTAATTTTTAATAAATCACATAATGTAGGTCGGTCCGCTCTGTACGGGGGATTTAATTAGCCCGTTTGAGACCGTTGTTCGCAGTACATGACCACACGGTTTATGTCCAACCCGCGGCGTTGCGGTGCGAATGTATAAGAAAGTCTTTACGATATATGACAATTAACAATTAATTGTTGAACAAGCAACGACTTTGGTAAAACCTTGAGGACCATACCAACAAACAACCTACGATCGAGGTTTAAGTTACGTACCGAACAGATCAATTATGACAAGTTACTGTAATGTGAATGTTAGATATACCTAATCTTAGACGTAGCATTTAATTTTATTGATATCGATGTTTACGGTTTACCAATTCCTTTAACTTAAAATCTACGTTTTGGAAGCTTCTATCCGGAGATACCGGACAAAAAAAAAAAGGGGTAGGTGTAGCAGTACCTGTGGAGAGGAGAGGTAATCACTAACTCGATAGTGTTTAGTAATCCTGATTCAAGGATTTGCTTGCGCAGTTCAGAAACCTGCGCAATGATCAAGTCTCATATATATAAATAATACAAGAGTGCATCTCAAGGTATCAAACCCTAATAGAAGTAGTTGTCTCACCTGTTGGAGACCCTTTGTAGAGAGCTGGGCATCAAAAAGGTTTTCTGATAAAGGAGTCACTTCTTTCGCTTCTAATTGTACATTGTGGACTCCTTGTGCATGTCTCACCTTATATCCATTTCCGGTCCAATACACATTATATATATATATATATATGTGTCCCTTTAATTACTTTTTCTTGCTATCTCAAAATCAAGCTAAGAATAAGATCAAATTTCATACTTATTTTTGAAGTTTAACTATTATATAGGCCAAATGATGGATGATGATTATATTGACCTGCCATTATATACATAATATGCTATATTTGTGGTTAGTATAGGTTTTGATTGTTTGTTTGCGTTTGCTTAAAAAGGTCTCCGAAAGCAAGCTAACCCTCATTTAGGGTAATTAGGCAAACGGGTTGAAATAAATAAGTGTACTAACCAAATGGAGGGTTTTGGAATTAGGCGATGAAAGGCGCAGCGTCTGAACTCCACATAAATCCATGTACGTACTCACCTCTCTCCACGACCTCTTTACCCACTATTTACAAAACCAATATCATGATTCTTCCTTATCATTCTTCTTCTTCTTCCTCTTCCTTTTTTTTTTTTTTAGCTGAAAAAACCAACTGAGCTAACTGAATTTAAACTATCTTCCTCTTCCTTTCCTTGCCTGTCTATGCTATTCGCATATATATATATACACACACACATTTACACCTTTTCATGGAAACCACTGAGAAAGCTCTTCGAAGAATGCAGTTGAAGTAAAGTGGCTCTTTAAATATTGAAAGCGTAAATATCTGGTCAACGTACACTTCATGCCGTGTTGTTTGGGAGTGGGTGGGTATAGCTAAAGCTAACTTACACCATTCGTTTTAAATTCCCTTTTCCGTATTTTACATAGAGATCACTTTATATAAAAAGAAAGTTGTGGGAAACCCAATATTGGGAATCACACATATATTACACCGTAGAAAGTAGATAGTATTTGACCACAATGCCACAATTCAACATTGTGTGGTTTCCTAAAATATAAAATTAAACCCATGTGAAATAGTTTTAAGTTGATCTGGCATCGTTACTATAGTATACATCACTAGTTAATGTTAGAATATCGCATATCTACATAAAATATACAACTAGCTTTTTTAAAAAACCATCTTCAGTTTTCTTCTCACAAAAAAAATCAATTTATCTTTTTGCTTATATACAGGTTGCAAACTACATAAGAAAAACGTCTTCTACACTCCATTGACGACATCTCACACACGATACAAACTAAAAAACAAGAGGCGGCGACTATATATATCTCTTTGTAACCAATGGGTCTTTGTTTAATATAAATATCATATCTTATGATAGTTTAATATTCATTTCATTTATTTAATACAGTTCCTAAGAAATTGCAGAAAACGAATAGTAGATGAGCTAGTAGGGGGTTCACGCAAATATAGAAGAATCTCAAACCTGACAATATTGAGCTTCAAGAATAAAGCAATAAAATAATTTATAAGTAAGTTCTTCAATGTTGATTTCGATAAAGACTCCGTAAACGCTTTGAAACTTTCTTCGTGGAATCATTTCTCCATAGAAGAACTCAAGCTGAAAAGTAAAAGCATAACAACACTAATGAAAAGTCAAGAAATGGATAATAATAATTAAGTAAATTAATTAAGATCATACTAACCCTTTGTCTACAATTACGACAGTACGAATTTCGCAATTAGCAAACCTATACGATAGCATACAACATAGGTTGTTGATCAAGAGACTATAATTATATAAATTATTAACAAGTGAATCAATATTGCAAACGATTATATATATAAAAAAAAATTATAACCTCTTGCAAAGTTCATGTCTAATTGACTCGTCGCAATCGTTTGCGAACACATACAACATATGCTGCAAAACTATGCCATGGCTAACAACTGCGACCTCCTTCTCTGGTCTCTTCCATAGCCTAATTATAGAGAATGCATCAATTCTCTAACAATATATGCTAATGTAAATTATGATACTTCACAAAGTTAAGATTCATATATTAAGGTTACCATTTCATGAACTCTAGCCCTCTCGCCAAAATCTCTTCTTCAGATTCTCGAACATCGGGTCTCCATAGGTTGTCCTCTTCACTTTCAATCTATAATATGATCTATTATATTAGGGAACTCTCTATATGTAACTTTAATATATGTTGAGAAATCTTAATATATATGTTATATTTTTCTCAGGAATATGATTTACAAATGAAGGGAAAGTGAAAGAAAGATCTCTACCTGGGAGAAATCAATGGTGGGGAAAAGAGATTGATACTCGCTCACGCTTCTTCTCATATCAGGAGGACGAACTCCCTGCGTGTACATATATATATATATATATATATGTCCATATTAACTATTTACTTTAAATTTGCGATACTTTGGTAACATGAGTCTGTTTTAATCGCTGATGAATATATGAGACATTTATGTATCGATCATACATTACGGTCTCGAGCAACCTCAAGAGCCAAAATGGGAGGGCTGCTTGTCATATTTGGTTGCTCATGTTCATTTCCGAATACTCCAAACGCGGTTTGCATAGTTCTATATATAAACCGAAAACTTAATCAGTAAGGCACTATCAAAGAAAAAGAATACACATAAAATAATTAATCTAAAAGTCTTCATTGCTTCTATGCAAATATATTTCACCTCAACAAGGGAGAAGTTACAACTAGCTCAACCCTCTTTAGTAGCCCGCTTGAAACAATGCATTCGCGGAGGTTCTCAACCTTTAGAGAATATCATGAAACGATTAGAGAATGAAATAATAGAACAGCAATAAGTGTTTGGACTTAGATCCTAAATCTGGCCCTAAAAACGATATAAAACAAAGATAAATGGCCAAAAGGAATCAACTAAGGAGACAAACTAGCATATGTCTTAACTAATCGATCAGTGTGATGCCCGGTGTTGGAGTTACACAACGGACTCGAGAGATTATGCACCACAACTCAACAATAAGAAGTGAAGGTGCATGAAGTCTGTGACAGCGATTGTGATCAATGTGCCTACGGTCGAATGTTTCGATTTTAAAGCTTACCTGTTGGTGACCATGATAAGTAAGTGGAGCGTCAAAAAGATGAGGAGACAACAATGCATTCCTATCCTTCTCGGCTTCTACATTGTGCAACGCTTGTCCGTGTCTCAACTTGATTAAAAGAAAGAATAAATATGATGAATATACGTATCAATAGAGTAATATTAAGAATCACTTGTGTGTAGTTAATAAGCCTTATATTAATAACTTGTGACTTACTAAGTGGATGATTTTACAGCTCTCCAAAGGGTACAGGAATCGTGCATCCATTTCTACACATTACAATGTTATTAATAAGAAACAATCAATAATTTCACGGTAAATAGTTATACATAATACATACATGTATCACAATGTATATGTAATACGTCTACATATATGCACATACAACACATTAACGATCGAGAATATTAGCAGGAAAATTAATTGCAAATATATAGCGCGCAGACCTATAATAAAAGAAGGTATTATAGCAGGAAAATAAGGTCTCAAGGGTTTTTTCTTTGATCTCAAGGTTATTGTTAAGTAATGATATTGATAGGCTCTCTTTGATTTATATATACTTGAAAATATCAAGACCGCATGGGAAAGTCGAATTTTACGTAAACTTTCATGCAATTACAAGTCAAACCTTTTAATTTGACACATTCTTCGCTTGGTATCACTATCACTAATGTGTAACAACGAGCTATATTGGTTTCAAAGGATTTGAACAATACATTTATCGTTAATTGGTTTTAAACTGAAAGTCCCATAAACTTAACAAAAGATCATTCAATTAGTATAACAACAAAGAAAAAAGTTATTAAATACATCGTAATCACGATCAATGTAATTATGTAAATGATAATTGATCGTGAACATTTCAGTATCTCGTGACGAGTTGAAGTTGTGTGCGACGTGCGTGGTAAGTTTTTAGTTTATTTTTTTGATGACCAATTGTACGTTGTGACCGATAACTTTTCAATCAAAATTTCAACTTTAGATCTTAGAGCCAAATATGGATCGAATCACGTAGAAAAGAAAAACAGAAGGAGACAAAAGAACATTGTAAAACTCCAAGAGAATATGTTAATATATATTGCCTTGCACTGGAAGGTCATACTCGTCAGTCGTTACTCGTTTAGCTTTTGAAACTTTAAGTTTCAGTCGTTGTTTATAGATAATTAATTACAGATAGTTTGTCGTGAAATACATGTCGAAATATTTTTCTTTTTCTTCTTCGCGTGTCAAAATATTTTTAGTTAGAAATGTCTCACACATTACAAACACGATAGATTAATTAAGCATATAAAATTTAATAACCTAAAATTGATTTTGATCACTTACCTAAATGTACATATTCTTCTTTCAAACCAAGGCTACTTAAACTTTTGAAGATGTTTTTTTTTTTGTTGGCTTCTAAATATCAGCAACTTATTACATTATATGAACCCGTTTTACGTAAACCATAGAAAAACTCTACCATTTCACACATTGAATTTTTTTTTTTTTTTTTTGTAACTGACTTTCAAATATATTCACATTGAAAGAGTTCCAAAAACTTTTCTTAATCTAGTTAATCATTAAGTTTATAGATCGCCGATTGTCTTTGATCAGAATCGAATCATTCTTGATATTTGTTTATTTGTCTCGGTTCCTAGCAAACAACGATGTAAGTCGCGGATTCATTATAACCTGACTAAGAGCAAACCAGTGTTCTTCATATTTCCGTTTCACTACTTTTTCGAATAGTCACGTGGTCGTTTTTCAGACTTAAGCATCAACTTTCTCTTGGAAAAGACTACACACGTAACACCGATCTAACCATATTTTGGTCAAGTGTAGATTTTTTTACTCCCTAAAAAACACGCAAAATTTTCTGTGTTCTACTTCTAGTTACCAAAAGTTTCTTAAAATTTGCCTGAACAAAAAAAAAATCTGCCATTTTGCTGTAATTTTTTTGATGGAATGATATGGTTGTGAACGACGAATTAACAACCAGTTACATAAAATTATTCTTTTGAAATAAACATATTTCTATACGGCTATACCACTAAACTTCTGACATTCATTAATCCTCCACAAATTTTTAATTTTATAAAAAAGTTATTTATCCTAAAATTGTTTTTTTTTGTGATGGACCAGCAATAACGTCAGCAATAAATTTTAATCTGAGTGATAGCGACTAATTTTTATTTTAGTGACTCTTCAAGGTCGATTTTAGCAAACGGATTTTAGGACAAATTCTTTTAAATTATTTATTGTCGTCAAAAAAAAAAAAGTTTGCTAAATTCTGTCACAGATGAAGAGTTGTGAGCTAGTAACCAAACTTTGACGTGACGTGAAGTCGTTGATCTACCCCAAATGGGTTCCAGATTTTATTTTTTTTTTTGGTAGGGGTGTGGTGTGAGAGACAATGTCCCTCACTTTTATTAAAATCAAAAACCAACTTACAAATTGACTCTACGAACTTGTGTTACACCATTAGCATCATCCAACAAAACCAGGCCAATGTTTTCCGGAACAGACTCAAAAAACAGAAAATCTAAAGGAAAAGAGAAAACATAATTTGCTAGGCTATCAGCTAGCTTATTTGCAGTCCGATAAACGTGTTTCATTTGGATGATCCAGTCACTACATATACACAAGCATGCTAGGAAAGATAAAGGGTGTTGCTCATTTGGTGTATATTTCTCCTCCAGGCTTATGAAATTTTTGATATTTATATAATTAAATCATAAAAGCAGATTTATTTAAGTGGTGTATATTTCTCATACTTTTTTATTTTTCAAAAATATCAAAACATAAAAAGCTTGTTCTAATTTATTAGCGTTATTATAACAACAATTCATTTTGGTTCGCGTTCAATAAATAAAAAATTTATAACACAATGATCATTTATTATTGTCGTATTTCTAACTGAGACCGGATGATTAGGTTAGATTCAAGTCTTTTTAGTTATTTTAGGTTAAGAAAACAATACCAATTTCATGTTTAGATTAGATTCAAATTTTATTTCGTATTGTTATTAGTTGTGAAAAGAAATTGAATATAAACAATCTCTAACGATCAAATGTATTAAAATAACTAAATACTATGTCCGGTTAGTTTTACAATTAATGTAAGTCTAATAGATTTTAAACTAATCTAATTTTTAATACAAAAAGATAGAATACACATTTTTCTTCCTTAATTTCTTTCTCTCAGCATTTTTGCATTTTGAATTTTATTTTGTAAAAAAAAATTTAACCTGAAACAATACGAAAAAAACACCAGATTTCATGTTTGGATTAGATTAAAGTTTTATTTAATATTACAATTATTATAATAATCATTTTCTAGTAAGAAATTAAATGATCTAATCCAAATATTAGTTGTGAAAATAAATTAAACATAGACAATCTCTAACGACCAAATAAATTCAAATAGTAAAATATCATGTCCGTTTAGTTTCACTACTATTGTAGAGTTAATCGATTTTAAACTAATCTAAATTTTAATATGAATAAATACAAGAAAAAAGATAACTGAAAACATATATTTCTTCTTGAATTTTCTTCTCTGGAAATCTCTTCCTGTTTTAGTTTCACATTTTATGAAGAAAGTTTTAACCTGATACAATACAGAAAAAAACAACATCAAATCCCATGTTTATGTTAGATTCAAATTTCATTTAGTGTTATTATTATTATTATTTTTCTAATAAAAAATCGATTAATCTACATTAGTTGTAAAAACAAATTGAACATAAATAATCTCTAACGACCAAATGAATTCAAATGGCTGGATATCATGTCCGGTTAGTTTCACAACTAATATAAATGTAATCAATTTTAAACTAATCAAAGGTTTTAATGTTAATGAATGCAAAAAAATGAGAATAGAAGACTTATCTATTTTTTGAGAATAGAAGACCAAATGAATTCAAATGGCTGGATATCATGTCCGGTTAGTTTCACAACTAATATAAATGTAATCAATTTTAAACTAATCAAAGGTTTTAATGTTAATGAATGCAAAAAAAATGAGAATAGAAGACTTATCTATTTTTTGAGTTTCCTCCTATTGGCGTCTCTTACTTCTTGAGTTTTATTTTGTAGAAATTTTTAACCTACAACAATACAAAATGTTTACATTAGATTCAAGTTTTATTTAATATTACTATATTATTATTATTATTATTATTTTCTAATTAAAAAATGATTGATCTACATTAGTTGTAAAAACAAATTGAACATAAATAATCTCTAACGACCAAATGAATTCGAATGGCTGGATATCATGTCCGGTTAGTTTCACAATTAATGTAAATCTAATCATTTTATACTAATCCAGGTTTTAATGTGAATAAATACAAAAAAAATCGAGAATAGAAGACTTATCTTTCGTTTTGAGTTTCCTTCTCTCGACGTTTCTTACTTCTTGAGTTTTATTTTGTAGAAATTTTTTTAACCTACAACAATACAAAATGTTTGAATTAGATTCAAGTTTCATTTAATATTGCTATTATTATAATTATTACATTTTCTAATAAAAACGATTGATTTATATTAGTTGTGAAAACAAATTAAACATAGATAATTTCTAACGACCAAATGAATTCACATGGCTGGATACCTTGTCCAATTAGTTTCACAACTATTATAAATCTAATCGATTTTAAACTAATCTATATTTTAATATAAATAAATAAAATAAAATATAAAGAATAGAATACATATCTTTATTTCTGAGTTATGGGCGCCTCTTCATCTCGTGCTGGTGTTCGTGACAAAAAGCATCAATGCAAGTTACTATGAACCATGCAGTGATCACACTGTGCTGCAAGAAAATTACAATTGAGCAATAAGAGATCATATCTAGAAATACGCAGTAGCGGCAGAGAGAAACATATTGAATAAACAACGATCAAAATACAAAATGACCAATCTTGTATACCTCGCTAAGCAATGGTTCCCTATCTATGCAGGACTTAAATTTTACTCTCAACATTTGAAAAGAGGCAATGCATCCCTCTGCAACCTGTATGGGATATCAAAGTTCTTTAGGTAATAACTAAAGACAGAAAAGACTAAAAAAAGAAGAAGATCTTAAGAAGGCAACTAACGTTTCCAGAAGATATGAGATAAATTGGATAAGGTCTGATTCTGAAAGCTCGTTTTTGTCTCTGCTTGTCTCTTAATCTCATCCATCATAAAACTTGCATCTTTCATGTTACCCAAAGATAAGTAACATGAAAGATGCAAACTTCTCGGGATCCTCAGCTCTAATAAAATGCCTTGATATTCTGACAATTTGGAGATACATCATTGCAAGGAACCTGAGGAAACAATTTGAAGATACACCTGCTACGATCTGACATAAATATTTCAGTATAACTATAAAGAAGTAGAGCGATGTGTTACAGCAATTATATGCGGTCTAGACTAACCAAGAGTTTCATCATTGCAAGGTTACTTGGCTTTGCCTAGTGTGTCCACGAACAAAAAAGCAAGGTCCGCCCCACAATTCACCCGAGGAATCATTGTATTAATAAGAAATCACCTCTACAAAACTGAAAGATGAGAAAATAAAGATTTTTGTGAGTACATGCCATTACAGGTTCCAAGTAAGCACAGCCTATATCTCTAAAGATTAGCTATGTAATAACAAAAGAAGGAAAGCTGAACAAACCAGGCTTGAGCTTGAATTTGGATCCATGTAGTCCCAGCAACCTCAAACTCATATTTAGCCTCGCGCTGAACAAGCCAGGCTGTAATAACACTCGCTGATTATCTCTTTCAATTGCTCTGCCCAATTAACTTTAAGATCAACAAGATTTGGAACAAGCACCAGCAGCCACGTCAAATCTTTTAGATGATCGTAAACACCTAATGGAGATCACACGTAGTTGGCAAAGTCAACAAAAGTACTTGATGCCTATCTTTTTGAATGCATTTTAGCAGCATGTGAGAGCTTAAGAGTTGTTCCACGAACTGATCTCAATTGTTAGAACTTCGAGAAGATTCCAGCTCCTTCAGCAAGCTCATATCTAGCCTCGCACTTGACCCGTGTAGTCCCTGAAATGCTTTGAAGCTTCTGGGTGTATTCCAAATTCAAATGAAGTACAGCCGCCTGAAAAGAGGATATCAAGAGCTTTAGAAAATCTATGAGCGTAACGTATCTGCGAGCAAAAAGGCTTCATGTGTTATCAATCCAAACAAGAAGAACAAAGTAAGCTACCAGTTCATATTCATAACCATCAAGAATCCAATTTTCAACCTAATACCAGAATCCAAAAAGGTCAAAAAAATGCAGAATCGAATAAAGGACCATTTGGGTTATTAAGGAATCGAGCCAAAGAGGAGCTACGAACCTTGCACTTTGATTTGTACATCTGCAACGCTCCATAGTAATTGTCTTCCTCTGCCACTTTCCTCAATTTATCAATATGCTACAAGAATTTGAGGGAAAAAAACCCATCAGTTTAAAAGGATCTATCTTTTATCTCCGATGATAAGAATCACAACTTTGCAAGGTAATACAATTCAAATGAAATTAGCCAAATTTGGAAGGTAAAAAAAAAATCGAGAGAACCTTGTCGCATATGAAATCAAAAACTGGGAAAGAATGAAAACAGATTTGAGTAAAATACCTCTTGAACGGGATCGGAGTGTTTTCGCTTGGATGTGGATTCGGAGATCTTCCAACGGTTCTTCAATTTCTCTGTTGAATTAATATTGCTGCTATAAGAGCTTGAGGAAAAACCCCTATTAATTTAACGGATCTATCTTCATCTCCCTCATCGTTGATGATAAGAATCGCAAGATGATAGAAAAACGGACAATTCGAATGAAATTTGAAAAAAGAAATCGAGAAAGGGTTGTTGCAGATGAAATCGAAAACTGGAAAAGAATAAAAATAGATCGGAGTAAAAGTACCTCTTGAACGGGAGATGATTCTCGTTTGACCCTCTCTCTCGACAAAGATCGGAGTTTTTTCGCTTGAATGTGGATTTAAAGATCTTCCAACGGCTCTTTACTTTCTCTCTTGACTTAATATATCGCACATAGTTTTATTTGTGGGGATTATGTGGTAATCTGTTACATTATTCGGTAACCCAAATTTTAACCGGCTAGACCGGGGAAATGTAGAATTGGCCGGTTTATTTTAAAAACGCTTAACCAAACACTAGAATAATAAAAGTTAATATGATTAAAAACATCGTCATATCCTTTTGCTTGCTTCTCCAATTTATGGTTTTTATCATTCTCTCAAACGCAAAAGTTATAAGAAAAAATGTAAATATAATTGATACATGTAAAATACAAACGCAATGAACCAATTATGGCCCTTATAAAAAAAAAATGAAACAATTATAGCTTATTCCTCATCAAGGGACCTCGATCAAAACATCATCATCCTCAGAAGCTATCTTCACTCTCTACTCAAGTTTGTATATTTTACAAAGGCGTGGCGTTTGACCTTTACGAACCTAAAAAAATGGATGCAACAGATGCTCTCTATTTTTGTTCCACCTTTGCTCTGATCTTCTCCTCGAGTAACTCCACATCGAGTCCATACATTCGGTTCAGAGCCTGCATGTTCTCTAGCGTCTCACGCAGCGTTCTGCTATCAGTCCCATCGCATCTCAAATGTTGCATTGGACCGTGCAGGATCTTGTTCACTATACTTCGTGTTAGATCCTCTACTGCTTTCTTCGTCTTCTTGTCCATGTCCTTGCCGTTTTTCGACATGAACCTTTCGACCAAAGCAGCTCTGGTTTTCTCGCAATATTCCCTTAATTTCTTGATCGTTGGAACCGTCTCGAGCGAATCCCTCCACGCTTCGAACTGTCTGGATTCGTCTGTAATTATAGCCTGAGCCTCCATTGCTTTCTTCGCCCTGTCTTCTTTGTTGGCAGCAACGACTTCCTTCAGGTCGTCCACGTTGTAAACCCGTGCACCGACTAAATCAGCGACACAAGACCCAACGTTTCTAGGAACTGAGATATCAACAAAGAGCCTCGCATCCGCAACAGGAGGGAGAACCTCTACGTGCTCCTTCAAGAACAACGGTGCATCTGAGGCTGTGCTAGTAAAGACTACATCGGCTTCCGCAGCACAAGCCAGCATCTCATCAAGGGGTTTATAAATAATCTCAACACCAGGCGGCATCTCCTCGCGGATAGCTGCAACTTTCTCTTCGCTTCGGTTCACAACCACCATCTTAGTGCAACCTTTGGCAACCAAGTGCTTAATTACAAGCTTCCCCATCTTCCCTGCACCGATTACCAACATCCTAGCAGATGATGCATGCGGAAAAGATTCTGGAAGCTTCATGAGAGCAAGCTCGACGGCAGCAGAGCTGACGGAAACAGCACCAGCAGCGATATTCGTCTCTGTTCTGGCACGCTTTCCAGCCGAGATTGCTTTCTTAAAAAGCCCACTGATGTTCCTCCCAAATCCATTGACTCCTTGACACAAATTAACAACTTGTCTAACCTGTGCAAGTATCTGACCTTCTCCTAGGACAAGAGAGTCCAGACCAGCTGAGACTTCAAATAAATGTTGCGTGACGTCCTTGTTGTACAGCAGAAAACGGTGCTGACAGATCTCCGAAACTGGGATTCCACTTGTCTGCCAAAAATAAAGAACATTATGTCAGCATTTTCCAATGATCGAGAGAAACACTTGCAAGAGAATAAGGAGAAGTGCCCAAGACATTTTAACAGTAAGAGTAATTATGCGGAGAAGAACATTTTCGTGATGAAAGGATGGGAAAAGGGAAGAACCTTAGACATCCATTCAGTGACTTCTTTGACTCCACGGTGCTGAGATAGAGCCAAAACATAAATCTCCATTCGGTTGCAGGTGCTGAGGACGGCAGCTTCTTCAATATGATTCAAACCGCACAGCTCGGTGATAGCTCGTGGCCATTCAGCTTCTGGAATGGCGAGCTTCTCGCGCATCTCTACAGGAGCTGTGTGAATGTTAAGCCCAATCACCACAATGCTGCTTCTTTCCTTTGTGTATCCTGAACATTGAGAGAGTTCAATAAAACAGAACTAATCCATTCAAGAAGTATACAATCTCCTTCAGGGTAACTATATGCAACTAAATAAAGCTCAGGAATGAATAAGCAAGCTAAATTAGCTAGGAGACCGAAACATCGCAAGAAGGTTGCTTTTACGCCAAACATGAATTATCCATCTTTTGAGCAAGCTTTTCGGATCCCATAAACAATAACAGGACGGAAAAATGTTGAATAGCTTTTCAAAATTCAAAATTTCATAATTCCTAAACAAAGAGACGGCTTTAACGAGAAACCAATCAGGAGTTTCAAATGCAATCAGGATGCAGAACAAACAAACCAACAACCCAAAAACTGGAATTCCAACATTTGAAGAAACCCGGGAAAACGAAAAAAAGGAGAAGAAATCCGTACTGTCAATAGCAGAAGTCTTGAGCTGCTCCAGAGCCGAGATGTTGGCTGCCTTAGACGCAGAAATCTCGCAACGCGCTCTCTGGATCACGCCTCGCCTTGGCCTGTTGTTCATCGGAAGAGCACGAATCCCGATCAGATCAACCGCCGCCGGCGAAGAGGACGGAATAATCGGATTCGATAGCAACGCCTCCAGCTTCGGGGTAGCAACATAGGCACTAGAAACCGCCATAGCGTTTGAGTTTGCAACACGCACACCCCCTTCGCCTCCAGAACCCAAACCCTAGAGATCAGGAATCGAGCAGGCGAAGAGGGATTCTGGTGCGATGATGAGGAAACGGAATTGGTTATGATTGAGTTGAAAATGAGGAAATGAGTAAATTCGTCTCCTCCTCGGTTAGGATCATGAGCGTGTGTGTTAGTTGAGAGGAAAACAATTAAAGGAAGAAGAAAGAAGCAGGTGAATCCGGGTCGGGTCACGCGGGTTTTAAGATTGGGTCAAGCCAAAACTGTTGACCAAGAATTGTGGATTTTGATTGGACGAAAAAACCTAATGATGATGTGTGGGAAATGGCAAAAGTGTAAATGGAATCAACTGAGGTTTTTGGTGAAATGTGTTGTAATTGGCGGGTGGACAACACGTTTATTTTATCCATACTCGTCGTTATGGCTTTCATTCTTCCACGCAAAACTTGTGTTATCTTAATTTTCTTGTGTGCTTACGATCACCAAAATCGAGCTTTAATATTTTTTCATAAAATTACTGAAATGAGAGGCTTAGCTTCGATTTAGAGCAGCCCATATGAAGAAGAAGATAACGAGGCAGCATTCAGCAGTAATGAGTTGAACAGGATGAAGAAACACATCATCATTGGTGTGTGAACAGATGTATAGCGAAGGCATCAATGTTATTAGGAAGTCATAATTCGTAATAATAATAAATTATTTGTCTGCTATTTGGATATCGAAGTCAACTTTGAAGAAATCATAGGTATAAGGTATTAGAGTTCAATGACAAGTAAATTTAAATGAGAGGGTGTTTTAACTGTATTGCTCTGATTCAAGGTTGAAATTCTTAGGAATTGAGCAGGCAAAATTCAACTTGTTACAGAAAAAATAAAATGGAAGGTACAGTACATTATATTTATAGATTTTTAGTTTGGTGATAGCACTACCATGTATAGTATTTCTTGTGGTTTTTGTAGTAGGATGAATTGAAATCTCATATCAGATTTATATAAGTATTTGGGATATATTATACTATTTGTTGTATAGTGATAAGCCATATGTATTATGATTATCCATTCATTCTGCTCAGTGCTCACAAGATAAAACTGTTCCCATCATTTTATCATTGTTTGTGACTTTGTGTGTTACTAAAAAAAAACGAGCATTATCGGGTTTTTTATTTCACAGGCTTATGAAAAAAGCCCATCAAACTAAGCTTAAATTAGTTCTTATCCGGTAACTGCTTTGTGAACTAGGCAAGCCACCAAAGTCAACGGCAGGCCTAACATTGACCAAGTAACCCAAGAATAATAAAACATCCCTTGAAAATGTGGCAATTAAGCCTTTACATTACGCGTTCCTTGTATTTGATTTGTAGAAATTAGCCCTGTTCGTTTGGTTGCCGTACAGTGCGGCAACGGCAACGATAGAGCTAGCGGCAGCGACAAAATAATATTGCCGCAAATTGTTATTTGTTTTGTAGCGCAGCTGCTACCGCAACAATAAATTGTTATTCGTTGACGCAGCCGCTACCGCAACAATAAATTATTGTTCGTTTCATAGCCGTAGCCACAGGTTATAGCCGCAGTTGCAACCGCAGATACCTGCGACAATGAAACGAACAACAATTAACCGTAGGTCGCAACCGCAGTCAGGTCGCAGCTACAGTCGCAGATCATAACCGTACCACTGATTTTTCTTTGTGTACAAAATTTTTAAACGCAACGCAACAACCAAACGAACAACAATTTTAAACATTGCCGCAGCCGTAGGTCCTGCGGTTGCCAAACGAACAGGGCTATTAACAAACTCCTAAGCCTATGAATCAGATAATCAAAAACTAGATATGTCAAATTGGTTTCGATTCAGTTATCAGCTTGCATAAAAATGTGATTTTACTAATTTGATTCTGAATTTGGAAAACTTCAACAATACTAATTTTGTTCATTGTAAGCAAATTATTCCCCATTAAAGAAAATTCAGTTGCTATTATTATTTACCGTTGAAAAAGATAAGGAGAACAAGGGCGAAAAGTCAAAACTTGGGATTTTGTACTGTTACACAAATAAATATACACGCATTGAACGAATTAACATGGCAGCCACGTCATATAAGCCACGTAGGATTTTGGAAGCAAAGCTTTGACTTTTCGACTTCATGTCGAATGTGACAACTGATAAGTAACTGATGACAATTTGTAAAATACTTTCTAAGCTCAAATCATCAGAGTTGAATTGTTTCCAAATCCAAAAAAAAAAAGATCGGAATGAAAAATCCATAGTTATTGAAGAAGGAAGCAGTGCAGATCCGGGAGTCTTTTAAAAAAACTCAGTCATCGTCTTTCTCCAAATCCCTCAGACGGAGATGAAGCTCTCCCATTGTCCTCAATACCTTAATCGCCTGCGACGGAGTAAGAATCTCCACCACTTTCCCCACCGTCGAACACCGTAGCTGATCCGCGTTGTTCATCGCCGCCGCCATCCCCGATTTAAGCACCTCCATCGCATCCTCCATATCCGACTCTTCTCCGTCCACCATTCCCCTCGCCCCAACGCGCCTCGTCGCGAGCATCACCGGTGGATCCGCCACGCTCTGCTGCACGAGGGCGAAATCTCGCATCACGTCTCTCTCTTTCCTCCGAGTCTCCTGTCGGAGACTCGAGATCCGGTCTTGCTGGTGACGCGTGAGGTCGTCCAAGGAAGCGGCTGTGAGTTTAAAGACCAGGGAAGGCTTGAAATCGCCGACCCAAAGAATGAGTTTCGCGTAGGAGCTGAACCACGGTGGGCAGAAGAAAGTGAAAACGTTGTCTCCGGCGACGGAAACGGCGGAGGATTTCTCTTGGTAGTATTGAAGACAGTGAGAGAGAAACTGGGTCACCAGAGATTGCTGTTCGTCGACGGAGGAAGAAGCGCACGTAAGCTGTTCGACGAAATACCTGTGACGAATAAGCCAGTCATTAACGAAGCTGGTGAAGCTTTGAGAGCTGCTGGTGATTGGCATGTTTTTGAGTAGTCACTAAGTATCAATGAGTGTGTTTTTTTTTTGGGAACGTGCTTGTTTAACAGTGTACAACGATTATATGCATATATACACTCTCTGGAACTCTTGACCAAAAAAACAAAAAATCTTTTAGCAATTAATTATTTATAGATATAATGTCGGTCCTTCCAGGGAAATTATATTTTCTGTCGGCGGGCCATATGGAGTTTTGTGAGCTTTTTGTCTTGTGGTCACAGATAATCAGAGCGTCTTATCACCATTTACTTGCTGTAATTGTAATTCAAGCCTCGTTTTGGAATCAAGTTCGCCTACTTGATTAGCAAAACCATAGCTATAAAAATCTATTTACAAACGGCTTAGTTAAGAAGCATTTCTAATTATATGATGATGTTTAAGCTGTGGTTTGCTCAAGTAAGCATTCATAATTAGATGATGTTTAAGCTGTGGTTGCTCAAGTAAGTATTTGCTTGTTTGCAATTTTAAAATATTTCTAACCGTTTGTCCATTTTATTATTTTATTACTTGTTCCAGTTGGAATTATATCATTTTTCTTTTCTCCTATCTGGGAAATTATGTCAGGGTCACATCATATATATATAATAAGAAGTAAAAATGCATCTGAAAAGGAAACCGACACATGTTAGTAGAGTAAGAAGGCACACACGTCATATAGCGAGGACGACATATGTAAGCAAAAGAAACACATTTTTTTCTGTCTTTTGGTTTATTGTGCGGATCTTTTGTTGGACAAAAACAAATAGAAGCAAGTAGCAACGGTTCATCAATGCTCCAGTTAAGCCCCGAGCTATCTTTTCTTCTTTACTAAGAAAATTTATACATTAATTTTTAGTTGTCTCTTGTCTCCCATTTCTTTCGAAAATATCTTTCTCTCCATCAACCTTGGGTTTCGAGCAACCACAAATATTCTAATCACCACTGTTTTTTTCCGAAAAAAAACACTAGTCTCAAATATTTTCTGTTTGGTGTATCTAAGTATTTACGTTGCTGAAATCATGACTAATATAATTAACAAGTGTTAACAACAAAACAAAAATACTTTGTGCGTTTTAACGTGCGTAAGAAAATTCATATAATGGTTGAGAATTCCGAATAAAACCTACAATACCTATAATCTTACTAATATCACCTAAACCAGTGTATGTGCAAGTAGTTTGCTATTTTATGCAGGTAGTGCAGATTTGGTTAAGTGACGATGATGGCTTTCCTTTTTGTTATTCAAAATCTCAATAAGATTGGCCACCATAAAAGAAAGTCTCAATAAGACAATAACAACAATATCGGTGTTATATATGTATAAAGAGTGTAAAACGTGACGACAAAGAAGTGAGATTACATTTTTTTATTATAAATAAAAAATAAAAATGAAGTGAGAATACACACGTTTTGCGAAAAAGGGTGAAAACGTTTGGAGGTTGGCACATGTTGGGCTATGAACCCAAGACGTTGATCCTTTTCAACTCGTTCCTAACGCGGCCACGTTTTCATCAATCGCCGCGTTTCTTTTGCGGCCTTTTACCCTCGCAGCATTTTATTTCAATTTTTTTGTTTCTATAATTATGAAAACTGTCTAAGGCGGCTCTATGAATACAATTTGAAAGAGAGAAAAAGGACCCAAAAAGGGGCCTTTGTATGTGAATACCTTAGTTGAATTAATTAGGCTCACTGGTAAAGCCCACCAGTTTTACTCACATGTTATTGGGCCTTACTGGCATGCTACTTCCTTAGGTAGTGAAGAAGAACAAAAAAACTAAGGCTCACTGGTAAAGCCCACCATAGTTTTACTCACATGTTATTGGTCTCGCACGAGTTGGATTCCAATAATTTCCAACCCAATCACCCGAAAAATATTTAATTATCCAAAATTATTGAACTAAACGACGATGAAAATAAGTTCGCCTGTCCTATAGTTACTGCTCCTAGGATACTTAGATAAAGCTAATACGTGATTAGGCCTAAAAAGTAAAGTTAAAAAGATGCTACTTTTAAGAGTGGAAATTTGGTTTTAGTTCTCTAGTTCTACAAAGAAATTTGGACACCTCTCGTCTTAACACGTTTAAGCCGTAATGTAATGGGGATGAACCATGTGCATGTACGGTACGGCTCACACTTGCCTGCCCACTAGATTTACAAACAATAACGTCATTTTCATATTTCAACAAATCTTTCAATACTTTCCGACACAAATTCCAGTTTCATGTGAAATATGTCGATTACAAAATTGGAAAGTGTGTCGTCGGCAAATCATAGAATATGGTATCCTAGCTATTTGATGATAATAAAGTTACACGGTCTTACTCTGGTATGCTTTATGACAAAGTTTTTTTTTTCCTTTTTAAGAATGTTTTTCACAACAAACAACAAATGATAACATTGGAAAAGACGTGAGTAAATAAAAGCAAAATCATTTTTTTCTTGCATTATTATTCTATAGAATGTAATTTGAATACTTGACGTCGCTCTTGTGCCTACGTCTCGTGAGAAAAGTACTTTTTGTCCATGATCCAAGGGAAAGTGACGATTGTCCCTTTACCAAAGTGATTTCATCTTAGCAACGTATTCTATCCGTAGAGAAACAAACCCTCTTTTTACGTGCCAGCTTTCGCTGTTTTGCTTTCCATTATTTACAAATTCGCCTCACTAAATTTAAAATAATCAAAATACGAACCTAAATTTTGTAAAGTAGATTCGGAAACAGCACCGATTAGTCCAATGGTAGTCTTACAGCGTCTTTGCCACCTTTTTCTCCTCCACTCAGCTTTACCCTCTCTTCTCTCAAACAAGTGTGGTCTCACAGAGAATCGGTGAAGAGAAAGAGAAAGAGTAAGAGAGAGAGAGAGAAATGGCTGGTTCGCATCAAGATCGCCACCACCATCGATCGACTCGCAATCGCCAGCAGCTTCCTCCTCTGCCCAATTCTTCTCGACCGGTGGTTGCTCGATCGAAGGTCTCGAAGCGTGTGCTTCTCCGTGTAGCTTCCGTCGCCTGCGGGATCCAATTCGGCTGGGCGCTTCAGCTTTCGCTGCTCACGCCTTACGTCCAGGAGCTTGGGATTCCGCACGCCTGGGCCAGCGTGATCTGGCTCTGCGGTCCTCTCTCTGGACTATTCGTTCAGCCGCTCGTTGGGCACAGCAGCGACAGGTGCACCAGCAAGTACGGTCGCCGGAGACCGTTTATCGTCGCGGGAGCTGTGGCGATCGCTATCTCCGTTCTGATCATCGGCCACGCGGCGGACATCGGGTGGGCATTTGGGGATAGAGAAGGGAAGATAAAGCCGAGGGCGATTGTGGCTTTCGTTTTAGGGTTCTGGATCCTTGATGTCGCTAATAACATGACTCAGGGTCCTTGCAGAGCTCTCCTCGCCGATCTTACTGGTAATTTCCTTTTCTCTTACTGTTGATTGGGTTCTTCTTCACCTTTTATATATTTGAATTATCCAAAACTCGTGATTTTTTTGAGGGGTTTTCTCGTGCGTACACACACTCACATGCAAAACATGAAAGTTCGCAAATTTATGATTCCGGACACGAATTAGGTATTTATATAGTTCCCGGATTGGGTCCCCAAAATTAATTGTGGTGTATGCAATTGTATTAGACTTATAAGGTCAAATTGTGTTGTATTACCCATGTTTACAAGCTTGCCAATTCATAATCAAAAAGGACCTTCTTTTGTTTTTTTTTTGTCGGTGGCTTATCATTTGAGTCACACAATACAGCCCCAGAAACTCTTGTCTTTTTTTATTTGTGTTCTTCTTGTGAATCAGATTCTAGATTGAGTGAAAGGAGTTTTATTTCTTTTGAATTTGGAACTTTTGGCCTAGGACGAACACACTCTGAGCTGATGAATTGATCCGGAGATATAGGAATTGATGAGATGATTGGACCACTTTAGTGAGTTTGTTTCTCTGTAAATTTTGGTAAAGCTAATCTTAGATTAGTACTTCACTTTGTCAGAAAGATGAAGTTGTAGTGGATGAATTCTCTTCTCTGATTTCTGCATATTTGAGCTTTTGGGTGTGGTTTGGTAAAAAACATTGCTTAACACTGCAATACAATGGTTGATAGCTCTGCATATGTATACTCTCTGATTGATAGCTCTGTGAGAAAGTATGCCAGAACTTGAAATATTGTCCAACCTCTTTCTTTGCAGAGAATGATAATCGCAGAACCCGAGTAGCAAATGGCTACTTCTCTCTATTTATGGCTATTGGCAACATTCTTGGCTATGCTACTGGATCATACAATGGCTGGTACAAGGTCTTCCCTTTTACGAAGACCGTTGCATGCAACGTGGAATGTGCCAATCTGAAGTCTGCATTCTACATAGACGTAGTCTTTATTGCAATAACTACGATCCTAAGTATCTCAGCGGCTCATGAGGTGCCTTTTGCTTCACCGGCTTCTGAATCACGTGGGCAATCCAGTGGGACAGATGAAGCTTTTCTTACCGAAATACTTGGGACTTTCAGATATTTTCCAGGAAGCGTTTGGATAATCTTGCTTGTTACAGCATTGACATGGATTGGTTGGTTTCCATTTATTCTGTTTGATACTGATTGGATGGGTCGAGAGATCTTCGGTGGTGAACCGAACATAGGCACTTCTTACAGTGCCGGGGTCAGTATGGGTGCACTTGGTTTGATGTTGAATTCTGTTTTTCTTGGAATCACTTCGGTGCTCATGGAGAAACTTTGCAGAAAGTGGGGGGCTGGTTTTGTTTGGGGAGTATCAAACATCTTGATGGCTATTTGCTTTCTTGCAATGATCGCCACCTCATTCGTTGCGTATCACCTTGACTACATTGGCCATGGACAACCACCTGCTGGCATCGTAATTGCTGCTGTGTTAATCTTTACAATTCTGGGCATTCCATTGGCAGTAAGTTACTCCTTGTTACTTGCAAATTAAAATGAGAAACAAAGAATTTATAGTTTTGCAACTAATCGTCTGATTGTGATGCCTGTTTGCCAAGCTGGAGATATCATGACACTATTACTTTGATATTTTTCCGGCTTGTGATTAAACATGGTGGAATCTTTGACGCTTACGCTGTAACTAATGCTACTGTTACCATTCCGCAGATAACTTACAGCATCCCATATGCATTGATTTCCATACGTATTGAGTCGTTGGGCCTAGGCCAAGGTGTGCATCATCCCTTATTATATTATTCCCACTGCTTTAATTCAACAAGTGAGTGGTGTTTCTTATCAAAGTTCTGTTGTGGCAGGCTTATCTTTGGGTGTGCTCAATCTAGCTATAGTCATCCCACAGGTATGCTTCCTTCAACCACATCCTTTTCAGAATTATAAATTGCCGCAAGTGAATCTATATTCTTGTTTAAATGTGTCTGGAATTCTTACAAGGGAGTCCATAAGTTTTGGTTATGGTTTCCGGCATCAAACTAGACACAACCAAATCAGTTCTGTTGTTCAAGTCATTTTGTGGGGGTGACAAAACTAGTTTGTGTTTGCAGGTAATTGTGTCTGTTGGGAGTGGGCCATGGGACCAACTATTTGGAGGAGGGAATTCACCGGCACTTGCAGTTGGAGCAGCTGCAGGTTTCATTGGCGGAATTGTAGCCATCTTGGCTATTCCGCGGACAAGGATTCAGAAGCCCATCCCTCTCCCATAATGTGTCCTCTCTTGTCTTATAAGGTATGTCGGATTTTTCTTCTTTCTTTTATCAAAAGTATAGCAAGCATTTAAATTGTCACTAATGGATAAACCTGGTTAATGCAAAGACAGACGAGTTTAAGCGAGGAACGGAGAAAGGGAGTGTAAAAGGCATGGTGGAAAAATGGCAAGGAGATGCACTGATCCTTGTCGGATTCATGCAATGGCTTCTCGTGTCGTGTGACTAACTTATTTGCAGCTTCTAGGACCTAATCCTCTCTACTTTTGGGACTATGATCCACGAGGAGCCGTAGAAGTTTATCAACGAAATAATAACACATCATCATTCAGTTTGAGAGGTATATGCATAATGCATATCTCTCCTTTGTTGGAAGATCCCAGATCGGGTTCTTCTCTGTTTCTTTGTTGTTTTGCTACGCTTTGACCAGTTTTTACCATGAACGTGTAAAGTAAAAGTAATAACCTGTGTGCAGTGGAGAGTTTGTAACGCGGCCCATAATTGTATGGTTCTTAAACTGTTATAAAGTTCCATGTTCTTCTCATTTCCTGATTAAGACTTTTCTTAGTAGAACTCGAACCACATTCAGTGTCTTTGATATGACTCTACAAGTTATGCTAATAGACCCCTTATATCGAGTTTTGGAAATGTTGTGTGATTTGGTTGAATGAATCCTGCACATTATAGTGGGAGATAACAATGCCAAAACGATGTTGAGAAAGAAAAAAACATAAGAAACTATAGTAATAGGCATAATATGATTAGCAAGTATTCGTCATGATATGAAACATATTAGCAAGATAGGCTCTCTTGGGAATTAATATCAGTTTAGGAATTTTTTTTTTGGAATCTTATAATAAAAATTTTGTTGATCTGTGTAATAGTTTTGGTGTGATGCCGATAAAATAAAAGTTTATAAAATACAATTACACGTGTGGAGCATATGGGACCTCAAAAATCTGTTGGATTTGGAAAGGTCTTATCTTGGGATATAAAAAAACGTGGGGTTAGTGTTACAGACCGACTCTCTTACATTCAGAGTCAACTACGGCGGCTTTCACACCTCTTTGCCTTCTAGACGAATGACAAATTTTAACATTTCCTTTTCATTAATAAATTGGACATAAGAGTATATCTACCTCCACCACCATTTCCAAACTTTTGAGTCTTTTTTTCATAAAATGAGTCTTTTTATTTTATTAATGAATTATATAATTTTGAGTTTTTGTAAAACGAGATATCATTGCTTTATTTTTTAATGATTGAAAGCAAGTAGAAATATTAAAACTTTGAACTTTTTAGGTTATAATATCAAACTCACTACTAGCTAGGAGGCAGACTTGGGATATATATTCTCAAAGACAGACTGGAAATAACCTACCAAAAAATCACGAGTTGTGTCAATAAAGGTGGAGTTAATTGTATTTTTCCCGGTTTTGCTGTACATTTTCATTCTGCAGAAAATTCCATAGTTTAGTGTTTTGTTATCCTGAAATGTGATAAAATCTTTTTGATGCTAAAAGAAAGATGGATCTCTCAACTTTGTGTCATATTTACAATACATTTTTTTTTTAAAAAGAATTGGGTTGTTGAAAGCATTCACTATTGGCCATTTGATTTCTCTCTTGTCACCTTCGGATTTGCATAAGTGGGAAGTTTTTCTTTAAGTAACTTTTCTAGCTTTAGGCTTTAGCCAAAAAAATAAAGTAATTACCTTTTTGTATGAAACAAAGCAATTAAGTAGCTTTCATACATATTTCAAGATTTTTACAGTATGTCACCAAAAAAAAAATGTTAAGTGAAGTCCACCCTGTATTTGTTGATAAGTACATTTTATCGTCATGTGCATGCACTTGCCCATAAAAGTAAAATTAAAAGGATTTGTCTTTTCTTTGGCTTCAATTATTGAACAAATTATTTCCTCTAAACTTTGTTTTTCTTTTTGTTCAAGTCTCGTCTTTTGCCATGAAGCTTCGAACGCTTTTTTCATTTTGACGAGTGAAATGTGAAGACTCATAGATTCCAAGATAATTATTCACTGGCCAGAAAAGATTCGCAGATTAAAACTAGTTAAAAAAGATCAATTTCTGTATATTTTATTATTTTCGTATAGCAAGCAAAATCCAATCAAATTTTTTCTTAATCATCGTAAGAGAAAAAAAGGTGTGGCTACTAATTTCACTTAACATTATTTTTTTACAAAGACGTCAATAACCTTTTATGTCATTTGTGATCGCCATCTGTGAATACATGTTTTTAATTGTTATTTATACGTTAAGTTATAAAGAAAATGATTTATACGTTAACCAGATTTTGGTTGTGCCAGTCACTGGAATTTCTTTTTTCCTGTCCCAATTGTTATGGCGGTTGTAGCAGTTTCATAAGTAGGGAATAAATGTGGACGAACAACACAATAAAAATCTATCAAAATACGAAGAAATGATAGCTAACTTTACATTTTAAATACGTTAGAACAATCAATCCGATAGTTTAGTTTAAAAACTTTTAAATCATATCTGAAAGACTGAAACTAATATAGAAATATTTTTTGGAAATGTTCACGCATGATATCACAGTTAGTTCAGACCGTACATACACATGTAAAACATACATGACGATAAAATGCCATCTTTAAAAACATAAAACTACTACAAATAATCAACTTCTTTTATCATCTTCCACAGCAGCAGTCTATCATTGTAATTATAGTTTTAAGCTTAATTATATATATTTTTGTTAAAGAAAATTTAAGATCCAATTGTAGCGGAGGGGGTTTACGCTTAATAATACCATCTTTGTATTATCTCTACTTATCACTTAATCACAAAAACTCTATAATGGGAAAGAAAAAGGTTTTTCCATACGATTTTTCGAAGATTTGAATGACATGTTTTTGTTTGCACTCACTGGTGTCTGCTGGCGTGGAATCAATTATCAGTCGTCTCCATCTAATCAGAATATGACAAATGAATCTCATTTCCTTACTCGTCAACATATGTATTAATCATATTTCTTTTTATTGTTTTATGTCGGAAAAAGAAGAGTCCACCGAAAAAAGAGTCCGGAAAAGACTATTTGAACATGGCAATTATTGAGCGGCAAAATTTAACTATTAGTCATATAATCTAATTGTATATACTATTCTATTATTCATATTCACAAGGTTGGTTTTATTCTGATAATCAAAACTAATGAATTATTAGCATTTGGTTTAAGTTAAGGTTAAGAGTCTTAAGACCTACTTATAATTTACAATCCCCTACTTCTTAATTAACTTTGGAAAAAGGTATGTGGTTGCAACTCGTGTGCCACAAAAGCATGTACTCAGCAAGTATACATGGTTAACATCTTAGCTAAAGTGTATATTATATGTGTTTATAGTTGTTTAGAGATTATTATGAGTAAAACACAATCATGAGTTGGAGCAGTATGTATTAACTATATACCTTAATCGATTATGCATAATATTATAAGTAATACCATGGCGAAAGACTGATAGTAAATTAGGGAATCGACAATAGTATTTTTGAGTTGAAGCATTAAAATATTTCGCCACACTTCTTGACAATTTTATCTTTACACGCTAGCTGATTTATTTTTATAAAAATCTGAATATTATATTCAATATCTTAGGATAGCGTACAAGGGATAACGAAATTATCACGTTGGTGACTTAAACTAAAAATGTTCTCATTTATTATTTTGTATAGCGAGTGTAGCAGCATATTTAATAACCTGCCCTGTTGCCTACACAAAACCCTAAAGCCTCACTTTTCTGTTTGCTCTCTCGAATCTCCCGATAAACCTAAAGCAAACCAGAGACAGAGGAACGATAGTGTTAGAATTTGCGGAATGATACTTAGAGAAATGAGTGAAGAACATAACAGAGAGGAGAGAATGAGTTAAGGATGATTATATTTCCTTAAGTTAAACCTTACACATGAGGCGAAGATGCCTACTTATAGATGGGTTCGGTTACTACACATAACAAAGCAACAATGACATAAAGAATAAACAAAGAAGGTGATCCCAAGGGAGTGAAAGTGACAGGTCCTAACGGTTGCTCCTTATCTCACACATGTGACCTTATCTTCTTCTTAATATGACCGTTGGAGTAGAAACAAGAAATCAAGTATCTTGACTTCTCCTTAGCTTATTCGTCACTCCTCTTTATCTTGTGCTCCAAGACTACTAGATGATCATTCTTGAGCAGCACGGTTCCATAGGTGTGTGTACGGACCTGTACGGACATGATCCTTCCTCCTTCTAGTTTGATACTCCCCCTCAAGCTTTAACCGTGGTGAATGGTTAGAGCTTGGAGCCATGAAGGATCACCTCATTAAAAACCTCAATGTAGAAAACCTCATGGGACAAAACTACATTGAGGGAAAAAGAGTGTGATCCCCACGGCTAGGTGAGCTCAAGCTGAGATGTCAACGAGCCCCATCTTAGAGTAGATGAACTCGTTGATCTTCTGACTTGTTGCCTTGGTGAAGATATCGGCTAGCTGATCTGAACTCTTTGTGTAGCATGGCAGGATGACTCCAAGCTGGACTTGCTCCCTGACCTTGTGACAATCAACCTCAATATGCTTGGTTCTTTCATGGAAGACCGAGTTTGATGCAATGTGTATGGCCGCTTGGTTGTCACAGTGCATGGTGATTGGTGTGCTTGTCTCACGTCCAAGGTCCTTAAGAAGGTTCGTTAACCACATTAGCTCGGTTGTTAACCTCCTCATGGCCCGGTACTCAGCTTCAGCACTAGAACATGCCACTACATTTTGCTTCTTGCTCTTCCAAGTAACTAGGTTCCCACCAATGAAGGTGCAATAGCCAGTAGTTGATCTTCGATCTACACGGTCTCCTGTCCAGTCTGCATCGCAATATCCCACAATCTCTGAGCTTCCATTGCAACCCATCCAAATGCCATGACCGATTGTTCCTTGGACATAGCTGAGAATGCGCTTGACCATGCTCCAGTGATATGACTTTGGGGCTTTC